AGAAGGAGAAGAAGAAGAAGGAGAAGAAGAAGAAGGAGAAGAAGAAGAAGGAGAAGAAGAAGAAGGAGAAGAAGAAGAAGGAGAAGAAGAAGAAGAACTCGGGAGTGTATAATGTCCAGCAAACGGAACATAAGTCGACGATAACGATGACATGTCTAGTGTGAACACCGGCATGCCAATGAGGTTCGTCGTTGTCTTCGACTCCGTCACCATGGGCAATAGTCCAGGGACAGATGCTGGCCAGCCTGCTCCTGCTTGTGCGCCCTCTGTTACGGATGGTGGGACTGCGAAGCCTGATGAGGTCTTTGATGTGGAGAGAGTAGAAAGGTCTGGAGAAGATAAGGTCTGTGTGATGGTCACGATGACTGTCTCTGTTGATCTCGCCGACGACAATAGTGCGGCGTTGAGCATGCCAGCTGCCGATGACGAGGTCTCATGAGGGCCATCGTGGGCTGCTGCGAAGGTGCTGGAGAGGAGTATGAGCGTGTTGGGTAAATACATCGTGTACTGCATGGTGGTATAGTGAAAAGTGTGTAAGAGGCATTTTGTAGATAGAATAGAGCGGAGGATTGTTGGCGACCATGTCAAATCTTCTTCACGTTTGACGCAAACACTTCTATTCAAGGATAGTGAAGATGAGTTGTGAAGTATGCCAGTGTAGCACATTGTTTGTGATATAATGCTTCGCTCATGATAGTGCCTACCGATATTCACTTGAACTCTCCTACTTTCTCCCATGCAATCACACCCTGATCTCCGCGGCTTTCCTCAACCTATTCATCACAGCAGCTGCGATATCGTCACCCGTGGTGTCGTCTATACCCTCCACAAAAATGACCTCAACGCCCTTCTTGTCAAGCTCTCGTAACGCAGAGAATAGCCCTCGTGCCACGGCTTCTGTCTCCGCCCCCAGATCGATATCCCATACATCAGTGTCGCTTGAATCGAGCGTGTGACGCTGTGCATGCGGGATCTGGTGTTGGATTACTGAGCGGAGCAGATTAGACAGCCTTGAAGGTGCGTCTGTAGGTATTGAAGGGGTTGCATGAGGTCGTGAAGTGCCGTTCGTCTGACCGTTCGTGTCTGTGACAGTCGTACTTCCACCAGTCAATCCTAGTGCGGGTTTCCAGCTCTCCGTCCGTATTATCCCAACCCTCCTCTTTCTCGTCACCTCTTCTTTCCCAGGTTTTGTGGCTCCGGCCTCGAATAGAACGACCTCCGCTTTCGGACTGTAGTGCCTGTATTTCATTCCCGGAGCCCGTGGTTTACTGGCGCCTCCTTCTTGCTTATCTTTGTATCCAACTGTAACGTTCTCCCATCCTGGACATTGTCTGAGTTGCTCCACTGTAACGCCGCCCGGTCGTAGTATGCTCGGTGGACTTGATAATCCGTCGACGACTGTGCTCTCAACGCCAACTTCGCAGGGTCCGCCGTCGACAATGGTGTGTATGCGCCCTTGCAGGTCGTCGTATACGTGCTCCGCTGCTGTGGGAGAGGGCCGTGTGGAAGCGTTCGCTGAAGGTCCGGCAAGTGGGCGTCCGCAGAGACGTAAGAGAGAGAGCGCGAGAATAGAACGGGGCATGCGCGCGCCGAATGTCAACAAACCTGCTGTAACTTCGGGAGCTAAGGTCGTGTTCTCGGGTACTGGTAGAATAATGGTCAAGGGCCCAGGCCAGAAGCGCTCGATCAGCGGTCTGTAGATCGCAGGAATAGGATCGTTTCCTGTTTGCAATACTCCTTTATCAGACAGCAGCTCGCGCAGCTGAGACAAAGAGTGGACATGCACAATCAGAGGATTGTCTGAGGGCCGTCCCTTGGCAGCGAAGATTGCCTTGACTGCTGAACTTCTCGTCGCGTCTGCTCCCAGTCCATACACAGTTTCGGTTGGAAATGCGACTGGTGTGTCTGTATTGACTATCTCTTCTGCTGCTCTCTTGAGACTCTGATAGTCCTTCCCCTCCGCATATTCTATGTTCCATTCTTCGATCAAATCTGTCTTCGTCTCCGTAAAGGTGATGTTGCCCAGTTTTTGTGGGTCGACGACGAGGATACTGGTCTCCATGTTTGTGGTCACTTGTTGGTAAAACTTTGGGGTTGTTGCTGATGTTGGTGAAGTTGTTAAGTTTGGAGTGAAGAAAGCGGTCGGAATTCTCAGCGCGGTAGTTGAAGTATATCGGAGCCCTGATACGGCGGCTTGCACCAGAGCACGTGTTTGGAAAAAGTACGCGACGTGTTTTGCGAACTTGACATTTGGTATGCGGGGATAGCGCGTTGGCATCACAGTTATGACTGGTGTTGAGGCCCAAATTTTTCGAGCTTTTCGGAACGATTCCGAGCCAGACCTTGGCGCCCGACGTCATGTTCGAGATCAGTACCAGAAGTTGAAAGTGAAGTGAGTGTGAAATGCTTCGCATTGCTATAGAGTGTTTGTTTATTGCTATCCTACTAGAGTCCGTACACTGAGCCACACAAACGCCGCAGTACGCCTGCCCAGAAGTTGTTCATACAAAAGCAAAGCCATACACACCAAGGGTATCTGGCCAACGCCGCCATATGAATACCAGTTCCCACCAAATGAAGTCGCTAACCCAGCAAAACCAAACCAAGAGCCAAACCAAGAGCCAAACTACTTTTACGCGGAGACAGACACCTCTGCTGGGCCAGCAAGAATGCCTTCAGCATGTGCGTCGACTGCTGTTGTCTGCGCATCAGCCTGACTCTGAGAAGCCAGCTCACCGCTGGCAGCGGTCTCAGCCCATTGTCCCCACAGGCCACGCTTCGCGCGAATGCGAAGCGGACCTCCTAGCTCGGGGCCTGGCTGCTCGACCTTGATTGCATCTTTTGTGGCCAGAACTAAGACTTCGAAAAACATCTTGGTAGCGTCCGCTCTTGACGTCTGGGCCTCCGGAAGCAGCTCTTGGAAGACGATGGTGTTCTTCTGTCGTATTGACTCGCTCTCCTCTGCTTCAGGTCCAAATTGTTCTCGCAGAAGGTGGACAGCGTGCTTGGTGCCTAGCGAGATGGGACCACTCTCAGCTGGGTGGTATAGCGGGGCGGTTGTGTCGTCAAAGTTGTCGGGAACAGGTGAGAAAGCTTCTTCTTCTTCTTCTCCTTCTTCTTCCTCCTCCTCCGGTCGCGTACCGATGTCGCTGGGAAGGTGAATGATGTCCTCGTCTCCAGTAATGGTGGTATTGCCGCCAAGGTCGAAGTCACCACCTCCCAATGTTGGCTCGTCCTGCTCGAACTCCAGTTGTGGCGTCTTCTCCGCCTCCGCGGCTGCCTCCTCCTCACTCTGTTCAAGGCCTGCAGCGGTACCGTCTCGCTTACGCTTACTAGGGCGCGAGACAACTTCCAATGACAGAATGCCCCTCAGCTCCGGAGCCCAGCCTTGACTTCGGCCGTCGCCAAGGATGCTAGAAACAAAGCCACCCGACCTCTGCATGTTAAGCAGCGCCATCAGGAGCGGATCGCGTGGAAGGAAAGATGCCTGCTTCAGGATTCTATCGCGGTTCGCTTGCTGATCCCTGAGCTGGGCAGTTGAGATCATGGTTTCGGCATCCTGGATAATGACCTTTCTGCGCTTGGCCCTGGCCTGGTGGAGCGATTCTTCCTCCTGCTCAGGCTCGAGCAGGGTTGGATCCTGCTCGGCGACTTCCTGCGCCAGGCGAGTCTCTTCTTCCTCACCGAGTTCGGACAACGGAGACTCTTCGCGAGTGAGCAGTGGAGCCTCATCACCGGCTAGAGAAGATGCCAATGGAAGCGGCAGATCGATGTCGCCCATACCACCCATCTCGGTGTCTCCACCGAGGTTGAGTTCAGTGCCACCTCCAGGTGCCAATTCGGTCAGTTCTTCGCCAACGTCCAGATCGAAGTCGACGTCGTCGCGCAGCTTTAACTCGGTGCCAAATTCTTCTTCCATGGGTCGCTCAGAAGGTGCGTCGCGTCCGACTTCTGGCTCCAAATCTTCACCAAGATCGATCTCAAGATCATCCATGTCTTGCAGTTCCATCTCTTCGTGGCGCGCTTGCTCAACGCTGTTAGACAGGAACTGGCTGGCGTCCCAATCCGGCAGTGTCGTGTTTCCAAAGGTAAGATCTCCATCGAGCGTTTGCGACAAGAGCAGCGCGGGGTCTGGCATGGGCGCCAAAAGGTCGAGATCTGTGATCATGTCTGGCAGTGTCAAGCTTGTAGGGTTGGCGACGTGTGTCTGGGCGGGCAGATCGATGTTTCCTGGGCGGAAAGCCTACAGCGCGTTAGCCATTGTTGCAGCTGGGAGGGATTGAACAAACCATCTTGATCTTCCACAGCGCGTCATTGCAATCGTCGTGCAGGTAGTGCGCCTTCCTGTGGTAGATGCGCACTACACCAAGCAACAGCTGCCCATTCAATCGCAGTGCCAGAGGGCCGCCGGCCGCCCCCTCAGGCCGGATGATGACCTGGATGTCTTCATCGATCTTGTCCTGCAGCACCTGCGCTTTGGTGAGCTTCTTGTGCTGGTTGGCGGCGAGCCAGACGCGAGCAAGCTGGCCCGACTTGAAGAGAAGGTCCTCGGGAAGAAACATGGCGATGGTTGGTGGAGACTACGGTTGCGCGGGGCGAAGACGAGGACGCGTCGGCGGCGTTGTTGTTTACGTCGGCGCGTCGGCAGCAGCTGGATGCGCAAACGGTATGCGCGCGCCGACGACTTCGAGTCTAGTTGTCAAGGATGCGCGCAAGGGTAGCAATGGCAGTGAAAGGCACAAAAAGTCGAACAGCGATGGTGGAGTGGATGCGCGCGTAGGGGTGGGTGGTCCGGGTGTCGCGAGGCTGGTTGAAGGCTGGCGGAAAGCACGACCGCTTATGTCATGATGCTGCTTTGCAGCCATTGTTCTGCTGCAACTAACTAGCAGAACACAACTGCAGTTTACTGTGCCACTCAGAAGCTGATTGCAACGGTTGATTCGTACATGTTGCAGACCAAACAAGGTTTTCCTCGAGGCCAGGGGGTAGGCAAAGCACGTTTGGTTTACAGCACATGAATGTAGACGCTATACGGCACAACCGCCACTTGACTGTGCACACAGCTCAGATTAGCTGACACGGATGCATATCGAAGGCGCGTCATCACTTGACGCAGCGTGCCCAAGTTCAGTACCTGCCAAGACTACAATGCTGTGATGCTCTCTCGGTGCAGCGGAGGACTGCAGGCCCTCGAATGGCTTCCCAGACAGACTGCAAGCAGCTCTCCCAATCTTGCTGTCTTGTGAAGCCTCTGGTCAAACGACTTGGCAATGTGAAACCTGTGAATTCGCGTCCAGGCCTCCGGATCGCCGCTGGATGACCCCTGTTGCAGAGTGCCGGTGCTTTGACGTTTTGAGTACTGAGATCTACGTCCAAGTGGCCCTTCGAACGAAGAACAACACCATTTCCTACACATTTGCGAGCTCCTTTCTTGTGATACCCCGTGCATATTCATTGCGTTTGTTTTCTTAGCAGCACCGATGCAATAGTCGGACACCAACTGCCAGCAATTCCTCGTCGCGCCAGATAGGCCACATTCGACGGCCGCGCAACAGTTGTCTCTGGGATATGCCAACATGTCCAGAGTTTCGGCGCCGTCTCTGCCAATGTACCATGCCGCAAATGGCGATCCCAAGTCTTCACGCCCTGGCTCACCGTACCTGCAACCGCCGGAGGCCCCGAAGAGGAGCGGGACACCTTCGGTACTCCTCCCTCGCAGCAATTCATGTAGTCAAGCAACAGCTAACAGGACCAGCCCAAACAATCGATAACAGCCGCGTACTCGATTCTGTCCCACCAAGAAACCGCGCAAAGATTGCAAACGTCAGATACCCACGGTCTGTCCACCTCCGATGCCTCGGCGCGCATACACACCCACGGTCGCAACGAGCTTCCGCACGATGAGCCTGAGCCGCTATGGCTGCGGTTCGTAAAGCAGTTCAAGGAGACTCTAATCTTGCTGCTATTGGGCTCGGCCGCCGTGTCTTTGATGTTGGGTAATCTGGAGGATGCAATCAGTATCGCAGCAGCAGTGACAATCGTTGTTACTGTAGGTTTCGTGCAGGAATATCGGTCTGAGAAGTCACTGGAAGCTTTAAACTCGCTGGTACCTCATTCAGCACACATCATACGGGCAGGTCAAGAGCAGTCGCGGGCGAATGGTACTGCCACAGACGGGATCGAATCGGACGAATTGAAAGATACAACAGCGGCGTTGGCGGCAGCCGAAAGGAAATCGACCACCATATCCGCGGCATTGCTAGTACCGGGCGATCTGGTCCTTTTCCACACTGGCGACCGCGTTCCGGCCGATATTCGAATCACCCATGCAGCAGACCTATCGATCGACGAGTCGAACTTGACGGGAGAGAACGAGCCAGTCGGCAAGACTCCAGACACCATCACCCCAGCACCAGGGGTGCAGCGTGCGCCCTCGCCTTTCTATGCCTCTGAAGGAGCGGGGACTGTTGGCGCTGACATTCGGTTGAATGACCAGAAGAACATCGCGTTCATGGGCACTTTGGTTCGATCAGGATATGGGCAGGGTATCGTCATTGGCACAGGAGGCAATACAGAGTTTGGTGCTATCTCCGCATCGCTGCAAGAGATTGAGAGCCCACGGACACCGCTACAGCTTTCCATGGACCAACTCGGCAAAGATCTCAGTTACATGTCGTTCGTCGTGATCGCCTTCATCGGTCTCGTAGGACTATGGAGAGGCTGGAAGTTTCTGGAGGTCTTCCAGATTGGCGTCTCACTTGCGGTCGCTGCTATCCCAGAAGGACTCCCAATTATCGTCACCGTCACGCTCGCACTGGGTGTGTTGAGGATGTCAAAACGAGATGCGATCGTGCGACGCCTCCCTAGTGTCGAGACATTGGCATCAGTGAACGTGGTCTGCACTGACAAGACCGGCACTCTTACAACAAACCACATGACAGTCACAAAGTTGTGGCACTTCGACGAGGCAGCCCCAATAGATGTCAAGAAGAAGCACGACACCGAGAACCTCGACTCCCCAACCCGGAACATTTTGCGAATTGGCAACATTGTCAACAACGCCCGACTCTTGAGCGATGAAGCTGCGTCTGCATCGACAGCTGCGGTTCTATCATCAACCATGGGTGACGATAATTCGTTGGCAAAGAGCCGATGGGTCGGTCAGCCTACAGACGTTGCACTGTTAGACCTTCTCGATGCTTTTGTAGAGGACGATGTTCGAGAAAGACTGGGTGCACGCAAGTTCGAGACTCCATTCAGCTCCGAGAGGAAATGGATGGGTGTTGTCATCAGCGGAAGTTCAGGCTCGGACGTGTCTTACATCAAGGGTGCAATCGAAAGGGTACTCGATCGATGCGACACATACGTCAATGCCCAAGGAAAGGAAGTCAATCTCGACCAATCGCGAAGACAAGAAGTTTTGAATGCTGCCGACTCCATGGCACAAGAAGGCTTACGAGTACTTGGCTTTGCAAGTGGACCTGCACGTAAGAAGTCGAGCAGTGGCACCTCAACGCCAGCTGCTTCTTCAGCGTCTGCAATGGGTGACGACGAACACTACCGTGGCTTGGTCTTTGCCGGTCTTGTAGGCATGAGCGACCCACCGCGCAAAGGTGTGGAGAAAGCCATTCGACGTTTGATGGCCGGCAAAGTCAAGGTCATCATGATCACAGGTGATGCAGAGACCACAGCAGTGGCCATTGGCAAGAATTTAGGCATGCCGGTTAACCCCAACTCCGCCTTTGGACGCTCCGTCATCCGTGGTGATGAACTGGATCAGATGAGTGAAGAAGAGCTTTCACAGGCGATAGCTACGACCTCGATCTTTGCACGTACCAGCCCCGAACACAAAATGAAGATCATCCGTGCGCTCCAAGCCCGAGGCGACGTTGTGGCCATGACCGGTGACGGCGTCAACGACGCTCCTGCTCTGAAGAAGGCTGATATTGGTATCTCCATGGGCAAGCTTGGTACAGATGTCGCCAAAGAGGCTGCCGATATGATTCTCACAGACGACAACTTTGCTACGATTCTGAATGCCATGGAAGAGGGCAAGGGCATCTTCTACAACATCCAGAACTTCCTCACCTTCCAGCTGAGCACCAGTGCGGCGGCGTTGAGCTTGGTGTTGCTGAGTACCTTCCTTGGCTTCCAAAACCCGCTCAACGCCATGCAGATTCTATGGATCAGTAAGGATCACGTACTCTCATTTACAAAACACGCAGCTAACGTTGATCTAGACATTCTCATGGACGGGCCACCTGCACAGTCTCTCGGTGTCGAGCCTGTTGATCCTGCTGTCATGGCTTTACCACCTCGACCTCGACACGCGCGTGTTCTCACACGCAAACTCATCCAGCGCGTTCTGCAATCTGCAACGATCATCATGCTCGGCACATTGACAACCTACTATCGCGAGATGACGATCGACAACGAGGTCACCGCACGCGACACAACCATGACTTTCACCTGCTTTGTCCTCTTCGACATGTTCAATGCCTTCACCTGCCGCTCATCCACGAAGTCAGTGCTTGCTGGCGAGGTCGGTGTCTTCGATAATAAGATGTTCAACTATGCCGTCTCTGGGTCATTGATCGGGCAGCTTCTTGTCATCTATTTCCCGCCACTCCAACACGTCTTCCAGACGGAGGCGTTGGGGCTGCTCGATTTGTTGCACCTCGTCGCGGTCGCAAGCTGTGTGTTCTGGGCAGACGAAGGACGGAAAGCGTACTTGAGGTATCAGGCGAGAAGAGGGTACGGTGGTGGATACAGTACCGTTGTATGATCTATTTGTATAAAGCATTGCATTGGGTAGGTATATAGACTTTCATCAAGTCTCAATCAAAACATTCGAGCCTCTTCACCAGATCGCCATCATGAGTGTTTCAGGGGCCGCTTCTGAGCACGTGAGCTTCCAGAACAGCGTGGTCGACACGCCGAAAACGTAACTGCACATCCAACCAATGCCATGGTGCCCCTCATCGCGCATGTTGAGCAGCAACTTTTCCCGGCACACGACTGAATGCAATCTCCACAGCTCGAGCACCGTTGCCCGGGCGTTCAGTGGGCGCTGCGCTGTCACTTGCACCGTTGGAGCAAGTCACTGTGTTGCAGGGAGGTGCATGGTTTCCGAAGCTACGGCCTAGGGTCTCTCGACAGGGCAGCGGCACGCGCAGGTGCGACTTGGCGCTGCATGCAAGGGAGCCCTAAAGGCGGTGGACTGGACCGCTGCTTGCGTGAAATTAAGCTGCCCCATGTGATTGCGATTACCTTGTTAAACTGATACAGGGTTATTTGGTCTTTTGTAAACACACGCAGTCGCAGCTTGTCGACGCACTCACGTTACTCTACTCTCACTCAACCACAGCAACGCAGGGTGAAAGCAAACGTATCAGACTCTTGGTACGCGGGACAACGCAACGAGCCAAGCTCCACAGCCGCGACAATCGCCAGTGGGCCACCGTTGGGAGATTCACAACCAGCCTGTTGATCTTCTTTTTGGACCGCATTGGTGTGACTTGCGACTTCTCTGCCTACACAACCATACACAGCACGCAACATGTCGGCAGCGGCAGCAAACAAGCCGCCGGCCACGGGCACCCCAGGGCGCAGCACTCCCTCGAGAGTCTCCTCGTCCTCGCCTGCTGCGGCGAACCGCACGCCCACGCGCTCTTCTACACCGACAACGACCGGAACAGCAGGCGGTGTTGCTAGGACGCGATCAGTCAGGTCAGGGGCCAGCGGAGCGCCCGTCTCAGCGCGCGCCTCTGCCAAGAAGCCAGCTCCGCCCTCGGCGCTGAGGAGGAACTCGTCGCAGGTCGATAGCCCTACCGAGGAGGACAGTGCTGCCGCAGACGCAAAGGCGGCATATCTGCAGCATCTCGAAGAGCGCCTTTTGAAGGCCGAGACTGAGGCTGAGGAGCGCTTGAAGCAGATCGAAGTGCTCAATGCACGCCTAGACGATGCGCACGCCGAGCAGTCGAAGCTTGAAGAGCGCGCTCACGAGGAAGAGGAGAAGGTTGAGACCCTTGAGAACGAGAAGAGGGAGATCACACGGCAGCACAGGGAGCTCGAGGGTATCTACGAGGCCGAGCGTGCCCAGGCCATGAAGGAGAAAGAGAGCACGCAGACACGTGAAGAAGAGCTGCAGGAGACGATTCAACGGCTGAAGGAAACTATGGCTACTAAGAACGTCCAGGGTGTTGAGGACGGCGAGGCCCCATTGTCGCGTGCGTGTAAGTTGGACCCTAGAGCGTGATCGTTTGACACTGACACCTGACAGCGAGCTTTCGCAACAACCCTTCGCGCACCAACTCCTCCCAGAACCTTGAGAACTTTGCACCGCCCAACTCGGTCCAGCGCAGCAACTCGCGCAACAACTCGAAGCTCATTCATCAGAAAGACAAGATCATCGAAGACTTGCGGCTTGAGCTTGCGGAGTACCAGGTCAAGGTGCTCGAGGTTGAAAATGCTGGGGGTGGCCGCACCCGCGAGTTGGAGAAGCAGCTGCTGGAGACGCGTATGACGAATGCTAGGTTGATGGAGGATAACGAGAGCTTCCAGCTTCTGCTTGGCGAGAAGACACTCAATGGTGATCTGAGCCGCGGCGACTTCTTGCGCGATTCGTCACACGCTGAAGACCGTCCTTCCTCGCGCAAAGGCCCGTCAACCAGCCTTGCAGATGAACTGGAGTCCGCAGAGGAGGCACCAGATGTGGAACTTGTCCGCAAGCTAGAAGCCGAAGTGAACAGCATGAAGGACCAGAACAAGGCCCTTACACTCTACATTAACAAGATCATTGGCCGTCTCCTCACATACCAGGGCTTCGAGTCCGTATTGGGCAACGACCCTGACGACAAACCCAACACCAACAAGGACCTCCCGCCACCACCGCCAGAGAAGGACAACGACGCACCAACCGGCTTCCTCCAGCGCGCCAAATCTGTCGTCGGCGCCGGTCCCCGCAAGCAACGCCCAGCATCCATCATGGGCCCGCCAGCCTCAGCAGTCCACGAAGACCCTACCACCGCGCCCAGCATCCCCATCGCTCAGCGCGCTCCAAGCGGCGGCAACCCGCACCGTCGCTCAGCCTCCATCCTCCCCGACGCAGCAAACATTGTAAACACAATGTACCGCATGCCCCCACCCGCGGCCACACCAGGCCAGACATCCCCCGGTCTCGTCAGCCCAAGGAACAGTTTCTTCGGCATCCCTATCGCTGGCCAGAACAACAGCAATCCCACATCCCGCGCCGCATCAGGTCAGCAGAACATCCCCGAGGACAGGGAGATTGACACCGCGAGCGTCATGTCAGGCACAACGACCACATCAGGTGGTGCAAGTGGACACGTCGACACACCATCTCCCCCGCGCGGACGCTTGGAGAGGAGCGATACATCTGGACCGATGACGGGCAAGGGTATGAGACCCTTGAGGCTGGTGCAGAACGAAGAGGAGGCAAGCAAGGCGCGCAAGGCTGCGAATCGGCAGAGTTGGTTTGGCGGGCTGTTTGGTGCGTCGAACCCAGCCAACGCTCAGCAGCAGCAGGAGCAGTAGGTGCTTACATCTGCTGGATTCTGTTTGCAAGTGGGAGCCCCTTGGTGGGGGGGGGGGAGAGGTTGATGAGTAACGAGATTTGGATATAATGTGCAATGTGGATACAGGAAGGAACATGTGATTGGGTCAATTTGTACGAATCTGTTTGGCATTTTGTATACCCCAAGACGATAGATGAGAGATGATTCTAAGCTATTGTTAGGATGTAGGCGTAATGTTACTATTCTTTCTCAAGTTCGCCTTGTCGTTGTATTGGCATGCATATGTGAGACCTGAATGTACACACTGTAACAATGAGATATGCCGCTCATTGGTGCCTGGTGCTTACTAGGAAGCCTTGATGGTGAGGCTTAGTTTCGAGGAAGTCGCGCCAGTGGGTGGTTCCTCAGACGTCATGAGCTCGAGGATCTTCAGTCCTGCTCTCTCACATCTTCTACAACCCTTCATATCACGACAATCTGTTTACAGAGCGAAGGGCTCATCTAGAGAAATTCGAAGTTCTGAGACGACGATGCCTCCGCACTTCTCAACACCACTGAGTCGCAGCTCTATCTGCGGTGCACATGTGCGCCTTGTGCAGCCTCGAGACCTCAGCCGCACGCCGTACGCTGTTCGCTATGCACATTCCGCAGCGGAAGGCTGTTGCGGTGGAACATAGAGGTTGAGGAGCCCCTCAATCTTTAAAAGGACTCATTGCTTCCAGTAGTATCGTACTGTATGCTGCTGATCAACTAACGCCATGTCACAGCAGCTCCTTTCCCCAACGACCCACAGGTCACCAGACTCACCCTTCGACGGGGTAGATTAGATGATACAAAATCACAAACACTAAAGACCAATCGGCAAGGCCTGGGATGTTTCCTCAAGCGCAACCGCACTGTTGGCCTCGCAACGATCCTTGGAATCACCTGCGTTGGTTTCGTCGTCCAATTCACGCGATGGCTAAGCGTCCAGCTACCGGAATGTCAGACATGGTCTCTCAGTTGCGATATAACCCATCGTGTCCAATTCATGTATCGTAACTTCGGTACCGTACAAGGTATCGTGACTACCATATATTCGATTGGTCTCGCCGCTTTGGCCTTCTCAGCGCATGCGTTCTCCGAGTCAGCATTGTGGCCTCTGCTTCATCAACAAACCCTCAGCATTGGCCAGATGGACACATACCTGGAAGCAAGCCGCGGATCGATACCATCAACGCCTTCAGCCTTGTTCAGGGCTCGCACTCTCGACTCTACCCTTGTACTCTCCTGACCACGATTATCACTCTCACACCGCTTGCAGCCGCGCCAGTGGTGGGTCAAGTGTACATCAAGGGAAACATAACTGTCCAGTATCAAGGTGAACTGAAGACTGGTGGTGGTATTGGCGTGTACTATGTACAGAGAAACCCCCCTGGACCTGTGCGAGAGCGATCAAGTGCACTGTATACCTCTTGGCAACGTAGTTTCTCATACGAGCCGCTGCCCGACTACCGAAACTGGTTCATAGATCGTGAATTGAGGGCGAAGAGAGGGAACTTCACAGTAAAGACTGTGCGTATACCGCAAGACATCGACTGCCGTGGTTGGGCAGCAACACCGAATGATGAGAGGGTCAAAGGAGGAAGCCGAAGGGATCATTACATGACCTTCAACACCAACATGCCTACTCGCAAGAACGTTACCGGGGGTACCGTACGCGAGCTATTTCAACACGACAAGATTGTCGAGATGCGAGACTTAGCCAAGCTTGCAGTCTGGGTGCACAACTACACCTTCGACAGCGCAAACAAGACGACAGCGACTTTGGTCGTTGCAGCATTAGGCGGTGACATTAGGGATGGTATTACAACCACGAACATGCCGAGAAAGGTGAAGACTGCCAGTATCACCAGTATCGCGTGCGATGTCGCTGTGGAAATGATGGAAGATACGCTCACCGTGGGTAACGCACCCGGTCCCGCCGTATTGATCAACGCGATGACCAACATCTCTGTCGTAGGACAAGGCAGACCACCAGACAAAAGATACATAGGCAAGATGAATGAATTGGCGCTTTGGTTTGCCGTAGCCCCTGTCGCCAACGGCGAATGTGTGTGCGGCACTCAGCTAATGTACACATATAAACCCAGGTGGATACCAGAACGATATACATCGACTCATTATGGTAGCAACAGCGGTTGGACGAATAATTACATTAAAAAGTTCATCAGGGTTTCGACGGGCGCATCCATACTTGGCGAAGTCGACGAGTGGGTCTATCCTGATCCTGAAAAGCCAAAGAAGGCGGCAACCGCTCAGTTCCCGTCGTACTTCCCTGTCATCAAGATGGATCCAAGCAAATCGATCTTTTTGATCATCTTACCGCTTGTTATCGTTGGTTGTGGTTCACTCTTGATGTTATGGAATGTCAAGATGCACAAGTGCATGGCAATTCCAATCATGCGCAACGCAACCTTGGGAGAAATCATCAAGAGCAGCCACACCGAGGATGTCCTTGGTCCAGCAGCGATCGATCATCAAGACGCCACAAAGCCCTCGAGTCTAGAGAAGCTGGAAGTGAGATTCAAGATGGGTGATACTACACTATGGGGTCTACACAATGCGAAAGGACAGTCATTGCTCACTGAAAGAGCATCATGATTGCAAGTGTATCAAAGTTTGCTTGATCCCGGCTTTCTCAGTTTCATAAGGGGATGGTCAACCTACAAGCTTGTTGACTACACTACCCATATTCGATGCCTCGCCCAATCCCGGCCCAATCCCAAGATCGCCCAAGTCCGTGTCTGGACTCACACCTTTCACCCAAACGGCCACCCTCGCGGCTGAGCTATTGCCCCATATGACACCCGCTACATCCATCGTCCCTCTGTCCTCAAATCCTAGTCTCCTAAATAACCTCTGACTATTCACGTTCTCTGGATGCGTAAACCCTGCAAACCTCTCATGTCCCCTCGTCTCCTTGAAATGCTGCATAAGCGCATTACACGCTTCACTTGCATACCCCTTCCCATGGTACTCCGACAACAGCAAAAAGCCTATATCCGGAATCTTCGGACACTCAATATCCGGGAAGCGTTTAAGCTGCATGGACACAATGCCCAGATACTCCCTGTCCCCGCTCTCATCCGTAAAATCGGTATCTGGGGTCCGCAGCGAGATGATGTAACGCCCGCTTCCTGTCTTTTCTAAGCGCTCTGCGGCGGATGCCATGGCTAAGCGGGCCTCGGAAACGCTTTGCGGTGGAGGCGGGGATTTGGCGTGGGTTTGAGCGACTACGGCAACGATTTCGGGACTATTTACTAGGCGCACCATGAAGGACATATGCGCGTCGTTGGAGGGGTTGAGGTAGGAAAGGTAAAGGCGTGGGGTTGTGATGTGGAAGTTTGGGTCGAGCATTTTGTCGATCGTGAGTTTAGATCTAGGGATTCGTAGAGTGTGGGTTGTATTGTGACAACACTAAGCTTTGGTCTGGTGGTGGTTGTTTTCTTGAAGTGATGACTCATGCCAGGTACGCGGAAAGTACGTCTCTTATCACCTGACGTAGATGTAAGCGCTAGAGGAAAACAGGAATGTGACATTGTAAGCAGAGCTGTAGCAGTCCCTGGGATGTTGGAGGGTGAATCGATGCGGTCAGACTAGATGATTTATCAAACGAAGCTTGGCTCTCCGCATATGACCACACGCATGGTTCGTAGCTGTAATCCTCAATGGTGTATGTTAATCTAGTACCGCTACTATGGCGTCATTCGAGTTGCTGTCGGTGCTGTGCGATAGTAGGTATATGCCTCTGCTGCTGGCGTAGTCGTCACAGGTGCACCGTCAGCACAACGACCAAACCAGCCTTTGCTCGTGCATGTTGTTGTAGTCGCTTTTGATGAAGGACTCGTGGTTAATGCTGTGGTCTTGTCTTTGCAGCCAAACCAGCCGGGCTACTTTCGTCAGTTTCTGCACACAAACATGAACTTGCGGACTACTCACCGTTTTGCATGTGCTGGTACTTGATTCGGAGGTAAACGTGATGACGGGCTCCGTCAACGTCGCTGTTGATGTTGCTGTTGCAGTCGTCGAAGTTTCGTCACGGCATCCCCACCAGCCAGGCGTTTTGCAGGTCTCGGTCCTTGTCCTAGTGCGCGATGTGGGGGCAGCCGTTGATGTCGTCGCAGGTGTGGTGTGCGTCCCATCTTCGAACTTCCATAGGAAACAGTCTACACACGTGACATCTTCGTCCACACATGTTGCTGCCTCCTCGTACTTCTTGTATACGTTCTCGATGGCGTACCTCAGGCGATGGGTCGATGTGCTTGGTCGCCACCCCCAGTCTTTGACAACGTCGTAGGCACAGCGCTTTCCGGTGTGACACAGTGTCTCAAAAGCGTAGCCGCCAATGGAGCAGAAGCTTGAGAAACCGTTGCAGGTGCCCATGTAGACAGGGTCAGCCGTATGTCCAAAGTGGAAGCCTCCTGTGTTCTTTCGGAGTGGAGCGACATCACCAGCCGCGGGCAGTCCGAGACGCTTGGCTGCCATGGCTTGCGGATACGCTTCGAACGAGATCGCCGGAATGCCATGCTGCAGGCCGATCAGGGAGGCGAGAACACCCCCCAAACTGTGTCCGGTTGTGATGATGTTCGCGTCCGGATAGATCCGCAGTACCTCTTCGTAGAGCTCTAGGGTCGCTTGATAGTATCTGTTCGGCTTCCTCAGCTCTTCCCTCACGCACTTGTCGTCGCAGGAGTAGGTGCCGGTCATGCAATCACAGCTCTGTTTCCACCAATACGAGCCGCCCTGTCCGCAGCAGCAGGAACCGAATAAATTGTCATTCTCCTTGTCATGGCCAGATGTTCCATTTCCTTCGAACATGGCGACTGTGGTACCCTTCACAGACAGGATGACAGTAGTGTTCATGTCATCGCTGAACACATGACCTCTAATGCCACTGTCATCCCAACCAAAAGGCACAGATGAGTTGTAGCTTCCATCGACATCCATCCATTCCGAATCATCGGGGCCAGGCTTGTAGGCATCTTCAGACATTGATGCCAGACTAATGATCGTGTCCTTGTCTTCGACGTCAGGGGCGGCAACGTCTTCGGCAACCCATATTGGCGACATCGTCGACCACATTGGTCTTTGACCATCATACTTGTGTATTCTTGATGGCTTTTCGATGACAATGGGAGCTTTCTTGACAACAAACGGTCCGAAATGGCCAGCGGCCTCAGCTTGGACCACTCTGTCGGCTGTCACGTCCAGCCTCCTTGCACGTGCTCCCGGCCGGCCTGCACCATGATGAATGACGTGTCGCAAAGTCAAGCCATCATTGCTGGATACTCGAGCGACTTCACGATCTGGAAGTGGTGAGTTGGTGGAAGGGTAAACGCCCAGGTAGGAGCCTAGAATCGCAAGAAGGATCGCGACCTGCGCGAAGATACCAACGGCGAAAAGTGACTTGGAGATTGCAGCCCAAGTTTGGCGGGATTTCTCAGGCGAGTTCATGATATGTAGGCATTATCGTGATGTTGGTGAGAGGAGTCGACTCGGTAGATACGGTCGAAAGCACAGCCGCCTGGCAACGGCGCGTGACATGCTAACCCGCTTTGTCTCAAACCACGCTCAATGCGGCTACGTCACTCAGTCACATTCACGACTGTCACGCTCTCTCTCTTCTCATTGACCTTATCAAACGTCGATCACAACACTCAAGGGCCTAAGCGGACTGAAGGCTTGTCATTACTCCCATACGCATAGCTCGGTTGACAAGAAGACTGTAGTGGTCAGCTTCGCCGATGCACTTTAATCATCTCGAGCATCCGGGAGCTTCCTGGCGCTAGACACAGAATTTGCTGTGTGAGTAAATGGAAGCCGTCCTTGCTAACCTATTGACGCGAGAAGTGCACGAGAGCGTGGGTTGGGTTACCCCGCACCTTGCCTTTCACGGCCCGCTGCCTAACAACTCAGGCCTCCCGTCGGACTACTTAAATGGCCACCCTCCGTTCACCTCGACGTCGTTTGCGACACCCCCAGATGTAGAAGGGCGTGTCGTCACATGATCTCGAGAGTGCTGGTATAAGAAGAGGGTATTTCCCATCTTCTGGTGACCACTATTCTCCTCCCTTCCTTCTCGCAACATGGCGGCAGTGAGGCAAGCAGAAGATCTCTCCGTTGATCACCATTCCGTAGAGCTTGATACGCTTCGGTCCGACGGTGTGCAAGACCATGGACCAACGCTCGAGCAAGAGAATGAGGCTACGACAATACAGTATCCTCGCGGAGTTCGGCTACTTCTGATCACTATTGGTCTTATTCTCAGCATCTTCCTCGCCGCCCTTGATGCAACTATCATCTCAACAGCCATACCGAATATTACCACAGAGTTCGGGACCATTAGCGACATCGCCTGGTACAGCACTTCGTTCGTCGTCACCCATACAGCGTTCCAGTCGTGCTGGGGCAAAGCATACAAGTACTTCCCTCTGAAGACCATCTTCCTGCTGTCCATGCTGGTTTTTGTGGTTGGCAATGTCATATGTGCGCTGGCATCGAATAGTGAAGTGTTGATATTTGGTCGCATTATAGGAGGCTGCGGCGGTGGGGGACTTATGACTGGAGCATTCATCATTATTGCGCTCACAGCTGGTCCCAAATGGCGTGCTGCATACATGGGTGTACTTGGCGTAACGTTCGGTTGCGCGAGCGTTGTTGGACCACTCTTGGGAGGAGTCCTAACTGACGGTCCAGGCTGGCGGTTCTGCTTTTGGTGAGCTTCAGTTCCGTGCGTGTAGCGATCATACTGACAGTGTGTAGGATCAGTCTACCGATCGGGTTTGTGGCAGCTTCCACCATGTTCATCTGTTTCAAGTCGCCTATCAACCCCAAGGAAGCTTCACTGCGAGAGAAGATCCTTCAGCTCGACCTCAACGGCGGTGTACTCGTGGCAACCTCCCTCTCGTGTTTTATACTGGCCATGCACTGGCTCGGCAAGAACCCCTCGAACAGCGCTCGTGTCATAGGAAGCTTCTCTGGGTCCGCTTCACTCCTCGTTTGTTTCATCATCAATGAGTGGGTGATGGGCAAGAGAGCCATGATCCAGTCTAACCTCCTGAAGAACAAGATGGTGCTCGCAAACGCCTGCTACATCTTCTTCTTGGCAGGAGCTTACTTCCCACTGCTGTACACCCTACCTGTTCAATTCCAGTCGGTCAACAACACCTCGGCCTCGCAAAGCGGCGTTCGATTGATACCGCTCGTCCTGGGTATCTCAGCCGTCACGATGATCGCAAATGGTCTTCTCACGTTCTGGCGTCACTACAAGCCTTTCCTTCTGGTGGGTGCTATCTTTGCACTAGCCGGCAATACGAAGATATATACGTCTAATGCGCGCACACTCACGAGCGAATGGGTGGGCTATGAGATCCTCTCTGCTGTTGGAATCGGCATGGCACTCCAGATCCCGGTAATCGCCAATCAGGCCTTGGTATCAGCAGACGACATGGCGGCAGTCACAACGCTTACACTGTTTATAGAGAACTGTGGAGAGACGCTCTTTGTTGCATCTAGTGAGGGAGCTTTCACGAACGGGCTACTGTCAAGCCTCGCACGCAATCTGCCATCGATCGATTCAAGGACCGTACTGGATGCTGGCGCGACGCAAATTAGGAGTTTGTTCAAGGGAGGGGAACTCGAACAGGTATTGGAGAGCTACCTTGACGGATGCAAGACCAGCCACATCATTACAGTTGCCTGTGGCGCAATCGCTGGCTTGATCTCTCTTTCGAACGCAGGTCCTGCGGCAATAACTTGGGCGAAGCTGAAGTTGAAGAAAGCGCACGGGCGCTAGATGGCACACCACGTCGAGGTTCAACACCTCACAGATAGAGCAACAGAAGTTCATGCAGCTGTCTATGAGTATGTCCATGGTTAATCTTGTCTTTTCTCATACCTCACGTCGGCACGGATGTCGATAACGAGCCACATCCGGTCTGGATCCGACATGCCAGGCTGCAACTTGACACAAATGAAAATGACCCTGTTCATGTTACTGTAGCCATCTTCACATTCTATTCCGATGCTCTTGGACACCGTTGAACCACTCATCGCCATCGAAATGCCTATCACATCAATCGTCACCCTGGCCATGGCGCCCCTCCACCTCTTCGCCTACTCCACACTGCTTGGGGCCGAGTTGTATCAAAGCTTTGTCATGACCAAGCTCGCCTACAAAGCGTTACCAAACTCTTCTTTCACGACTTTGCAGAAGCGTGTCTTTCCGGTCTACTTTCAAGGTCAGACCTTGCTTCTTGGTCTGATCGCCTTCACGCTACCGCCGCAGGGACCGAAGTCTGTAATCAGCAGCAAGAGCAATTGGATCCCACTCACCGTAGCTGGAGGCACCGCAGCTCTGAACCTGTTTGTTTACGGACCGAGGTCGCAAAGGCTTATGATCGAGAGGGTTCACCAAGGTATGCACTGTAGCTGAATTTATGTATGTTTCAACAACTTACCGGGCATAGTTACCCGCGACTCAAAACACTCTACAGATCCGGGCGAGCTTAGTGTTGAGATGCAGAATCTCAACCGTTCCTTCTCCCGAGCGCATGCGATGAGCATACACTTGAACCTCATGACCATTATTGCGACTCTATGTTATGGCTGGCAGGTGTCGAAGTTGAATTTCGGGGTTGTAAGATAAGAGTACCTAGCGAGGTAGTCACGTTCAAAGTATACATCTGAAGCATATAGTCTCGCGCGATTCAAATGCGAATAGAATGAGAGCGTGATAATGATCAGAATCGCAGAGTGTAGTGTTGATGGAGAAGGCTGGGGGTAGCGCGAAGCTAGAGGTTCAGGCGTTCTGTGGTGAGCACGGCACGGCTGCATCAATTGCCTCCGTCTCCGGTGCCTGTCTTCCGCTCCGCATCTCAACTTCCACAACGCGACTTCCTCCTAGTTTCATTATCGGATGAGCGACGACGAGCAACCCGTTGCGACGAGAGCGGCCATCTCGCGGACATCACAAGCTTGCCAAAGATGCCGCTCTTTGAAAACCCGCTGCTTACCAAGCAGCCAAGCAGGGACATGTCAACGGTACGTTTAGAATGTCATCTGCGGAGGACGGCTTGTATATTGCGGTTCCATTGTGCTAGACTGATCGATTGCGCAGATGTTTCGCTGCTGGACGTGAATGTGCATGGGCGGAGGCTCCTCGCAGGGCTAGGAAGCTGCGAGCACCATCGTGAGCATAGCCCTCTGAATCGAAGAACTGCAGTTAAACAGCAACAGACGTATCTCACAAGTTGAGCAAAAGATCGATGGGCTTGTCGCGAGTCTTGTCAACCCCCCTGCGACAAAATCCACGGCAGGCACAACACCAGTATCTCTAGGTACCGAACTTCCAACAGCGTTAGGCGGAGATTTCGCACCCCAAACAAACCGAGGAAGAATACCAATAGCACCTGGAACCTGGCTTCCGTTCCCGTCGTCATTCGAGCAGCGCCCTGAGCAGCATCCTGAGCCTCCAGAAACACCTGCAGAGCGGGTCGAGGAGGGTGAAGATGCGGCTGACCGTCAATACATTGAGCAAATCCGCAGTATACACAGCTTTGGTGACCCTGGTGAGTATTCCCAGTATCCGGAGAGCCTTTTCAGACCTTCAAAACGACGTGAGGAGCCAATCAAAGACGACCTTATTGATGGCCTCTTAACTTCTGGCGAGGCGGATGCTCTGTTGCATGAGTACAGAAAAATGTCAGAATCTTTCCCATTTGTACCATTGGCGTCAGATATTTCAGCTCGGCAGCTCCATTGTGATGCGCCTATGCTGTTCCTTGCTATGATCACGGCTGCATCGTGGAGAGAGCATAAGCGCCAGATGTCTCTGGACGCCATCTACAGGCAAGAGCTTGCGAACCGTACAATCATACGCCCACGCAGGAATTTGAGCCTTGTGCAGAGTGTGCTCGTATACCTATCCTGGTGAGCTCATCTTCTGCGCCTAACCTTATGGGGCTGACACCACTCTCAGGTACCACTTCGTGTTCTCTCACAAAACTCAGTAAGTGCCGCTGTCGAACTGACTTGCCATGACTAACATTGCAGACAAATCTTTTTCCTTCACCATCTTGTTATTGGGCTTGCCCTCGACATTGGACTTCATTGTGACTTTCAGCCCATGTTCCTGGCTCATATGAAAAAGCCGCAACAGATCGACCCCAAGGAGAAGCGTGAGCGCCAACGAGCATTTCTTGGCTGCTATTATCTTGCCTCTATGTAAGTACGGGTGATGCATAGTGACTGTTTGTGCTGATTTTACCGTAGGGTCTCCGCGGCTCTGCAAAAGCCTAACTTACTCAAGCACAATTCCGACATGACTGAATGGGCACAAGAACTGAAGCATCACGGAGAGTTCACTACTGACGAGGTACTTGGACATCTTGTTTCATTGCGACAACTAGACGATCAAGTCCAGAACACCCTTTTCACTGGTACTGCGGCAAATGCTCGGCTTACCGACGCACACGTGGTCATACACATACGGTTTTTGGAAACACAACTTGATGCTTGGAAACGAGATAGTGAGGGTGTAGAGTGCCAGCGAGGTAAGCTTATGAACCACGTCAGGAGATTCTGTCTAACACCGCGCTAGTGCTGGTCCTCTCGCATGCGTACACCGACATGATGCTCCACTCAGTTGCATCTCGCCCATTGCCTGAGTCTGCGCAGCCATCGGCAACTGATGGCACGCATGTGAAAGCATTGCTCTCGACTTTAGAGGCAGCGAAGCGCTTCTTCGATACCCTGTTATCATTCTCAGCGTCTGACTACCATCTCATTTCCTTCTCAGAGTGGATGCGGTTGCCAGCAGCCATGATGACTGTTGCGAAGCTATGCATTCCCAATAAGGCACATGCTACTGTGGGCTGGGATGCCAAAGCAGCACAAGATCTAGTGCGTCTAGAGATTTGTCTTGAAGCTTTGTGCTATCGGTTCCAGAATCAAACGACGTATAACAAGGTCACACAGCCTCATCCTGACTTCTGGTGGGCCATGCGGTTCGTAACAGACTTGACGCGAACTTGGTACGTCCGGAAAATCAACCCTGAGACACAAATGGACGCCTCTACTCGTCCCACCCCGAGCAATAGTACTGCAAACAATCTCTTGTGTCCAAATTCTGGAGCATTGCCCACACCTCCGGACGGACACGCGCAGAACCAGTTCGCTGATCTTGCAGACATGGACTTTAGCAACATGGATATGGGTATCGGAACAAGTGAAGATGGAGGGAATGATCCTTTCGCGTTTATGAAGTCTGCAGATTTCGACATGGAGCAATTCTTCGACATGGGTATATGGGGCGATGATGCATACCACGGCATGGGTTTTGGAGGTGGTGGCATGCAGTTCTGATCTCTCCATTCCTCCATCCAGCTTGCCATCGGTCCGGTGGAGTTGTGACCACACGAATTTCTTTGAAAAGTGTTGTCATTACACAAAATCATATCTCGGGCTTAGATGTCGCGAATAAATTGTCGATCATCTCCCACCCCGCATGTTTCAACCCCACAAACTAGGAACATTCCGAGATGAAACGCAGAAAACACTTCCAACATGGAAGTGAGCCCGTTAGCGCCCGCCGGAGCCGTTACCAAGTTTTAGGAAGATGGTAATTCGATTGGTGGAAGCCAATGACGTGTGTCGAATGCTTATTGCGTCTTTGCTTATACGGGTGAATGTAGCCGCACCATAGAGGATTGCAGCATCCCTTCCGCCGCTTGACCACGTGTGATTTCACGACACAGCAAGGATCATCACCCTCAAAGGTTGTGTATAAATGCATCAATGACATGGTTACAGGCCAAACCCCAAGGCACCGCGAATCCGTTCATCAAACGAACTATCTACTCCGCCAACATGCGCTTCACACTTCTGAGCTTTCTTCCTGCTGCTCTTGCACTACCAGCGGCGCTTCAGTCTCACACCAATGAGCCTGTCTACTGGCTTCTGGCAGGTGACTCTACAACAGCGACGAACGGAGGCTGGGGTGACGCTTTCCTGGCCACCACTGTTGCGGAGGGTTCTTCAGGCAAGAACTACGGACACAGTGGCGCAACAACCAAGTCGTTCCGCGCCGGCGGCGACTGGGGCAAGGTGATTGATGAGGTTGGCACCCACAAGGATGACTATCGTGTCTACGTGACTATTCAGGTAAGTTTCACACCACAATTAAAGAGCACATTCAACTGACTCTTCCAGTTTGGTCACAATGACCAGAAGGCTACCAGCGGTGTGACGCTTGCTGACTACAAGACGAATCTCGCAAACTTCGCTTCTGAAGCCAGCTCAGCAGGTGCTACGCCCATCCTCGTCACTCCCTTGACTCGCCGCACATTCAGTGGCGGTAAAGTCGTTGAGAACCTTATCAATGAGACTGCTGCCACCATCGAGGTCGCTGAAGCGAACTCTTTGCACTGGATCAATCTGAACGAAGCATCCACCAAGTACGTCAACGCTATCGGATCGGCCGCAGCAGACAAGTACAACTTGGCTTCTGGTGACCGTACACACGTCAATGAGTGGGGTGGTGCTGTCTTTGCAAGGATCGTCAGTGATCTGTTGGTTGGAAAGTATCCTGAGGAGTTCGAGAGCGTAACCAAGAAGAACGAGACGTTAAGCGCATTGATTGCTGCAGGTACAGCTGCATGATCATTCCGTGTAAATAGATGGGTCTCCAATGACAACTTGTTTCGTAGCTCGAGATCTGCCTCCACCTCTTCTGCTTGTCCCTCTCTGCTCCACTTTGGCCTGCAGGTCACTTGTCATAATCAGAACCTGTATTCGTACTCTAGCAGTAGTAGCTAGCATAGGGAATCTGGCTTGGTGTATACGCCCCACGATAGGCTGGTGCCCCTTGGTGTCACCAATCTCCCATCGACGATGGGCTCGGTCTTGTAAGTCTGGCCGCATCCTGCCAGATGTTCGACGAATGTGTCGAACATGATATGGTGGAGGTTGCTCTCTGTCTTGAACTCATGTATCTTTCGTCCCATGCATGTGAGATATAGGCCGAAGGAAGGAAGTAGTCGAAGAGGCAGGTAATTGGATCCTTGAAAGCTGTGTCGACGTCGTACATTGGCCTCTCTTCGAGTTCACTGAAGAACGTCTGATGCATATGGACGAAGTGTTTATCATCTTTCATCTTGAACACGTCCTTCGCAATCCGTGTGCATGGGATGTCGATCGTTATGTGGTTGGTATCGTTTAGGCGGGTTAATGGTGAGATCTCGAGCTGCATATTATGCTGCTATTGGTATATTGCACGAAGCCCGTCGAACGCGGCAGAGTGTAGTTGAAGGAGCTCATGTTCTATCTCATCGTAGGTCTGACGGCAAGCAAGTACGAGCCAGCGGTAGAACCACAGGTTTCGTCCGTTTGGTAGGAGTATCGTCTGCGCAGAATAGGTTCCCGGCGATTTGTCCTTTAGGCTAAGTATGACCATGCCGATGACGATGACATCGAACGGGACACGACGTTTACGGGGGAGGTATTATCAAGGGACTTAGAATGTAGCGGTAAATGCAGAGTCAAATATCTGCTGGCAGTCCGAGGATAGAAGCACGGCTGGTTTCGTTCTCGGCCTTGTCGTGTGGTCGGGGCAAACGTGGTTTTTGGCAGTGGTGTCGATGAGTGTGGGCAGGGGCTAGTGTCAGCTTCACAAAAGTACTGCATGTTGGGGCTTGATAGCGATCCCACCCTATCATAGTGATAAGTGCCATGATGCTCTCGATTGAGGGGATCATAACCCTCCCAAATCATCTGTTCATTGTGGTCCACATCGCGGTGCCGCATGCGGAGAGCATAGGCGTTGATGTCCTCGAAGATGCATAGGTGTGCGTGATGTGGTGCTATCGCATACAGATGTGCCTCAGCTTCTAAAAATCATGGACTCCACAAATGCAAAAGAGCGACATTGGTATTGAAGGAAAGGGTTGTAGCTGCTGAAGGTGGGGCCATCCTTGCCTCGCCAATCTGGGTGCACGTCGCTTCTTCTCCTTCCAACTTGATGTTTCAACGCAATGATTCGCGTCCCATGGCCCGCAAGTTATCTCTTCCGTCATTCTATCGCTATAATGTGTCGGTTGAGACCATTCCTCACATGCCGTCCTGAGGCTGAGCTGCGCAACTCCCCGACACAACCATGACTGTACCAAAGCAGGTGACTTTCGCTTCATCAGAATAAAGGGATAGCATGTGTCCATCACCGAGTTCTCGACCCAAAGGTGGCGACAGTAGTCTGAACCGTAATGTTGGGCTCGTGGCAACAGATCACTTCGACTATTGAGCTTCTGGCAAGGTGAAGTTGCACCTTCCCTTCATCCAGGCCCGCCTGGTGAACAGAAGGGACGGTGGAGACTGCAAATGTTGTCGCGAAAAGCAAATCCGTGGGCTATTGGAAGGGTTGTGATGGCCAAGCCAGTCGCCCTCAGGAACGAGACTTCGAACTTGAGGTGATCCCTCTCCGGACTCAAAGCAGCATGGGACGTTGCTTCCACTCAGCCTAGCCCCGGTACATGCTTTCGCCTCCAGGAACCGGCAAACTTATTTCTCAAGGGCTGCAGGTCCGCGGTCCCTGGGCCTTCCAAGATTGGCTCAAGAGTTTGGATCACAAGGTTTGTTGGACGTTTGTCGTTTTGCAGGTATGTGAGCCCATGCCCGGAAACTGCCAAATGGGTAAAAAGCGCCAATCATACCACTACTACGACGACTAGCTCATATGTTCGCAATCTAAATGCTGGGGTAAACTGAGCCTCGGAGTGAAGCCATCTCGCTATATAGTGCTCCGCGCTCAAAGCAGACAAGCGTGGCCTTGGCCTATAATTTCACTGAGTACAAATGTAAAGTCGTTCGTATACATTTGAAAGATATCGAAGCTGCTCAGTCTCTCAGACTTCGACGCCAATCAGGAATTTCAAGATGCGTTACGACATTGCCGTTACTGCTCTCCTCGCCTCCGGCGCGACCGCCGCAGCTGTCAAGAAGGGATTCGTGACCACAAAGGGTACGACCTTCAAGCTTGATGGCAAAGACTTCTACTTCGCTGGATCCAATGCCTATTACTTTCCATTCAACGACGTAAGCAGCTTCAAGTTTGACACCAGCAACAACTTACTGACATTCACCAGCTCGCTTCTGATGTCGAGAAAGGCCTCGCAGCAGGCAAGAAGGCTGGTTTAAATGTATTTCGTACCTGGGGCTTCAACGAACGCAATCGTACCACACTCGCTGGTGGCCTGCCCCAGTACGGCGGTGAAGGCGCCGGTCCCTCAACCAACGTTCTCCAGTGGTGGAACAATGGTACCGCCGAGATCAGCCTGGCACCCTTCGATAAGGTTGTCACCGCAGCCGAGAAGACCGGCATGAAGCTCATTGTAGCCCTAACTAACAACTGGGCTGACTACGGCGGCATGGACGTCTACACCACCAACCTGGGCGGAAAGTATCACGATGATTTCTACCGGGATCCCAAGATTAAGGCCGCGTTCAAGAAGTACGTCAAAGCGATTGTCCAGCGCTACAAGAACTCCAACGCAATCATGGCCTGGGAGTTAGCCAACGAGCCGCGCTGCGGAGCTGATGGTGTCCGCAACCTCCCTCGATCAGAGAACTGCACGCCCGACACTATCACTGCATGGATCGATGAGCTGAGCACGTACGTCAAGAGCCTGGACAAGGACCACCTAGTGACCTGGGGCGGCGAGGGCGGCTTCAACATCCAGAGTGACGACTGGGCGTACAACGGCGCTGACGGAGGTGATTTCGATAAGGAGCTCAGCTTGAGGAACATCGACTTCGGCGTCTTCCACAGCTACCCCGACTGGTGGAGCAAAACCGTCCCGTGGACCGTTCAGTGGATCAAAGCCCACGCCGCGTCTGGGCGCAAGGCGAAGAAGCCGGTTGTTCACGAAGAGTACGGGTGGCTTACAGATGACAAGAGGCAAGAGTACCTCGGCAAGAGCGACAACCAGACGAGAACTGAGGTTCTGGGTCTGTGGCAACAGACGAGTCTGAAGGAGAAGATGAGCGATATGTACTGGCAGTTCGGGTACAGCAACTACTCGTATGGGCGAAACCATGACGATGGATTTACCATTTTCTTAGATGATGCGGAGGCGAAGCAGTTGGTGTATGAGCACGCGAAGAAAGTCAATGCGCTGAACAAGTAATATGTCTCATTGATGGGTTGCTGAGCTTCTCTTTAGACTTTTCTTGACACAATATATCAATATGCAACACGCAGATCAGGCTAAGAGTTTCCTCTTCTTCACCATCCGACCATTATCATCCCGCTACCAGGTCCTGTCCTCACTCGTCAGTACCGAGTCTTGTCTGTTGGCGTCTCACCTATCAGCCTTGTCCTTCATATCTTCATCATCGTCGGCACTGACCTCGCTCTGTATCCGACAATAGCCCTGCCATAAACGTCGCCTCTTCAGGAAACGTTCGAATATTCTCTTTGGGTGATTGAATCCACGCTCGTTCCTTTTCCAGCGAGTTGAGCAACGTCTCCTCATTATCCTCAAAGCCCTCATGCTACTCGAGCACATCTCTTATGCCCCAAGGACCCTGTACCACGTCCAGCGAGATCAAACTCTCACGTGCCTCCAGCCCTTCGACATACACGACCATGAGCGTATTTTTAACCTTCCGGAGTCAAGTGTGTTCTGGAGTGCATGATAGTATGAAGTGGTCGCACTCGGTCCAGACGATGCGTGTGAATCGGCACATATTGGTGATTACGAGCCAGCTCGTGATGATGGTGACAGTGAGGATTGCCTGATACCCTCTGACACTCTGCGGGATGTGATGCGATTTGTCGGATATGAAACGACAGTGACAATGGTTGCTTGAATAAAGCAGGAGGGCGAACAGGGTGAAAGTAATGACCGAGACGCACAGTGCATGAAAGACAATTCGCGCACCGCACAAAAGGACAAAGCAGGCATTCTGTCCAGAAATCAACCGTGCTCGACATTGTGCAATACAATCAAATTGGAGGAGCGTGGAACGAAGGGATTGGGCGCGAAGTAGTTCTGCTCTTGTCAGAGATACGCCTTCCTTCTCGTTGGCAATCAACGGCTGGCCGAACGTTCCCTGCTCACGCACCCAATCCACGGAACCACACTACGGCGCCTCTCCACCCTTCTCCACCTCCCCCTCCCCCTCCGCCCACACCTTCTTCACCCCAAACCACACCACCTCCGCACTACTCCACCTCCCTTCAGCAATCCACCCCTCGACCTCCTCCCCAATTCCCTCAACACCACCCTCCCTACCCTCAAACTTAGCCAGCACCAAGTACTTCGGCCGATCCGGCACACTAACCACATTCGTCTCCCTCACCACACCATTCACAAACTCGAAGCGCCTGAGCCTAACAAACCCCTTTACGCTGGAGAGGCCTGCAGCGAGGTGTTTAGCGAACCAGAGGAGGAAGTCGGATTCCTTTCCTGCGACGGGGGAGAGCGTGATTGACGCGAGCGAGAGGTTTGATTCCGGGTCGCTTGGGGAGGGGTGTGGTGGGGAGGGCGTGGGGAGTTCGGAGTAGAAGCGTATATCGAAGGATGCGTGGGCATAGACCCGATCAATCAAACCCTGACTGAGAACTTGGTTTGCGGCGGTCTGGAAGTCGGGACTTGCTGTGTAGGAAAGGTCGGGGAATTCGTAGGTGATGAGGTGCGGTGGAGGAGGTATTAGGGTTGAGTGTGGTGTAGCGGATCCCTGAGGGGACACCGGGGAGGGTGAGGACTTCGAGGGCGTGCTCCTGGTGGGTGTCGGAACAGAGTGTTGGGGAGGTTTGGGGTTGGAGACGTACGTTCTCGTACCAGTCGTCCCATTGCTCGACACTGAGTTTGGATGGCTCTACGATCTTGGATGAGACCCATAACACTCCTGCGCCTGATGCCATGTTTGGTGTTTGGTGTATCTTGTCTGCCTACTGCGTCACGTGAATATGCCCTTAGGATTTGGTGAGTGGGAATGCAATTGATGCTCAACGTTGAAGATGGACGATACGCTAGTTGTCTTCGTACCTTAGCCGCGTAATGCGACGAGCCGTGTGGAGTCGATGGCAAAGGACCGACATGGGACCGATCGGAGACGGGTACGAATGTGGGATGCTGGAGTACTTCACAGCGGTGTATGGAGATCTGTGGAGAAGCCGCCAAGTCATGAGATAGCAGATGCCTGACGCGTTCAATTCCAGAACATCAAATGGAATGGTGGGCCGTGGTTGTTGGAAGTCTCGTGCTTCGATTACAATTACTCGCACCTCTTTATGTACCATCTCCTTGGATGCTATCTCTCCTACCGCTGCCTCCAAGATGCAATGCGGTGCAAATTGTTGTTCTGCCCAGCATAAACCCCCAACTCTTATTTGAGTATCGAATACTCTGAATCGGCCAAAATTCTCCAAGCGCGCACACAGTGCGCAGCATCTCTACGCCAAGTCGTCTCCAGAAGAATGAAACGCTAAAGACAGAAACTGCTGACAAAGGAAACCGACATGCAGGACATGCAGAGGCCAACCGTAGATGCAAGGCGAACAAGGCAGAAAGGTTTGTACAATCTAAAACCGTGGAACTTTTGGTGGTGTACGACACTCCCGGATATAAGGAATGCAGGGCGTAGGCGTGGTGGGTGTGTAGTAATCGATGCTTTCGATCATGTGCTGTCGGCATCAGGTGTCGGTGTTTCGCTCTCATCTTCTAGCACTGCTGGTGGAGCCTGGACCAGGCTCTTCCTTTTGGCTTTCTTGTCTTCCTTCTCCTGTGACGAGGATCCTGACGAAGACCCGTTTGTTTCCGGTGCGTTGGCTGCCAGTGTTGGTGCAGTAGGTTTGACGATGGCAGACTTCTTCGCTGGAGCAATGCTGGCCATGCTTGTGGACATGTTGATTGTATCCTTATCTTTGGCGCTGTCGGAGTCCTTTGCAAAGTCCTTCCACTTTCGCCATCCGTCAAAGTCAATCAAGGCTTGCATGCAGCCCCACTCCTTAACTTTGCGCTCGAGCCAGACGAAGTTGACGGGCTAAACGATACATTAGTGTGAATCTGAGATGGCTGAAATGGACTGTTCTTACCTTTGTCAGGAAATCGTTACAGCCAGCTGCCAAAGCCTCGTGCCTGTCGCTCTGCAACGAACTAGCTGTAAGCGCCACGATAATGACGGGGCTCTTGAAGAGGCTCCTATCGCCCAGCTTGTCGTCATCTACCAGCTCAGCATCTGAGCCGTTCTGTTGTCCTAGCCTTGTGTTGGGCGCCTCGCTGCTGCCGCTGCTGAACACACCGATGCTGTTGACACGCTCTAGTCTTCTGATCTCCTTGGTCGCCTCCAGACCGTTCATGACGGGCAGCTGGATATCCATGAGTACCAAATGGAAACCACCGGCCTTCCACTTTGTCACAGCTTCCTTTCCGTTCATGGCCCGCTGCCATCGAACCTTCAATCTTTGCATGAAAGCACCCAAGACACGCAAGTTGATGATGTTGTCTTCGACAATCAGCACATTGATTGGAGGCACTGAGCCATCTAGCAGCCCTGCAGGCAGACTCGGTAGCTCTGCTGGTGCTGGCTTCCTCCTCCTCTTCTTATCTGGGCGGGGTGACGCAGGGCGGAGAGTGGGAGGGGTGTCGTGTTGTATGCGTACAGGAGGGTCGGTGGGGGCAGGAGGAGTCGGTATAGGTTGATTCGAGGGCTGTGAGTGCTTGTCGGTCGAAGCAGAGGAGTCGTGGCGGGGCCGGTTGGGGGGACGGACGCTGGTAGCAGAGGAGGGAATGCCACCGGCCAATGTAGTGGGCGAGGCAGTGTTATGCCGCGGGTACTTGGGCCGGCTGCCGTGATGAACGCGCCGTGTTGTAGCGCCGCTGGGGGAGGGCAGGGCCGGCAGCTGTCCGCCGTTGGTGAGGATGGCTATCGAGTGGACAGGGTGAGGTGCACCGTGTGCAATCGCCGCAGGCGAAGGCTGGGCGGCGGGCATGGGCGGGAAGTACTCGGTCTGGGTATGTTGAGCATCGTCGTGATGGGCGTAGTAGAGGGGCACTCGCGGTGAAGGCTTTGGGGTGCGACGTACGGGGACGTCGATGATGAGGGCCTCGTTGACGTTCTGGCCGCCGGGGTAGTAGGCGTCGAGCGTCCTGCACATGTCCTCCTCAGGCCCCAGGGTGCGCTCCTGGCCCTGGCCGGCATCGCGCGGGGCGATGCGCAGCGTGACGTCTGGCGAGTCAAAGCTGCGGCCGAGCGAGTTGGCGTACTTGCGCAGGATCATGTCGCGCACGTCGTCGACCAGGTCGTCCTCGCCAATCTGCACGAGCGTGGCCGAGGCATTGGGCCGCTTGACCCAGATCTTGCGGTGCAGCATGGCGGCGGTGATGGTGGGCTGGGCTGCAGTGCCAAAGTAGTCGGACGCAGTCGGCGGGCCGGCCTGCACGGGGTGTGAGGGAGCGTCAGGGGCCAGCAGCGTCTTGATTACGCGGGCATCGGTGTTGGCGACGAGGGACTGGCGGCGCACAGGACGGGGCGGGTGTGAGGGCGGGTGCGGTGCGTTCGCTGAGGTCGCGGACGTGAGGCCTGCTGGAACGGCGGAGCTGCTAGCCTCAGCTGCAGACGAGCTCGCACGAGACGGCGCCGGGCCCTCGGCGGGCTGCGCAACTGCAAAAGGCGGGTGGAGGGGCGTGGGCTCCTCGAGCGTCACCTGCGGGCAGGCCGTGGGCAGCTGCGGCTCTTTCTCGAGCGCGTCGGCTGATGTGCTGGTGGAGGCCCGGGTGTACGTGGGCGATCTGCTGCTGGAGCTGGTGGTCGCCGTGTTCTGCGAGTGCTGCGAGTTGGAGTGCTCGGCGCGCATGTCGGGCTTCTGCAGCACCTCCGACTTGACCAGTCGGGGCTCTACTCCCTCACGCCCTGGATACTGCTCGTCGTTGCCGCGCACCTCTGTCGCCGTGTGCTCCGCGAGCTTGCTCAGTGAATTGCTCTTCCGCAACGTGCTCGGCGCCCGGGGCAGTCCTGCATCGCTGCCGGCGCTGCTCACGTTGGAGCGGGTAGTGGTGCTGGTCGCGCTGCTACGGCGTAGAAATCGTGGCAGGAATCGCCGCGACGACTTGATACTGCTCATACCGGCGAGCAGCCGGTGGCCGTGAGCATGCAGTCGAGGGAAGTGGTTCTCAAAAGCCGTTGTAAATTAAAGAGGTGCCTGTTATTAGGCCAACACCAGCCGCGGAGCTCGAGCGTGGAACTGTCGTTGCTGCCGTATTAATTCGTTCAATCGCACGATCGAGCAGTGATCGCGATGGGATCAGCGTGGGTGCAGCGCAACACGGTACATATAGGAATTAGCGGAGGAGCTGGTGATAAAGGAGTGTATTCAGGTCAGGTCGATGGCAGCACAGAAAAGGAGCGCGTTGTTGTTCTTGTCTCTACGCGCACCCGTCCATGGCCTTGCCCATGTCCATGTCTTCCAAGCTTGGGCGCTGCAGCCATTGGGTCGCTCTAATGAGTCTGCCCACCCTGTTCACTCGCCTTCGATTCACCACCTGCAGCCCAGTTGCAGCGCTCCACGGCCTTGACTACCACGTCTTGCCACTGCCACTGCAGACGCACGCGTAAGCTCTGCCACAGTGCAGCCCAAGACAGCTTGCAGCAAACTGGTTCCACCGCGCCGTGGGGGGGAGGTGTCACTGTCTGGTTCGCACGAGGACTGCTCCAAATCCTAGGCTAACCCTGCCACAACACCACCGAACAGCTCATGCTTCTTCCACGTTCTCTGGGCTCGTGTCAATCTTACCGCCTGTGCACGCTGCTCCAACTGAACTGTTTGGCTGTTGTTAGTCCCCCTTTCTTTCCGCACCCAACGCCAGAGTGGAGCTTGAGCCTTGAAGTTGCCACTGGGTCCTGCACGTTCACTACGAAAGCCTGATCTGATATCGATCCAAACCGGGATAGCCTACGCCGTGCAGCTGGGCGACCACCAAGCGAGCTGTATGCAGGTTGCCGAATTTGGCTGAGTCTGACATCTTGAGCTTCTTTGGACAACAGTCAAGCTCGTGCTGCACGAGACGTCTTCCGTATCTTTCACGTTATCGTCGACTGCAAGCACGTTATCAGCAATGGCTTTGTCTATGGGTTTCTTGGATCACCATCACTTCCGCAGCCCTAAAACTGCATTCGAGGTATGGGCCGAGCCATACCGCTGAAGACTTATCTGAGCTGGCAAGTAGCTTTGTAGTCAACCATGCTCTTGGTAGACCAGGCCTATCAATCTCCATATGCGGTGTCTACACATTCACCGAACTTGACAGAGCTCTCCACCAATTGCTCAGATCCAGGCCAGTCAGCCAATAGCTATATCTGAACTCCACAACCTGGCTTCCCCAGATTTTTCTTTCAAGGATGCAGCTGGAGTCTGATACAATGTCTCAAACGGCAGTTTCCGATGCACGATATCAGAGACAACTGCTCGCTTTCGCGTCCGGCATCTTTCAACCCGAGAAGAGACAGTCGGCGATAGATAGATAACGGCCAAGAATCTACTAAATTCCATGCCCTTGGACATGTTTCGCAGTACACTTTCCCGGCCAGACATCCTTTTACCACCACGAACAGACGCAGTCCGCACTGAGCTGTACACACGTCACTGTAGAGCGTTTGCAACGACCTCCTTGACACTCAGAAGCTCGACTTACTGCATGCATGGTCAACTTGCAAGACAGCGCCTACGTACAGCATGCTCTGGGCGTGCTTATCTGGTCACTTTTATTACTGACGTCGCCCACCCACCTTCCTCTCAATGCGTTGCCTTCACAACTTTGGGAACTTTGTGTGAACAAGTCACTCCTCTAGGTATCACTATCGTTTTTTTGATCCAACGTCCCAATACATCAGCGCATCTTTTATCTCTTCCATCAAGTCAATATTCACATCATATCACCTTGCCCAAAGGCGCTTCCTAATAGTACCCTCAACATCCACATCTCACCAAAACCTTGTTTGCCTCACGAACAGCACCAACCCACACACGCACACCGTGCCCACACCATCTATGCCCCTTTCACCACGCGCACCACTCTCCTCACCAACATCGAAAGCTGCACCCTCCATCCACCTCTCCCTATGCACCACCCCACCAGCACTCCCACCCGCCATGCAGCTCACCTTGCTCACCTGCCCAGTCTGCAGCTTCCCAGAAACCCACTTCCTCCCAGTCTTGACCGGGAAAGCAGCAAAGATCTTAGAAGGTACGGCAAGAGCAGCACCAGCGCCGGCGTGTAAACGCTGTTTGAATGCGTTCCGGCAGTTCGAGCCGTTGGAGAGGAGGAGTGGGGATGTGTTGACTAGTTTTCCGCCGTTGCTGGAGAGAGACAGTGTTTTGAGAGACGCAGCGGATCCTCCCAGCGGAGAGATCGATCGGAGTAGCTTCGACAAGGCGCCGAGGAGTACTGTAGCGCTGTTCAGTAGGTCTCGAGCTCCAATACAAGCAGACACACAAAGCATCGTCACCATCGAGACCGACGCCGCTTGTCTACAACCACACAACACAACCTTCTCCACTGAGCAAGAAGTGAAACGGCGCGCAACCATAAGCTGAACGTCTTGATACGCAGTTGAGATCTAAGAATAGCATTCGTCCATTCGTCAGCTATGATACAAGTGACGACACGCCACGCTAAGATATATGCATATATTCAAAACCCCAAGTATCCCCACAAAAACGCCGTTGAACCTTCGTTCGAGCGTAACACATCAACATCAACCATGAACATCTCGTGATCGTGGAGTCGGCTCGAAGACGCTCGGACCTGCATATTCAACAATCCGTTTCCTTCTCTTTCTTTTGCGTCTTTCTCATCGACGACTTTCCTCCCCATCCCTTTCCCTGCAGTCGTTTAGAAATCCCTGAAATACTCGTCCCACTTATCGCTCAACTCCTTCGTATATGGATCGCGATTCCCGCTCTCATCTTCATACTCGTCGAAATTTCTCGTATCCGCTGGCCCTCTCAGGTGCGGCACAATGGGCCCCTGAACTTCGCGCTTGTACATCTTTTCCCAGTCGATGTCCTTGAACCACTCGTGTTGCCGCACGCGGGAGGCGCCGCCGGCGATGTTGCCGAGCCGTTTGCTGACGTCGACGGTGCAGAGCCCGGAGATGAGATCGCGGGCGGGCGCGGACATGGCCGAGGGGAAGCGGACTTTGCCTTCTACGATTCTGGAAGAGAGTCAGTTTGAAGACTTTGTGAGCTAATGGCTGTAAGTGGGCATACTGTTCGTAGATTTTCATAGGGTTTTGGTCCCAGAAGGGCGGTTGGCCGACGAGGAATTCATAGACGAGGATGCCAAACGCCCACCAGTCTACTGCTGTGCCGTGGCCTAGAATTGTCAATGTTGCCCATCCATGCATTCCTGTAGAGCATACCTGTATTTCTGATGACTTCTGGCGCAAGGTACTCGGGTGTGCCGCATAATGTGTATGTTTCCCCTTGCTCACGTCAGTATCAAGCTCCTATCAAGTCGAGTGGTGTCAAACGCACTATTCTCTATCTTCTTTGCGAAACCGAAATCCACCAGCTTAAGGTGCCCTTCGGCGTCAATGAGTATGTTCTCAGGTTTCAGATCGCGGTACGCAACGCCTTCGCGCTCGTGCAGGAACTCTAATATCAGCACGATCTCGGCGGCGTAGAATTGTGAAGTGGGTTCGTTGAAGCGTCGTGCTCGTCGGAGGTAGCTAAAGACCTCGCCGCCAGGGCAGTAGTCGAGCTGTAGATGTTATTGACTGGTCACTGGCTGGTTCGAGGCGAGACATACGACCATGTATAATGAATCCATCGACTGGAAGCTGGCTACCATTGTGGTTATGAACGGATGTCCTGCGACTTTGGCGAGGACATTGCGCTCGTTTCGTACGTGCTCGACTTGCTTGAGACGAATCACTGAAGTCAGGTCAGCAGTTGCATCCACCATACACTTCACCTATACACACCGTCAACCTTGCGCAGGATCTTCAGGGCAAAGACCTTGTCCTGGTCGCCTTTCTGTGCGTCTTTCAATCGCACCAGCCATACGCGCGCAAATGTGCCTGACTGTTGTCAGCGGGTGTCACCCTCCATGCTTCGCTACAATGCGCACCGGTGCCGAGTGTCTTGATCAGCTCAAAGTCCTCCTGGCGCAGCACTTTACTCGAGTGGCCGACTGCTTTCTGCTCCGGGTCCTGGTCGATCTCGTCGGGGCTCAGCGTGTGTCGTTGGGCCTCCCACTGCACGAGCGTGCGCTTCTCCTCTTCGCGCGGCTTCTCCATGGCCGAGTCGTTGCGGTCGTGCAGTGGAACGGAGGGCTGGCGCGCACTCTCTTTCTTTTCCCGGTGGTGCTCAATCGGGTGGAGCAGCCTGTTGACGGTGGTCGCCATGGTTGCTGCTTCGGGCGCCGGTCACTTCGGTCGCTTGGTAGGGGAGGAGCGGGAGTCGCGAGGTCCGAGGGCTGCTTCCGGTCCTACTCAGAGCATCGCAGGCCTCGCAGGCCTTGCAGTGGGCGTGATTAGACGGGAAAGTAGTTTGTGTACGGGCGCGGGCGGCAGCAGGGCCTGAGAGGAAGCAGCTTTCACCCACGACCAGGGATTGTCTGGATATAACGCCTCAGCATGGCGGGGGTTACCTGAGGCGCATTCTTCTAAGATGACGCAGGCGTGGGGAACCCGCCGTTGCTCCTGCAACAAAGCCGACGCGCCAGAACGTGCCCCATCCACGGCAGTGCCGACCAGCGTCTGTCGCCGTGACTATTAGGGTGCACGCTGCAGTGCGCGAATGCATTGCACACACGTGCCTGTGCAGTCAATACTTATATGGAGCGTCGTTTCAGTCTGTGTGGTGGAACAGCTCACTGAGTGATCGTCGCCAGCATCCCCTCGAGCATCAGCTGGCTCTGCGTTTGGCAGTCGGGATGACAAGGCTGCGTCGAGAAGCCGAAGTCCGAATGGCGCTTAATCAAGGGTGTTGGCAGGGCTGACAGGCGTCGAGCCAGCAAATGCATCGATCCGGCTTGCTGGAAACCAACTATTGCTGCCAATCAGGTGCTGCGTGGCCGAGGCAGCGTCACCAACTGCACCAAAGGTACTCGATGTGCAAAGGCCCCATTGTTTGATTGTTGACCGCGTTCTGCCGACATTCTAGATTCAGCTCGGTACCGGTGCGTGATATGTTTTTATTTGCAGTGCGACACAGCTGGTGAACTGCCGCGATTCATATGCCCTCTTGAGATACAGCGTTCCCTCGACCTCCCCCAGCCTCAGCCTCCTGTTTGAGGTCTAGTACCAACGAAACACACGCCCCAACTTGACAGTAAACTTCCCGCTCCTAACGCCAGATATGTTGCATGCAAGTGTTGTGTTTCTACACCAAATATTCGTACATGAAGACGACGAGATATGTTGTTGGTTCAGCCACTGGCGCGGGTGTTCATGATCAGGGCAACAATGAGTCTGCAGACGTTAGTGTCAGCAACTGGGCCCAGCCTTGTCGTTGCAGCCAAACATACCCGTAAAGACCCAGGACTTCAGCGAAAATGAGAATGAGGACCATGCCGACGAAGATCCTCGACTGGCGCATGAACGAGCGTACGCCCTAGATCAATTTTAGCCGTTGCCCTCTGCATTTCACACTTTTGCACGTACAGCGTCTCCAACAATGCCAATCGCATAGCCTGCAGCCAGACCAGACAGGCCTACAGAGAGACCAGCACCCATGTGCATGAATCCAGCGAACAGCGAGTACTGCTTCTCAGGCGGGGGCTTGATGTCGCTGGCGATGAGGACGGAGATGACGAGGGCGTAGACGGCCAAGATACCAGACATGACAATGGGGATGAGGGACTGGTATGCGGTCAACCTAAGCTCCTGCGTTCGAGTTCAAAGCTCGCACCTTCATGATCAGGTCGGGCCTGTATGTTCCAATGCCGGCAATACCGACACCAGCTTTGGCTGTGCCATAGGCAGCTCCCATGCCTGTTTCCCATTAGCTCCAACGCGTCTTCTCTGCCGTGTGCAGGGTCTCTCGTACATCCAAAGGCCATCTGTTCGAGGTTGGTTCTTTAGTTCTCAACCTGTAGCGGACGGTAGGGACTCACTGCGAAGAAGATGCCGCTCTGCAGACTGTTAGCTTATGAAGTCATCGACGCCGCTGGAGGCACTCACCATGCCGAAGAACGGCGCGAAGCTGGGCGCGAGGTTTTCTATCTGGCCCGACATCTTGTGTGTGCGTGTCTCAGCTACGAGGTGATGCAGAGGAGCGTGGCGCGAGGCGGGTGTTGAGGGGCGGCGTTGGTGAGCGATGAGGTGCGGACGACTCTCTTGGATGTTCGATGGCCGTGCACCCAGCGCGGGAGCGATTCGAGCCAAGAACCAGTGACCACCTGCACTCCAGCGGAACGTCTCGACTGGCTTCGCTCCACGCTGCGAACAGCACCCCGACCCCCATATTACTCACTCAGGCGCTCATTCATAGCACTCGCTCGCATACGCACTGCTCCTGCATAGTGGTCAACCGAACGGCCTCCGCGGACCCCTCGCTGGGGAGACACAGCACGAATCCTCCCGCATCCACCAGCACCAGCACCAGCACCAGCCGCCTCACCGCCAGCGCCCCGCGCCGTGGTCCTGCCCGCGCAAGGCATCGCCTGAACACACACCAGCGTCCGTTGCGAGCTGCCGCTGCGAACACCAGCTCCCCGCGTATCCGCCCGCATCGCGTGTTGCTCCGCACTTTGGCACCCGCAAGCGACCCTCACCCAAAAAGTCTTCCTTGGCAAGCCGGGCGAGTGCGAATGTGCCACGCAACATAGCGAACACTGCGGACTGAAGAGCGTACATGGCCAACTACGGGAACCAGCAGGGGGGAGGCCCGCCGCAGTATGGCCAGCCCACGGGAGGTGCTAGAGACGCCGCGTTTGCGAACATCTTCGGTGCGAGTCCTGCCATGGCCGGCCGCTCGCAGACCATGACCTCGCAGTCGCACATGAGGATGCCGGATAGGGCGGCGACTATGTCTTCCCAGACGTCCGACATGATGCAGCGTATGCCGCCCATGCGGCAGCCCGTCAATGGCTATGATCGACGCCCTCCAGCGCCCTACGATCAGCGCGCCCAGTCCAGCTACGACGCGCAACGCCCACAGAGCCATGATCAGCCGCCGCAGAACTACCAACGCCCAATGCAGCCGTCAAACGGTTACCCTCCAGACCCGCGCTTCTCCCAGGGAATTCCTCAGCAGCGCCAGCCGCAGCCGCAGTATATGCCTCAGCCCCTACGGCCAGAGCGTCAGCCATACGGACAGCCTCAGCGTTTCGACTCGCGGCCCTCGCCTCCTGGCCAGCTTCCCTTCAACAAGCCGATGCCTCCGCGCTTCCCGAGTGCTGGTGGGCCAGCGCTGAACAATGACCCCTATCGGTCACAGTCTCTCGCAACGGGCCCTCGACCACAATTCAATGCTCCTGGCCAGGGCTACCAGTCACCAGCAAACACCTTCCGCCAGCAACCATATATGAATCACATGGCCAGAACTACTGCTCAGGGTCGTGTAGTTCCCGAACGTCCGGATGAGCGAACAATGTCCATGACTTCGTACCGAGGCGAGAGCGAATTTGGACCGCAGCAGACTATGATGAGCGGAAGGGTCATTCCTGGGCGTAGACGGGAATCAGGCGGACAAGAAGTGGCGCCCGGCGACCAGAGGTCTCCTGCAGTTTCCCCACCTACAAACACGGGTCCGGGGACAAAGACCCGGAACGCAAGCCAGGGCAGCATACCGCAGATGCGCACCATGTCTATGGCTTCCACGATCGCACCGTCGATAGCACCGTCCCAAGCTGAGCGTACAGAGACCATGTCTTCTTCGGTCACCCGTCCCAGCTCGACGCAGACCACGAACAGCAACAGGGCTTCTGGCCAGTCCCATGTTGGGCCTATGGCTCCCCAGCCACAAGGAGAGAGGCAACGACGAGCTCCTCTCGTCTACCCCGCGCTGTTGTCACGTGTAGCAACTACGTTCAAAGACAGAGTGCAGATATCAGAGAAAGAGAAGGACGGTCTTGTCTACCAGAGCGCGTTTACCGGAGCCGATGCTGTCGACCTTATCGCGTTCATCATTAAGACTACGGATCGGAACCTAGCACTCCTCCTTGGAAGGTCTTTGGATGCGCAGAAATTCTTCCACGATGTGACGTACGCACACAGGTTGCGCGATTCGACGAACGAGATCTACCAGTTCCGCGAGACCATGATGGAGGAACAAGCCGAAGTCAATGGTGTCTTCACGCTTCTCACTGAATGCTATTCTCCAACCTGCACACGGGACCGACTCTGCTACTCGATCGCCTGTCCTCGCCGTCTCGAGCAACAGGCTCGCCTCAACTTGCGGATCCAACCTGGTCTTAAGCGCGAAGAGTCTCACGCTAGTCTGCACGAAGACACGAATGACGAGGAGCAGAAGCTCTGGATCAACACGGTGCCCAAGGATGTCGCTGATAGCGTTTCGGACAAGGAAAAGAAGCGGCAGGAAGTCATATCCGAGTTGATGTACACCGAAAGAGATTTCGTCAAGGATCTGGAGTATCTCCGCGACTTCTGGATGAAGCCACTCAGAAACCCCGCAACCTCACCTATTCCAGAACATCGCCGCGAGAAGTTTGTACGCACTGTGTTCAGTAACTGCCAGGAAGTCTACATGGTCAACTCCCGCCTGGCAGAATCTTTGACCAGACGTCAACAGAAAGAGCCTGTTGTCCGCAATGTTGGAGACATCTTCCTGGAGTACGTTCCTCACTTCATTCCGTTCATCAAGTATGGTGCGAACCAGCTGTTCGGCAAGTACGAATTCGAGCACGAGAAACGCACCAATGCCGCCTTTGCGAAGTTTGTGGACGAGGTCGAACGTATGAAGGAATCGAGGAAGCTCGAGCTGAACGGATACCTTACGAAACCGACAACAAGGTTGGCTAGGTATCCATTGTTGTTGGAAGGTATTCTCAAGGCTACCGCAGATGACAATCCCGATAAGGAGGATCTACCCAAGGTTGTCAAGATGATCAAAGACACCCTGTCCAAGGTCAACATCGAGTCCGGAAAGGCCGAGAACCATTTCAATTTGATGCAGCTCAACAAAGACCTCAAGTTCCGTCCAGGAGAGTATGTTGATTTGAAGCTGACCGATGAGAACCGTCAATTGGTATTCAAGGGCACACTTAAGAAGACACCGACCGAGACAACTGGCGACATCACATGTTATCTCTTCGATCATGCTGTTCTGCTTGTCCGCACTAAGACAGTGAACAAGCGAGACGAACAAAAAGTGTACAAGAAGCCCATACCTCTTGAGCTTCTAATCATTACCCAGATGGACGAGATCATTCCTCGACTTGGCATAGCGAAGAGGCCTTCAGGAACGACCTTGATGGGCGCTGGTGCAAAGGCGATTCAAGCCGCTGCACCAAGGGCTGATGCAAACAAGCAGCAAGGCTATCCGATAACTTTTAAGCATCTTGGGAAGGGTGGTTATGAGATGACACTCTACGCCAGTACGCCAATCTCGCAACAGAAATGGATGGAGCACATCGAATCCCAGCAACGAACGTTGAGAGAGCGTAGCAACATCTTCACAAAGTCTGTCATCAACGAGGGCTTTTTCTCTGCGGCCATCAGAGTTACTTGCGCTGTGCCTCTTGGTAAGTCGCGCTTAGTATCTAGTGTATTTCAACTAACCCATCTGCAGATGGTGGTCGCAAGCTGGCTCTGGGTACAGATGCTGGTGTCTACGTTGTGGATCGCAAACCGAAGGATGCTTCAATGCGGCCCAAGCGAGTCCTGGATACCAAGGGTGTCACGCAGATTGACGTCCTCGAGCAGCACCAGATCCTGCTCATACTGGCCGACAAGACCTTGTACTCGTACTCTACGGAAGCACTGGATCCTGACGAAGCCCAAGCCGCCGCAAAGCGTCCCAAGAAGATTTGCCACGCCAATTTCTTCAAGTCTGGTGTCTGCATGGGCCAACAACTCGTGGCGTCAGTTAAAACCTCGGCGCTGTCAACGACCATCAAGGTGTTCGAGCCGAAGGAGAACATGACCAACAAGGCTAGGAAGTCTGGTTTTGCCAAAATGCTCGCACAAGGACAAGACCAACTCAAGCCGTTCAAGGAGTTCTACATTCCTACTGAATCGTCGTCGATACACTTTCTGCGTTCGAAGCTTTGTGTTGGTTGCGCTCGTGGATTTGAGGTCGTCAGCCTCGAGACTCTGGAGACGCAATCATTGCTGGATCAGGCTGACACATCCCTCGACTTCGTTGTTCGCAAGGAGAACATCAGACCAATTCACATCGAACGTATGGGCGGCGAATTCCTGCTCTGTTACTCAGACTACTCCTTCTTCGTCAACCGCAACGGATGGCGAGCAAGACCAGACTGGAAGATCACGTGGGAGGGCAATCCGCAATCGTTCGCTATCTTCAACCCATACATACTTGCTTTCGAGCCTAGCTTCATCGAGATACGGCACATGGAGAGTGGTGGCCTGGTTCACATCGTTACGGCGAAGAACATCAGGTGGCTGCACTCGTCCACACGAGAGGTTCGTAGAGGCGCTTTTCTTAGTGAAGATGTCATACTAACGGATACACAGATCCTGTATGCATACGAGGATGAATTGGGCAACGATGTCATCGCCAGTCTGGACTTCTGGCAAGCGGCTAATGGGCCTGGCCACAAGCAGTCTATCGAGAGCAACCGGTACGACAAGAGCTAGAAGTCGCCGTCACCGCAGCAGGCACAATCGCTTGGCCAGGCGCTATATCTGTTTCGCATCATGAGTCGCACTCGGTGTGGTTATCGTCCCGCGTCCAAATCAGGATCCACATCCGCTTCGATACACTATCGTCGACCGTCAAGTACTCTTCCTGGTGGACAGTACTGGAACGCGGACGTTGTTCGGCGCTTTGCTCAGGCCAGCCATGGAAGACGAGATGCGTCTGATGCACGCGATGCGACAAGATCAGCGCCCGTGGGCTGAAGGTGGGGCGCCGCAACGATTTATTGGCACGATGGAAGCTCACGTTTTCAATCTATCTACTTCTTTCGCTTTTGTATAGTACGCATAGATGAGCGTGGGCTGGTGTAAATCAGGGAGATTATAGGCCCGAGTCAGGGGCACGATTGAGGCATGTTCGACGAGATACCATGTCAGATTAGCGGTCATGATAATGGAACCCTTATTGATTGTTGTTGAAATCATGTCATCGATGGAAAGATGAATCGACTTCCACGCAAAGCGCAATATTCTGTAACGACGTCATGCGTTCCTATCTAAGTTCGTGGTGGTGGTTGCTAGGCCAACTTCGCTTAGGATCCCTGAAACGGCATTCCACAAACAGACCCTGGTGCAAGCCACGAACCACTGCTCAGCTTCAGCAGATTTCAAGACGTTCGCTCACACCGTCGCCATGCCTCCAAAGATAGTTTACGGTAAAAAGGCTACCGCACGACCTATCTCTGCGAGCTACGCGAAGTTTCTATCGCCTGAGAAAGACGCCATATTCACGAAGACAAAGAACAACGCGAACAATGTAGACGATGAAACAAGACGGCCAGCAAAGACGACCGAACAAAGAATACAAGATGAGTTGGCAGCGCTGGAAGCACAGTTGGACGGGCTGGTGATAGGCAATGAGCGTACAACACACGATGAGGTCGTTGGAAAGAAGACCAAAAGCAGGTCAAGGAAGGTACTCGAAGATCGCGATGCAAACACGGTCTCGAAGAAAAGTAGCGAAAACACCAAGACAATACAGAAGGCAGAGATGAAAGAAATCGTGCGACCACTAGAGCCCACATCAGCACCGAGCACACCCCCACGGACGCCGATCGCGAAACCACAGAAGAAGAGGTCGAAGCCTACCACATCGAAGAAGAAGACACAACTACCCACTCCAGAACCGACAGCGGAACGCGACGACATCTATACGCAGTACGTCTCGCCGCTACTGCCATACAGCGACGGAGGGAGGATCACAACATTTGAACAATGGTCATCAGAGCTGGAACCACTCTTCGAGATTACGAAGATTGCAGAGGCGTCTTTCTCTGAAGTTTACCGCCTGTCGGCTATATCAGCTACGACTGGCCTCAAAGAAGAGTCTGTCCTTAAGGTTGTCGCACTGAAGGCTCCTCCAGCAGCACCACTGCCCTGTCAGACAACGGAGCGCGCAATCAGAGATTTGGATGGACAGATGAAGAAGGAGCTGGAAGAAAGAGAAGAGAAGAACTATTACAAGTCCCATGTCGCTGACGTTCTGTCAGAGGTCAAGCTTTTGCAGAACCTCAACTACATTCCTGGCTTCACAAACTTCCGCGATCTTACCGTACTACAAGGACGACCTTCATCGTCCTTCAATAATGCATGGAAGGCATGGAACAAAGCGCGACCACGCGGCAAGAAAAGCTACTTCCCTGATCCCAGCAAGAAGACCAGCTACGAGGACACTCAGCTTTGGGCTGTCGTAGAGATGCAAGACGCTGGCATGGACTGCGAGAAACTCATGGAGTCGGAAGGTCTCGGGACAATATGGGAAGTTTGGGACGTCTTCTGGGGTGTCTGCATGAGTGTTGCGAAAGCTGAAGAAACGTGTCAATTTGAACACCGCGATCTGCACATGGGCAACATCTGCGTACGCTCCTCGCGTTCCAAGAGCAACGTTATGCAACCTGTCATCAAGGATCCGTTGCGGCGCCGGTTCAGATTCACAGGCCTTGAAACGACAGTCATCGACTACACACTTTCCCGCGCGGACATCGTCGCACACCAACGGACACCCACCTCCTCTCCTTCAGCGCTCAGCACCACATCACCATCAAAATCTCTCTTGCCGGGGCATGAAGTCGCCTATCTCGACCTCAACAAAGACTCTGCTCTCTTTGAAGGTGACGCATCAGAAGAATACCAATACGAAATATACCGCTATATGCGCGGCGTAGCCCTCTACAACAACCCGCTTCAATGCGAACCTTCCCCAGAACCAAGTACACCTGCTACGCCCCGCCGCTCACCGCGGAAAAACACCCATATCCGCTTCGGCGAGGTCCCTGAGACGCCGCAAAAGTCATTGCTGGCTGCGGAGAAGGATACGAACGTATGGAGGCAGTTCCACTCCAAGACGAATCTCGTGTGGACACACTTCCTCCTGCACAAGCTGCTTAATCATCTCAAGGGGTACGAGCCGGAGCACCTGACCACTCACGATATCATGGCCAATGTCGAGCTCGGGGATGATGCAAGTGTTCCTGGTGCTGCGCTGAGGGTGAAGAAGAAGGCGGTGAAGTTGCATAAGCTGTTGCAGAAGGTTAGTGTGTTGCTTTGTCCTGTGGCGTTGGGACAGGAGGGGAGTTTGGGGAGTGTGAAGGAGTTGGTTATTCTAGCGGTGGAGGAGAAGTGGTTGAGGATTGGTGATGTCAGTGGTTGATTAACTGCATTATTCTGGCGTTCCTGGTTGCATAGCCTGGTGTTGCGGTACATTTAGTGGCGTTCAAGGGTGCTATGGTTTTGCATAGCAGAATTCGGAAGTATAGCATTGTTATGAGTAATGATATGAGCCATCCACTTCAACTTAACCCGCATGCGCACATGTCGTTGACGGATTCGATTACCATCAAGTCGCAAAACACTGGGTGACTGTGAGTTTCACACAGAAAGACTTGTGGGGCGTAGCCTCTTGGGTAGCAGAAAAAGCCGGCTACAACATCCTAGCGACGAGCCTCGACAACCGAGCTCTGAAGGCCTTTGAGGAGAACAAATCCGTATTACAGTATTTCTAAAAAGCGTTGTAGTCTTCTGAAGCTTCACAAAGTTATAAAGAGCCTGCAAGTTGCCACTGACTGATTCCCTTGGTTTTGACGGGTTCGGGCTTGTAGCCGGCTTTTTCTGCTACACCGAGAGAAGCTGTCAGAGGGGATGGTGTCAGAGACCGCGTAACTAGTCGCACGCGCAGGTGTCAACGCTCAATCGCAGCAGCCTGTTGAAGTTGAGGCCACAGTGGAAATGAGATATTAGTATTGCGGAGATGTTTTCATCCCTTTGGCCCAGCGTACAAGCGGACATCTGCATAAACTACTTTTGATTGATAGAGATGGGACTGACTGATGATCAGAGGCGGAGAGCAGCACGAGTATGACTCGTTGTGAGTGTCTAGTCCAGGAACTGTAAAGGCTTCAGTCAGGGTTTGACTCATGTCCCTCCGTACTCCATACGCAAAATGCCTGTGGATTTGTTTAATATGACTCACTGTCAAGAATGGAACAGAAGTTAGGGGCGAGAGTAATATCCAAGATACACGCGGCTTTATCTTGCTCGTGCGTTACAACAGTATACCTACGAAAGCCTCAGAATAATGATATCCTGCTCTTCTAGAGGCTCGTTCTCGTCGAATACTTGTCACGCAGAACTCTCAAGGCGTAGGACTCCAGCGCGATTGTACGTCCCGGGAGTAGACGCGAGCTGACGCAACATCAAGGCTCCTTGTGCCGGTCTTGTCATATCGTTGTCGCTCTCTGCATCGCAATGGCCATTCATCAAAACGACAAAGGTCAGAAAGAAGCCCTTGTCAACCGGCAGTCGATACTCGCCCAACCTCAAGTCGGAGCCAGCCATTCGGGAAGCAGTCCACAATGAATGCAGACTCAACTTGGAGCCTGGAAATCAATTGTGCACAGGCTCTTAGTCGCTGCTGCTGCTGTTGCTGCTGCTGGATGCCAATTGAGACGGGAGAGCTTCACGCCAGACGGATTAGGCACGCACGACAGCTTAGTCAATGAGGTTGTGTGCAGATAGGTGTTGCTGGTCTGTTGCATAACTGGGCGGGACGATGTTGGAGAGGCCGAGTAGATACCCCGCGCCTTTACCTCTTCACCTATTACAAGCGGACTGGGGTGGCGTTCTTGTTGTGCGAATAGATCGTCCGGCTTAAGAGTCAGAGCTCCAGAGTTAAAACACGATGCGTGGTAACAATTCGTATTGTATAGGAAGCTCTGCACGAGGCACAGAAAGCCTCCGGCATGCTGCAGCCATGTTGATCAGCACAGCGTGGCTCGTATTGAAACGAACCGAATAAGCATGCACGGCCTGACACTTCGAAACCTGATGCGTTCCAGCGGCGTTCCAGCGGAATTCCAGCTGTTGCTGTTCTCACCATTCGAGGCGCAAGCTCTCCGCCCAAGAACCCTTCTTCTCAACTTTCACAGCCTCCTGCACGTTGCCCTTTCCCAGGTCACCTCCATAGAAGTGGGCGAAAGCACCATGTCCTACTTCGTCCCACTGAATCCTCGCCTTGTTGTCCGCATTGACGTTGCTGTCTCCATCTGTGCCCGCTTCAAGCACGCTGTACTCGATCTTCAGCAGCCACAGCTCTGTGAAGTCCCCGAAGAACCTGTCTGCAGTGCCAGGTACTTGCTCGGACGTAGACAGATGTATGAAGCCATCTTTGCGGTCGAGGTCTGAGAGCGGTAGGCGGTCTGGGAGGGGTGATGGTGGGGCAGAGGGGAGGATCTTGTAAAGGTAGGTTGGTAGGGGCGACGGCACAGGCATTTTGGAGACTGGCTGTTCGCGCGAATTGAAGTGAGAAGTCAGAGTATGACACAAGCACAGAAATTTGCTCGGACAACAAAGTGATGCGTGATGCGTGATGCGTGATGCAGACGAGCAGTCGCGTCGGTGAAAGATGGAAGCTTCGACGCGTTGATTGGCTGCTAGCGCTTGCGTGACCCACCACGACCGGAAGAACGAACCATGGAACTCACGACGGGACGAAAATCAGCCCGGAAACGGCACAGATCACAACATGGACGAACGACTCCCTATATCTACCTTTCACTTCTGTTATAGCCAGCAGTGCGCGCGAAGGTGCTGTAGAGATCTCATCTTCGCGTATGGCTGACAGACGTCATCGTTGCAATCAGGTCAGCGCACAACATCGGATACGAACAGGAAGAGTTATTGAAAAACCAAGCTTTGAGCCCAATAATACAAGCTTTGGGAGAAACAGGGCGTTTGGATCCTGGACTTTGTATCGCATATTTGGAAGCTTCACTCTACGACCGTCGTTGTTGCCCTTCTGAGGACATCGCGATTACCTCCACTATTGTCAGCTGTAGTCAGAGCAATACTCATGCCTGGGACGATATATAACAACCTCATCATCGCCAACTATGCCACTTTCGTCGCCGACCTTCGACAAGTTCCGCACATTGTTATGGCCACGCAAGCGTGAGCGAGCATCCTCAAAACCGGACATCAATATGCACGAATCACCATCGTCCGGGCTACAGTCTGGTCCGCACTCTGCAGACGCCGAAGCAGCAGCTAGCAATGCTCACCTCGATTATCAAGCTGAAAGCCCTCCTTCTTTCCAGAATCATTCAGTCGAATATGCAACATCAACTCGGCAGCAGCCAGCTCCTCAGCTCTCTGATCTGGACGTCCTGCACACTCGATTATCAAACGCCCACCTTCTTGCCCATCACCAATTCGAATTGCATCCGGCTGGTGGAGTGTCTTACAAGCCTCATCTGACTAGACTCACCCACCGTGGACGTCAGCCGTCACATTCGTTGTTGCCACACATTCAGTCAAATCCTGATAATCGGAGCCAGGTTCCAGTGGAGCTTACACAGAATGAAATAGAGAGCTTTCAGTCGCTCGACGTGCCAAGCGCTCTGTGCTGTATACGCAGAGAAGACGAGAACTTATATCAATTCTTCGTCTACTTCCGAAGTCTGAACGAAGGGGCAGCAAATGCGGTGTTCAGTATCCAGGCAGCTCAAGGTGTTGATAAGACAGTTGGCTTCTTGTTTGTCGCAGTCAGAGACTCTGGAAGAACCGCAACGGTGATACCATCTCAAATGGTCGTCGACATGGTGCTTCGGGTCAGCAAAGGCCTGCCTAAAAGTCTCAGATCCGAAGTGATCGTCGATGGCTTCATGGCAGATGTGCGACCATTGTTCGTTTCGCCCAAGACATCGACTTCAACCAGCCAAACTCTCGAGGAGATTGACCTGGGCAAGCATCTTATGGCGCACCTTCCCGTGGTGCTGTTCGACGAAGGGATGTTTGCACTCAAGGAACTGGTCCCGGCTATTCGACCGCTGAGCAGCACAGCACAATTTGGCATCCTACTACCCAACATGTCTACAAGTCCGGGGCAAAACATCACCTTTGAGATCAAGCCAAAATGGCTAGCACAGTCGCCAGCCGCACCGCCCGAAGCAATTCGCTGCCGGACATGCGCCCTTCAGTTCTCACGAGGAAAAGGCATACCGAACGACTACATTTGCCCGTTACGATTGAGCAATGAGGATTCAGCCGCGAACAATGACATGATTCACATACGACAATGGGCTACGAACGCCTTGTCGCTGCAACTCAAAGACGATGCTAACGCGTACTTACCCCATGAGGTAGCCCTTGAAGCGCTCGTCGACCGTGTAGTCGCCTACTTCACCACTGGTGATGGCCGAACGCTGCTACTCCACCTCAAGAAGCTTCAGGCAACCCTGGATTCGGAGGGTATACTGCAGCGCTACGCACGCCCTCGCGACGACTTCAACTTTGTGTACGACCTTCGTCTGGCCATGACTTTACGAGACTGCTCCCTGTTCGTGGTTGTACCTGTCTATGACGGCGAAATCACCTCCAAACTCGCGGATCTCGATTTCAAGTCTGCAGAGAAGATTGACGATTGGAGAGACAAAGAGGCGACTTTAGTCAATGAAGGCTGGTATGTGAAAAGTCCTGAAGCGCATGATGTGTGCTTGCTGGCGCCGGGGAAGTTGACTTGACCGTTCTGAGTTTGACCTGTCTAACTTTGTAAGCCAAGAACTTTGGTTGTCAAGGGTATACCTTTACATGTTTTGAGGGCCTTTTGAATCCTGAGGATGCATTTGGCAGTTCGGCAGATTTGGAAGTTGTCGAATCGGATCAGATAAATAGGAGCATTGCCACACCTTGGCGCGCGCATTCACCCCACGTCTTGAGCATTCCAAGCTCCGGCATACGTCACCACCATAATCTTAATAATAACACGCAGCACCACGACTGACTCACAACACGCCGCAGGCTCTCGGAATAAATATCAACATGTCTGAGAAGACAGCGCCCCACGGAGGGACGACACACAGACCGCAAGCGCAGCAACGAGCATCACTTCCAGAAGCTGAGGACCCTCCAATACCTACATATGCGGAAGCAAGCGGCTATGCGCCACCTCCAGGACCACCACCGGCCACAACATCAAGTGCACCACCACTTACTGAAGTCGCATCACCACCAGCTGCAGATGAGCTTCCTGGTTACGACACAATAGATCCCAAAAACACCGAATTCCTCCTCTACAGCACGTTCATTCACACACCCAACGGTCCAGCATATCAACTCTCGTCACCTCTCGACTCCTTCAACTCCCCTCTACGGATACGACGTCTTCGCGCCGCCGAGATCCCACTCGCACACGAACTACCTATACATTTCGACCGCTCCGAAACCCTCTACGAAGTCCAAGACCCACCGTTTCGCGAGAATGAGTACTACCTGATCGGCAAGAAACCGCACTGCTACGGCGGCGCTTTACAGTTGACTTTTGGGTGGAAGACCTGGCACATCAGACACATCGCTGGGCCCAACTCTGCGCCAAGGGAAATCTTGACGTGCAAGAAAGTCAGTGCCGGTGGCGGCCTGTTTGGAAAAGGCAAATCGAAGAGCGGAGCTGTGGAGAGAGACGGTCTCACAGAGCCATTTGAGTGGAGGGATACCGATGGTAGGCTGTTAGCAACCGAAGGGCTACAGCTGCTGGCCGGAGGTGTCGTGCCGACGGTGCGTCTGAGCGAGGATCTGGACAGCATGTGGAGGGAGCTAATTATCAGCTTTTGGGCGGCAAGATTGTGGGCGACATTCAGATGATACCAGATATCGATATCTGGAGTCTCAGAGCGTGTAATATACTTGTACTTCTGGCACTTGGGAGCGCATGGCGTTGGTCCCGGGGTTGGGCCGGCGTACAGCCATGCTTTGGCGTTACAGTATTGCGGCTCAATGGCATCGGCGTACACGTTGAGTGCGTCTAAAATCACAACGTTAATCTAGAAGGTCATCCCCTCTAATCGAATCCTAGCCAGATTGATACACTAGCCAATGGACCGTCGGTTCAGCGGGCAGGGTTGCGAAATGACGTGATGAGACTGAACCGAGGCAATGTTGGAGGTTCCCCGCAGAATGCAGCACAATCGCGAACAACATGCAGCTGAAATGCAGTTGCATTGCTTGAACCGGATCGTGCACAGGTTGCAGTAAAAGGCAGGGCGTCTAATTACCGTTCTGTCGGGTCACAGATCTATAATTTGAAGCTGCTACAAATTGTGGCATTGAGTCGAGCTTTGCTTAGCCTCTTGGACTGTCCTGCAGGTCTCCGACCTCTAACAACAAGATGCCTACCAAATCACCATTTCCAGATGTGAAAATCCCCGACGTGGATCTCTGGGGCCTCATCTTCGACAGCAAGGACCGCGACTTCCCAGACGACAAAGTTCTATATCGCGCTATCAATTCAGATCGCAAGTACACCTTCGCCGATGTCAAAGCGCACGCAACCGCGTTCGGGGAAGGCCTATGCAACCTCTGGGACTGGCAAAGAAATGAAGTCTTAGCACTCTACACACCAAACGACATCGATGTACCGCCAATCATCTACGGGACATTCTTTGCGGGTGGCATCGTCACGCCGGCAAACCCTGGATACTCAGCTGATGAGTTGGCATACCAACTATTGAATTCAGAGGCAAGAGCACTCGTCACAACCAAAGCGTTTTTGAAAACCGCCTTGGAAGCGATGAAGAAAGTCGGAATGCCAGATGACAGGGTGATCATCTTGGGTGCAGAAAGAGACGACACGCACCGCGTCAAGCACTGGACGAACATCCGCAAAACATCCGGCGCACTACGATATCGACGGAAGAAAGCTAAGCCAGAAGACCTGGCTTTCCTTGCATACTCCAGCGGTACGACGGGTCTACCGAAGGGTGTTATGCTCACACATCGCAACATTGTCGCCGATCTACTGCAAATCAAAGGTTCCGTTGGGCACTGGTATAACTCCAAAGACGACAAGTTCCTTGGTGTGCTGCCGTTCTTTCACATCTACGGGCTCACAGGACTGGTGCATCAGATACTGCACCGTGGGATAGAACTCGTCGTCATGCCGGCGTTTGATATGGAGACTTTCCTACGGACGATTCAAGAGCATCGAATTACGTTTATTTACGTCGCTCCACCGGTGATTGTGCGATTGGCGAGGGACAAGATGGTGGATAAGTACGATCTTTCGTCTGTCAAGATGATAACGAGCGGCGCTGCACCGTTGACGAAGGAACTTGTCGATGCTGTGCACAAGCGGCTGAAGATCAAGATCAACCAAGCCTACGGTTTGAGCGAAACAAGTCCCATGACACATGCCCAAGTACGTCCCTCCCCCTCGCTCCCTCCACCCATCCCAAAACTAACGCTCCCCAGCCCTGGGACGAATGGTACACAACCGTCGGCAGCGTAGGGAAAATGTTCCCCAACATGCGTGCAAAATACATCTCCTCGTCCGGCGCTGAACTGGGTCCTGGCAAAGTAGGCGAGCTATGGATGTCCGGCCCCAACGTCTTTAAAGGCTACTGGAAGAACGACGCCGCCACCAAGGACGCAATCACCTCGGACGGATATTTCAAGACAGGCGACATCGGGTTCCAGGACGAACAGCATAACTTTTACATCACGGATCGAGTGAAAGAATTGATTAAGTATAAGGGCTTCCAAGTCGCGCCCGCGGAACTCGAGGGTAAGTTGATGGACAATAAGCTCGTAGAAGATGTAGCAGTGATTGGCGTGCAGGATGAGCATATGCATACTGAGGTGCCGCGGGCGTATGTAGTCGCTGCGAAGGGCAGAGGTGAGGCGGGGGAGAACGAGGCGAAGGCGATTGTGGACTGGATTGGGGGCAAGGTTGCGAACCATAAGAGACTGAGGGGTGGGATCGTGTTTGTGGCGGAGGTGCCGAAGAGTGCGAGTGGTAAGATTTTAAGGAGGTTGTTGAAGGAGAGTGCGAAGGATGATGTTGCCCTGGGGATTACAAGTCAGGCTAAGCTGTAAGGGAGGAGATTAGGGATGTAAGAGTGTATCCACGACTGTCTAGAAATCTGTGCGATCTCAGCGCCGCTGTTTCGAGCTTTGAATTGTACTGAGTCCGCATTAGTATTCACATGTGCGAATCATCAAGAGCTGTTTCAAGTGTGTCTATTGCGAGCATGCAGCTGGCTAGTGTCCTACAACTATGCTTATAGCAACTCACCCGCCACCCAAGTCGATTGCGACTTTCAACTCGCCTACGCCGCTCCAAGTCATTACAAGCTACATTTTGAAATAACGCTGGGAACACGTCTACTGAACAACCTGGACGCAAAGGGGTTAGTCGGTGTTGGAATAGTCTTCGTGTGACATGAACATACCTTCTCTCGCAGCTTGCTTATCCACTGGACAATGCTCTCGCCCTGGTCTGCACGGTCTTCGACCAGTAATGTCTGAGCCCAGAGCTTCAAGCTTGGCTCACCGTCCTCCTTGATGATATACAGCGAAGGTTGGACAATGCTTCCAACACCCTTGCTCTTGTGGTCTCCAGACTTCTCTACGACTGCTCGTACACGCTCGGAGAAGTCGTTGTCGATAGTCGGCAGGGAAGCTTTGCCCTGCTTCAATTGTGTGCGGTCCTCAACACCGAAGACATCACCAAGCAGAGCGGGGACAGTGTCACGACCAACCCACAGGAACTGGTTGACACCGTCATCAAGCAGGTACAGGCCGTAAGGAACGATGGACTGCGATGTGAGATTCATCAGAGGAGGCATTGTGATATGGCCGGTGGTGGGGTCAGGAATACCAGCATCGTCAGGCATATCCTATAGATTGTTAGCAAAAATCGTAGACCGAAGTAAGAGCAACGTACGTGAAGGCTGTAGAATGCAGGGTAGATGTACTGAACCAGCAGACGTAGGGGCAATGTTGATAGAAGGTCGAGAGCAGCTGATCGCAGATCGGAGGGAATCTGTGCACTCTTTCGCAGACCGACGTTTTTGATGAGACCCAAAAACAGAATTGGCAGAGCACGCAAGTTCTGAGGCAGCTGAAGGCCACCACCTCCCATGCTGCCGCCGGCCAACTCTTTCCTGTAGGTCTGCAAGATCTCGATGATCTTGCCCTGCAGGGCATCGCGAGCAGCATCCAGACCACTTGACAAAGCACGCTCAGCGGCCTTGTGGGTAAAGTAAGTAGTGATAGCCTGAGCATCGGCCGAGGCGTATACATTCGCGAGGTTTTCTGTGGTAGGCACAGCGAGTGTCAGTACCCTAATACGGCGTTGCCCACTTGAAGTTGTGTGCAGAACAGCAGCCTGGAGACAGGCAAAGGGCTTGCTAATGGTCTCGTCGATTGCGACTTCGATTACAACAGCCTGATCCCTAGGGTATGCTGGGAAAGCGCAGAGATCCGAAGAACGGTTGAAGAAGTTGCCGTAAAAAGCCGACATCCTCAGACCGGTTGTGGCACGCACGCGCAGAACGGCCTCTAGACCGATCTCTGCAGATAGGTAGTCGGCCAACTCCTTGGCAATTTTCATGACGTCCTCTTGCCTAGCAGCGTTCCATCCAGGGTAGAAATATGTTTGGCCTGCCGTGAAACGTGGCAGGTTGCTGAGTGTTGCAACATCCTGGTATTGGGATGAGAACAGGAACATGTCGACCGAGACCTGGTTCTTAGAGCACTCTACAGCGAACGACTTGTACCAGTTGTTGGCTGGTTGCAACAGACTAGCCTCCTTTCCGGTACCCAACAAGGACTTGTCTTCTCTGGGGGACAACGCAGCATGCCCAACGTTGGGGAGCGAGGCACCAATGACTGTGATCTTTCCTCCAAGCGGCGAAATCAGCTTGTGCGCAGATCGAAGAGCGGAACCCAGCGCAAAGCCGGGCACGTGTGTGTTCTGGAACATCGCAGGGAGACGGTCGAGGAAGTTCTCGATGTTGTTTCGGCACTGGCTCAGACTGACAAGCAAGTCTGTGGGCATTGGTAGGTAGGGCTCGTCCAGGTCAGAAACAACAAGTTGGTGTGCATCGTTGTTCTCGCTGCCATCCGGTGGGATGGAGAAGAAGTGCAGACTCGAGTCCACAGCCATGAATCCAATGCGCGTCCTGCCGTCTGCATTTGGTATCCTCTCCAATGCCTCCTTGATGACCCGCGAAACAACCGCAAGGAGACCGCTGTTCACAGATGCTTGTGTGCAGTCCAGCAGGATGTAGTAGCACAGCGGCTGTGGAGGTCTGACCATGTATTCTTGTGGCGCAACGAACTCGGTAACGGCATAATTCAGCTCAGGGCGTTGCCACCTATCGACGCTCTTCTGTTGTGCCGCATCCCAGTCGAAGGCCTGGGGAACATCGTTCGTCAGGTTGCACATGTTGCACCTCCACCTGTGTCCGTGATCGAGGAAGGAAACGAAGGGGTTGATGTACGCTCGGCATCGTCGACAACGGCTGATAACCTGGTCGTGAACGACCGGCACAGGGTCCTCTGAATCGTGCAAGCTGGCATACGGGCTAATAACCAATGCAAATGGCAGCTTGCTCTTCTTAAGCAAAGAGTGGTTGGTAGGGATGGTGTTCAATGTACAGCGCAGGTACTTGCTCGACTCGTTTGCGAATTCGGAGGGTGTAGCTGCGGCGTTCGCGGGGAGGTTGATTGGCGGTGGGGGGTTGTATAGCTCGGAGACGTGAAAGGGCTGCGCGATCAGATCGGAGGGGAACAATTGATTCTGCGAAGCTGCAGCTGCTTGTTGTTGCTGTTGCGGCGCTACCTGTCCCTGCTGAGGACCCAAGTTCATCTGTCCAAACTGCTGGCCAAGCGCATTGGGATCCTGGGCAGCAGGCTGTCCGTAGGGGGATGCAGGCTGTACAAAGCCCGATGGCTGCCCGTATGCTGCCGGTTGGCCATAGCCCTGAGACGAGGCACCATATCCAGGTGCACCCGCTCCGTATCCAGGGGCACCCGCTCCGTATCCAGGGACAGCTGGCTGAGGGGGAGGAGCAGCTCCACCAGCGTTCAGTCCAGCATTGGCTCCGAACTCGTACGCGGCGCCCGCATATCTGTCCCTCTTCTTGCGATCCGCCATCGTGAGTGTAGCGGAGCCTCGAGAGTGGTGGGAATCGAGCGAAGTTGAATCGAGGAGGTATGCGGTGTAGTGATCGAGGCTACTCGGATACAGAAGTGACGGTGAAGCTCGATGTGTCTTCTTAGGTTGCCGCACATTCCGCGCTAGCATGTCCCCGCCAAACCCACACGCACAGGCACCTTAAGTACACCACCCCCATGCAAAGAACACCTTTCGCCTCCTCTCACCTCTACATCTTTTGACAATACACTAGGCAACAGCTATGGTACCGATGCTATTGGTCTGCGCCATTACCTCTCTTATTGTGTTCCACGTCTCCACTCAGGTACTGTGGAGGTGGTCAGTAAACACAAGCATATAATCGACGTCTTCGAGCAACGATTGCATAGAGGCATAATTAGGTATCATTGGAAACAACCCTACATAAACATTAATTGGCCAAACGGCCACTATTTGACGCAGTCTTCCCAACCATTACGCTAGCATTACTGTTCGAATAGGCAACGAGATACTCAACCCTAGAGCCTCTTGACATCAAGCAACGTGTTGAAAGGAAATTGGCTGTGGCTGAGTAGTTTGCTCCGCAGCCTGCTGATGCTCCAACCTCTCTGCTTCCGACACGGGGTAAGGAGGCTGGCTGCCAACATCGGTGCCTTGTACACTCGACTCAGCGTAACGGCCGTCCTCACTTGTGCCGACTGTATCCTGGTATTGCGTGGTGTTCTGCACAGGTGCAGCGCTAGTACCACCCACTGGCGCTCCAGGCATTGCTCCTACGCCCAAGTTACCAGCATTGGAGTGAATTGGCTCGACATTCAACTCATAGTTGCGAAGGTCATCTTCTGCGTCGTTGAGTACTTGACGAGCGTCCTCTCCGCCTGCAAAAGGAGGATGTAGATCTCCAGGAACAACCGGTGTGTCGTCGACAAGGTTCAAAAGTCGGCGGGCATGCTTAGCCAGGATGATTTGCTTCTCAGCACGCTCGATCGTAGCGGCGAAGTGGTGGTCATATGCCTCCTTGAACTTTTGACGAGTCTGCACATGATCAGCAGGTTGCTTTCGATGGAAGCCTTCCTGATACATACGATATTGGTGAGTTGCGCCTCTGCGACCAAGCTCTGGGCTTCTGCGCGGACGAGCTCCTGTTCAAGCTGAACAATCTTGGTGCTCTGAGGCTCCTTGTACTTGAGTTTGGCAATTTCGTCTGAGATCTGCGCTGGAGTCAGGAAATAGTGCGCCCGAACATGCTCAGAGTCTGACCTTGGCCTTGTGGTCTCGACTAGGCTGCACTGAGCTCTCAGTATTCCTGATCTGCTTCAAGACACCTCGGTAGTCCTCCAGAGCTTGCGCATATAGGTCCTCCTGTTCTGCGATCTCCGCCATGAGGACACCAAGCTTGTCTGACACTTCTGAAATTGTCTCATCCTCTGTCGCTTCACCCCACTCGGAGAGCTGTCTTGCAACACCGACACGTTCACGCGCCGCGGCTTCGTGGGCACCAATCACGTGGTTCTCGGTCTTGATGATCTTGTACAGCTTCTTGGAGAGCTCCGGCTGTTGAGTGCCGCGCAGAGATGCCATGGTGAAGCGGTGCTTTGACGGAGGCTTGTCGGATACGCTAGAGGTGCCCTTCTTGGACCGGACGGAAAGTGATCGATTCCTACCCAGGTTACATAGTTAGTGAACGAGCTCGGGGGGTGTTGAGCAGTAAAGACCAGGGATGAGCCCGTTGTGTAAATTGTGGAGGAATTGCCGAACATGCCATGTCGACAAATGTGAGACAAATCAGACAAGAATGAATGAAGCGCACGAAATGAGGCCGAGTAATATAGGCGCAATCGCTGGCATGTGATAACGACAGAGAAGAGGAGCAGGCTTACATCTTGGAGATCTTCTACGTTTGTCTGCTTTTGTGTATCGTATGCTGTCCATGGCTACCGTTAGCATGTTGCTGAATGCGGGAGACCGTGCTTGCGCAGCGGTATGAGGGATTGTAACGTAGACAGGATGTCGAAGTTACCTTTTCCGAGAAACGAGGCGGGGCGCTTGAAACACTTGACGCTCTGATCTTCGTGATGCTGGGGTCGGCGTATGGGTCTGTTTGAGGTTTCAAGGCGGGGGTGCTCGGTGGACCAGGAAGTCGTGCAAGATACCGGTGATGTCATAGCCAGATGCGCCGGAAGCTGCGCTTCACTAGCCACACGCGATGGTTCAATACCAATGTACCACGAGATATCGCTTCCGCCACATCCACGATACTGATGTCTAAACACGATCGTCCAAAGAACGCAGGTTCGAGTTCGGCGAGATGCGTCTTTGCATCCAAGAACACGATGAGGAATTCCTAAAGCTCAAGGGCTACTCACACGCTCAATACGGGTGCTAAGGGTGCTCGGCACATGTCTATCGCAACAGCTTGCGCATCATGGAGCAGCGCGAATTGATGTTGTATGCCTTTAGATGTGCTTTGCCTTGACCCGGTTCATGGACGGGGTGCTTATCAGATACGTACCTTGCCGCCGTCTGTTTATGTTTGGAGTAAGAAACATAGCACTGAAGCATTACTGACCTGCATAGTCATACACTTGCCTGTGGCATGACCTAACCTCGAAATCAAAGCTCAGCAGTGATCCCTAGCTCACAGCTTACAAGAAAGCGGATATCAGATCCCACATAAGCATCACGAAGATCGAGAGCTTCATTGCGCAATGCCAAAGGTCTGGAAAGGCCCCTCAAGCAACACACGATATCGATACGACTCGTCTTCTGAGCTCTGGATCACCACGCACGATGAAGATCGGCGACTGATTTTGGGAACACCATGCTTAAAGATCCATCAAGAGTCACTTGGCCCATGATGGTCGTGATAGAGCATTCGACTGACGTGACACACATTCGACCTGCCGAGAGCACAGAGGCCGAGACCGTTGTTGCTTACTGTGGTGAACTTTTGTGAATGTCCCATGCCCTGTTGGCATGCAGTGCAACAGATAAATGGGCCTTCGACTAACCCTATCTGCACTAGCCACTCCTGACAATGTTTACTCCCGCGGAAGATTTCCTGGCTTGCTTTTCGTCCCAGAAGAATTTCGTACCACAACCTTGGAACTCCAACATACTGTCCGTCTGCCTTCAGGGTTGGTCACACCGAAACTCTCAATCAAGACACGACATAAATTCGCTTATGCTATCTGGACTTCGAAACCCTAATTGCCAAAGCAACTCTTGGCCGTTGCTTCCTCCTGCAAGTGCTTGCCAGAAAGTGTGGGGATTCACCCTTTGCCAATTGCGTTGGAGTTATTGACACAACTGGCATCCTTGTCGCTCCACTGAAACATTTCTCTTGGTGCCACTAAACATGGCAGCCGAGCAGGGCTGCCCAGGATCTGAGGATGACGTTGCCTGCTCAGCTCGCATGTCCGTCTCGGCTTGGCGTCGACAGACCATCCATGAGGGATCATTACTAACATCTGAGCTTCTGGGCCACCACCTTTCCTAATCAACAAGAAACTTTTGCATTCTGAAATCGCATGTTCTTAAGATTTCGGTCTCCATACCAAGACGGATAGCCGCGCGATGAGTACTACCGTGATCTGCACCTGAGTGGCTACGGGCACGACTTCCTGTCCTTTTAATGCTTCGTACTGGACGAGCGGCTTAGCTTACAGCAACCTTGCACCATGTTGACCTCTAAACGGCCAAATTCTGACCGCGGTGAGAGTACAAATCGGTCAGACAGCAGACTGAGCGACGTCTTTTCCTCCTGAGGCTTACGATTGGAGAGTAAGCTCAGCTTATGATCATACAGTTTGTTTCCCGCTTGGTGAACGTTCTAGTCACGTACATACAATCACTACCAAGCACTTGGGATCCTTGTCTGGCGGCTCCGGCCATGCTCGCATACGGAGTCGCGACCGGCAAGATCACATCTAAAGACGCGTATGCGGATTCCAACATGCTGCAGGCCACTCCATTAACACTGCCAAGGAGCTCTGACGGTGCTGAGTCTACCCGAATGTTCCCAAACGCTCGGTATCGCCGCCTCTAACCCACATGCAGCATGCGTCCTGCTCCCTTTGATCAACCTACGACGTCTTGGCGCAGGTCACAATATCCTGCATCAACGCGGCCGTTTTCGTGCACGAACCTAATCTTTCACAAGTGGGTCCGGCAAGTTGGCGCATCCCGTCTCTAGAACGGCCAGCTGATCAAATCAAGGGCCGTTCAATCGTGAGCAAGAGTCGATTGGGCACAGATTACCTAAACTAGCACCGTGTCATACCATGTAGATTGACGGGTGGCTTTCTCTCCACAGCATGGACGCGTGGATGTATAAAGCAAACCGCCCTTGAACGTTTCGTTGATATCCCGTCTCATTTGTAACTTCACTACAACCACCAGGATGGTCAAGTCCGGGCTCATTGCAGCTTTCGCTGCTTACGCACACGTCGCTCAAGCAGCATGCCCTTTCATGGAAGCCGATGCTCGCGATGTACCTGCCAGTCACCCTCAGATCAAGCGAGCCGATGGCTCGTATAGCGTGCCCTCGAACACGGATGAGTTCATGGCACAGTTCGAAGTCAATGACACCGATGTTTACATGACCTCGAACACCGGAACACCCATTGAAGATCAAGAAAGCCTAAGCGCAGGCGAGAGAGGACCTACGCTTTTGGAAGACTTCATCTTCCGTGAGAAAATCATGCACTTCGGTACGGTTTTTCCAAGAGCGTGAGCTTGCAAACGCTAACTGATTACTTAGATCACGAGAGAGTCCCGGAGCGCGCTGTTCATGCACGAGGAGCTGGTGCTCATGGTGTCTTCACGAGCTACGGCGATTGGTCAAATATCACAGGTGCCTCTTTCTTGAGTACACCAGACAAAGAGACCCCTGTCTTCATTCGATTCTCGACCGTTGCTGGTAGTCGTGGATCAGCCGATACCGTGCGCGATGTACACGGTTTTGCTGTCCGTTTCTACACAGATGAGGGCAATTTTGGTAAGCTCGATAAGTACTCTGGTCTTGCAAAATAATATACTGACTGGAAAACAGATGTTGTAGGCAACAACATTCCCGTCTTCTTCATCCAGGATGCCATCAAGTTCCCAGACCTCATCCACGCCGTCAAGCCCAGGCCAGACAGCGAGATTCCGCAAGCTGCCACCGCCCATGACAGTGCTTGGGACTTCTTCAGTCAGCAACCTTCTTCCATGCACACTCTCTTCTGGGCCATGAGCGGTCACGGCACAATTCGCTCCTTCAGACACACGGATGGATGGGGCGTGCACACCTTCCGTTTCGTCACCGACGAAGGCAAGACCAAGCTCGTCAAGTTCAGGTTCAGGACTCTGCAGGGCAAAGCATCACTACTGTGGGAGGAGGCCCAAGTCACCGCAGGAATGAACGCCGACTTCAACCGCCAGGACCTATTCGAGAGCATCGAGAATGGAATGTTCCCTGAATGGGTCTTCGAGGCTCAGATTTTCGAAGAAGATGACCAGTTGCGCTGGGGTTTCGACGTTCTCGACCCCACCAAGATCGTTCCTGAGGACATTGTTCCTTTCACACCCCTCGGCAAGCTCACACTGAACCGTAACCCTCGCAACTATTTTGCCGAAACTGAGCAGATCATGTTCCAGGTTGGACACGTAGTCCGTGGTATTGACTTCACTGAGGACCCATTGCTGCAGGGCCGCCTTTTCTCCTACCTGGACACCCAGCTTAACCGCCACAATGGTCCCAACTTCGAGCAGCTACCCATCAACCAGCCTCGTGTCCCTGTCCACAACAACCAACGTGATGGAGCCGCTCAGATGTACATCCCGCTCAACACCGCAGCATACAGCCCCAACACTCTCAACTCTGGATCGCCCAAGCAAGCAACACAAAAAGAGGGCCGTGGTTTCTTCACTGCGCCAAACCGCTCCACTGGAGGACGTCTTGTACGTGCCGTCTCGTCCACCTTTGCCGACGTCTGGTCGCAGCCACGATTGTTCTTCAACTCGCTCCTGCCTGTCGAGCAACAGTTTGTTATCAATGCTATGCGCTTTGAGACCTCGCAACTTAAGAGCGATGTTGTCAAGAACAATGTCCTCATTCAGCTCAACCGTGTCAGCCACGATGTTGCAGTCCGCGTCGCCGAGGCTATTGGCATGACTGCACCTGAAGCCGATGACACCTATTACCACGACAACACCACGACTGGTGTCAGTGTTGCCGAATCACCTCTTCTGAAGATCGACGGCCTCAAGGTGGGCTTCTTGACATCCAACTCGGCTAGCGGCGACACAGCTTCGAGTCTCAAGGCTGCTCTCAAGGACGTTAATGTCGGCTTCGTCGTTGTTGCTGAGCACCTTGGCGATGGCATTGATCAGACCTACTCTGCAACTTCCGCCGTTCAATTCGATGCTATTGTCGTTGATGGTAGCGCCAGCGCTCTCTTCGCAGCTCCTGGAAGCCTGGCAAACAGCAACGCAACTGCCTCCAACACTACTTCCAGTTGGCGCTCAACCCTCTTCCCCGCGGGTCGCCCTCTACAGATTGTGCAAGATGGCTACAAATGGGGCAAGCCTGTCGGTGTCGTTGGATCTGGTAGCCAGGTCTTCTCCGCTGCCGGTGTTCAGGCCGGTACCCCAGGTGTGTATGCATTTGGCACAAACGGCACGGCATCCATTGTGGATCAGCTGTCCGAGGGCCTAAAGACATTCAAGTTCTTGGACCGATACCCTCTGGACAACTAAAAACAGTATGTCTAGCACATGATACTTATGTATGAATATTCTCCTGTATATTCTGAACACATACAAACGCAATTTTACCAATGTACTCGCACCCGCACATTCATTAGCTCAGCCTCAGATCGATACCTAATTTTGCTGCACTGACAACAAATCAATTTCGGCATAGCGGCGTCGTGGTACTTCTCCTCGCCGTAAGATCATCGAGCGCGACGCGCGGAGCACGAAGTTCTGTAAACACCACAGGTCTCAATCAGAAAGCACGGAAACCAATGGAGTTAAATGGCGCAGTCGTGGCGCGGACCGCCACAGCCGAAGGCTCACCGCTGATTGGCCGAAACGATTTGACACCCCGTTTTACGGCTCAAGTGATGCCGGTCACCTATCGTATCGTTAGAAATTCGCAGCGTCAGCGGATACTCGGCCTAGATTGCGTAACGGCGCATCTTCATTCTGTGGCTATTGAAAACCATGAAAACGCTGTCAGCCTGCATGAAACCATGCGTGTCTCCCCTTCCAAGACTGATCTCACCCACATGCTGTGGCTGTGACATTGCCCAAACTGGATCACTCGCAACTTCACCTACTTGCTCAGCACTGGATCGAACAGCGGCCAAGTCTGCGCATCTGGCGTTATAGTATTCGAAAGCCAAGCTCGAATCTCAAGGTCGTTACTAGACGCACTTCGACAGCTACCATGGCTACTATCAAGCGACACCACTCGCTTCTTCACCGACACCACAGCGACCGCTCAAAGGAACAAGTCGGGCCTCCGCCAAATATTTTCGATGGAACAGATGCCGTCATTGCACACAAGAAAGTAGCAGTATCTCGGGTAGTCGAAGCATACGACGCACTACGAGCAGAGAACCGGAGCAACTCACCAACTGCGGAACAATCGACACCTGAGGATCCATTCGCCTTTGAGTCATTAGTCGTTTCACTTCCCAACGGTGAGGTCCGCACGTTCAAGTACTTCCTCCGCAAATGGGACCACAACCAACATCCAGACCCTGAGTTCGAAGAAGCAATATCATCCTGGCGGCCACAGTTCGAAGAAGCAGCACTCAACCATTTCTTCCGGCGAATAGCCCTATGGAACGAATCTGAAGAGATCATGCTTGCGGCAAAGCAGCAGAAGGCGATGAACCTGAAAAACGGGAGGAGGAGAGACCGAGCGACTTCGATAAGCAAGATGTGGTCGAAGGAACGAGGGCGGTCTACCGAACATGAGGGGAGTCTGAGAGATGAGCTAAAGCAGGTTACGACAAGGGAGGGACTGGCACAGCTACTCTGGACGCTCTTGAACGACCAGACGGACCCCTTGTGCCCCGAGCTGTTCGAGCTGTGTAAGGAAGCTGTGAAGGCCAAGTATAGCATTCATACTATTGGCGGAACGCAGTAGCTGCATGGCTGGCAGCCTGCGCGGCTTTTTGTGGAGTATGATTTTGTACATAGCATATGGGGGTGCTCAACCTAGACCATGTTTGAGAGCTTAAATACTGCAACGAGATTAATAGAACTGCATCTTCCTTTGACAAGAGTGCTATTGTTACGAGTGAAGCGATTATTATCAGCGGATGTGTTCCTTCCCAAGATGTGGGGCTGACTCGGCGGTGACATTACCGCTATCCGACCCGAAGGAGCTCCGATAGGTACGGTTCCTCCACAGCTAACAGCTACGGTGTAGCTCTCAATGAAGCTCTGCAACCCTCATACCCACATCATTCGACAGACACGATGCCATTCCTCACTATCAGCGGCAAGAAGATCCACTACGCAGACCTGAAGCCTGAAGGCAAGGATGTGCTCGAGACCTTCATCTTCATGCATGGCCTTGGGTCATCGCAGAACTATTACCATGCAGTTGTTGAAAGACTGCGAGCGAACGGTTTCCGATGCATAATTTTCGACAATACTGGTGCTGGCAGGTCACCATACACCGGTGAACAGTCGAGCATCCAAAGTCTTGGGGACGACGTGATTGGCATTCTGGATGCGCTTAACGTGTCAAAAGCAATCGTTGTAGGCCACAGCATGGGAGGGTATGTGTAACAACACTATAAGAGCAAGTCTGCGATACTGACTCTACGCAGCATCGTGGCGGCTCATCTTGCAGCCGAGCGCAGCGATCGGGTCGTTGCTGCAATTCTGATTGGTCCTGTATACCCCAACGAGGGTGTTGTACCGGTATTCGAGAAACGTATCGAGGCCGTCCAAAAGGATGGCATGCAGCCCATGGCAGACACCGTCCCTCAAAGTGCGGTAGGATCCAAGGCCTCTCCTCTGGCATCAGCGTTCATTCGAGAGCTCCTCCTTGGTCAAGACCCCGCCGGCTACTGCTCCAACTGCCGCGTTATTATCAATGCCAAACCGCCTAGCTACAGCAAGGTCAACATCCCAGTCTTGATCCTGGCTGGCGAGGAGGATAAGAGTGCACCACTCGAAGGTTGCAAGAAGATGTTCGAGGAGATGGGTACAAGCGAAAAGAGGCTAGAGGTCATAAAGGGCATCGGTCACTGGCACTGCCTCGAAGCATTCGAGGATGTAGCTAAGCTGATCGAGGGGTTCTATCACGAGATTCAGTGAGGTGTTTTTCACCAAATCGAGAGTCGAGACGTGCAGTCGTGTTCGGTACACTCAAATACTTAGCGTGATTCAAGCCTCAGGCCGGCAAATTCGGAGTTGTCGCCGCTTGCGTGGTGGCGCAAACGATTTGGTATTGTCCTCGTGACAAGATCATTGGTGGCGTGCCTGTTCCCGATCAGCTGCATATGAAACCTTGGCGCATGTGTGTTCCACCACGGCGTCTGCAGCGGATGTCCACTGTGCAGCAAATGCAGGGGTCTCGACTGCTTCTCGCGCCAACTTGAGCAGGACCCTGAAAATTCTCATTTTGGTTGTGGCTCTGCCGTCTTCAACATTTCGGTTACAACCCACGATGTCGTGCGTTGCCGCTTCATTGGATTTTGACACTGAGTCTTGACACGTCCCGGCAAGTCTTGGCCAGATACAGGCAGGTGATCTTGGTCCAATGCCGCTATCGATGGCGTTCTCACATATGATTCGGTCCCTCCCGCTAACCGTACCCACCATGGAGCGCGAGGCTGCAATTCGACATGCCTCGAACCTTGTCCACTCACGAAGGTCGTCACAGGTGCGGCCAAGTGATCTTTGTTGCTGTTTTTGGCCCTTCGATAAGGGACCGCATCCATGACCATATTCGCATGTGAAAATGGACGACATCATACGTCATCCCACTCGTTCAGCAAACATCCACGGGGTTGACATATTTGGTGCATCTGTTGTTGTCCGTTCCCACCGTCAAGAGCCTTGACAACCATTCTCCAGTTTTATTCCGGCACTAAACCCCTCGGGATTCTAGTTCTACAACCCCGGAAGTCCAATTTGAGGCGGTGAACTCAGGCTTCAAAACCCGCCCACTACCCAACCGCATTTCTGCATGTTCTGCGCGCGCTTTTGGTTGTAGGCAGCATCTAGGCCAATCAAAGTGCGAGATCTACGTTTTCTGTCGGTTGACTTTCTTTACATCTCGGCTAGCCGCTCTGCAACTGACCGCGCCGGTTCACTCGATAGCGCTGCGGGTTTCATAGCCTGCATCATCTGATTTACCTGCGTTTGCATATCATCCTTGTATTTCGACTTTTTATTGCAACTCACTTTGCGTTCTTTGTGCTTGGAGATCGATTCTTTTCAGCTTCGCATTCGCACTGGTTGCTGGTGAGGCCCCTTTCGCGGATACCTTCCTGATCAGACGCAGCACTGACGAAGCTAAAGGATGCCGAAATAACTATATCCATCAACAATTCCAACAACTGATTCAAATTTCGATTACTACGTCACGGCCCACTACTTGTCACCGCCTCTTTATGGATCGACAATGAATCGAAAAGATAGTGAATTCGTAGAATCCTTTCTCTCAAACCCCTCAAAGGAACAAACAACATCCTTGCACAGAAGCAACACCGCACCTCATCGCCGTCGTACGGCGGAGGCAGTTCCAGGCTCGATTGAGACTTCGGATACCGTCAACATGTCTACACGCCGACCGGCTTCTGAGAAGCGGCCGCGACCATCAAATCATAGATCAGCCTCATCGTCGGAAAACTCCACCACCAGATCGCGATCGAAAGGCCGTGGCCATGATTCAAAACTATCTTCCCGTCGTACTTCTTGTACCATCGTGGACCCTGCTAGGCCAGCTCGCCATTACAGAGTGAAGAGCTCTCACACAACATCACCCGCGAGCCAGGATGTCGACGATGTACTCGCCCTCCACTTCCGCAGTTGTAGTCTATTTTCAAACCCATCCTACCAGACCAACTCTGCCCTCCCGAGTCCGACACTGTCTCACCAAGACAACTTCGGATTTCCAAGCGCGGTGTCACGTTTCAGTATGGATGACATGGCTATGGTCGAGGAACATGTCTCACTGCAAGAAACTGAGAGCGCACGTGTTCCGGTCCCAGCTACCACCACGCATTGGATCTCGCCTAGCACCCGGAAGCGCGACTACGAAAGGATTGACAAACAAAACACTGGTTTCCGAGGCCTAGTCAGGCGAGTGGTTCCACGCTGTGTATCAGGTCCACCAGAGAGATTCTACGAAAAAGATCAGTCGGACGCTGGATCCGTTCGACGCTACAGACTGGACGTCATCGAAAGTCACATCAACGAGAAGGAGATCACACGACTCCCCACCCAGAGTTCGCAGTTGCAGAGACCCAAGCTGAAGTCACGATGGACCTGCTTCTGAGCACAAACGCACACATGAGAAACGGCAGCACACACTTTTTGCATATTTGCGCGGCATTACGATACCCACGGCATTTGCGCTTGTTGGATTTTAAGCACTATACCTACTTAGAGCCTGGATTTATTGGTCTTTGGTCTTGCATAGCACAGCGTGACGTTAATTTTAGTAGATATTTAGAAGATAGTTGAGACCGTAGGAAAGTACGAGAGAATCTACAACTTCTCACGATACAAAACAAGATCGTATCTTGTACGACGATGGCGACGCGTTCGATGAGCCAGTGCTCAGTGTCCAGATATACCTTCTACATGCAGCCACTAGCATCATGGCTCATCAGAAAATCCAACTCACCCATACAAGTCACAGGCGCCAGAACAGCGCAGGCAGAAGGAAGAGGTATCTTTGGTATGGCAATATATTGTTTCCTTCATTCGTGTTGCTCATAACTTTGCCTCCTCCTTGACTGTGCCAACCTTCAGCTTCGGTCCGTACTTCTTGAGGACGCTCTCGTTGTGGTACTGTTCAAGATGTGTTAGCAAGCATCCCTTCCACAGCGTAACATTTCAGGACTCGAATAGCGACTTTGTCACTCAGCACAGCACCAACGCGCTCAGTTCGCAAGGATCAATGTCGTTCCAACATACCTTCCAGAACTGCTTGCTCGCATCCTTTCCACCCACTCTCTTCAAGATCTTCGCGCCACCAGGGTGCTCGTCTACAAAGCTATCCAGCTTGTACACATCCTTGTCCACAATAATGTACAGCCCCTTCTCGACTGTGTTGTGCTCGGCGACTTGCTTCGTTGTGAGTTGCTCGGACATTGTGATCGTGTGAGGCGGCTCAGCGCAAGGAGTATCGGGATCGGCTCGGTTATTGACTGATGGAGCGGTAGGTATACGTGGAAGGTGCGAACGGTGCAAGGTGTATCAGGCTGGATGTTTGAGTGTTTGGTACGGTGGGTATGGGGAAGTCTGGGGCAGTACGGAGGTATGTGTTTGTTCGGGTCGCGGCTCGGTGTTTGAATGGCGTGGAGCGATGGCGTCGTGCCGAGGTTGTTTCGTGAGAAGGGGTCAGCGAAGAAGCGGGATGGGTGATTGGTGGCCGCAGTTGCCTATTATTGAACCATTATTCGGCCACACCAACTCTCCACACTTAGACTATCACCAATACCAGATTGGGAGTCTGAACTTCATCGACTATAGTTTGGAGGCCTTCGTATGGGTCCAAGAGCTGGCGGGCCAGAAGGAGGCACCGAGAGTACCTTCAGTGAGTGTCAAGGGCATCTGACCACGATGCTCTGCGAGCCCCGTGGCTTTCTTGTGAACTGCATCCATATCCATAAAATGGAAGCACCACTCTCATGCTCTGAAAACCTTAACGGCGGCTTCTACTTCGGATTGGATGCTCCTCATCTGAGTGAACAGATGGGTTGGTTTACCAGCAAGCAAAGTATGGTTCGCGTTCAAATGCTCATAGTCCAATCCATGGGTAAGATGAGGTGTTTCGCACATTATGGCCTTTTCGAGAGTTCGCTCCTCTCTACGAAAACAAGATCGTTTTTCATCCTTCATTTATCTGTGTACAGCTTCAAGTTAAGCAGATCATTCTTAGTCTAATTTTGATCAGCAAATTTGCAGCCACAAAAAGGCATCCTGGATCGAAACATATCATCGAAGGACAACTACTTCACGGCAGAAGAAAACGTTATCTCGAGATACACAGCATCACCACGTCAGACCGTTATCACTGAGATCGAACGGCGAGGGCGAAACGTGATATTGAACCACGTTTTCGGCGACGATTTAGTCACTTGGTACGAGCACATCATGATGATCTCAGAAACAATCTGCTTCGAACGCAGGCTGATTGATTTCAGGATGCCGGTTCTCGTAGATCGTGCGCGACTTCCTCTCCTCAACTCAGAACATGCTACTACCCTGCCTGTGCCCGGTTCCTCCTACACTGACCGAAAAAGAAATTGCGTTATTCGCAGCAAGATATCTTTGCTTGCAAGACATGCGTTCACCAACCGACAAACAACTAAATAAGTGAAACAAAGCGCGCGCACAAAGCCACCAACACAAAGCAGAACGAAAACAAAATGTAACATCTTCAAAGATGGGCACGTGTCAAAGACATGGTTCGAACGACTAACAATTGCGTTTTGGCAAACGATTGCGCATCAAACGTAACGTCACGTACATTACAACCGTGAATCATGGAGAGTTCGCTCCTGCAATCCAGGCTGTCATCGCAGATACACTAAATACCTACACACAAGTACTGGGCATTACACCCTACCTCTACTATCGGCAATTCGTCATTAGTCATTCCTACGTACCGATACCACGTAGTGGAGATCGCCACGAAGAGGTCAGCGGTAGACGTTTCTGAGACCCCTTTGATTCGACTCCCGCCCCGTTCTACCGCCCCGTCAGTACAGTCGAGCATCTCGTCAAGCACTACCTCAACGCTCAGATGTGCTACATTCTCCTCTCGTCATGCCAGACCTGTGCTTTCCCCCTCCGCACCCGGCACACACGTTGCAGTCACGCCGAACTGCACGGCTTCGATCCGCTCTCCTGTCCCAACCGGATGAAGAGACGCCGACAAAGTAACACTGGAGTATGTGGCAAGTGTAGTCACAGGAAGGGGAGTTTGGGCTGTCTTCCAAGCAACATATCATGCGAGGATGAGGACTCAGACGAGCAGACGAACATGTTAGGAGTCGTGAAGAGCGAGGCTGCACGATTGAGGAGTGAGAGGAAGAGAAGGAGGCTCATGATGAAGAGGCGCGTGCAGCAGAGAATGTGAAGTTTACGGTGTTGGTGAGCATAGGATGGTCAAATTTAGATTCAACCACTTAAGATAAGCCTTAATCTTGCTATGCATTTCCAGTGATCTTCTTCTCTTCCTCCAAGACCTGCAGCAATCTCCTTGTGATTTTGTCCCGCTCAGCAACATCAACCGTACCATATGCCTCTTTAGCTTCCCAGAATATCTTCTTCTCCCACCCATCTCCTACGTTCGGCGTCCCTGCATTCGCCCAGCAATCTTGCACCGTACCGCCGATGTTCTTGAAAAACCCCTCAAGGCCTGCTGGACCTCCGCCTGCATGATAGCTCTTGAATGGTCCCGCGACCGCCCATCTCGGTCCCATTGAAGTTTGGACAATTTGGTCCAATTCTTCTACAGACACCACACCCTGGTCAACGAGATGGACAGCTTCGCGGAGCAATGCGAAGGCTAGCCTGTTTGCTACAAAGCCAGTTGACTCTTTCTTGATATGAATAGGCACCCGACCCCTTGCGCGCCAAAACTCTTGTGTCCGCTTGATGACGTCTTCCGACGTCTCTGGCGAGGGTACAAGCTCCAGGAGTGGCATGATATGCGGCGGGTTGTAAGGATGTACTACCAGCACGCGACTCGTGTCCTGCATCTTGCATATTTGCTGAGAAGCTGGGATGCCAGATGTCGAGCTCCATAGTAGAGTGTCTTTGGGTGCGTATTTTTCTACTTCAGCCCAGAGGTTCAGTTTGAAGGAGGCGTTTTCTGGTCCTGACTCTTGAATGATTGAGGCATTTTCAACAGCTTCATGGAGCGAGGATGCGATCTTTACGTCAGAGAAAGATGGGGAAGAGGATTGGTCCTGGTCTTTGAAGAACTTTGGCAGGTTCTCTTGCACATATTGAGCGGCATCTGAGCGTGTGTCGTAGATTGTAAGTTGCGATGGGCTCGCAAGGTGGGTGAGATGGAAGGCGGCGAAGGAAAGCCCAATAGTTCCAGTGCCAATCAAGGTGATATTGGTTTCCGTATCGTGTTTCAATGTTCCTGACATGATGAGTGATGGTGGTTGATATACAAGGGTGTCCCGAAGTGGGTAGCTCTCGGGAGCAGCTTCTAAACCCCGCCTGTCCGCCTGCAAGCTCCCGCCATCCCCGCACGACAACCGACTCGAACATCGCGAACCGACGTACTGGTGGCGCCGAGGAAACATCATGGATTATTTGATCGTGAGCATGCAAGTTTTTGTACTCATTCTCTACGCGCTGAATAGCTCCGGTGTTAATTCGACCTGATTGCTCGGTTTGTGATTGCCTCTTTCATCGCAGCATCGTTGAATTTAAACACATCTACATCATATAGCTCTTCGTCATCTGTCAAGATGGTCGTATTCAAGTCACGACAGCCACCGATCGACTGTAAGCGTGTTGAAAAATTCCATCTCGAATTCTCTGGACTGACTAAGTACAGTACCTACCGAATTGACAGACTGGGACTGGTTGTTCGATTCTTCACACTCGCCTCTGAACAAGTACCCTCCAAATGAACTTGCTGGCTTTCAGAATGCTGTAACAAAAGAGCGTGTCGACTGGGCAGATGTTAAAAAGTATTCAACCTACATCGCTACGGCGCTGGTGAAGAAGTATGGTCTCAAGACCGGCGAAACAGTGTCGCTCTTCGGCCAAAACACCGTTTGGTACCCAGTCGCTATGTTCGCAGGCCTACGTGTTGGTGCAAAAATCAGTGGTGCAAGTCCAGCGTACAATGTCGAAGAGATGACCTTCGCGCTGAAGACCGCGGATTCAAAGTTCCTTCTTACGACGCCTGGCAGCATGGAGGTTGCATCTGCAAGTGCGAAAGCCGCTGGACTGCCGCGATCTAACGTGTTCCTGCTTGAAGGCGAGCTTCCAGGTTACACTACCGTCCAGGAGCTCATTAGGATTGGAAAGTCATACGGCGAGAACGGCCAGACTCCAGCATTTAAGATCCCTGTAGGCAAGAAGAACAAGGATGTATGTGGTTTCCTCTCATTCTCAAGCGGCACCACTGGACTCCCCAAGGCCGTCATGATCTCCCACCAGAACGTTATCGCCCAATGTCTCCAGATTCAGCAAATTACCCCTGAAACTCAGAAGAAGATCATGGCAGTCCTACCCTTGTTCCACATTACTGGCTTAGTTCACCAAATGCACCTACCCATCCTCCTCAACGCGGAGGTAATCATGCTTCCTCAATTTACCATGGAAGGCATGCTCAACACAATCTGTGAATACAAACTCAGCGAACTTCTCCTCGTGCCACCCATCCTCATTCGCCTCGTCCGCGATTCCATCGTCGACAAGTACGACCTCAGCCACGTAACACGCTTCTCATCGGGCGCCGCGCCCTTATCCGAGGAAATCATCCTGCTCTTGCAAAAGAAGTTTCCGAACACAGGCTTCAAACAAGGCTACGGCATGACAGAATCCTGCTCCTGCATCACCGCCCATCCTCCAGAAAAGTTCTCCTACAAGTACGCCAACAGCGGCGGCGCAATCGTCGCCTCAACCGAAGTCAAAATCATCAAACCGGACGGCACCGAAGCTGGGCTCAATGAAGACGGCGAAGTGCTCGCCCGCGGCCCACAAGTCGTCATGGGCTACCTCAACAACCCCAAAGCGACAGCTGAAACCTTCGACGCAAATGGCTTCCTGCACACGGGCGACCAGGGCAGCATCGATGAGGAGAACATGATCCACATCAGCGACCGCATCAAGGAGCTCATCAAAGTTAAGGGCATTGGTGTTGCGCCGGCCGAGCTGGAGGATCTGCTCCTGGGGCATCCGAAGGTCGAGGATGTTGCCGTCATGAGCGTGCCTGATGAGTATAGCGGGGAGTTGCCGAAGGCGTATATTGCGCTTAAGCCGAATATTGAGGAGAGCGTGGCGGTGGGGAAGGAGATTCTTGCGTATGTGAAGGAAAAGAAGGTTAGATATAAGTGGTTGAATCAGGTTGAGTTTGTGAGTCTGCTGAAATGTGCGATTGTGAGTGATGCATCTGCTGACATTGTTTGACTAGATTAAGGAAATCCCGAAGTCGCCTTCTGGTAAGATCTTGAGGAGGGTGTTGAGAGACAAAGAGAAGGCTGGCAAGTTTGGACTGGTAGTCAAAGACGAGGCGAAGGCAAAGTTGTAAATGCGGCTGGTGCACTGAAGGACTCCAGTGGTTCAGTTTGCTTTTGGTGGTCGCCAGACTTCCCGTTTCCGTCCTGCCATTGTACATTTGGTGGTCGAGGTGGGGTGGTTCGGCTGTAGCAAAACTTTACGTGACCCCACATCGTCACCTCTGCGTCCCCGAACTACGATGAAACCCAAAGCAAATGCAACCTCATGTTTTTATTTGCTATATAGTTTTATCCCATTGGTTCAGCTTCCATCAAACAACACCACTGGTTTTGTAGTGTAGGCGCACCCGATCACATTAATCCGCATCAGATAACTAATCCTCAATAGGTAGCGGTTATCACTCCGGATTCTGATCACCTCAGTATCTTCCGGCAACCCCGGTTCGATTCCGGGCAAGACCTCTCTTTTTGCTCCCTACAACAAACTCCATGAGTGGTGACAAAACGCAATACCTGTGTCTGTCAGAGCATACGCTGCTGCCGACTCTGTCTGGAAGCCTTGCTTTCATTATTTTTTCATCGCCCAATATTCACTGTCGGTCTTGCACCGTCGATGCCCACTCTGAAGTCTGCTGTGAATGCAATGCTTTCAATGGTATACATAGATATGACATGGGTCGTTTCGGACCTCCGTCTTGCTTTTTGCAAATGCCAATCATCCTCAAGGGTGCCTTTCCCGTTCGCCAAACGCCTCGCAATATGAATCTCCCTCTTGTCTCTCCATTTAAATGCCTCTGGCCTCCAGGATGACCTCTGCGCGATGGAACCGTGAGTACTGATCTTCGATCGCGTGGTTGTTTCCTGATCCTGGTCTTGTGCTCTCTATAGCCCATCTCTCCAGCCACCTCAAATGACCCATCGGTAACTGGCATAGCGACCAGCAGTTTCCGACTTTCTTATGATCTTGACGACAGCACCGCGCTTCAACCCCAAGTACTTCGCGACCGGATCTGTAGACTGAATCCTGGGGAGCTGTGTGGCCTTGAGACGGTACCTCTTGAGTAGCTGTTGCTTCTCCTCTTCACTAAGAAGAACATGCTTGGGGACCAACTCGTGCTTTGTGATGTTGACCAGCAGATCTTGCTCGACAAAGACCTCGACGCCGCCCTTGGGGCCCTCGCTCATGGTGGCTGAGCCGCGCAGCAAACGGATGGCCATGCCGGTCATGGGCTTGACGGTGACCATGATACCGGAGTAGAAGGCGCCATTAACCAAGTGTTGCATGTAGTCGCGCAGCTGCTTCAGACCGACATTCTCGTCGCTGTTGAACTCGACCCATATGGTGCCGATCTGTGGTCGTGGTTCGGGGTCCTTCTTTGTAGGCGGCATGGTATATTTGGTAAGCATCTCCTCGCCAGGCTGGCAGGAAAAGTTGAGGCGCGAGCGGCTGCCATCATGTTAGCATGAGCGCTCTATTGATTGTATATCGTGGTCGCATACTCGGGCTCGCCGTCTGCGCGGCCGTATCTACTCGCGAACTCATCCAGTGTCATGTTCATGTCGTCCTCGAGAACTTGGTAGCCCTTGATCATGTCAGCGCCCTTGTTCGTAGCTGGGGCAGGCGCCGGCGCATCCTACTCGGTCGTTCATCATCTCCTTGGTTGTGCGCCAGACCCTCCACATGCGGATCAAGTTCGCGCTCGGCTGCTTCTCGTCGGACATGGCGGCGGCGGCGGCTCTCTGACGGGAAAGGGGGGTTTGGGGGGGGGGGGGGGGATGAGAGGTTCGGGGTGGTTGCAGCTGCGACAGCTCGGACAGGCCTCTCTATCCAAGACGCGAAAAAGATCAAAGGCCGCCCGCGAGACCACATTGCTTGGCGCGCCGCTCGCGCTTTTCCGTTAACGCTCTAGCCTCCGCTGACCGATGCCCCGCTATTGGAAGCTCTCGAAGCTCCATCAACCGGCGAACATGACATCTTCAAACCAAATACCGGACCTCAGAACACTCCTCGGATCCGGCCGTGGAGGAGGACTCAGAGGACGAGGGCGTGGTAGAGGCGGTCCTGGGAGCTCCAGCGACGAAGTCAGAGACAATGCAGTCAAAGGAACTGATCAGGACGCTGCGGGGAGCAGGGTGAGCTGTGTAGAGCTGGGCTATCTGCATGATCCATATGCAAAGCTCTTTGCAACACAACCCTCGACGAGGAGACTTCCATTACTAAACAGAGGTATATCACGTGGATTTTACCTTGCTTGCATCGCTAACCAACGCAGGCTCCTATGTCCGCACCTCCGCAATCGACATACTCGTCACCAAGTTCCTCCTCACATATCCTTCCTCTGCGAAACAGATAGTGTCGCTCGGTGCTGGCACTGACACACGATTCTTTCGCCTCCTCGACGCCTACCCTGACGCCCGTCTAATCTACCACGAGATCGACTTCCCAACCAATACTTTACCCAAGATCGCATGCATACAGAGAGCACCAGTGCTATATCGCAAACTACTTCAGATACCCAGGACATCGAGTTCATACCATTCAGCGACATACAACATACATGCGCTCGACCTGCGCTCCTTGGCTACCCCTTCAGACGATGCGCCGCTGCCAGAGCTGCCCAACCTCGACCCTACTATACCCACCTTAATACTCTCAGAGATGTGTCTCGTGTACCTACAACCTCAGACAGTCCAGTCTATCATATCGACCTTTACCACACACTACCTCGAACCTACCACACCCGCGTCCATCATACTCTACGAACCAATACTACCACGGGATGCCTTTGGCAGGACCATGATCTCGAATCTACAAACTCGAAACATACACCTCCCTACGCTCACCTCATACCCGGAGCTTGGCGATCAGCGTGCACGATTGAGCGGGTACGGCTTCAAGGACGGCGCGAAAGCGGCAGACACGAACTTCATTTGGAAGCATTGGATAAGCGAGGACGAGAAGGAGCGTGTCGGTAGTCTGGAGATGCTAGATGAGCTAGAGGAACTAGAGCTCTTACTCAAACATTACTGTTTTGCCTGGGGTTGGAGAGATGGAGAGAGCGATATATTTTCAAAGGCTTGGGCTGCTGTTCAAGAGCAGGCGTAGATTGGCATCAAGCCCAGACGCACTGTACCATAGCGAATAACAAGTTTACTCACAAACAACCTAACTTGAACTCTAGCGAAGAAGACGAAGAAGATGGAGTGTGACACGTGCACCCGCGACAAGAGACAGCTCGACCCGGGGCGCGCTAAGGGCCCACTTGCCGTTCGCATCGTGCCTGCCCTTTCACGATCAACAATCACCAACTTCACTGCAAACAAGAATTAACCCCGGCAGCACACCCTGCCCTGGCCGCCTGCTGTGCTCGAGACATGTCGTAAACTTACATCGACCTCTGCCCAGCGGTTTACACGATCTGGCCGCTTTATCTGCTTTGCGACGAGTCAACAAACAACAAAGACAGCAACAAAATGGCATTCGGCAGGGCCAACCAACCGAGCTTCAACCTCTTCACTGGGGTTGAGGAGTCGCCGCCGCCGCCCGAGCCTCTGCGACAGACCTTTCGTACCACCATGCGCGCCTCGACGGCACCAAATGCGCCGCACACTGTCGTTCCTGACAACCCCGTCAACGAAGATCTGCGCGCGCAGCTGAACACACTACGATACGAGCTTGAGACTGCAAAACAAGAGAAAGCGATGCTCAAGCTGGAGCTCGACCAGGAAATCAGAGATACACAAAGTCGCGCCGAAGCCGACTTTCGCAAAGCACAGCAGGCAGAAGCAGCGAATGCTCAGACAGCGAAGAAACACGAGGCGCTCTCTAAGGAGCTGTCTGAGGTGCGAACACGGGCCGAGAATGAACGACGAGACCTTGAGAGACGGCTGCGGCAAAGCCAGGAGAAGGCCCAGTCATTACAAGAGGACTATGACGAGGCCAAGGAAGACCTAGCGACATCACAGCGGCAGAACGATCACAAGTATAACAACCTGCAGACAGAGCACCAACGGCTGAAAGACAGTGTGGAGGACATACAAACGGACTTGGTGTCGAAAGTCAATGCGCTGCAGGCGGCGCAGAAGAAGCTGGGAGAGAGGGAAGAGGAGGTCGGACAGCTCGAGGCAGAGGTGCTGCGACTAAAGGCTATTACAGGAGACGCTGAGACCTTGACCATCATCAAAAGGGAGCTCTCGGACCAGGTTGCGCACATCCAGAAGCTAGAGGCTTTGACGAGAGAGCAGAATGCGGAACTCAGGAACTTTCGCAAGCAGCACAAAGCCATTGAGGTTGTTGAAGAGGAGAAGAGATCACTCCAGACGAAGCTGCGTATGATGGACGATCTGCAAAGACAACTAGGCGAGGCCGAGATGAGGAAGCAAGTCCTCGAGGAAGAGCGTGACTCGTGGACATCGTATCTTGAGTCTGAGGGCAACGAAGATGGCGAGCTACAATTCGAGACGCCTGCAGATCTTGCGCGGGCTTTTATCCAGGAGCGGATAGACAAGACGGATCTTCTGAACAAGCTGGGCGAGATCAAGCCCGAGCTCACTGTCAAGGAGGCCAATATTCAAGCGTTGGAGGATGAGAAGGCCAAATTGCAAGCTGAGATCCAGCAACTGAAGAGCTCTGTGACGACGAATAGCGCGCCCAACGCAAAGGAGGCACAAGCTCGTGCCAGGCTCGAACGTCAAAAGGCATTGGTAACAAAAGAGGTCGAATTCCTGCGCGCCCAAGTCAAAGCTTTCGACGACGAAGAACGCGAAATGCAATCCGACTCCTACGACGCAGCAAAGTCGCAACGAATTCAAGAACTCGAAGCCCTCGTCGACGAACACCGCAAAGAACTCGACACCCTCCAAAAAGAATTCAACAGCATCGAAAAACTCACACCCACACCCACCACAGGACAAAAGCGCCCCCTCGAGACCGACGAAAACGACGAGCGCGTCGGCGAACTACGCCGCAAAAACCGCCAACTGACCGACGACCTGGGCGCCTTGCAGAAGAAAATGAAGCTCATCGAAACAGAATACAAAGCGCAACACTCGCAACTCAAGAAACTCAAAGAATCCTCCCGCACCCGCGTCCTTGAATTGAGAAGCAACCCCACCGCCGACGCCGAAGCGCTTAAGCTCTCCACCGTCCGTACTCTGCGCGACGCAAACGCCCAGCTCCTCGCCCAGCTCGAGAGAGCTCAAACCCCGCCCAAAACCGTACCGTTCTCTACTTTCGAAGCTGCGCAGGACGAGATGGAAGAATTGCGGCACTCGCTCGCCTCGTCTGAAAAGAAACAAACACGCCTCAAACAAATCTGGGCCGCCAAATCCCTCGAGTTCCGGGAAGCCGTTGCTTCCATCTTGGGCTGGAAACTGGATTTCATGCCCAACGGACGAGTTAAGGTGACGAGTATGTTTAAGCCGGCGGACGACGAGGACGAGAATAGTATTGTGTTTGATGGGGAGAACGGGACGATGAAGGTTTCGGGTGGAGAGCAGAGTGTGTTTGCGGGCGAGATTCGGGATCAGATCGTTTATTGGGTGGAGGGGAGGAAGGAGATTCCATGTTTTCTGGCGGCGTTGACGTTGGAGTTTTGGGAGAGGGGGCCGGGGGCGGAGATGACTATGAAGCTGTAGGCTGATGTGGATGTCGATATAGCAGAGTCGGGCGTTACAGAACGCTTGGACGGCTTCGAGTGAGGTCTATGAAGGTGAAGTGCATATATGCCTGCTCAGACTTACGATGCAATATACCAAGATACGACATGTCCTTTAACCTTCACCCCCCCCCCCCCCTACTCATTCTCTCCATGTCATTTCCTCACGGACACAATCGCAGTTCACTAACATCAGATCATACCTAACCTCCTCATCTCTCCCTCCAACTCCGCCTCCCTCATACTCTCCCAGCTCCCACTCCTTACCCTCCCATACCCGCGTCCAGTCCTCACCCACTCGCTCGTCCTCTCATACCGCCCAAACCGGTCTCCTCCAAACCTGTCCATCCTCCCCATATCCATCCTCGCCATTTCCGTTCCCTCACTCACGACGCCTCTTCGCTGCCATACTCTCTCCCTGCCACTGCCTCGGCTATCGCCCGGGCGAAACCACCATAAGTATCCGAATATCCATAGCCAGAGGAAGATGCCCAGAGTGAGGATGTCGTAGAACACGAGTGTGAATGTTGCGGCTGTGAACCAGTGTGGCCATTTGGAGATGGGCTCGGGGGCGGCGGTGTCGAATGGTGTTGCGGCAGCATCTTGCTCGTCATCGGTCAAGGTGTCTTCGTCGTCGCTGCGCCCTGAGGCAGTGGTTGGGCGGGGTGTAGGGTTTGGCAGGGTGATCACAACTGTCGTGGTTGGAAGGCAGGTGGCGCTTGTCGTGCCGTTTAAGGCGGTGGTGACGGTCGAGTCAGCCGCCGCTGTATGTACAGGCGTGGACGTAAGTGAGGTGAGTAATGTTGTTCGAGAGGTGGTAGCCGAGCTGAGAGTTTCGCTGCTGGTATTGAGCAGTGGTTCTGGTGGAGGTGGTTCAAGGACGGCGCCTTCGATGGTGCCCTTGTCCAGGACGAAGCTTTGAGGCAGCGCTTCTGCGACGACAGCGCAAATCAAGTAACAAGCGAGTGTGTGACCCAGCATTGCGGGTGCTGGTGCCATTCGAAGCGAGCGTGTAACGCGTTGGCTTTGTAGGGACGAGTGTGGGAAGGCGTGAAACAGCTACCTTTACTGATAACGAGAGTGGTAATTGTTGAAGCTTTTGCAATTGCGAAAGGAATGGAGAAGGCAGACGTTCGACATGAGGCAGGAGGGCTTCAGGGCAGCAACTTAGTGTCGTTGGTTTTGGAAGTTGCGGACCGGCGTAATTGGGGAAGGAGTGAAGGTGACTGCGAAAAGCGCGTAGGTGAACGTGAAGATTTGAAATGTGCACAATCTGCTATTATGCCTAGCAGACGTAGAATAGTAATGAAACGTTCTATGTACAAACCAAGTGGTATCGCCAAACTCCAGAATCTGCTATGTGGAGTGCTATTTTGATTCAAATCAGCGCAGCGTAATTCATTTCTCTTGCACATTAGTGTTCAGTTATCCCTGTCCCAGGGCAACGCGAAAGTGCCTGTCCAATCCTCAACCTCTTTCCTCAGCTCAAGAATATCCGTGATGTCGTCGCCCTCGCCAACGTATTCCTTGAATGCTGCGACGCTTCCGGGGTTCTTACGGCCAGTCTCCTCAGCCTTCTTCTTCGCATCGTTGTCCAGCTTTTGTGTGATACCAACAGCGCGGTGGACAACATCAGCGACACGCTTGAAGTCCTCAGGCTGGAAACCACGAGTAGTCATGGCAGGTGTGCCCATGCGCAGACCGCCGGGCTTGAGGGCAGACTTGTCACCAGGAACAGTGTTCTTGTTCGATGCAACACCGACAAGCTCGAGAACGCGCTCAACTCGCGCGCCATCAACACCGCGGTCCTTCAAGTCAATGAGCACAAGGTGGTTGTCGGTGCCACCGCTGACAAGGTTGTAGCCCAGACCGCCGTTCTCCTTGCTGTCACCGAGGCGCTTGGCGAAAGCTTGAGCGTTATCAAGGACTGCCTGCTGATATTCCTTGAACTCTTTGCTCTGCGCTTGTTGAAGGGCTACAGCCAGAGCTGTGATAGTGTGATTGTGGGGTCCTCCCTGGTGACCAGGGAAAACAGACGAGTTGATCGGTCCCTCGAGATCGTACATCTCCTTGTTGCCCTTCTTGTCGACGCGTCTCACGCCTTTGCGGAAGAAGATCATAGCACCTCGAGGGCCACGCAAAGACTTGTGGGTGGTTGTTGTGACGATATCGGAGTGGGGGAAGGGCGAGGGCATGACACCGGCGGCGACGGGACCTGAGATGTGAGCCATATCAGAGAGGAGATATGCGCCGACTTCATCCGCAAGTTTGCGCATGCGCTCGTACTCAATCAAGCGGCTGTACGCCGATGTACCAGCTACAATGACCTTGGGGCGGTAGAGGTGTGCCAGCTCGGCCATCTTCTCGTAGTCGATAATTCCGGTCTTCTCGTCCAGCCTGTATGGAAGGGTCTCGAAGTACTTGGAGATAGCGGAGATCTTCTTGCCGGGGATCTGGTAACCGTGCGACAAGTGGCCGCCGTGGGGGAGATCGAGAGCGAGAATGCGGTCATGGACGTTCATAACGGCGGAATAGGCGTAGAGGTTGGCGGGAGAGCCAGAAAGAGCTGAGCGGATGCTAGTCAGCTACAGACGTGTTTACACTCCAAGACAACTCACGCTGGACGTTGACACCCCATTCCTCGGGGCTGAGATTGAAGGCCTTGAGCGCACGCTCCTGGCAAAGGCGCTCTGCCTGGTCGATGTACTCGTTGCCTCCGTAGTATCGCTGGCCCGGGTACCCTTCCGAGTACTTGTCTACGTGATGATGTGAGCTTCGTTGGTTGCGCGTGATGCGTGACACATACTCTGCATAACACTGCCGAGAGCCTCGAGAACAGCTTGCGATGTGAAGTTCTCGGAAGGAATCAAGTTAATGAAGTGCTTCTGACGCTTCTTCTCCTACAAGACGACCGCGGGTAAGCTTCAATCGCATACTGGAGCTTGGTGGCGTGAGTCGTACCTGCTCGATGATGTTGTAGACAGTCGGGTCGGCGTCCTCAAGGTCCTGGGAGAGCACCTGAGGAATTGTCAATCAATTGCTCATTCTATATCTCTATCAGATCAAGTACCTTCTGCTGTGCCTCTAGTGAGGTTGCGTATTCCCGCCATTGTCGCTGCACTATTCTTGGGTGGTTTGTGGCAGCTGTGCGGCGAGCGAGCTGGCTCAGAGGCGCTCTGCATACAGATCTGAGGGATGCCATTGCTGCAAGGTGTATACCGGGAATTGAAGGCGCACCGCGAGCTTTAAAGAAACCCCAACGCGATACTGGACTCGATATCCGCAAGAGGCAACAGGACGATGAGGCGGCAACCGGCGGCAATTGGTGGCGCGGGATCCATCCCGGTGGACAGATTTTCCGTCGGCCGGTGGTCAAAACTTTCCCAGTCTCGCGTCTCTCTCCTGCTCTTTACAACTAAAACCTCGTGATTAAATGCTTTCAAGACAGCTTCATTCTCGCTTGGCTGGCGCAAGCTGGTTGACGCGGGTGCTGCTGAGACGCTGCGGGCATCACCACCCAAGAGCAGACGAGAGACCTTATGAATGGAATTAGTTGTGCGCTGCATTTGGCAATACCAATGCAAGGTTCCGTCGGCAATGTTGACGGTGAGAGTAGCGGTGACTCGCCAGCCATTTCATGTAGGTGGCCTTGTGTTACTGAGGTACTCTTGCCGTTTGTATGTAGGTAGCAGTCCAATTGATTCATCTCATCTTTCATCTCTCTGTCCGTCACCACGCCTTCCTGCAGTGACAACGCTTGCCAAGCCAACAACAGCTTCACCAAGGCAGGCACGAACACGCGACACTACTTTTCTGTTTACTGCCATCACGCGTGCCTGCCACTTTCTTGTTGACCTCCACCGCGTCAACAACCTCAGCCTGAGCGTTGCCTGACCAGTCAACACCAATCACGCGTCCACTACACCGCTACACGCGTCAAACGGACAGCACCCCCCAAATATGGCTTCCAGCACGCCCAAAAAGTCGACCTCTTCTCCACCACCGATCTCTACACGACAGGAAAGCAGTCCTGAGGTTGGCAGTCCATCCAAGATTACCCAGTATAATAAGCAGACCGGTCGACCCGTACGTCGAAGCGCTGGGAAGATGAAGCCCGTTGAAGGATATGTCGATTCCAGAATCCTCGAAGAAGAAGATTTCATACCGTATACCTCCAATGACGAGAGCGAAGAGGAAGACGACATCGGCACGCCTCGCGGCCGTGCTAACAAGACGAAGTGCAAGCGCAAGCGAAGTCCATCCCCGCCATCTCCACGCCTCGACCCTATCATATACAACCAGCAGCTGGACGAATTGACAGACGATGAGACAGGTGGAGCGTTCCACCGCCGCACTCCAAAGAAGCCGCCTGTTACCCTACGATTCGATGTACCATTGGGATACCATGGCCCACTTTTCGTTAAGCTAGATCCCGCCATCCTGAAGTTGGACGATGAAGCCACGGTCCACGGTATGCGCCAGTCAAAGAAGAGCAGATCAGATGCTTCAGAGTCACAGGCAGGAGCAGTCCATCAACGTCGAAAGGGCTTTACCGACTTGCCTCCAGAGTTGCGAAACAAGGTATATCGATACGCCTTCGTACGCGACAAGACCTTCCAGATACCGGCCTGTAAGCCCTGGGGAAGCGGCGACCTATGTCAGTCAGGCCAGTTCCTGAGCACATGCAAGCTGGTGCACAACGAAGGCTGCTCGATTCTGTATGGCGAGAACACCTTTGCTTTCGAGAGGCACGAGAGCACTCGCGGTACCTTTTACGAGCATGAACCCAAGGAGATTGGTTATCAGGATGCCCTCCAGTTCCTCAAGATGATCGGTCCAGAGAACATCCAGTATCTGCGAGACCTCAAGATTGTCTTCAATGACGCTCGACCTTCTGATACACCGCACGCACACTCGAACGAGGACCGCCGGTACATGACAGATGACATTTTGATCAACGTTCTGCGCATCTTGCGACACGCCAAATTGCGCAAGCTGTCACTGGCTTTCATGGGTCGGCGAAATCTTCAGAGGTCTGACGTCAAGTTCCTGGGCTACCTAGAGCAGATCAAGACGGACGAGCTGGAGAAGTGGGCTCAACCAAGGAGCTACTACTTTGAGCACAAGATCCGTTACAGTGTCTGGCACGATCTTACCGAGCAGATGGTCCGCAAGAAGAAGCTTTATGACACAGAGTAGTGTCTTCCTCCACAAGGCCGCTCATCTCAGCCAGACTCTGTCAACTTCTACTCCATGGACAATTCACATCTGCTGCATGACTTTATCCTGTATACGCCAAAGTCCATGTCGACAAATGCTGTTATCAATAATCATCTTGTTGCGACCTTATATTTCATGACCAGACTGTACGGCATGCTCCCCTTCTGCTCGAGTTTGGGTTCGGGAGTCAATCAAGGTCGTTATCGAGATCTGGAGTTCCGGGGTGAGCATGATACGGTGTAACCCGATCAATCCTCTATGGCGTTTTACAATGGGCGAAGGCCTAGCATCAGATACCCCTTCCGGCATATCCTGCATATGACACATACATCACAATCAAAAGCATCTCCTTATCGTGCATATGTAGCAATTCTGTTGCTCGTTCATTATGATTCGCGATAGTCCTTTCCTCATTCCTTTAGCATCGGAACAAGACTTTCAGCCATCTACGTCCACTTAGCCCGCAGTACCTCTCCTCTTCTTGAATTCTTCAATCCAGGCTGCACTTTTCGCCTTCGGCACCACACTCATCCGCACCAACCCATCACTCACAACTACCTTCCCACTTCCCAACACCTTGTGCAATGCCATCTTCTTGCCCACCTTGATCAGCCCGCCCGCCACTGTCTCCATGTACGCCTCCACGCCGTCAACCGTGTACTCGTTCTCCTCGTCCCAGGGCAGCGGGAAGATGTAGTCCAGATGCTCTGGCAGCGTCTGGTGCTCGTTGAAGGCTTTGATGAAGTCGGACTGCGAGTGTGCGGGGTACAAGAGGAGAACAGGGAAGGAGAGCGGGGAGGACGGGTCGAGGGGGTTAGAGAGCTGGATCTTTGCATCCTCAAGATCTGGTGCCTCATCGCCAGTACTTCTTACGGTGACATTGCGCGCTTTGAGGGCCAGATCCAATGTCGCGCGCTCTGATGCTGCCTTCTCCTCCCTTGCGATCCGGTCTGTCTCGACCTTGGCGATGTAGTCGGTGCGTTTTTGGATCTTTTCTGCGAGGGCTTTGAGGGGCGCGTTGCTGGGGTCGAGCTTCAGGCCGAATTCGCAGGCGTCTTTTGCTTCGGGGAGCTTGTCAAGGGCGAGACAGGCGGTGCCGGAGCGATAGTAGGCTTTGACATTAGAGGGGTTAATGCGGAGGGTTGAGGCGCAGTCGTTTATGCATGAGCGGTAGTTCTCTGAAGGTTATGTCAGTGTGTACTCATGCATCTGTGTTAAACGAGTGGTAGAGCAAGAGAGCAAGCGAAGAAATTGATGAGTGCATATGTTCATTGTATTGAATTGGATTGCGACAATAGCTGCATCAATGCCTTGTCTCCTCGCTTGCTTCTCTTTCGTACATACATGTCCAGAAACGGGACTTGGTAACTGGACATTTGCCTCTTCTGGTGTTGCTGCAGTGTCGTTGCAAGGGCAGATCTCCGTGCTCTTGCCCTTTGGGACAAACAACGTTCGAAGCGAAATATCAAAAGTTGGCAACTTACTCTTTTCCAGGTTGCACAGCGCTCTGTTAACATAGCATGCTTCCTCGACAACTTTCTCTTTTTTTGCCTCCTCTTCCTCGTCAAGCTCGACCTCGATAACCTTGCCGCCTTTCGCATCCGCTTCTGGGTCTGGCTTGCTCTGCGGTCCCTTAAGCGCGGCTATCGCCTTGTCGTAGAACTCTTTTGCGTCTGCCCATTGCTTTGCTTTGGCGCATTCGTTGCCCTGCTGTCGAAAATTCTCTGCGATCTCATACCTTGTACCTTCGTACGCGATCGCCTTCAACGCCTCCAGCATCATGTTCTCACCACCTTCGCCGTCGGTCTCGTCGAGAGTGGTCATGAACAACGGCATTCGATTCATCTCCGCCAACACTTCATCGACGCTCTGCGACTTGATCTCGGCCATGGCCGGCGGCAGATCCGGTGTGGCATTCCCGCTCGTTTGCTGTGCCATTTTGTCTGATAAGTTTGCTGTAAGTACTCTTGATGGTGTTAATCACGAGCTGCACTGCCGCTGGTGATGTGCACTTGGAAATTTTGTGAATGTTCGCTTAGTCACAGCAGTGGTGGGGTCCCGCAGACCCTGTCCGCCTCACGCTGGCGCTCATCTTCCCGGCTTTCCTTGCACGACAAATTGGCAAGGTCATTGAACAAAAGTCAAAACCGGGGGGTAACTTGACTAGCATTGTGGACATGGGAATGCCAGGCAGTTAGACCCTCCTCTTCCGAACCTCAGGCCATGGACAGACAATTCCTGCGCCGCGTTGTGTCGTTACGCAACTCTCTTTCTATCCGTCGCAGAGGACACGAATCGCCTGTCGATCTCGAAGGGCTTATCCAGATTCGTCACTGGCAGTCGACACACCGGTCAGCAGGGGTTCGGAATTCATGCATGTGCTCTTGCGCCTGCAGGTGCCCGTTCCAGGGCCTTTGTTTTCCATCGATGCGACCTCTGTCACCCATTTTGATGATCACCTCGCGGTTGTGTGATCAACAGAGTTTCGCGGAGGTGCTTGGAGAAGAGTCCGACATTGCAAGGGCAACTGATGGTGGATATACTTTGGTCGCGTTGTTTACGCGTTTTGAGAACACGCCATGCCATTTCCCATCGACTCTCCCTGCAACCACTTTCAAGAAATGGTTTATTGCCGATAGCTGAGTCGTCAAGGTCCTCGGAGTATCCCGCCCCCAATGTTAGACGCCGACTTGAACTTGATCTGACCTCCTGTATCTCGCAGGCATGGCCGCATCTTGGCGCAATTGGTCCTTGACGAGACCGATGCTGATGCTCAGATTTCCGGCCAGTTCACATCAGGAAATTGTCGTAGCTGATCTCGAGTTTCATATCGCGTCCACTCCTTTGCGGCGCCGAGCGAGCACAGGCGCTACTCAGACCTCTTTGCCGGTCCGATGTCATGAGCATCCTCCCAATGCTTCACACCCCATAAATGCCCAAAAAGAAGATCATTTGGGCACTCGATGCTCGTTTCCAGATTGCAGGCTTCTGCAATCGGTCCAGAGCAATAACCTCGAAATAGAGTTGAGACCGAAGATCGAATCGCACGCTAGAGCCAACGGTATCGCGCGACGGCAGCTCAAGATGCATCGCTTGAACCGCAAACGCTCACGCCGTCTGCCCGTGGCTTTCCGTGACGGGTTCGCTTGCGGCGCAGTGTGAGAGGCTGAACTCTGAAACTTCGGATCACAACTCATCACGGCTTGATGACAGCGAAAGTGTCGACCAAGTCATTCATAGGGTCGCTTTCGATGCGGCGCAGTTCTGCAGATTGCTGTGCTACTCGACACCTGTCAGAACCTTGGGCACCCAGCCGTTGCTCGATCACAACGTGCATCGTCACGCGCCATCACACTCCTTCGTGCGCCGTTGCCGGATGGGAAGTTGCTGGTGTGAATTCAATGCCCTCGACCCCCCTGTCAGATCATTTCTTTCTGTCGCTAACTTGACCGGGCTCGCGGGGCGCAAACGTTGAAATGTGTGGCCAATGAAGCGTGTTGAATATTTCGAAGTGGAGCAATGTGAACCAATGGGGTCCATCTCTTACGGCTAACCCCTGACGCAGCTTCATGCAGGGAAGCTTGTGCTCACAATGCATAAGCATGGACTCGGCCTGCAAGACAATTCGAGCAAGGCACAGTAGGGGCACATTGACTTCATTCGCTGTTTCTGGAGGTCCCGCCTCCCCAGAGGAACGTGCGGAGTTGTGCCTGAGTTCCGAAGACGAAAGTTACTGCACGGCGGGCGATCCGCAAATATGCCCAGTTCGCACCTCGTTCTTCACCTCTTCTTCCTCTCTACGCTCCGTGCAGTGACGACACACTAGGGTCCCATCCTTTCTATCCTTTATCGTTTAGATATCTCCTTCGTTTCTTTCTCAAAAGCATTTTGATCTGCGTCATCACCTAGCTCTCCTTCCATTGCTTCTTGCGCGCCTACCATCAACACTATAGTAAGTTTGTCGTCTTTGCTACACAAGCAAAAGGACCCTGAGACGATTAACTCGTACTTTTGAGCGCCTACGCGGTACGACATATGCAATGTCTCGACTCTTGCTCTTTACGTCCGGGACATCTATACATACAATTCATTGCCATTACATGTCACTAACCCATGCTACAGATCACGTATCATCGATCGAATATTGATACGTAAACCACTTGCACAGTATTGATGAACACTTTTGTCGATCTTCGAGGCCAAAACGTCATTGCTGTTTGGAAGCCGATGAAGACAGGAATGTATTGAGTCGACATTCACCAGCGCCACTTAACTGTGGTTCTGAACGGAACAACATTACCTTCTGGAAAGATCATAGTTTTCAGTGCGTATCTTCACAATGACTACCGACTACTTCTCCGATCATGAGGCTTTCATCACCAGCCAGCCCTTGCCGTCTCCAGCTGGCACACCGTACATGTCTTCTCGACGAAACTCGAGATACGGAACACCAGCAAGTGAGGTCGCTAGCTCGCCACCTCCGCTCCCACCGAATCCCTATCCCGAAACAGAAGACGATACCGCCAACAACGAAACTATTTCGATACTTGATCCACGCCGCTTCACGCCGACACTGCACGCAAATTTGGTGTCTGAAATTCTAAACCTACGACGGGAACTGGATTCAAAGCACAAGTTTATCGAGGATGTAGAGACAAACCTTCATGCTGCACGGACGGAAAATGACTCGCTGGTGAAACAGCTTTCGTCGACCGCCAAAGACAGTCGCGCCGCAAAACGCCAACTCCAGCATTTCGAGAACGAGATGCTTGCAGCGCTGGAAGAGATCGCGGGCGAACGCGATAAGTTGAAAGATGTTAATGCAGATCTTAAGTCGAAACTGGGAGTGGCCGAAAAGAGATCACGCAGCCAGGATGATGACTCGACTCGTGTTCATGACATGTGGGCACGCGAGAAGGAAGTCTGGGCCGGTGAGAAACGAACACTGGAGCGCAAAGTGCACATATCAGAAGCACGTCTGAAGCTTCTCCTGGATGAGCTGGCCGCCCACGAAGCCGCTCGTGAAGATGCTAATATCGAGAGCGAAGGCGAGGATGCAAAGGACACCGGCGCCGGTGCCGAAAGCGATACGGCTAGTGTGCGCTCGTCGCCGCATAGGCGCTCTTCAACTCGGATTGGGCGGCACTCAAGAAACCTCAGCAACAGCAGTTACAGGAGCATTGGCCGAAACTACCGAATGTCCTTGCTGAGCAACGAGGGCCAGGGTCGAGGAAATGGCCTTAGCCTTGCGGACGAGCTCATCTTCGACGAGGAAGAAGAAGACCTAGACGAGTTGGAACTCGACTCTGATGACTTCCCCGAACATGAGATGCGCGCAAGAAGAGTCCTCGAGTCGCGACAATCGATGTATCCTGACGAGAAAGCGAAGCGTATCTTAGGGCTGAGCAGTGATGTTCAACAATTGAACAAGGACACCCCTGCAACTACTGAAGAGCATGAGCCTTCTAAGTCGTCATGTGGAACGACTCCGTCCGCAGTCACAATAACGCCCAGAGACATCACTTTGGTCTTTCCGCCGACGAGACCGATCTATGTGGACACAGGCATTCAACCCTCACCGCCAGCATCGCCTGTGCTACCTAGTATGGCCGAAGCTTCGTCACAGACAGTCGATGAGATTCCAGTGCAGTCCAAGCCTGTGGACAGCTCGCCGACTCGTACTGAGGTGGACGCAAATCAGAGTCAGGCGAATCAGCGCAGGAAGCGCACTTCACTGCTGCTAGACTCTCCTAGCCACTCAAGAAACGCCAGCCCAACACCATGTGCTATGACTTCCAGTACTGTGCAAACAGTCGAGCAGCCACCTAGTCCTCCACTAACACCGAAGATCAACATCCCGACCGCTGAATTGCCTGCAACACCCGTGTCACCTGTGTTCAAGCCTGAATTGGTGTCCTCATCAACACAGACAGAACTGGTCGAGGAGCCCGAACAGCCCTCGCCAGAGATCAAACGAACCGGCCCACCAACACCGATTTCCATACCGTCAATTGCCATCCACGCACCAGACTCGGTTCCTTCTTCCCCGAAAGACGCCAGGCTACCGCCAGGGACCAGGACGACTGCAACCCAGACAACAGGTGACCTCGTTGCACCAATGCGATCGTACGGCATGCAGACAGAACCGATTCGGGTTGACAAGCGTCCTGTCAAGCTACCTCCTCATCTTTTGCCTTCAGCTATATCTTCGAAGCCTGGTACTCCAGAACCCAAACAGGAGCGGCTGTCAATCAGCAGCGGTACTAGGAAAGATTCGCATCACCCGGCCAGTAGTGATACTGAGCAGCCTTCTACGAAGCCAACAGCCCGCCAGGGCCTGATGGCATTGCTAGAGAATGCCGCAGATAGCAAAGTGGAGAATCGCTATCCTGGGAACAACGACAATGGCCCCTTGTCCCGCAACCAGCAAACCGATATCCTTAACAGACCTTTCCGGACCAGCAGTCTGTTTGCTGGATTTGATGGTCCTTCCTCCGATGAAGAGGATGATGCCGACGCGAGCGACGACGAATACCGAAGTCAGCCATACGTGGCACCGATGCTGTCATCACGCAACGCTAAGAGCGGCCGGCCAGTGAATCCACCTACCCCTGTGCCAGAGGACAAGGAACCAGCACCGACGTCCAGGATTTCTGAGGAGTCCCTTCCATCCCATCGTATTGGCTCTGAGCGTGCATCTCTCGAGAAAGCAGCAAGAATTACGAAACGTAACTCTTTGGGCCGCCAACCTAGTATTCGACGGTCAGCCATGATCCAATCTGGCACATCAGCACATATGAAACCAAGTATGAGCAGCCTTGGTTCCGACACTCATATCAAGCCGCCATTCCCGGTACCCATGCGTTCAAGCTCACGCAATAAGCCTCAGAGCAAGAGTGAAGGGTCCGCAAGTCCAACACCCGGAAATGGCAGCACCTACGCTAGTCGTCGTATGCATGCGACTAAGCATCAAAGGAAGGACAGTCTGCGGAAGGTACGCTCTGCAGCTCCAGTATCCAGAACTGGGCGTTCTCGAAGCAGGTCCCCCACTATGCCCGCAACACCCAGCATTCCTGATACCGATTCGATTCCTCCCCTGCCAAGTGACATCATGAGTGCCAGTGGCTTCGGTCATCGTCACCAACTGTCTACCAACACTGCATACACAGCCAATCAGTCGGTCGCCAGTTCCAACTCACAAGCTAGTGTTGTTGATGCTATTGCGGCCTCAATGATTGGTGAGTTCATGTGGAAGTACGTACGCAAGAGGAAAGCATTCGGCGGACCTGAGACCTCTGTGGATCGCGCAGCTGAAGAAGCTTCACTGTCCAGTGGTGGTGTACGTCACAGGCGCTGGGTGTGGATCTCGCCGTACGAGCGAGCCATCCTTTGGAGCAGTAAGCAGCCGACTTCAGGTTCCGCTTTGATGGGCAAGAGCGGTCGCAAACGTAAGTATCTAAAATAGACACGAACAGAAACAACCGCTGACAACATCTAGTCACCATTCAGTCTGTTCTCGACGTCGCCGACAATAGCCCAGCCCCCAGAAACGAAACGCTCTTCAACCGATCGATCTTGATCTTGACACCTGCACGTGCTCTGAAGTTCACAACCATATCGCGAGAGCGCCATTACCTATGGCTGACCGCGCTTTCCTTCTTGGCTCACTCGAGCGCACCCATGCCTGACCTGGGAGCCATGCCTCAACCACCACCAGTGGAAGACCTACCACAGCGTTCCGGAGGTGCCACGCTTCGCCGCTCCCGCGTTCAGGACTCTGTGCGTCTTGCAAAGGGCAAGGTGAACCCAGTTATGCAGCGGTACGCGGCACAGAACGAGCCCATGCCGAGTCTGCCATCGCTTGCTGGGTATGAAAGGCCGATAGCGGAGTCTGCCAGCCCGCCTTCCATTCCACGTGGCCCAGCCCATGGGCGCAAGAGAAGCTCAACGGGTCCGGGCGCACCACCGCACAGCGTTCCCTTCCGTAGCTTCTCGCATCAACAAATACCTTCGGTCTACTCCAACGGATCGTCCGACATGTACTCATCCATGCAACCACCTTCAGTGCCCTCGTCGGTCTACAACCCCACCAATGGTGTTGTGAGCAGCCGCACGTCTGAGGCCAGCACATCAACTCGCAATCAATTCTTTGATGCTATGAGCACTGTTCGCATGGAAGCTTTCATCGACAATGCTCTAGGTGATCCGGCTCAACGTCAGGGACTCTATGCAAAGCCCAGGGGAGCTCGCCATCGCCGCAGCAGCCAATGGAGCGATAGTGCACGCGAGCGACCTATGCGAGCAGCAGGCCTGTACGACGATATCGACAACGATCCTTTCCGTGGCTTCTAGTCAACTAACACGTTGATCATGACACGACGCAACATGCGATACAGTTGAATGGCGCCTCGGTGACTCTGTTGTTGTTTTCCTTCCAACTGCTCGGCACGTCATCACTATATCTCCTTTGTCACTACAGAAGGATCATTTAGCAACGTTCTAACGTGCATATGCTATATTGCAAGATGCATCATGCTTGAAATATTATTTCCAGCACGCCATTCTGAGCGCCATTTATTCTCATATCTCATTATTTCATTATCTCAGGGGCTCAATCACAGGCCTAGAAGCGACAGTGTCACGCGCGAAGATACCATTATCCGCTCATACCGCCACATACATAATGTTTCATTCTTGTTCGGTCTTGATTACCCTCAGACCATTTTGATACCCAGATGTTTGGTCGATGACCGCTTTCAGGTGGTGAAGGTGGCTTTCCAGTGAATAGCTACTTCAGTACAATACAATTTACACCAATGAACTATTACATCAAACACCTTTTCAGATGTTGCTGCTATATTTTTTTTAGCGTGAGCAACTGCGACACCTCTCAAGATTACTTTCACACGCAATTGCGATGGGACCTTTGCACTGAAGGTCCCCAGTGAGCTATGAGACTGATGTGGCAATGAAGTGCGTCTGTGGACCTGGTTCACTGACAATTCAAGCTCTTTCTCGGTCTTCAAGAGAGTCAATGGCACGGATTACAGAACTAGTGAAACGTAACCGAGGAAAAGCTCTTGAAGTGGCGTTTCAAGAAGTTCCAGCCCAGGATCACTGCGAATCTCAAGCTCAGTTGACGTTGTTTTTTTATCGGCGTTAGGTTTTGAGGACAACCGGTCGAAGCAATGGTGCGCTGATAGTTGCCCTCTACATAGAAGCTGAGGGATGTTTTCATGCAAGCTGAGCCTTCAATCTTGCCGGCCTCTTCGCGGGAAGGACAGCGATCGACAGCAGAACTCGTGCTTAGCGTTGGAAAGGGCAATACTGCATACCGGAGCCCATTCACTCTTTCAAAGGGTGCATTGAAGAAATTCGGAATGGTGCGTCGATGATTGAAGACCTATGAGATGTGGTGCAAAAGAACATTGGACCACCACAACTTCTTATCACTTTGCACAACTATGAACCAATGCCATGGTGTATCATTAACGTTGCCGTGCGATATCGGGCAAAAAGATCTGCAGAAGGGTGAGTCTTTCTTAGCCATACATAGGCGCAAAAAGATGATTCGACCCAGACTTGAACTGGAGACCTTCAGTGGACTAACAGATGTTAGACTGACGTGATAACCAACTACACCATCGAACCATATGATTGGTTGTTATGATACTGTGGAAAAATTTACCATATATATAGTATAACATAACTACTGATATATTTCAGTTAATTCTTGAGGCTTTCCCACTCCTTTTAAGGATATGAAAGTCGTATCTTGCAGTCTTTTCGTTTTGAGACAATGGCCGAGAACAAGTCCGCGATGCCACTTAGCCCCACATCGAGTTTTTCTCAGCACCTCCGTCCTTGACCCACATCACCTCGTGAGAAACACAACCATCAGATGGTTCGATGCTGCACTTGGTTATCACGTCAGTCCAACACCTGTCAGTTCACTGAAGGTCTTTAGTCCAATGGGTCGCGTCGCTGCGCGACGCTGCATAGTCGACTTTCAGTCGACTGCTTACGCCCCACACAGCCCATCCTCATCCTCCGGATCCACGCGCTTGTAGACTCTCACTCAAACTACTCAGTTGAGCAACATAATGAGAAAGTGTCGAACGCTCCATTTCAGCGTTTTCCCAATAGAGTTTTGTCTGCAGCGTTTAGACCGTCTATCAAGTTTTCATGATGCGAGGCGCGCTGGCATTATGATGTGGTTGTGGTGAGCAATGACCTATTCGGGTAATTGGCTTGACTCGAGAGGTGGCGGAAACAAGTGCGATGGTATTTGCGCTGATCTGCGGCCGCTCATGTCCGAGGGCATTGTGAGGCATGGTAGGAGAGTGCTCTTTATCCCCTCGATCGTATATCTGATGAGGCTGTCAATGCCGTACTCTCGAGCAAGGAGGTGCACAAAGGTACTGAGCAGGAGGTAGCTCTCATACATCTGTCCCGGCAGTTTTCCAACCTCGAAAGGTCTATATGACCCAGTGTAACAGAAGTTGATCATGGCGTTGAGACCCCGTCGACGTACTTCTGCGTCAAACTTATGGAATCAGAAATGCTCCATTATCCTGTCTGACGGAGTCTTCAACTTGAGGCGCTTCTTTCCTGGATACTGCTCTGCGAACCACGTGGATTTTGGCATCAAGCTGGTGGAGTGAGCCTTGACAATTTCGTCTTCACCAAGATCGAGCTCGATATCGGAGAAGGCACCTGTAGTCAGAAGCCTGGAGGTATTCGTTAGCCTCTGCATCAAGCCAGTGAATTATGAGGCGTACTCATCGTAGAAGGAACTTGAAAGCTTAGGGGCATTGGTTTGGGACATGCTGATTTGTCTCGAGCCAAATCGTGATGCTTGGCACATGACGCTATCGTTCTGTAAAGGAAAGAGGAACCGCCCCATTTTTGCACAATCTTTCTCAGCTCGGCTACTTACCAAACTTCAGTGCTCGCCGCAAGTTTCCAGTTTCCATCCATCTCATCTTTGCACTGCCCCGAAATCACCTTTGCCAGCGTGGCTCATAGTTCGCTAGTTATCACGAAATCCCAAGCCCTCGTTCTCCACAATCAAGACGCTGTTCCATGATTACGGTCCAACCCCGTGGGGACATGATAGTGTTACGAAATCGCAGGGCGTGTCGCGCGCAAAGGAAAGGTTTGCACAGACAACTCGGGTCCTTGCGGAGGTATTGCGCTTGTTAGGTAATTGATTGAAAGGTTTCCCATGGGTTGCGATTACGCCAGCTGATGGGTTGGAGCGTGCTTTAGCAGGGTTTAAAGGTCAAAGAAACATTATGCATGGAGGGAGGAGATGTGGTGTGTTGATGATCATATGTGTTATCATCAATCCATAATCGTCATGCCGTGCACTCTATGTCGACACCTGAATTTGTCCCGTTGTAGCGAATGTATCTCATATCGCGTGAACATTGAATGTAGTGGCGACAACTTAGAACAGCCATGCGACGAAGGTCCTGTAGAACCAGTTTCCGCCCTTCTTGCCTCCATTCTCGAGCTTCTTCTGAGCCTGGTAGGCAATGAAAGCCTCCTCCTCACGGTCAATCTCGTCCTTGCCGGAGTAAAAGTCGGCTTCGTGCGGCTTGACGCCCTTGGACTTCATGATGAACTTGTAGCCGAATATGCAAATGAGGTAAACAGGAATACCCTGCCGGTTATGTTAGTAGGCCACATGAATTGGTGATCGTCAAAACTTACGAGGTAGCCAGTGACGAAATTCTTGTAATCAAAGTCGCCGTAGGTTGAGGGGCTGCGAGTGAAGACATTGAAATTCTTAGTCAGAGCAATGAGGACACAGAAGAACAGTGCAACGATAGATCCCCAGAGACCAAAAGGAGCGGTGTAGGCCAGCTGGTCGTTGGTGATACCTTGGGCACGGCGTGCACGGACGAACCAGATGTGCGAAACGAGCAGCGAGATCCAGGACAGCAGACCAAAGATGGTGGTCAAGTTGACGAAGTAGCCGAAAACGACCTTGGAATCATCAGCAGCGTTCATGAAGGCGGTGCAACAGAAGAGCGCCGAGATGGCCAGAGCAGGAACAGGGACACCACGCTTGTTGGTCCACTTGAAGATCTTGGGGGCGTGACCCTCCTCAGCTAAACCATAGATGGTACGCGAAGCGATGTACAGATCCGAATTTGAGGCACTGAAGGTAAAGATCAGGATGCAGGCGTTGAGAATATCAGGCAAAGCCTTGATGCCGGCAATCCTGATGGCCACAACAAAGGGTGAAGCGGAAGCACCAGTAGTCGCCTTGTTCGCGAATGCAAGTTCTTTTGCGTTGTATGGGACAAGCATGCCCAGGAAGAACACAGACAAGCAATAGAAGAACAGGATTCGGTAGAAGGTGAGCCTGTTTGACGCCATTAGTATTTGTATCAATGAAGACAATGGATCCCACTCACTTAATGGCTCTTGGGATTGTCTTGCGTGGGTTTTGCGCCTCGCCAACGGTGACACCAATAAGCTCAGTACCGAGGTAGGCGAACACAGCGTTGACCAAAGAGCCCCAGAAACCGTAGAACTTGCCGGCATCGCCCGTGGCAATGTACGGTTTGAATGCACCAGGATTCTTGTAGTACTTGAAGCCAGTTGCAGGGCCAGGTCCACCACCGACAGCGAGAATGAACGAGAGAAGGATGACACCGACGATGACCGTGACCTTGATTGAACTGAGCCAGAACTCGAGTTCACCAAAGAACTTGATACCGAAGTAGTTGATAGAGCAGATCAAGACGAGGAAGATCAGGATCCAAATTCCAGGATTTATACGTTTCGCGTCCACCCATTCTTGAATGATCAGCGCGCTTGCAGTCAGTTGATTGGGCGTCGTGATGATGTACTTGCACCAGTAGGTCCAACCAAGAGCAAAACCCAGAGCAGGGTCACAGAAGCGGGTCGCGTAACCGGCGAAACCAGAGGAGTGAGGGATCCATGCAGCCATCTCACCGAGAGCAGTCATGACGATGTAGACAAGGAAACCAACGGATGTATAAGCGATAAGAATTGAGGCGGGTCTGCGCATGTTAGCATTGAACACATCCTGGCTGGAACGAACTTACCCAGACTGAGCCAGGGCCTTTCCAGTACCGATGATCAGGCCAGTTCCAATAGCACCACCAATGGCAATCATAGTAATGTGACGGGACTTGAGACCACGGTGAAGATGGCCATGGTCAGTATGTCGTACAATACCGTCCGAGTCCACAATGGGCTCAGAGGTGGTACCAGTCGTGTACTCGGTCTTTCCGTACATCTCGGGGTCCTTGTTGTGAGGACTCGCGTCCGAGGAGCCGGAGCTCCTGTTGAAGATCGCCATCGTGGGTGATGTTCAGTCCTCAGGTATATCGAACGTGACCTTTTGTAGTGGGGTAGAGAACCGTTTACGGCTGCGGTGAGGAAGGCGCAACACGCAGGCAAAGAAACTTCGGTTGAAGTAGTCCTTGTATGTACGCAGGCAGACAAGGCAGCGAAAAAGCCTTGCAAGCCTGTATTCGCACGGCTGACCGGTAGTTATATGGGCGAGGCTGAGAGGAGCGGGCACAAAAGCGTTGCTGATAACACAAGCTATCAGGAAGGCTTATACGACGCGCCACTTAGCTGCGAGGTAATCCAAGACGGCCAAGAGGGACTTTCTGCTCAGTGAAAGGTTGGTGTGCGGAGCCCGGTTCACAGTTCACCACACATCGAGCGCGCTGACGGTCCAGAGCCCTTATGTACGGCGCCAATCGCCAGGCCAGACGTTTACTGAATCTGCGCGTGTGCTCTCCGCCGTCGTGGAGAGCCATATCACCTACCTATTGCGGACAAGCCATTCGAACGCCCTTGTCTAAAGCCGCTTGGCAAAGGCATGGTGGAGCGAAAGCCAAGGGCGATTTCTTACCTCGCCCGGTGTGATAAGGCCTTGTTCGACGTTTGTGGAGACCGACGAAAAGCGAATCATGCGAATAATCGACGCCGCGCGGCTGATAACAGACTCAAGTAGTTCATCACGGCGGGATTCGCAGATTCAAGTGTGCCTTAGGCACGGAATTTCTTCACGGGCGGGCTGTGCTCGATGCGCCCTGAGCTGCAAGCTGAATTTGGGCTGAACGCACTTGATGCGAAGAGATGCGAAGCGTGTGCGACGAGAGAACCGCGGTGCTTCCCCGCTTCAAGGGTTGCTTGTGCCTAGCGCGTGCTGTGCGCGGGCTGGCAGGTGCCATCAGACGCCCTTTCCTTCACTTGGCTAGAGCACCTTCCGCTACCGAATCACGACATTGCAACCGTCGCCACGCTCACGACAGCAACAAAGCTCAAAATCCGAGAGCATGGGCGGCATTGCGTGCTCCGTTCCCAGTGTCTCCACAGAGATATCAACATCGGAGGGATTCCGATACGGGGTTCCATACGTGTAGAAATGACATCCGTAATTTAGACAGCAGAGTAGGTGGTCATGAAATCGCCAATGCGGTATTTACTCTTTATGTTGGAGGCGGTGAGGTTGGCATCGCAGCAACATTTCTTGACTTTCTTACATTCTGCCTCAGTGGGATTAGTCGAGAGAACAATTACGGAACGACTATCGAAAGCTTCCGCATGGGAGACGGCCACCAACTGCTTCCGCCCGTGTGGTGGCGCGGCTGGCGCCAGCATCGAATGGAGGCTAGCCGTGTGTTCTGCCTCACGAATGATTGTCTTTGTTATCTGCTTGGCTGGCGGAGAGGGATTCAAGACAAGGCCTGGCATGATCATGACCTTACTCGGGAGATCATGCACAGTGGCCTGGATCATGGGTACATGAGGCTGCATGAATCGAGGCGGCCTCCAGGTCGACCGGGCTTCACATTGTCCCGAAATGGCATGGCAACTCCGAGAGGTTCAGATGACCACCCAAATATGGAAGCGAACAATAGTGTGTGTCTTGCTTCACAAGCTGCGTACTACCAATCTAAAGCTTCTTTAGACAGTCGTCCCTAAATCGCCCAACGAGGATGGACTTGTGTATCGTGAGAACATAAGATCAAGCTAACGCACTTCCGTTGAAAATCTCCAAATCACCAAAAACGCTGATTATTCACCTCCTCTCACCAAAGTCTTAACCCAAGTCAAGATGTAGCTCTCAACAAACAGATGCCAGCAACAACAGTAGCCAGCGGCAAGAGGGGGCACACTGTACACAAGCAGATTTACTCATCCGCAGGGTCATCTAAAAAATTCAAGCACAGAGCAGGATCTACTCACCAACGGTGCGCTTTCTGTCTGAACCCTCGCCAATAAACTTCGTTTCTTTCGATACATGGTTTGCAGTAGAAAAGGTAAGCATTTCGACTTCCTTGGTTCCAATTTCTGTTGCAGGTTCAGTACTCCTGGCGTAGGCACAGCATCTGGGCCGCCGCTGATAAAGGCATGTGGATTGAAGTGAACGTTCTTCTCTACAGCTTTGCAGGTGATGTGACATGAAGTAGACGTGGGGTGGAACATGGCGAAGGAGAAAACAGCAGGGATCGAAATGCGAATCTGGTAGCAGTAAGGGACTTTGAAGACGTTTTATTTATATACCGCCTTGCGGACCTAGAGTAAGACACTGCAAACAACTTTGCGCATGTTTGAGAGGAGACGTGCGAAATCTTTAGTGTGCAATTGAAACAATGTGTCACTTCAACCTATATCTTTGCAACTGCGGTATCGAGCACGCGAAGACCTCCACGCCATCTTCTGCAACTACCCTCCTCTCACCACATAACTCTCATCCAACGTAAACCCACCCAACACGTCCAACAGACTCTTGTCATAGTCAGGCTGCACGTCTCTGCCGTCATCATCAAGACACCCCAGGTAGTTCGTAATGTCCCTACCATCGAATTCTCTCGTCTCGAACCCATTACCCAGAAACGCAAACATGTTCTCATTCCGATACACGATCTCATAATCTTCATACCTAGGCGTCTCTATGATTTTCAGAAAATGCAGCCTACTCCCCGGCCAAATCGCCGCCTGTCCATCCGTCTTACCCTGCTTGAACCAACTTCGACACGGACTCGTCCACGCCGTGCGCTGCAAGAACAGATCGGCGTGCTGGCGGAACTGCCGGGCTGCGTCCATTCTGGGCGTTAGGGACTTGATGTCTTCGACCTGGCACTTGGTGATGCATGCGAATATGTAGCGCGTCCACTGCTCGATGAGCGGCATGAAGGAGCCGTGGCCCAGAGGTCCATAGGGGCCACAGAAGGAGAAGGTGTTGGGGAAGGTCGGGATGCCGACGCTCAGGTACGATGTCACGCCAGACTCGCCGCCCCAGAAAGTGCGCAGGTCGGTACCGTTGGCAATGAAGGAGAAGCGGGGGAGCCAGGAGGTGTCGAAGCCGGTTGCGCAGAGGATGACGTCGATGTCGTGGGCGTTGCCTTCGTGGTCGATGAAGCCGGTTTCTGTGATGCAGCCAATGGGGTCGGTGAAGGTGGTCGTGTTGTGTGAGACGAGGGCTTCGAGGTAGCCAGGTGCCGGGGTGGGTCGACGACAGCCGGGGTTGAAGTTCTTTGGGATCATCTTTTCGATGAGGCGGGGGTTGTTGTTGAGTTTCTTCCGCATCTCTGTGTCTGCATATTCACGTGCGACACGGGCTGCTTCGCTGCCTTTCATGATGAACTTGAAGCGCTGATTAAGCTCGTTTTCGATCTGTTTGCGGTATTCAATGTATTTCTTTGGGTTGTCTTGAAGGAATTTGAGCTGTCCTTCGCTATCTGATGCATGTCAGCTGCTGTGTGATGACTATCTCGAGATACCTACAACGGAAATTCGCGCCATTCTTGCCAGCCCATGTCTGCGCAAAGCCTGCTGTTATCCAGATCGGCGAACGCACCCAGTGATACAGGTGGTGGACTTTCCGTTGTATTGCTGCAACAATTTGCACGCCCGAGCTACCGGCTCCTATGACCGCCACTCGTTTGTTGGCGAGATCGTAATCCTCCTCATAATGTGCAGAGTGCATCAGCTTGCCCTTGAATGTCTTCAAGCCGGGTATGTCAGGCCATTTCCAGTTGTTCAAGACCCCACCTGCGTTGACGAAGAACTCTGCACTGTCATCGAAGACCTCGTCCGTGACAAGACTGCGCACTTTGAGTCGCCACAACCCAGCTTCATCGTCCCATTCGACGTGTTCGATCTGATGCCGTAGTTTGATGTACTTTTGGATGAAATCATTCTCGCGTTCGATAGACTTGAGGTACTCCCAGATCTCAGGTGCATATGAGTAGTAGTGCGACCACAGTTTGATCTTCCACGAGAACTGGTAGTTGACTGAGGGTATATCGCAGGCACAGCCAGGGTATCGGTTTTCCAGCCAAGTTCCGCCGATGTCGCGATTCTTTTCATAGCAGACCATTTCCAGTTCTTCCATATCTTCTTCAGCCTTCTTGAAGAAGTTGAGCGATGAAGCACCCGCGCCCATCAGAATGACTTTGATCTTCCTCTTCGTACCCATGGGCTGCTCCCTGATTCTGTAGCCATACTGATCTGTCTCAGGCGCAAGCTGATCTCGGACTCTAACATTCTCGTCTGCATCATTGCCACGCGTGGCGTACAGCGACTTCGGTTCCAAATGGATGACCATGTCTGGAGCCAGCTAAAGTTCTTCAGTGGTTTGCTGAAAATGTGGTGGCCTTGGTGCTATTGCTGTAGAAGAGATACAGAATATTAAGACTGGTCGAAAGAGAATGAATGAAACAAGGTGTCATCCGTTACTCGTGATACATGTCTGATAGAGCTAGCTGTCGACCTCGGGTTTAGAGCTGGAGATGTGGAGGTAGAACTCACTGCCCTAGGTCGAGGAGCGGGGTAACTCATATACAGCAACTCGACTTTTGCAGTGCCTTAATAGGCCTTCTCAGTTTGTTTCTACACGTCCCAGGTCATACTTGATGTTGCGAAACAATCAACGACGAGCAGGTCGATGACGCTGGAGTAGGGCTGTGCACATTGCCTGCTTTTCTGCGACACGGTCTCTTAGTCGCAAGGATCAAACGCCGACTGCAGCAAAAAAACGCTATTGGCACGAAGAACTTGGTCATGATGAAGCTCTCCTGTAACATATGATGAGTTCATGCTTGGTGGGGAAGACAGGTGGAGAAGACAGGTGCAGACAGTTGAAGGGCGAGACCGTGCGCGCTCAGGGTCTTGCGGTGGCCTCGAGCATGGCGGGGTGATGCATGAGTTGAGATATTCGAGCTGATGGCAGTGACCTAAATCAGAAAGTGCACAGCCGACAACACGTCGCAGGCAGACCCAAAGGCTGAGCTGTTATGTCATGTCAGCACAGAAATTTCCGCAGTCCGCCGAGTGTGCAATTTGGCAATTTGGCGTTCGAGGCAACGCCACATGCTGGCGGTAGGGCTGCTACGGGAGCTTAGCTTGGCAGCTCACTTGTTTAGAACTTGCTAACCTCGAACTGCTCGTCATTGACACCTACGCCTACACGCATAGACTTTACGCAGTCCTGAGCATTTTTAGAGCGTCGTCCGGTACTGTCAGGTGACCGTCCAGCCATAGCGCCCTCGACAGCCGCCCACACAGCTCGACGGCCCGTCCCCGCGCTACAGACGCCCAAGAGACTCGCTTGGAACCTACAAAACCGCGCACAGGCAGCACGACCCCATTGTTTACGGCCGAGACACCTCAGGCAGGCGCACCATAGTATTCGCGTCGAACAGCGCTGGTCGCATTGCCCCCACTACACAGCTGCTGGAGGACTTGCACCCGCTGGACTATCAGACGCATCGCGCTCAGCTAGCTCAGCGGCCCCGGCCATGCTGCATCTGCACATGCAACATCCTCACGTAGCCTCGTGAATGACCACCTCGACCCGTTTCCCTACACAGCGCGCCTTCGCGGCCCTTTCGCCAAGCACGAGCAGCCATGTCGTACTATCAGGGCAACGGCCAGAACTACTACAACCCCAGCATACCGCCCTCTGCCCAAGGCGCACAACAGCCCTACCAGGACCCGTATGAGCACGACAATGGCGAGCAGGCGAATGGCGGTGCTGGAGAGTATGGATATGCCAACCCAGTGCGGCGCAACAGCTTTGCAAGCCGAAATGACGAGCTGTTCATCGGCAACAACGCCGCCTCCCCTGCCATGAGCCAAGGCCCAATATCACCCACCGTTGGCAGCTATGGAAGCAACTATGGCTATCAGTCGCCGCAGCAGCAGTACAACCCTCAGAATTACAACGCGCCTGCTGTTGCATTGCCGAACCCACAGCACTACGGCGGTGTCAACAGGACACTCGCTGCACCAGCCTCATCACATCAGCCCTACGTCCCAGCTGCCTATGCTGATAGCGGACTGACCAGGAACAGCACAGTCAGCCACCCGTATGGCTTCTCTCCTACCTCACCCACCGCCACATACCCGTCTCCCACTGCTTACCAAAATTCGCAGTTCGGCCGGACGACCTCGCTCCAGGGGAGGTCAGCTTACTCACCGCCAGCCCCACCGCCACTACCTGTGCCTCCAGGTAGTGCGCAGTCGCCCACAGACGATTGGGGCAGTTACCCAGCGCGAACGACGTCCAGTGCTCACTCGCAATCGTACTACCAATCCTCCCACGCCCCACTTCCGTCACCACCGACATACGACACTGGGTACAATGCGCAAGACCGTGTTGGCAGATACAACTCGACCTCGAGCCTCCACTCGAATCCTCTGCCACCAACCCCAGAAGTACCTCCACATGCCTCTCCTCAGCGAACGAATACCGTCTCGTCGCGCCCCCTCCCCGACCCTCCCACCGAGTCTGATAGTGATGAATACTTCTCGCCACACAACGGCCCTTCGTACAATCAAGATCAACTGTTCGACGACGTTATGAACATGACTACGGGAAACAGCCCAAGGATACAGGTACAGCAACCGAACGGTGGCGAGTACTACGACGAGATGGGCAGGCGATCTTCGGGTAGAAACGGCGAGCGTACGAACGGTGACCGTCTTGCGCCCTATCCAGTTCGCGATGTATACACTAGTGATGAAAGCGACGTAGAGGCGGCCGCTGGTTTGGCTGCGCTCAGGATGGCAGAAGAGCAGGAAGAAGCTGATGAAGCACGTAGGCGGAGTGGAGGAGCTGGACTCTTTAGCAGCTACGCGACGATGCCATCTCCTCCTCTTCCCCACGAGCCGAGCCGGCCTGCGGAGCAGAGTGCCAGTGACAGCGATTATGCGCCAGTTGATCTGGGTCTGTACGGTGGGAATTTCGCGCCTTCATTCACATATGGAGGGCATCCAAGTCAACTAGCGACCGGAACCAGCCACCCAGTCTCGTCGTCTGGCTCACAGCGGAGATCTGAGCCCGCCAGCGACGACTACGATCCGATCCATCCTTTCCCATCTTTCTCGACCAACGCACGCGTCGATACCTTTGGCACAGGAGGGTTAGAAGAGCCTAGCGCACGTCGGCGGAGCTATGATGAAGGAGATGAGGTCACTCTGATGGACTCTGCATCTGGAATGTCTGGCATGTCCGGTGCGACGTTGCTGCCCTCGTCTGCGATGCCTGGCGAGCCTCCTGATATGTTCTACCATCCTGGAATGACCAACAGGCCTCTGCCTCCTCCGCCCACAAGCTCGAACAGTACCCGTCAACGGATGAACCATGCAAGCACGAGCTCACAAGGATCCGGTTCCTACGAATACTGGCGCAATGCACCATCGGCCCGTGGCTCATACCCGGTCGACCCTAACAATATGGGAATGGTCTCTCCCACTGGGATACAAGTTCCCCGCTCTACGTCTTTACTTCAACACAGCAATCCACCTCGTGAGGTTCCACTTCCACGATCAAAGACAGATGCCGAACAGGGCCATAGGCTGCGACAAACTGCCAATCGCAACACCCTCTATGGTGCAGCTATAGACAGCGATGGCAATACCTTGACTCCTGCTAGCGCTGATGCTGTCGCAATCGATCTGCCTACATTACCGACAGGGAGACGCTTCAATCCTGCCAAACTGTCAACCAACGACTTCAAGAAGTGCACTGAGCCCTGGGCACTTAGCTCGATCATCTCATGGTTAAAGTTCATGACTGAAGGAGAGAACGACTTGAAGGAAGGACCAATTCAGGAGGGTCTCATTGCTCTCTTCACCCACAAGGTTCCCACAATGAACATCGCCGACGCGGAAACGCTGAGTAGTCGAGTTGTGCAAGATATGTACAAGGCAGGAACGTTGGTACATGATGAGGAGTGGCTCAAATTCTCATCGATCAGCATGACTGGCGTCATCTTCCAGCTTACAGGTGCCGGCTGCTATGCGCCAATGCTTCATACACATGCGAGCCCCGGCCGCTGCTATTCACACCATTGTCAAAGGACTCTGAAGAAGATCGATCTGCATTCGCCTGCTGCTGCTGCTCGGAAGGAAGACTGGGCAACCTTCCACAAGATGAAGAAAGAGGATATCGCAAGCGCGAACAAAAAGGAGGTCGAGCGCCAGAACAACCTACATGAGATTGTCCAAGGAGAAGACCAGTACATGGATCGACTAGACGTACTACGGGGACTATACCGGGATAGGCTTGTGTCTGCACAACCTCCGGTTATTCCGCCGAAGAAGCTCAATAGGTTCATCAACGATGTTTTCAGCAAAGCGGACGCTGTGAAAAAGGCAAATGAGGATCATCTCCTCCCACAAATCAAATACAGACAGCAGGAGCAAGGCCCTTGGATTGTTGGATTTAGTGATATTTTCCGAGAGTGGATTAGGAAGGCGAAGCAGGCGTACATCGAGTATGCCGCCGCTTTTCCTTACGCAAGCTTCCTGGTGCGCCAGGAGGCCGACAGGAACATGCTGTTCCGCGCTTTCCTAGATGAGGCTCAAGCAAATCGGCTCTCTGAAAGGCTGCCGTGGCAAAACTTCCTCAAAGCCCCTATCGACAGACTGCAGCGCTATGGTCTTCTCCTTGACACGGTAATTAAGAATTCAATCGTGGACAACGATGAGAAGCGCAACCTCATAATTGCCAAAGAGGAAATCAAAGCCGTCACGCTCGAATGCGATGCTCGTGTGGCTGAGATGGAACGCAAGGTCAGTCTCACCGACTTGCAATCCAAACTTATCCTGCGACCTGGAATGCAGCGTGTCGAGCTCAATCTGGACCACCTAGGACGAGAGCTCATCTTCCGGGGAGATCTGCAGAGGATGGGAGGCAATCGATTCAACTGGCTCGAAACACACGCCCTGCTCTTTGACCATTATCTCGTACTGGCAAAGACGGTTGCATATCGTGAACAGGACGGCATGACAAAATCAGAGAAATACGACGTTTCCAGGCTTCCTATTCCAATGGATCTGCTGGTTCTGGAAAGCGAGGATGATGACCCTGTGGTACGCTCGAACTTAAAGGGCATTGCTCCTGTCAACCTAAACAACAGGATAACACCAGGAGCGGGGCGGACAACCAGCAGTCCAGGACCAGGGTCTCTCCAACACACTGTGACCTCAAACTCTATGGGCTCCACAAGCACTGGTACATCGGGGAAGACAATGGTCACAAACACGAACTTGGAGAACCCGAAGGACGAGAAGATCCTATACCCCTTCAAAGTCAAGCATCTGGGGAAAGAGACCTACACACTGTATGCCCAATCTGCGCAGAACAGAGCTGATTGGTGCGACAAACTCATCATTGCGAAAACACGGCACGCAGCCGCATTGTTCGCTCAGAATGCCGAACCTTTCCGCTTGCGCGTGATGGCCGACGCTGCATTCGCATACGACAGTGTCATGCCTACGCAGAAGGGTATCACCATCAAGGGCACACCACTCGATCGTTCAATCGACGAGGTAGAGAAGCTCTTCGCCAACTCAGGCCGGCCTGTACCAATCTGCAGAGCTCGTGTCAACTGCGCAACAGCCTTCAATCAGCCTTATGGCAAACATATCGTTGCTGTCGGTACCGACATTGGCGTGTACATATCCGATTACGACAACCCACGAGGTTGGACAAAGGTTTGTCATGTCATTCTACACATCTCGGACGCTATACTAACCAGCACAGGCAATCCAAATTCCACGAGTAACACAAATCGCAGTTCTCGAACAGTTCAGCCTAATGCTGCTCATCTCCGACAAATCCCTTATCGCGTACCACCTCGACGCCGTCTGCCCCGTCAGCGGCGCTCCTCCTTCCAACGATTCCACCCGTCGCGCACCCCAAAAACTCTCCGGTGCTCGCGATATCGGCTTCTTCGCTACAGGCACGATGAAAGACCGCACACTCGTCTTCTACAAAAAGCGTGAAGGTCTATCCTCCACTTTCAAGGTCCTGGAACCCGTATACCAAAAGTCTACCGAGAAGAAGTCTCGCATCTGGAAGTCTGGCCGCACAGAGTTCTTCCGCGAGTATGATGAGTTCTACATTCCCGCCGACTGCTACACAATCAATCTCTTCCACTCCTCGCTCGCCATCTCCACCGCTAAGGGTTTCGAGGTCATGACTTTGGATAAAAAGCAGCCCTGGAGTGTTCCGGATCTGAAGCAACAACACGTTGCTACCATCGCCTCGCGTCTCACCAATCAAGACCCGCTCGGCATGTTCCGCCTCTCAGACCAGGAGTTTCTTCTCTGCTACGAAGAATGCGCAGTATATATCAACAAGAACGGCGACATCAGCCGCTCCGTTATCATGGAATTTGTCGGCAAGGCAAAGAGCGCCGCAATGTACGGGCCGTATGTGCTGTTGTTTGACCCTGATTTCGTCGAGATCAGGAACGCGCAGAATGGTCGGCTAAGACAGGTCATTGCTGGCAGGGATGTGAAGTGTCTTGACGATGGCCTCTCAGGGACGAGTGGACATCATAGGACGATCAAGATGAGCTTGCAACATCCGCAGGTGGAGAGGTGTCAGGTTGTTGTTGAGCTGGTGCTTAATGAGGGGCAGAAGGAGTAGTGACTTATGCCAAAGGGTTAGCGGTCGAAGGGCAGAAGGGTGAGGATTTGCATATACTGGTTCTTGATTTGTTTTAGTTCGCTGGATACCTCGTGATTTATTGCAACCTCACATTTATTGCAACCTCGCATTTATTGCTTATGTTTATTTATTGTGGCAATATGGCGCTTCGGTCGTGCATTAATGGTGAACAGGAACGGCTGTCCGATGTTGGCATCAAGGCGCTACATAGTCAATGATAATGCACATGTTTCGTCATATGCTTATTTCTGTCTATATTACTAAGTGTGTCTTCTGGTGGTGGATCTTAGTTGTTGACTTCATGTTACCGTGTTGCGCAATCACGGTGCGCGATGGCATGTGCAGTATGGCTTCATTGAAGTTGTTTCAACGCCATGTCTTTGCAACAATTCAGTTTCCTGCGCTTGTGTTGCGTTGAGCGAGTGTTGCGAATGAACCGTCTCTTGCAATCCGCTGGGCTGGTCGAAAGCTCCAGAAAACAAAGAATCTGATCGCAAATTCAATATTCAACCGGTCACGAAGGCGCCTTCCAGATTCAAAGCTAGGCAAGGGGAGGCGCTGGTGGAGACTATGGCCGGCGCTGGTATGCAGAAGTAAGAAGGGGTAGCTGCAGAGCTTGAGATTTCCTTAATGCTCAGATCTTTCATCATCCTCGAACAGTCCGTCTCGGTAGCACTGGCAAGCCTGAGCTATCAACTCTTTGCGAAGATGGCGTCTGTAATCACTGGGGTGGTATACATGTCCTGGGTGGCACTGAGAGCGCAAGTCCCAATTTGTTGAGAGGGCCACTTCTTTCAGCTGTTCACATTGCGGGTGATTTACATGATAATGTTTGTCAGTAAGAGCGTGGAAAGGGAATTCAGCAGCAGATGGATGTGGAGGCAAGTGCCTGGAGGTAGTTAATTGGTAAAAAGAGCAATACAGAAAGAGCAAGAGCAAATCTGCTGCAACGGAACGAAAATGTAGAACTTTCAAGGTGCATAGCATGTAAGCGCGCAACAGCGTAGGATGCTCTCTTGTAGGAGCAGTCTTAGCGCGTATGCTCCAATGCCTTTACACCTGACAAATCGATGTACGATTATAATGGCACTTATTGACCACTGGGACTTGTGGTGAGCACCTCATATACCTGTGATTGAAACAGGGTTGAATTATGTTTGGAAGTTCTCATGCCTTCTACATGTGGGCTTATCCATCCAGCAAAGTTCGGCTGGATGTCTGTCTAATACTTTTAGGGTTGATTTTTGTTCATTTCGACCAGCATTTGCTCCGAGACTTCACCCCGATGTATGAATACTAGGTTATGTAACGAATTTGTCGCATTCGCGTCTTGTGAATCACAAGGCGTGATCACGAAACGATGATCACTACAGACGGGGCATCTCACTGGCTGGCAATGATAGAAGCAGATGTCCACACGGTCGTACTAAGATGCGTACTACCAGGAGCAAGTCACTGCCAGTTGACCCGCCGCGCCGCTTGCAGAAAGCTGCAGAAAAGCCCTCGCTTTGACTCCTTCCCCAATCTGGGGTCCCTTAGTGGTGCCGCGCCTCTACCGTCATCTAGAATGCTCTCTGGTCGCCCAATTTTTTGGTAGGGCAGGGCACAGCCTCGGTATGCACCTCGATATGCGCCAGGGTGTGCGCCTGTGATGTGGGGTACGGCTGATACAGGAGCGCGGTCTCCAGTCAGTACTGCACGGAGGCAGTGATTTGGAAGCAAGCTGCACGAGCATCTTATAGGCAGGAACAGATCATAGTGATGGTCTGCCGTGATTAAAATCATCTTAGCGATGGCAGGGGCGAAAGGTGGCGGTCAGAGACGATTGAAGTGGTCACTTCACAGATGCTTCGTTTTCCGATTGTGAAAAGCTGCTGCTTCAATGGAGTCGTGCAAGGATCTGTCGCAAAAATGATGAATCTTGGAAAGACAGTAGTTTGGTGCAGTTTGTGTTTACTGTAACTAGTGGCAGTTTTATTCTCCAATTATGCAGGTTGTTTTCTGGATATCACATACTGTTGGAAATTTTCGACTAAAGCAGAGTATTTCAGCACTGACGGCCGGCTGTAGGTTAACATCTACACGTGTGATTCACACTGAAAAACATGAATTCAGCACGAACTGACAATGTACTTTAGCCTCTGGCTACGCAACGGTCGTGTTTGCTACCACATTGACAACACAAGAAGATTCGTCAGCAGGTGTAGACAACAGTGGCCTTTCAAAGCGATAGCAATATCATGGAGCCGTGTTGTCGCCTAGAGTCCCTAGACTCCTGGAGAGATCGAACAGCTGCTTATTTCGTTATTTTGAGACACTGCGATGATCGACTCGTGGTGGACTGAACTCCTTTTTCGATGTGTTCACTTTCGACCGGTCGGTCGACTGGCAAGATCGACTGTTTAGTCCTGCATACGATCGATGACCGAGACGCAAGGTGAACACTATTGACCGATAAGGGACAAGACACGTCTTGCTTGATCGGTGAAGATCTCAGGGAATTCCGGTTGTAAAAACTTCTCCTCGATGTTGTGAAACCGCAATCCATGGGAGTTTGATGAGTATTTCAGATGCACTACATGCCACTAATAGACCCGGCGATTTATGTTGCTGATCTGTGTTGGTCAATAATGAAATCAGCGCCACTCGAGGAGCGGCTTGTTGAGCAAGTAATAAGCATCTGGACGGCCTTGGTGAAGGATCAAGTCGAGAACCGTGTAAGGGGGCAGGATTCAATAATGTCTGCGGAGACAAAGCTGAAGCGCCTTTTCAGTCGGACTGTATGGAATGTATACGATTCGTTTGTGTTGAGACACGCTCTTCCCCAGTGTTGGGTGAAGTCCGTGGCCAAGACCGCAACGGTCCCTCAAATTCTCATCTTTGGATCCCGTTGTCTCAACGAACCACCATCGTCACCATCGACCAGCTGTGCGGTAAGCCTTTCAGAGGCTCTAGATCCCGCTCTAAATGTTTTAACACGTGAGCTATTCCACTTGCCAAGTTCACGCTTGCATGCATGCACGGCCTGATTTCTAGCGCACCGACAAACCCTCCGTTGGCCTCATCGGTTACACCCACCACAACCAATCGAAGCAGCGCAACACGTACAGAGTAGCACCGACACGTCATGAGCAATGCAAGTTGTCATGCAAGGAATACCGCTAGAACCCCGCTAAAAGCTTTCGTTGAGGTGCTTCGAGCTCAAAGCATGAGCTCCCGAACGAGAGCGCGTCCCCTGGAATCCTCGCAGAGGAGAAGTCAAGCTGACCGGGGTACTTTTCGGCCACCCACACCAGCCATTAACATCGATTTTGAAGCCGAGTTTTGCCAACAATAGAGTTTACACTTGCCACTGAGTACACGTAGATTGAAGTGCAGTAGCAGCAGCAGCAACTTTTGTTGCTTCTTTTATATAAGATTTGCTAGCATTTTCGGAGGCTTGAGCAGCAGCCTGATCAATGGCAGCTTTGATAGCTTCAATGTTGCTGAAGCGCTCATTTTGATCAACTCTGACTCGCTTTCTTGACTGAGTATTCTGGAGTTGACCGAGTTGATACTGTAGTAACTTGTTTTCAGCTTCAAGCTGAGCTGCTCAAGTATTTACTCTTGTGATAGCCTTACCCGATTTGCCAAGCACTAGCCGGGTACTCCGTGAAAGAGATTCTGATTGTTGAATATCTGCTGAGTTTTGTACAACGCTTGTGAGCTTTGTAGAGTACTGTAGATAGTCTTGAGTACACCTAAGCCTGTGTGGTTTTGTCGAACTTGGGATGGAAGAGAGCAGGCCTCTAGCCGATCAGTAAGGCAAGAGGTCTGACCCCCCGGGCCGAGCCCCTGAAGTATCCTCAACTTCAATGTAGATAGAATGAATCAACCACGACACGTACAATAGGCATCCATGCTGCACCTTGGTTCCAATTGTGTCACCAGGAACTTCCCTTATCAGCGATCTTTTTTTTTAACTCAGCTCAGGATTGTACGGGCAGAGTCCAGCAGCATTTCAACCAGCTCAGATAACTCGCTCTGATAGCCCTTCTTCTCTTGCTCTGTTATATGATGTAACGGAGCGCTCTTTCTTGATTGCTGCTGCGCCATCGAGGGCTGAGAGAGCTCGGGTCTCGTTACGATAGCATGATTTGAGTACTGAGAAAGAAGCTAGATCAAGAGGTTGTAGCAGGTGGGAGGCGTGAGGTGGGAGGAACACGTGGTTGTCGTGATAAAACTGAGAGATCTACTTGTTGCCAAGTGGCGTGAAGCCATTGTTCATGTGCAGGATTTTGGTAGCCATTTCTCGTACGCAAGTGTGTGTAGCTGGTAGAGCGCGTGAGTCCTCGTCAAGAATCCATCTTGCTCCGGAGTCAATTGCTGCTGGTGTTGATGAGCTATTGCGTGAGACTCATGACCGGCAAGACACGCTTGGAGCAATGATCATGCGACGCCACATGCCTTAGCCGCCTTCCGCTGGCTTGTAAAAACACCAGCATTAAGAACGCGGATAGGGTTGTCTATTGCAACTTCACGAGAGTCCATTTTGAGTAGGTGGTGCTGGAATATAGAGCTTCAAAAACAGTGTAGACGCACTGGTGGGGTGGCCAAAAAGTACCCCCGGCCAGCTTAGCTGAGGTCCTGGTGCTGGCGCGCGTTGGGATAGTGCAAATTACGATTGTGGCAAGCATCGCGTTGCTGATGAGGCTGGAAAAGAGATGGAACCAGTGTGCGCGCAAGTCGTGGAGGAGTGCCGTTGATATGCGGGTGCTCTACGGGTAGCAAAGGTTACCTACACTTGAATGTAGTCAAAGCGCACATCCTCTCCTCACGGCAGTGAGCTTGCACGAGTGCCGAGTGCTTTGAGCCACGTCCCTTGCTGTGAGATCTCAACTCATCATGGTTGGGAAAGCCACTGGTGTAACTGGTGTTAATCCCTCAGGTTATCCCAAGCCGAATTCAAGAAATGATCGAATCAGGCTCACGCTTGAGGCGGCCAGCAACGCCCATCAGCAACTGCAGGTCTTCGCAACCCATGTCGTCGTCTGATCAAAGCGCCACATCCTCTTCGCTGGTCGCAAGCCAAGAGTACATAGGCTACTCTACGCTAGACTCGATTTTCGGGCGGAGAATTAGCGCAACGAGAGCCCTCTAGACTCCTTGGGGCAGTACACATTCGCTTGTCGACCAATGCCCATCACCAAGCCTTGTCTTGGAGTGCTTATATACGTCTTGAGGGTTCGCTATCGTGAACATCAGATCAACATGTATATGTCTACTGAGATCATGCAGACCTGGGCGAGAGGGGTAGACGGTTAGGATTTTGACCCACGATCTGCCCACGAAACACGGAGTCCCCGCGCTTTCGCGCAAACCCTGCTCCATTTTCTAGGTCCACTTTGCTGGCCAACTCCATGGGGTTGTGTCGTGGGGATTGTTGTGGAGCCCCATATCTCACTGGACTCGTTCACCTTGAGGCTCAACAACAGGAGTGGGGCGACCTGGGGACTGATGCATGCATAGCCTTAGCTCTGCATTCCCATGGTTTGATTGGTCACTATCGTCCATCAACCGCGAAGTCGGCTGCACTTTCGGAGGCAAACTTGGGTGCTAAGGCGGACTACTCCGGGGCTCGTCCAACCAGAACATTGCCCCCAAGAAAATTTGCGGATACTGGGGTGTGGTGTGCGGGTCGGCGCAGTAGTGCCAGGCTTTAGTTGCCTCCAGACCTGCATCGCGGCGGCGTTCAACCAGCGCCAGTTCAAGATCGTTGGCTGGTTGGCATTGGGTCTGGATGGCACCAGCCATGTCGCGATGGCTATCGCGTGCAAGCTGGGGAAGGATATATTGAGTCGAGCATGCCCTCGTTGTATATCATCAGCTCCAAGGTTCTCCAGCCTCATCATCATCTGAGCATCTGCTCCACAGAACTCCTGGGATCCTCTTACTTCATTCCATCTTTATACCTTACAACCATCCACCACAATGGTTCTCGGACTCGGTGGCTCACTGGAGCCTACAATGGACCAGGTCCACGAGCAACAGGCTCGCCGTCCCTCGACTGTCGAGGTTGTCAACGAGGATATCCGCCGCAAGAGCGTTGACAACCGCATCGTCACTGGTGCTTCTCAGTTGACCACCCGTCAATCCATCATCCCCGTTGCCCTGGTCACACTCCTCTTCTTCCTCTGGGGTTTCGCCTACGGTCTTCTCGATGTCCTCAACTCCCGCTTCCAGGTTGCGTTGGACATCTCTCAGGGAGAGTCGTCTGGTCTCCAGGCTGCCTACTTCGGTGCCTACTTTATTGGTCCTCTCACCTACTCTGGTTGGTTCCTTCGCAAGTTCGGCTACCGCTACACCTTCATGCTCGGTCTTGGTATCTACTGCGTCGGGGCCCTCATGTTCTGGCCTTCAGCTGTGAAGCGAAGCTTCGGTGGTTTCTGCGGTTCCATGTTCATCGTCGGCTCTGGTCTGTCTACCCTTGAGACCTCCGCCAACCCGTACATTGCTGTCTGCGGTCCTCCCAAATGGGCTGAATTCCGTCTCGAGCTTTCTCAGTCTTTCCAAGCTGTCGGCTCCGTCGTCGCTCCCGTTCTTGCTTCCTTCGTCATCTTCAAGAACGTTGGTGAGGATGGCAAGTCTCTCTCCTCCGTCCAGTGGGTCTACCTTGGTATCGCCATTTTTGTCGGTATCTTGGCTGTCGTCTTCTACTTCGCTCCGTAAGTAATATCAGCATATTCGCTTAGAAAACAACGACTTACACTTCCTAGCATCCCTGAGATTACTGACTCCGATATGGCCGACCAGGCTGAGATGATGACCTCCGCTACTGGATACGTCGACAAGCCTCTCCGCAAGCAATATACTCTCTTCTTCGGTGTTGCTGCTCAGTTCTGCTACGTTGGTGCTCAAGTCGGTATCGCCTCCTTCTTCATCAACTATTTCACCCAGGCCCACCCCAACCTGAGCACCACCGATGCTCACCACCAGGGTGCCAACTACTACGCCATTGCCCAGGCTCTCTTCGCCGTCGGTCGTTTCAGCGCTGCTGGCTTCATGTACATTGGTATCAAGCCCCGCTTGGTCTTGCTCGTTTACCAGACCGCCATCATGATCTTCCTCGCTGCGTCCATCGGTACCAACACTGGCAGCGCTACTGCTCCTAACTGGGGTGGTCTTGCTCTTCTCATGGTTGTACTCTTCTTCGAGTCCTGTATCTTCCCGATCATCTTCGCACTGGCAAGTATTCCGATTCCAACCCTCTCTAGACCTAAAGCTAACCTCAGATAGACTCTCCGTGGCCTTGGTCGCCACACCAAGCGTGGTGCTTCCTTCCTCGTCGCCTCCGTCTCCGGTGGTGCTGTCGTCCCCGTCATCCTTGGCAACGTCGCAGACCGCATCGGCACACAGCGCGCCATGGTCGTTCCCTTGGCCTTCTTCCTCATTGCCTGGGCCTACCCCATCTACCTCAACCTGTACAAGCGCAGGGAGCTTGATGCCTACACCGAATCCAAGGTCGGTACTTCCGAGGAGGGCACCGTCGACTTCGACTCAATTGTTGCCAATAAGGACATCGAGGCTGCTCACTTCGAACACAAGGCATAAGTGTCTACTGCTACAGTTTTATATTTAAAGAGTTTGGTGGCACGGATGGGATGATACCTGGAATGATTTTTGGAGGATTGTATATGCATCAGCTAAAGATTCCTCGTAGCCGGAGGGAGTCTTGTATATAGACCGGGGTTGCACATACGCTACTCATACCCCCATGATTGAAATGATTACGAATGAGAATGTCTTTACCAACAACTCTCGGATGCTTCTGCCTCTGTGTGATTCGGTCAGAACTTAGCTTTGTCAGATCTATCTTTATGTTTCCACGTTCAGACCGAAGGACAATACTGTCTCTTACTCGGTCATATATCGTTGAAGATTTTGGTGCGTTTTGCGTGGTCCAGCATATTGCGAACCATGCGTGGTTTTGAAATAAGGAAGAAATCCTGGCTGGCTGATCGTCACTCCAGGGGCCTTTCCAGCGGGCAGTTCCAGTGCTAGAGGATAAGCGAGATCTTTCTAGATTTTCAAATCGACATGTGGTTTATGTGTTCGGGGCTTCTAAAGTCGACATAGAAAAGCCGGTTCCGAAGAAGCCGGCTGCAAAAAGCCACTGTTAGCTCCAGGGCCTAGACACAATATCCTTCTAGTGTTGAGAAGTGTGGTGTTATCAAGCATTTGAAGTCTATTACATTTACTTCTTGGTATACACCTGCATGAAAACCTTTCTATTCACCTGTATTTGAGACAGGCAATGTACATTTTCTGGTGGTAGTTAGCGGCCTTGATGCTGCATTACTTAGATGTGCCAGACTTTGCTGTGACGACGATTGCTAAGATACAGACAAGTCGATAGCATATCAAGGAAAGTGGAAGTGAACATGTTCTCTGTGGGACGGCTGAATTGAGCAAAAGAGCAAACGAATGCCTTCGCGCACGCGTGAGAACTTTTTTCTTCTTTACTCACCTTCACCTTCGTATCTACTACGCTTTTTTGCTCTCACAACCTATTTCTTCAGCACACCACCCGAACACAAACAAGATGTCGCATATAGCTCCAATCAACCGTCACAAGCGTGCGTACGAGGAAGCCAGTAACCTGTCCGGCGAGAACCCAGGAAATTCATTGAAGTGGCGAAGCATAACCCTGAGTAAGCGAGCTCGGTTCCGACATCTCATCTTAGAGGCACTAAAAGCTTGCTGAAATGGAAACCTTCAAAGTGTGGCAAGTGATTGTTGATTAGAAAGCTGATCATCCATAGGGACACCTCCATTCCTCCTCACTACGTCATTAAGAACTGCATTGACATAAGCAATTGGGATGGCGCAGATCTCTGGCACCGCACCCTCTCAACAATGTTACACAAGTCACGCCGAAGCGTGGCGGAAGGACGATATCAAGGCCCTGGAGATTCTGAAAAGATTGTGCAAGGAGCTGGACCAATCCGAGGAGTGGATGGAGCCCGAGTGGGCGGGAGGAGTTCAATGAATAAGATGAAGCGAGAGATATACAAAGGCACATCGATGAAGAGCTCGCCGAGATGGAGCGGGAAGAGGCAGAGGCAGCCGCCAAGGTTGCGAAGAAGGAGAAGACTTCACGGCCAATGAGCACAACGGAGCTGGCACGGTAGCTACGTCGAGAGAAATGAGAGCATCGCCGTCGACAAAGTAAGCAAGACCACGATGCTAACATGAGCATTCTTTCTGGCCGTCTGTCAAAGTCGTTCCCCGAAGAATTCAATTTCTGGATAGGTCACAGCTAACAAGACTGACAAGAATAGCAACAAGGTCAAATACAGCGCAAGTGGAGCCCAAAATGCTCTTACTTTCCGTAAGGTCACCCCTGAAGTCACCAGCGGGACTTGACTTTCAGGGCAGTGTCCCCGACCTCTTCGTTTAGCAAGTCTAGCAAGGAGTAAGATGGTATCTGTTTTGAAGCAAGTACGAAATCGGAGACAAAGCTCTATGACATCTAGGTTGTATCGTTTCCTCTTTCAGGTGGTTATAAACAATCGAACGTCGACAAAATATACCGTCTTGACCACCAGCTCTACGTATCCCACCAACGCCAAAAACACCGAATGTGTACAGGAGACAAAACTAAAGCAATAAGCAAAGGACTAGTAGATGGTATCACTCAAGATCAAACAGAAAACCCCCCCCCCCAAAAAAAAACCCCCCAGCTAAACCATGTACCCGTACGGCAAAAACAAGACGGAACTGAAAGCACGAACTGAATAGAGGAAAGCTGTCCAACGCAGCACACCGAAAATCTGCTTTCAACGGCTGGCGCCACATATGGGACAGAAGTCAGGCGTGTTATCCGAGTTTGAAGCACCGCAATTGTCACAAGCCCATGAACCCGGGGCTGGCGAGCCTGCACTACCATGAGAAGTGTAGCTTGAAGCGTTTGACCGATAGGTAGCAGACTGCCTGGTTCCTTGGTTGCAGACGGGACAGACATCGTACCAGTTCATGTTTAGAGCGTTACACTCACTGCAGTACCAGGTGTCGGCAGGCTGTGCGTAGCTAATGAACGGACCGGCGGTGTTGTAGCTTGAGGGTTGCTGATGGCACATGGCTGGTGGTGTGGACGTTGTTTCTAGTCTGATGAAACAGGGAAGTCGAAGATGTGACCGAAGCCTGAATGACTTGCTGCAGCAAGAGGATAGTACAGAAGCTTGTGTATATTGAAAAGAGCAAGTTTCGGTGATGCTGAGACTACGCCAGGTGTTGCTGTGAAAGCTCTGAGGACACAACAGGATGTCTAGGTTTCTAGATTTCTAGATGTGTTGAAAGTGACCGAAAGACGAATTATGGAGTAGTGAATTGCTTCAAAGCTGAGGTTGGTGGGGTATTGTGGAGCCGCTGTTCGAATGATACTGATTGTGGAATGATATTAAGGTTGTTGATGGCAAACTGCAGAGACAGGGAAGAAACGTCTTATACCTCGAGAACAACGATAATGAAGCTTTCGAAGGACATCGTCAACGTACCACAACCTGCATCGTGCTCCTTCGTCCTTGTTGTTGATACACTTACAAGGGGGGTAGAGTAGTGCCCTTTCGGCGCCGAAGGTCCTCTTCAGCTACCCTGGCGAACATCGTGACTTCACTAGACGGTGAACGTCCAGCAAAGATCGGTACGCTTCATCCCTAGAGAGTTCATGTCGTGTCGCTGTCCATACAGGAACTCCGTCATACTCGGGGTCGCCGTCTGTCCCGAGGGCCTTGTTGACTCCTCGAGCCATATGACAGAGGTAGCGCAGGCAAAGTATTACGGGGCGAAGTCACAACATCAGCCCTACGACGCTTCGCTACCAGACATGAGCACACACCAGCCTCATTGCTGGTTCACGATGTTCACAGCCACACTGGAAGATGCGGTGTGTGCCAGTTTGAGCGGACGTTGTGTGTCGTGAGAAGGCTGGGGACCGGACCGTAGTGACGCGTGTTAACGTGCTGAACATGGTTTTCGTGGCTCTTGTTCGTCTGCAAGTATATCTCGCAGATACACTGACGTTAGATCAGCTACTGAAGTGTTTTCAGGAGATGTTCCTTAGTGATGAAGGCGTTCGGCTCTCCATATGCTGAAATGGCGGTATCCCATTTGCTCACAAGCTTGTTCCTAGTTCCACCAACACTAAGTAGAACGTGGCGCATGACTTGGTGAACATGTCGCTTACTGCGTACTCCTCCCCTGTTCATAGGTGTACCTTGACGCCCTTTGCGCGCAATGTGCCACAAGAACACCATGCCCCTCAATCAGGCGGGGCAGGGGCCCCACTAGGCTGAGAATTGCACTGCATTCCAGTAAAGGCCGTTTCCAACATCATGTATGGTGAGCGCCTCGTTTGCCTTCTCTTGGAGACCTCTTTTCGGAGTATCGTGGAGTCACCGTATACTCGGAGGGCGAGCGAGGGGCCTGCGGAGTGCTGGTCATGCGGTGCGTCGTCCCTGCTTATCGAAGTCATTCTGCACTGAGTGAAAACGACCTCATCCAAAGCTTCCTGAGACGATACTAGCAGCCATGAGCAACGGTCGTGGCGCGCAGGAGTGAACCTTCCGCACTAGTGCGGAACCCTTCCCACCTTCCTTCCCAACACAGGAACCCGAAAATTCACTGTCTTCCACAACACTTGCACCCAGCTTATCTGCCGAATCGCTTTCCATGATGCGGGGCCCCAGACATCACCCCAGACGTTCTCTGTCCACGACCTACACGTTACCCACCTGCTCGCTAAGCAACTCGTCTTGCCGTTGACAAGACGTTCTTGATTCGCGCAAAGCACAATGAAGTGTGGTTAGCGAATGGCAAGACGCCATGGCATAGTCTGGGCGTGCGTCAACGGCAGGGCAAGTGGCTTGGACGTAGGTGATGGGTATGGGTAAGCGAGGTGGCCAGACAACAACACAGAGCCGCGGAAGACACTGTCTACAAATGTGAAGACGTGTGGAAGGTACAGGGATCTGAGGATATTAACGGAGGGGTGAGGGATGCAGAGGTGAGCCGAGGAGTGAAACATGGGACTGGGAGAAAAGCGATATATATGCAAAAGCACATGGCTCCCCGCGATGATCAATGCAGGTGTAACGACACGACCGCAAGCGTGAGTGCATTTAACAAAGATCGACAACGGCTATTCACCTATGCTCGCTTAGTTTGACATCATTGTATAGAAAGCGCTACCCTTCCATGTTATCTCCTCCTCTGCCACCAAGTCTAATCTTCTCTCTCCAACCACATAGTCTGACCGCCACAATGTCCGAGAAACCGTCCCACGAACGCGTTTCGCGCGACCTGGATGAATCGCCAGTGCGCAAGGCTTCCGTCTCGCATTCCATCTCCAGTCGTGTCAGTAAGAGCAAGGCAGAGGAGATTGCGCGCATCGACAAACTTGCTACCGCGCCGGGTGTGACGCTGGAATCATTTGCCCATCTGGATGAAAAGAAGATACTGCGCAAGATGGACTGGCACTTGATCCCCATGTTAGCCCTGCTCTATCTATTGTCGTTTCTGGACAGAGGCAACATCGGCAACGCGAAGATCGAAGGTCTGGTAGAGACCTTGGGTATGAGTGGCGCACAGTACAACTGGTGTTTGACCGTGTTCTTCTTTACGTATGTCGCTGTCACCCTGTGAGATTCCCAACGTATGCGCTAACAGACGTGCAGATACGCCGCCTTTGAAGTCCCCAGCAACCTGCTCCTGAAGAAGCTTCGTCCATCCATTTGGCTGCCGACGATTATGGTGGCGTGGGGTATCGTCATGACGTTGATGGGCATCGTGCAGAATTACCACGGTCTGCTAATTGCGCGCATCTTCCTTGGAGTGACAGAGGCGGGCTTGTTCCCTGGCGTGGCGTATTACATTACTATGTGGTATTGTCGCCATGAAGCGCAATTTCGACAAGCACTTTTCTTCAGCGCCGCGTCTGTTGCCGGAGCTTTCTCTGGCCTTTTGGCATTTGGTATTGCGCATATGGATGGTGTTGGAAACCTGGAAGGATGGAGGTGAGTTCGTCCGTTTCAAGGTGGGATTGATCGTTGACTTTGCGTAGATGGATCTTCATCCTCGAGGGTATCTTGACTGTTGTCGTTGCGACCCTGGCATACTTCACTTTGTACGACTTCCCAGAAACGGCAAGCTTCCTGACAGAAGAAGAGCGAGCGTTCATCGTATTCCGGCTTAAGTACCAAGGCGCATCGAACGAGACGGTCAATGGAATACGCGTGGCGCAGGATGATACTTTTCAGTGGAAATTTGTAAAGTCTGCGTTTCTGGACTGGCAGATCTGGACCAGTATTTGGGTCTACTGGGGTACGTCGATTGAAGCAGCTAGTCATACCGGAGCTAAGAACGACAGGCATCGTGTGTCCCTTATACGGCATCTCGCTCTTCTTGCCCTCGATCATCCGAGGTTTGGGGTACACATCTTCCACTGCGCAGCTCCTGACCGTGCCCATCTACATCACCGCGTCCGTTTTGGCGGTCGCAGTAGCTTGGTGGAGCGATAGAGTCGGCAAGCGGTATCCGTTCATCCTGGTCTGCCTTTGCATCATGGCAGTTGGATTCATCATGTGTGTTGCGAGCGCAACTCCAGGTGTTATCTATGCTGGTGTATTCATCGCAGCGTGTGCTCTTTACCCAGCGTTTCCAGGAAACATCACCTGGCTGTCAAACAGTAAGTTTGTGCACCTAATCTATCAAATACAACAGCTGACAGCCTGCCAGATCTGGCTGGATCCACCAAGCGTGCAACAGGTCAAGCCATTCAGATCGCTGTAGGCAATCTTGCAGGAGCCATGGCCTCCAACTTCTATCGCGCCGAAGATGCACCTCGCTATATCCTTGGACACGCTCTTGAGCTTGGGTTTATTGGTGCAGGCATCCTTGCGCTTATTGTGCTGGTGTTCAACTACAAGAGGATCAACGCGAAGCGGGAGCGTCAGCTGGCGGAGGGCGCGCACAACGGGTATACGCCAGAGGAGCTCGGCGAGCTGGGTGACCGATCGATGACCTTCAAGTACTTCTTGTAGACGGCTATCTCCCGCGGTGGAGTTGGTGTAGATATAGATGGCCACTAGATGGTGCTTTCGCTCAGTAGTCTTGTATGCCAGTCTCGCCCGTCAAGACCTTTTCTTTCCCTTCGCCGTCTGAATCGAAGTCAGACTCCATGCTATCAAAATACGCATCCTGAATGTCGCGCTCCTTCTCGTCATCGTATCTGTCATTCTCATCTACGGTCTTGTACTCGAAGTCGTCGTCCGCACCGCTCAGGAAGCGCTGTGTCATCTCGTCAACCCACCAAGCCTTGCCCTCCTCTTTCGTCATTGGCACCTCGTCCTTGTCTTCTTCCATAATCTGCCCCTGTGGCCCTCGAGTGTATGTGAAAAGCGAGTTGGGGTCGGTGTGCTTGAGCGCGTCTTTCTTCGCTTCAGCGCGCCACAAGTCGGTTGACATTTGACCTGAAAAGCCCTTGCGCTGGCCCTCTGCCTCGCGTTCTCTAGCAGTTTGGAAGCGGCGAATGAGTCGGTCGTAGAGTAAGGGATCTGCGAGTTCGAGGGAGGAGTCGTCGAAGTATTCAGGGTGGACTTCGAGGTAACGTTTTCGGCGGTTCTTGGCGATGAGTCTGCTTTTTCTTTCTTCTTGTTGTTGGCGCATTTGATCGCGCGAGAAAACCTCATCCACATTCATATTGTCGTCCGCATCCATTGGTAGGATTTTACTGGTGTCGGCGGCGGGGTTATGCGCGTTCGCAGTTCGCAGGGGGAGTGGAGCCATGGTGGGTGAACCAGTCATATATGGCATTATTTGAAGGTATGTCTGTGTTGAAAGCTGGAATTCCACCTACGTATGGTGTAATGAAGCATGCACGTCTGTTGAGAAAGTGTCCATCATTGACGATGACGCCACGCGAGGCGCTACGCCACACGACTGACTAGCGTCGAAACGCGCCACGGGCACCGAACCACTCCAAGTCGTTTCATCCGTGCATCAATCATCTGAAACATCTCGCTAGACCAGGTGTCCTTCCTTTCCCTTCATCCTGTAGACTGTCATCCTTTCACGTTCCTGCCTTGTCTCCTTCGCGTTGTGCACATCGCGCTTCATTGCTCTCCTCGCGGGTCGAATACACCCACGGATGCGCGGTCCGCAAGGAAATTGGAAGCTCGCCTAACATCTGTTCTTTTCGAGTCGATATCTTGTTCCACACACTACGTTTTGGTTTCGCCATCTTCCTTGATCATCTGGAAAAGAGTTAGTAATTGGTATTGCAGAACCATGTCTTCCAGACAAAAGAGGCAGAGTAAGCCCAAGGTGGCAGCAGCGCCGCCGACACCAACGACACCAAAGGATGCCGAAAGTCGACCTCAGTATCTTCCAGCGTCAACCGTTCTTAAGAATGTTTCTCGTGCGGTAGCATTGATATTCATTGCTGGAGTGGCCTCTCCAGTATCACAACTCAATCTGTCACCCATCTTTGGGTCGATCCCAGCATCGTTGCATCACCAGCAAGCAATGACTTTGACCGCACTAGGAGGACTTGGTGTCAGACGGCTGCTGAAGGGCTATGTGTCGGTGGATGTCTCTGCTTGGGTCACTGTCCTCGCATACTGGACACCACTCATCCAATGTTATCTGTTCCCACAGAGCACGCAGCTTGGCATCGATTACGGGCCTCTGATCGTCGAATCACTCACATACTTTCCGCTCCTGTTTCTGTCCATGTACGCTGTTTCCGACCTGCTGGACACGGTCGACTTCTCCCGCTGGGACCTACCTTCTGCGCTCGGCGACGCCATCTTGCCAATGACTTCGTATGTTGGTGTGTCATTTGTCTCCCGATTTTTCGGTGCACTGCTTCCTGCTTTCGTTGGACAGCATGTATACTTGACACGCATTGGCTTCCAGATGCTGCTTGCATCAGCCTCCGCCTTCATTACCCCTTCAAAGCTCTTGTTCTTGGCCTTCCCGGCGATCCTGCATACTCTATGGATCAACCCTCACAACCCAGCGGACCACGCATTCCAATCCGCAAATGCTACTCTTGTCGCCACCCAGAACTACACTATCCTCGCTCGCCAAGAGTCGTTGACTGGCTACGTCTCAGTGGTGGAGAACTACGCCGACAATGCCTTTCGTGTGATGCGTTGCGATCATTCGCTCTTGGGTGGAGAGTGGCTGGTCACGCCTGACTCATACAACAAGGGCCAACGTCAGAAGGAAAGCATCTTTGCTGTCTTCGTCCTCCTCGAAGCTGTCCGCTTGGTCGAGGACCCAGAGCTCCAGCCTGTCAAATCAGTACCCCGAGCCTTGGACGTCAAGCCCGTTCCCGACTCAGAGAAATCAGCCCTTGTCATCGGTCTCGGTATCGGCACAGCGCCCAACGCCCTCATCGCACACGGGCTCAACACAACAATCGTCGAGCTCGATCCAGTCGTTCACAAGTACGCCACCCAGTTCTTCGGACTCTCACCGAACCACACAGCCGTCATCTCGGACGCCGTACGCTACGTCGCGGACACGTCCGTTTCCAACCCCAAATCCTACGACTATATCATCCACGATGTCTTCACCGGCGGCGCTGAGCCCGTCTACCTCTTCACAACCGAGTTCATGCAAGGTCTTTACAATCTGCTGAAAGACGATGGTGCCGTGGCTATCAACTACGCCGGCGACCTGACTCTCGGCTCCACCAAACTTGTGTTGAACACCATCCACGCCGTCTTCCCCGCTTGCCGTCTCTTCCGTGACACTCCTGCGCCTGACGACCACAAAGAGGGCGACAGCGACTTTATCAACATGGTCATCTTCTGCGTCAAGAACGACCATGGGAAGGGCAAGAAGGCCGTTGGATTCCGCAAGGCGACAAGCAAGGACTGGCTTGGCAGCATTGCACGCAGGAACTTCCTGCAGCCGAGAGAAGAGCTGGAAGTTCAGTTTGAGTACGAGAAAGGTGCGCAGGTGATGGGTAAGGCTGATGTCGCTGAGCTGGAGGCGTATCATGAGGAGGGTGCGGTGAGCCACTGGAAGATCATGAGGTCAGTGTTGCCAGCCGGTGTGTGGGAGATGTGGTAATGGCAGTGAGAAAGGGATCGTATGAGTGGGAGTGTCATGTTGGAGATAGACTGTGTAACTTGGAGATCAAAGCTCAGATAAATTCATGGACGAATCTTGATCACGACAAAGCCCGCAGCACTGATCAACATCCACTGCACCGTCCTGCCATCACCAGTTCCTACTCAAGATTAAATGATGATCGCAGTCAATGCCATGAGCTGTACGCACCTTCTGCGATCAATCTCCTTCTTCAACATCAGCAAACAAGTCGCAACAACAAGATCCTCCTTAATACCAATCTTCCCACCAACATCATCACCCAACAGGAGCTCACCGCCATTGCCCGCACTACAAGATTTGCTCCCCAGCGTTCTTGTCTCATCATTCCTGATCAGCATAGCCAACCTCCTCTCTCCAACATTAAGCACAAGTGCAGTCCCCTTCACACCATTCGCGCCAAACCCCTTCTCCCTCTTATACCGCCACTCAAACGTCCTCCCATCCGGCAGCAAGAACTTGTGATTTCTACTCGTCCACTTCGACAATGTCTTGATCTCGTAAATCATACCTTCGTCAGTGTCCAGCCTATTCAGCACAGGATCTTTACTTGGGCCAAAGAAGTACTCAGTCCCAACCAACGCCTTCCCATCAGCATCCGTTAGAGTGCAGTTCCCTGAACTGAGTCTGGCGCGCGTGGATGTGTAGACTAGACTGCCATCGGGGTTGCTGATCGTGACTGCGCGCTCGCTCGGTGGTGTGGAGAGGCGGAGGACGCTGATGCCTTTGGCGTTGATGTGCAGTGTTTTGACGGGTATGAAGGTGGCGTCTAAAACGCCGAGTGTGGTGTCGCTGGCTATGGATACGGTGTCTCCGATCATGAGCTCTTTTTTGTCTTGCTCGGACAGGGTTTTGATGTCGATGGGAGGGTCCTCAGTGGTAGTGGTAGTGCTCATGATGAACAAGACGAGGCGTAATCCTGCGAAAGTGTTGCTGGGGGTGGTGCAGACATTGTAAAGGGATAGTCGTCAGTCACTCTTATACTACATCCTATGTTTCACGTGGTCGGTGTGCGCCTGAGAAAATATTGTCGCATTTCTCGCACACTGTCTTGGTAGGCTTCCCCGAGGTGTAAGGCTGACGTGGTGGAGGCTTAGCGCGACGTGTGACGGAATCAGGCACCAATCGTTCTGCCTTGTGAAAACCCGCATTATAAGCAGTACTTGCAACCAAGCCTCCATCACCAGTGCAGCTCATACTGATGGGTCAGTGATACCAAGGGTCACGTCTTTAGATGGTAGTGCTTGCTTGGGCTGACAATCCGACTGACACCCATTCTCCGTCCGTGGAATCGCCTTCAAGAAGTAGTACTGTCTGCTACCGAGGAAAAATTGCGAGGAGAAGCATGCTTTCAGTTATCAGATAAATTATTAACGGGAGATATAGTTTTCCTTCCTCAACCGCGCCTACCACTCTGCCATGTGCGCCAGCACCTGCCCTTGCTACTGCCCATTCGGCAGATCGAACTCATCGCCCGTCACAATGTCCAGCGCATAAACCGGATGACAAACACTCATCCATTTTAGATACGCCAGTATAGACGGCAAACCTCCTGTGTCGAGATCGACCGGTAGGCCTTCCGAAGATTGCACTCCATGAGCAAGGAACGACCTGGACCAGCGGTCTGCCAACTTCCAGGATAGTAGGTCTCTTGGGGATCTGTTGCTGTTCGAACCATCATAGGCAAATTGAGCGCCGCAGATGATCTCAATGTGATACCCAAGCTGCCGTCGCAGCTCGCGGTGGCAGTCGAACCTCATGTAGTTTTCGTTACTGCCACCAATAAGCTTCGTGATATGAACGGGTTTGGCTTGATGACAACTCGTCCGCCGAAATGCTGACGCCAGACAAAGCGAGATGAGTCTTCGAGTACAGGAAAGTAAATAGCGCGATAGTACGACCTACCATCTTGTGCAGGGCGATCCTAGAGTCCCGCAAAGCTTTTGCAGAGGCCTTCGTGAAGGCGCTTGCCGCTCGGCAGATAGCCGCTGGAACAGTACCACATGTTGCGACAATGTTTACAGTAACCGGTAGCCGTTTGACTGTATACGCCGCAACGGGGACGAGTTGCGGCGGTTAAGGATGTATCCGGGACTGGTTTTTCATCCACATCCTCGGAAGAAATTTCTGGACGTTTGGGACCTGCACTTCAAGTTGAAGGAGCAGGATTTCTGCCAGTCCTGATTTCATCAGCAGGCAATATAAATCATGTCGAGGGTCGCTTGTTGTTTGATATGACATTACGTTTGTAAGAACACGGACTCGTAATCGACTGATGTGTCCAGACACAGGGAACAAATCCAGTTTACAAGTTTCCACTCATCCACAAAACTCTTACTATTTCTTCAACAATGCGAGGTGTCCGCCCGCTGTCACCGTATCACCTGGCTTGACAAGCAGCTTCTCGACCCGTAACTTGGCGTTAGCCGCTATAGCCGCATCGGGTGTCTTGACCGCAATTTCCAGTTTCATGGCTTCAAGAATGACGATCTATGTTGTTAGCCGGCTACTTCTCGGCTGGTTTTGCTATGAGTACTTACCACACTACCATCTTCAACCACATCACCCTCCTTCACTTCTACTTTCCAGACATTGGCATCCACAGGCGCTTCGACGGAGGTGATGTTAGGATCATCCAGCAGTTTCTCGACAGTAGACTCGTCGACCTGGCTCTCAGCCCTTTCCTTCTGCCAACGCTCAAATGACTCGTTCTCAGCTTTTGTCATCTCTTCTTGAGCTTCGGCCTGCTTTGCGCGTATCTTCTTGACTTCCTCAGCGCTGTCCTGAAGCATCTTGTTGTGATCTGCCATATCGAACTCAACGTCCTCGTACTCGAATTTGAATTTTCCGGCTCTGAACTTGCCGAGCATATCATTAAGCTCCTCTTCACTGACTTGATAGTAGGTCAGAATATCGAAATCTCTGAAAATCCAAGGGTTTGTGAAGCCTGGCTTTTGCGCGTAGTAGTCAAAGCATGGCACGGTTCGGCCAGTCATCTGATACCCTCCAGGCGAGTCGACAGGGTAGATTGACATGCAGCTTCCTGCCCAACCAACTGTGCCCTCTGGTGTAAATACACGTGAAGGGTTCATCTTCGGCGCATTCATACGTTGTCGGGGGTCAATTGGCAGTGACACAGTATTTCCACAGAAGAAACCTACAACAACCGCCATGAACTGCCCAGTTAGATAGATGTCTTTTAGCTGTTGAGGGGTAAAGGCATTATTCTTAGCAACGAACAATAAGTTGTCAGGGAGATAGGGAGCGTGTGGACGTTGATTGGTCATGTAGCGCTGGGTAGCCTCGTCTTGAAGCTTCGACTCGAAGCTAATGGGGAGCTTGAAAATTCGTGTGGGCACCTTGGTCGAACGGAGATCACCGAAACCTTCTTCGATCTTCTGCAAACGCGATACGAGCTCAGATCGAGGTAGCTTGGCACCATTGTAGTAGATCAGAAGCGTTGTGCAGCAGCCAACCGTGTTGAGGAGGTTGCCCTTTATACTTTCGGGAGTTTCTGAAGAGTTCAGAGCATTTTCGAGCGCAGTAACACGGCATCGATGGTTGAGGTCAAAGGATTCGTTGCCGTACTCAACAAGAAGATGATCGTCGCCACCCTGGGCTATCATTAGTCTGTTTCCAAGGGCTCATGCGCAATGTTTCGACTCGCCTGGCGATACCGCACTTGAGGAGTGCTTGTTGTAGCTGCTTTCTCCCAGATGACCGCCTTGCCGATCTCACCTTGATGAAAGTCCACATGTCCAACTTGTAGGTTATCGATCTCATCGAAGTCACTCTTACTCTCGATAGCTTTCTCGATCGAGTCCAGGAAGTTATCGTTGCGCTTCCTCTTCCTGAGGGCATCTTCGAGGCCAATTCTGACGTACTTCAGCGTATTGCCAGCTTTTAGCTGTCCGAGCTTCCACCAGTCAGCCTTGACCACGGTCGTACTGCTTGTGAATCCGCCAAAGTTGGGACAGTCGACAGGAAAAATGCAAGGATCATCGCCCGTCCAGTTTAGTGTACCCAGAGGATAACCGTACTCGACTAAGTTGCTAGGATGCGCGCCCCCTTCACCGCCGTCTTTTCGTGCCCACTTAGGTACAGGACCAACGAGTCGTATTCCGCTGCGAGATGCGTTGTGTGAGACCTTCCATTTTGTTTCGTAGATCATCCGGATGTCTTCTGGCGCAAAGTATCCTTCATCATGTGGGCCTACCATCGCTGAGATCTCCCAATCTGTCTTGTAGCTAAGTCGCAGGCGTTCTGGCAGTGTGACAGTCTCGATGTCTGTGGGTAGATCCGCCCTGATCTGAAGTAAGTCTCCAGGTGCCAATTGCCGACCTTGGTAACCACCAATCGCCACCAACGGAGAGGTAGACTTCGAACCGAAATAGTCAGCCACCGCTGGCAAGCCACCATAGATTGCGAGGTACGAACGACAGCCTCCCGCAGTAGTCTTGCCGATTTTGAGTCTTTGCCCAGCTCCGATCTTGACGTTGGTCCACATTGGAAATTCCTCTCCATCCAACGTTGCTTCCATAGGTGCACCGCAAAGAGCAACAATAGCAGGTCCAACAAACCGGAGCTCAGGTCCGCTTAACGTGATCTCTAGACCTTCAGTCCCGCGAGCATTACCTACCAGCATGTTTGCGACCTGGAAGGCCATAGGGTCCATAGGTCCAGAATGCGGTATGCCCTTGCCAACAGTCGGTCTCCCTGGAAGATCTTGGATGAGAGTGTATGCACCAGCTGAGATGACATCTATCGCATGCGGGGCGAATTTGAAATCCCCCAGGAAGCTGGTCATTGTCTCTCCAGAAGCAACCCTCTGGTCATCCAATATCTGTACCAAGAACTCCAGGTTGGTGGGCGGCCCTGAGATCAACGAACCAGTCAAGAGCTCTTTCATCCAAGAGATGGCCTCGCTTCTGGATTGCGAATGGGCCATTGCCTTCGCTATCAAAGGGTCTATGCACTGTCAGTTCCCGTGAAGTATACAGATTTACATCGCATACCGTAATTGGGTGTAATGCGCGAGCCCGTAAAAACCCACGTATCAATGCGGCTACCAGATACGTTTTTCCACTCCACTTTCTGCAGCAAACCCGGAGATGGTGCATAGTCTCGCAAAGGATTTTCTGCATAGACCCGAGCCTCGATCGCTGCACCAGTTGGCTTTGAAGGCTGCATCTGCTTCAGAGTTGATCCTTCTATGCCACCCTTTCTAGCAAGCTGAGCGTCTGCCTGCCTCAACATCAGCTGAACCAGGTCGACATCGTAGCAGAGCTCAGTGATGCCGTGCTCTACCTGAAGACGTGTATTCATCTCCAGAAAGAAGAAGTCGCCCGATTTGTCGTCTACAAGGTACTCAACAGTTCCGGCTGACCCGTACATGATGGACTCTGACAGTCGAACAGCGGCGTCACCCAGCTTCTGGCGTAGCTCCGGATGTCTTTCGATGAACGGACTCGGACACTCCTCAATGACCTTCTGGTGTCGTCTCTGGATCGAGCACTCGCGCTCACCGAAGTGTACGGCTTGACCCAGCCCGTTGCCAAAGACTTGTACTTCGATGTGATGGCTAGCTGGGAAGTATCTCTCGATGAACACGCCAGGGTTCTTGAAAAGCGTCTGTCCTCGCGACTGCACCATCTTGAAGCCCTCACGCACTTCCTTGATGTTATTGCAAGTGATGAGACCCATGCCTCCGCCGCCACCTGTTGCCTTGAGCATGACAGGGAAGCCTATCTGTTCCGCCTCTTTTGCAGCATCTTCCTCATCTTTGACGAGTCCTTTGGTGCCGGGCACGATGGGAACGTCAGCTTTGGCTGCTAAGTCTCTTGCTGTGTGCTTGACGCCGAATGCTTCGATGGCCTCAGGGGAAGGTCCAACCCATACGAGACCTGCATCACCAACTCGTCGTGCGAAAGGTGCGTTCTCTGAGAGGAAGCCGTAGCCGGGAATGAGGGCGTCTGCGTTGTTTTCTTTCGCGATCTTTAGTATTGCCTCCTCGTCTGTGTAGGCAGTCGCGTTGCTGCCGGGCAAAAGCACAGCCTCGTCGGCATCTCCCACATGTTGTGATGCTGCATCAGCTTCTGAGTAGATCGCGATGGTCTTCACTCCCAACTTCTTTGCGGTCCTACAAATTCGAACTGCAATTTCTCCTCGGTTAGCAATCAGCAAGGTCTGCAGCTTCTCCATCTTCATCGTATGCACGATTGCGACTGCCTCCACGCGCGTATTTGACAGCCGTCAACCCCGCTGCCCGCTTCCGCCTCGTCCCCTATCTCACAAGTCCACCATGCCGGCAGTGACATGGCCGCGCGATCCTAATGCAGTTGGTTCCTGGGCCAATTGCACGCCATTTATGGTAGCTTGATGCGATGCTGTGTTGCGGTTGGTGACGGGTGTACGCGTCGACGTCATCCAAGTGCATTCGAGAAGAGGGGTTCTTCGATAACAACCGTGGAAACAAACGCTGGGCCCACGACGCTATGGTCATAGCACGGCATTACACATTGATCCGCACCTTTGCCGGATAGAACATCGTGGCAGGTGGTGAGATGACTTCTCAAATCATACATTCACGATGCCGGCCAGCAAACATCCTGTGAAGATCAACGTCGACCTAGGAGAAGGATATGGTAACTTCAAGTGTGGCCCAGATGAGAAGCTGATTCCGTTGATCGATCATGCCAACGTGGCATGCGGCTTCCACGCTGGGTAGGTCCGATGTCACGGCGGGAGAGTATTCTCTAGCTGACAGTATCAGCGATCCTTTGATCATGCAGCAGACTGTTCGTGAATGCAAGAAGCACAACATCGCCGTGGGTGCACATCCCGGTCTGCCTGACATCCAAGGCTTCGGCAGAAGAGAGATCAAGATGTCACCCGAAGAGCTCACGGCAATGACAAGATATCAAGTCGGCGCACTCAAAGCCTTCCTGGACGCTGAGGGAATGCCTTTGCATCATGTCAAGCCACATGGAGTACTCTATGGCATGATGTATAGAGACAAGAAAGTCTGCAGGGCAGTATACGAGGGTGTACCAAAAGGAACCACCGTCTTTGGCCTAGCGGGAACTCTTCACGAAGAGGTCGCTACAGAGCTTGGGTTACCTTTCGTTGCGGAGCTATACGGTGATGTTAAGTATAGCAAGGATGGAACGTTGGTCATCGACAGGAAGAAGAAGTAAGTCTCCGTCTGGTGCACATCTGTCCTCATGGCTTACCAAGTTCAGACCCTGGAAGCCCGAGGAAGCTCAAGCACACATCAAGAGCCAAGTCGAAAATGCGACCGTGACCGCCGTTACAGGCGAAGAGGTGCAATTACCGATCGGCGACCACAAAGTGTCGCTCTGCTGTCATTCAGATTCGCCTGGGGCAGTCGAAATCGTTACTGCAGCCCGCCAAATCGTCGATCAGTTCAACAAGAAGTATTTCTCGTAGTCATGAAGCGGCCAAGATTTGATTTTGCCATCGCTGATAGTGTCACCTCGGGTGCCAGAAAAAGCTGCACTCTAAACCAGCAAAAAGTCGAGGAACACCAACAAAGGTTGCCCTCTTTGCCACGACACCACGCAACAACGACTTGAGATTAATTCTTAGAAAAACACAGAATTATAGAATAAGATATTCCCTACAATCCCGTGTTTTTAGATTTCTTATATTGTGTGGTGTTGTGCGATTATCTCGGTTGGCAGAAGCACACTTTTCGTGAGTGCGGCTTATTTTGTCACCCGAGTAAGTGTCTATAGAGCTCGGTCAGCGCGGAAAGTACGAGCTGGTGTCTAATTTTAGAGACCGAGGTATGGACCAGAGTGTGGCGCATGATCACGACTAGCTCAGTCATCTGTGGCTCTCGTATCCACGATATTGACTCGTGCTGAAAGAAAAGTGGGCAGCAAATTTTATATATATGGCAAATCGAACCCCAAGTTTTGTATCACATACAATTCATTCACATAATAAGCATGTTCTGCTTCCGCCGTTTCGTGCCTATCTGGACCGTGGTCGCGGTGGTTACGCTGCTATTCTTCGTTACTCGTATCCGGCCAGAACACCATTACCCTCTGGAAGAAGCGACTTATTACCGATCCGTCGATACGCTGTTCAGATCAGAGAAAGATGCCCTCCTCCAATGGACAAGATCCAGCAGGCAGCCACTAGACGTCGAATCTGACCACTGGCTTGACTGGGAGCCAACAGAACCTACAGTAGGATGAATATATCTCAGTTCACCACGAGGTGTCACAACAAGCTCAAAACTCCATCAACGAAGGGAAGCGACGTCATAGCCCAAACGGACTCGTGGATGAAGGCTGCGTCGCATCTCCACAGCCACACTTACACGAGCAACACACGAGCAGCCTTCCACAGACATTCTCGAAGCGCACCACCACCTTCTAGCACCATCGACTAGGCCGCAATCAAACATACATGGCCGGTCTTACTGCCTGTTCAGGCAACCTTCCTTCGAAGCATCGAATACAGCACTATATCGGAGAATAACTATAGGTCTTGTCAAAACTCGCAAAGGAAAGATGCGCAGAGCGGTGGGCAAGCGATGGACACTCAAGACTGCAAGATGAGGTGCATCAGGCACCGTTTGCGGAAGGAACAGCGCTTGGTGGGACGAGGGCGGAGGCGGTAGCGAGGTGGGCGACGGAGCTGGGTCCGGGCGATAGTGGGTGGAGGGTTGCTGCCGGAATGGAGGGAAAGCGGCGGGGAATAAGCGTGCCTGTCGACGAAGAGGTAAAGTGAAGGTTTATTGGGAGAATGATGTCGCGCGGCTGGGGTGGCATGCTTGTTCGGAAAGAAGTGCGTCCGTGGTGTTATGTGAGGAAGGCCTGCAGGCAACTTCAGAGTGTAGTGTCAGCTTGAGGTTGCAACTCTATCTACCATCTTTGTCTTTCGATCCGATCATCTGCCATCTCACTCATCTTTACGACTACATAATGCTGCAAAGAATGCATTCAACAGTATACTCAAGGCCATCGTACTTCCACCGTTCATCTGTACTTGCGTAAGGTCGCATGTGCCCAACTTGGCCGTATCTTTTCGAGTCGAGACGAACTGATTCGACCCCTTAGAATACTAATTTGATGTAATTCGTTTGGGACTAGTTTCGACGCACAAGCCGCAACTGCCATAAGCCTCTTGTTGGAAAGGGCGCCCATGCTCAGATCAACGTCATCTCCTCTTCTGTGCATCGAAATCCTCTGGCTGGCCAACATCGACTATTGTTCTCAGGATACTCCTGCTGCCGTCTGTTCGTCGCGCTTCCCCACATATCGCTCAATAACCGTCAGCAACTGATCGATCTTATACGGTTTAGTAACCACCTCATCAAAGCCGCATTGTCTCATCTCCTCAACTTGCTCAAGTCGTGCATTGCCCGTGATCGCAATTATGGGAATCTTTTCAGTCAGCAGGTCCTCCTGCTGAAGCTGTCGAACGCGGCGGACACAGGTCTTGCCATCCATGACGGGCATCTCGATATCGCAGAGAATGATATCTATTGTCGGGACAATGTCGCTGTTGTTTGTAGTATGTACGGAGTTCCAGGTAGAGCTTGCGATGAGTGCAAGGGCTTCTTCGCCGTTGTTTGCGGTGAGAGTGTCGTAGCCGTGCTTTGTGATGAGCTTACGTAGGAGGCGCTGATTGATCAAGTTATCTTCGACTATCAGGACGTTCGTTCGTGAAGATGGTGATGGCTGCACTGATAGTGTCTGGGTTTCGGACCCGGACTGTTTCTGTGGCTGCACAGGCTGAGCCTGCTGCATTGCGGGTGAGGTTATGTTCAGATGCCCCAACTCGACTGTAGGAAATGGTCGGTCATCCGGCGTGATTGGTAGTTCCAGCGGTTGGCTTTGACGAACTTTAATGTAGAACTCGAATGTACTACCAAATCCAGCTTGTGAGCTTAGACCTATGCGCCCACCGTGTAGTTCGGCAAGGTTACGTGAGATGTAGAGGCCCAAGCCAGATCCACCGAATTGAGCGTGTGTGCGTGGTGATGCTTGCGAGAACTTCTGGAACAAGTTGCTGGCTTCTTCCGGAGTCATACCTAATCCACTGTCCTTGACCGAGAACGACAGATAGACGGCCTCGCCCTGGCCCCATTCAGGTAGGTTCGTAGGGTCGTGATGTTGAACGCCTGATGGGACGTACCTAGTACCCATTGGCTTGTTTGCCGGCTCTTCCAGATGCGCATTTAGCGTCATCTCAAGATCTCGTTTTTTCCCTTTCTTTGTGAATTTGATGGCGTTAGAGAGAAGATTGATGACAACCTGCGTGACTCTGTTGGGATCCATCATGACCCGCTTTAACTCGAGACGGTTGTAGCCCTCCCCGACCATGAAGTTTGTGTTCATGGCCGATGCACGTATCTCAGGGGCAAATAGCCCCAGGATCTCCCTGTATAGCTTGATAGGGTTTGTGCTTTCCGGGTAGACTTGAAGGAGTCTGGCATCCAGTTTCGACAACGTCAACACATCGTCCACGATGCGCTTCTGGTGGTTGGCGCAATAAGCGATTGTTGTCGCTAGATCAAGACACTCGTTCAAGGTTTCAATCTGGGCCTGGGTGCCCTCGCCGTTCTTCAATCTAAACTTGATATTCTCCGTGAGTTCGTAAGCACATTGAAAGATAGCGTTGAGAGGATTTCCTGAACGATGTTAGTAACCCGACAAGATAGAAAGGCGGAAAGCCGTACTCATCTCATGTGACGTAACATCCAGAAAGTTCTCTTGTTGTCGTCTCTGCTCTATAGCCTCGGAGAGTCGTGCAGACTGCATCTTCTCTGCCCATTTGACAGATGATATGTCGGTGATGCAGCCTAAAGTTCCCTTGAGTTTACCATCTTCAGTGTACTCTGGCTGAAGAATACCCAGGGCGTAGGTTCGGTCCAGCATTACCTCTCCACCATCGCCTTGAGAGGTCCAAGGCTTCTTGAACTGAACCTCAAACGTGATAGCATCTTCGCATCTTGACTGAGTATACCTTTCCCAGACCGCGGTTATGTCCGCGACGCCATCCGGATGAATCATGTCCATCCAAGCCATAGGCTGAGTAAGTTCCTGTCCGGACTTTCCACAAATACCTTCGAATGCAGCGTTCCAAAAGGTCAAAACATCGTCAGAGTTGTACATATACATCCCTACCGGCGCGTTTTCTGCGAAGCGCCAGAACCTTCCCTCCAGATCAGACGCAACTTGCGCTCTGTGTAGCTCCTTCTCCCTTGCTATACCTCTAGCGGTAGTGATGCCGTTCTCGATTTGCCTTGTTAAAAGCTGCAGGAAAGAGCGATAGTCTTCGTCAAACTTTCTGAGTGGAGTCGTCCCGACAATCATGATAGCAGCTATGTTGTTCTCGACAAAGCACCTCAAGGGTTGAATGACAATCTCCCGGCATGGTGGAACACCATACTTTTGGAGTTGATTCAGCGTGTTCTGAGTCAGGCTGTTGTCGGACGTGGACAAGGTCTTCATCTCGCGGGTATTGCAGGCTTCGAGAAGATCACAATTCAGACCAAATTGCAGCACTGCAAAATCGCCTTGTGGTGGTATGCCACGGCGTTCTTCGCTCATACCTGCAGTGGCTTCCAGTATGAGGTCCAACGTGTGACCTTTGAGGTCCGTACTGTATATGGCTGCAAAGTGGATGTCACTCTTGTGCTCATCGAGCACACCCGCTGCAGCTGCGCACACATCGTGCACAGTGTACGTTGTCGCCATTGCCTTGTTGGTACTGGTCAGGATCTGCATTCTTCGTTTGAATATGACTTGTTGTGTCTTTTCATGGATGCGTGTCGTAAAACCTGTTACAGAGCCATCTGCAGCAAGGATGGGGGCTAGGAAGAAATCGAAGAAGCCCTCCTCTAAGAACCCGTCACGCACAAGCATTCGGCGCAGTTTATCCTGCTGAACAGATTGGCCGGTCTCTCGTATGCGATCAAGTATGCGGTAGTACTCTGGCCACTGTTCCAAGTTCTCTTTAAAGGGCCGGCCCATCGCACTAGGATGCTTGTCCCCAATAACGCCTGAGTAGGCCTGATTGTAAAGCATCGTGCACTCGTCCCCCCATAGTATATTGATTGGGTCTGACGTTGCTAGCGCAAACTCGCATACGTGTCGAAGCTCTGCCGGCCACTCCTCGATCGCGCCAATTGGTGATGATGCCCAGTCATACTGGCGCATCCACTGGAGGTAATTTAGATCGCCCAAATGATCATGAGGGCTTACGACCCCAAGAGAGGGTCTCTGAACAGTGTTTTGTGCCAGAGCAGGGGTCTTGGTACACGCTTGCGCGTCTGACGATGGCTCTCGAACAATAACCGCGGAGGGCGTCAACAAGTTTTGTGGAGATTCGACAGGTCTGCCTTCATTTTGGCAATGATGCTGCTCAGTTGATACGGCTATGAGCCATCGATTTCCAATAGTCGTCACAGTCCAACTGATCCCACAAAATGAGACCGTGGAGCTTTTCGAGCCTGTTTGAGAAGGACTACCACTATTGGTGCCAGGGCTCAACGCATTGGGGGTCTGCTGAGCTTGTTTGAGGACCTCCTTGTGAAGAGAATTCAATCGTTGTAAAGCCGAGTTGGCATGCGTAAAGACCACCTCTCGTTCATCTCTCTTCAAGTCTGGATCTGTTTGTGAGAGGCGTAATACGAATGTTGGCTGTAGATTAGCGTCCAGGTATTCCAGTAGGAGGGCAAGCGGGTTCTCGTCCATGATCGCTACAGGATAATGCTATAACCGATATTGCTTGGTGATGGCCTCAGGACCCTATGCTGCTCCTCCTCTTTCGTTTGCCAATCTCATCGTTCGGACCGAAGAGGAATGCTTGTAAGTACATGCGAATTGCTGCAGTTCTCAGGTGAAATGATAAAGCTGCACAACTTTCGTGCAGAGGGATGCTGCGCGCCACACGTAATCGTCATTTTTGCAGGGTCTAGTCCAGCCTAACGAGCCGTTCTGGGCTAGAGGAGGCGCATCAATCTCGGAGTGCCACGCATCGCGTTGTCGCCTTGATCTTATGTGATGAAGTTGCTCTCGATGGTGGATCCGCGTCGAGGATGTTTGGCGATCGGGCAGCTGCTTGCTGGCCATGTTGACACGTGATACGAGACTGTATACCCCCAGCCAGCACCAACGATAGTGCAATTAGATCTTCAAAGGTCACCACCCTGTTTCAATAATGTCGAAGCGAAATCATCGTGCTTGAATGAGAGTGGAATTTGTGGATCGACAAGCATTGCGCTTTGCCTCCAAGGGCGCGATGCTAAGCTTGAGAAATGCCTTGTAGGGTTCTTGCGCCAAGAAGATGGATGCGAAGGTGTTCTTCCAAGACATTGATCCGTCCGATATCGTTGACGGGAGGTCCCCGCCATAGGTCAGGATTCGCTTTCCCAAACTGCTCAATCACTCCATGCTAGACAACAGTCGTTGCGAGAGAACACCTCAAGAAGGTCAGACGCCCAAACATCTTGACACCTGCATTTCCCCTTCTTGACTCTTTTCCTCTGCATTTGCGGCGTTTGTATTCGTTGTTGCGGAATTCACTTCTACTCTGAAAGATCCTCGGTTCCCATCGCCCGCGCGCGGAAAGAACGATCCTGCCAAGCCATCGCTCGATTGCTCGGGGCAACTTTTGCTGAGCTCCGATCATTCACCGTGAGCTACCCCACAGTCATCTCATATCTCCCTCCACCTCTCCTCTCTTGTGGTGCGCCTGTGGACTCAATTGACCAGATCGCGTACAGTTCGTACCTCTGACAGCGGTCGCGTGCCTCAGAAACTTCTTTCACAATGTCTTCACCCTTCGCGACGCAGTACGTCACTGGCATTTACCTGCCTTCGGCCGTCTTGCTGATTGGAACCGCTGCGTTCAAAAGTGAATGGCTGCCGTACGCTCTTGCTCTTACAGCCATCCTGACTGGTGTTGTTGTCTTCAGCAGCCAAAGTATGTTTCAATGAGCTCTAGGCAACATAGGCGTTCATTAACATATCCAGGCGGTGGCCGCAAGGTATTGAAGCCTGATGCTTTTCAGGAATTTGAGCTTGGAGAGAAGACTGTCCTCTCTCACAACACAGCCATGTATGTCCATTCGCCCCTCGTAATCATCCAACTTCTAATGCGTATAGTTACCGTTTCAAGCTCCCCAAGGAGAACGACATCCTCGGCCTCCCCATCGGTCAGCACATCTCTCTCGCCGCCAACATCGAAGGCCAGCCCAAGGAAGTTGTCCGCTCGTACACCCCGACCTCCTCCGACAACGACAAGGGTTTCTTCGACCTCCTGATCAAGTCGTACCCCACCGGTAACATCTCGAGGTATGTCGCAAACCTCAAGATCGGCGACAAGATGAAGGTCAAGGGCCCCAAGGGCGCCATGGTCTACACACCCAACATGGTCAGGCACTTCGGTATGATCGCTGGTGGAACCGGTATCACACCCATGCTGCAGGTTGTCAAGGCCATCCACCGCGGTCGCGCCGCCGGCGACAAGACTGAGGTCGATCTCATCTTCGCAAACGTTAATCCTGACGACATCCTTCTCAAGGATGACCTCGATGCGCTCGCCGCCAGGGACCCCAAGTTCCGTGTACACTACGTCCTGAACAACCCGCCTGAGGGGTGGACCGGTGGTGTTGGCTTTGTCACTGCGGATATGATCAAGGAGAAGCTCCCTGCGCCGGCCAACGACGTTAAGATTCTCATCTGCGGTCCCCCACCTATGGTTGCTGCGATGAAGAAGGCGACCGAAAGCCTGGGTTTCACCAAGGCCAGGCCTGTCAGCAAGCTCGAGGATCAGGTCTTCTGCTTCTAGGCGATCATAGAGCAAGTCTAGAGTAGAGGTGGGGAAGTGGAGAGGAGTAGAGGGATGGACTTATCCAGAGAGACGGACATCTACACTTGAAAAATTCGTGTAAATACACCAATTGAGCGCTTACGCAAGAGGAATTCAGTGAGAAAAGCAATTTCACACCATGTCAAGCTACAATACCTCCATCTATATCGCACGTGTCATTGCAACAAGATGTAGACCATAGCACTCCGTTTGGAAACAATGAGTGAGTTTAAATGCTCGATTCGCTATCTAATGGCTAATGCAACATCCATCTATATTCTACTCCTTGGAGCCGTGAACAAATAGCCTCTCGCCGAATGTCTTCTGGAACTGCTTCTCGCCTGGCTGGCCCGCGCGGCCACCAAAGACAAGCTGGGACCTGAGCTTCCACTCAAGAGGAATGCTCCAGTGCTCGGCAGCCTTCTGGTCAATGATGGGGTTGTAGTGCTGCAAGTTGGCGCCGAACCCCTCAGCCTCGAGCGCAACCCACAGCGCGTACTGGTGCATGGCGTTGGTGTGCTCGGACCAGTCGCCAAAGTGGTGTGCGTAGAGGGGGAACTGCTTGCGGAGGTTCTCGACGGGCTCGGGGGCTTCGTAGAAAAGGACCTGGGATGATTGTCAGTTGGTGTGGCTTGGGATGGTGGCTGCGGGAGGAGTGCGGGAGTGATCTGATCGATGGTGGGGCTTGCATCATGCTTGCATGGTGGGGCAATCTCGAGCTCTGTCGTGGGGCTGCGAGCTCTCCCACATCATGCAACACGCTGCACCATGAAGGTGCTCCACCGTCTTAACCGAAGAGCCTCAACCGGAGAGGATGTTGTGACTCACAGTGCCATAGGCAGCCTTGAAGCCGTTGATCTTCTGCTTGGTGCCGTCGAACTTGTCCTCAGGGGTGAGAGGCTTCAGGACGTCGACAACGTAGTCCCAGAACTGCTCGTGGTCCTTGTTGAGCAGGACAACGAGGCGAGTGGACTGAGAGTTGAACGAGGAGGGGACGTGGAGAACGGCCTGCTCGACGAGCTCCTTGATATTGGAGTCTGAGATGGGCGCCTCCTTGTTGAGCTGGTAGTATGTGCGGCGCTCCTTGATGGCCTCGATGACCGACTTTGTGAGCTGCGAAGAAGCCATGGTTGGTGATGTGGTGGAGAAGAATTTGCTGGGTATCAAAGAAGAAGCAGAAGAAGTAAGGGGAGTCGGTTTGGAGTGTAGAATGGAAGAGGAAGCAGCAATAGTGCTTTTGTAGTTTGATCCATTCCCACCGGCCCCGCGCACCACCTTTCTAGCAATATTTCGAAGCACTTGCGCCATCGAGTCCGTGTCTAGAAGCGGTGTAGTACTAGTTGGAGTCCCACGTGAAATCTGTACCGGCACTTGGATGTGGGGTGTCAATTGTTGCAACAAAAGAGCAAGAAGTACGCCAAAGACTAGGCCTGTTAGCAGCGATCGTGCGGCAATGGACATGGATGAGACGATGGGAAGGTCAGGATTGCAAAGCTAAGAGCGAGCGCCGAGGGCAGTTGGTATGAACGCGTGGGAGGTCTGGCTCCCGGAGCAGTTGAACCGATTGCGTGTCGCATGTTCAGCGTTGCGATAGTTTGTTAGAAATGCTTACAAAATGGTTGCTAAGACAGTGCCTATGGGGCGGATGCGGATCTTGAGGCTCCCGAAGCTTAGCAAATGTGGATGTAAGCTGCGCGGGCTCCTTCCGCACTATCAATCTCGAACAAGCACGACCTCACACAACATTTTGTCTCGCCTATCTTACGAGCTCACGTTGTATCGAAAAACGCTCTGACTTGGAGGCTATATGCCGATGCTAACTTGCCGGGCCCACTCGATTGCCTAACGATGCCAATCGAATTGCCGCTGGAAAAGGCCACCTCGTCTTTATACACGTTGGCGCAAATGAGAGGCTACTTAGCCCTAGATGTGATGAAGAGCCGCGAAGCTCTATCAAGCAACACGCAGCGCCACTACAAGGCTTGAGGTACATTCTGCTGTTGCAAGTGGACCGCTAATGTCCCCGAACTCAATCCTGCGCACAGGAGTTGGAGAATCTAATGCCCTGCGTACTGTCGACTACTGGTCATCTGACTTTCAAACCCCGCACTTCTCGCGATGTCTGAACAAAGCTTCTCGATGACTATGAAGAGTCCGAGAACTTGGTTTTTATAGCTGAACACAATGCAGCTGTTCTCCACGAAACACTTCCAGCTTGGCATGGGGCCAATGGGCTTGGAAGTGGGCGACAAGGTCACTATTCTCCATGGGTCCGGAACACCATGCACCTTGAGAGCGGTCGACGAGGCGCAGAATGAGCACAGAGCCATATCTCAATGCTTTCTGGACGGCTGGATGTTCGGCAAGCATCCCAAAGCCGCTTCCTCATCAGCGATGGTGGGAGGAGGAGCCAGATGAGTTCATACTAGTGTAAGACTGCAATAAATTACCATACAACTACCAACTACTTCCTTCATGCCCTGTGGATAGCTCCTACCTCTTCCCACTGACCCACCAGCCCTTCAACGCAACTGCCTCCCAACGCAATTGCCTCCTAACGCACGTGCCTTTCCTGGATCGCATCATTCAATGCAACTTCTTTCCCCTACCACATGATCCACCCCATTACGTAATTTCCTCCCCGCAACTGCCTTCCTCTTACAGCTACGTTCCTTCCATAACTGCGTTCCTACTAGAACCACAATCACTTGCTTCTCAACGCTCTTCCCGAATCCCCTCAGAATTCTGCGTCCAGAGCAGCTGGCAGAAGAGACAGGTGCTGATCTTCTTCTTTGTGATTCGTGACTCTCAGCGATGTTAGAGTTCCAAGCAGGGGCACCCACCATTAAAAGCCTCTTCCAAAGCCGCCAATGCCTGCGTTACGGATACGATGCTGCAGTATCCTGCCAGTGTCACCGATTGTATGTACATGCAACGAGTGTCGCACAACTTTGGCTTGAAGACATGGATAAGTCAGCACGGTGTGACTGTCACACTGTATGCACTTCAGTCTTATTGTCGTCCAGATGACGTGACTCTTCACCTCCTTCTCCGACAACCCCTAGTTCATCCACCATCACAATACAGGATCAACACTGACAGCGTTTTGATATAATCTTATTTCCAGCTACTCCACCACTCAAAGGGGAGGGAGTTGGCAATCATCGCATCGCGGTGCCACGCGCTACGATCGTTATGCCATTTTGATACAACCCTTCACATTAACCAGGGTCAAAGATGAGATCGTCACAGTAAAAAACCCCCAGCCAGCGATGTGAGACAGTATGATACAAAAGCCGCTCAATAACGCCCAGATGTCGAAAATCGAAAGCCCAAATCTCCCGGTCCTGTCCGTATGTATCTATCCTAGTGAATCATAAACAATAGTCCTGAAGGGTAACTTTTGGTCTGCCGCGGTACGCTATACCCCGTATTTTGCGTGCGCTGAACGCCGTGTTACCTGAGTCTACGATGAGTCGCAGTCGTATAGTGTGCACTGGTGGTGGCTGGGCTCCAGCACCTCCAGTAAGGTATCGAAGATCTCGACACCGTCGTCGGCGTCCATGTCGTCGTCTTCATCTTCGTCCTCATCGAGTTGCCTTCGTCTTGTGGTGGGTGTCCGGTCTCCATCTGATTGTGAAGCGTCGTTCTCAGATTCGAAGCCGCTATCGTCACCCGAGAAGCTCACCATCTCTTGTGCGCCTGCCCCAGCATCAGAGTCAGAAGATGTAACAGTGGCCTCATCACCGTCCGTGACACCGTGCCAGCTCTGCTCGCCATCATCATCATCATCGTCGGCGTCTTCGGCATCCTCGTTCTCATCGCCACTATCGTCATCAGGCTCTGTGTCTCCTCCCTGGTTGTAGCCACCAAAAGCAGGGCCGCCAAGGAACGGCCCTGAAGCTGGTGTGGCATAGGCGAACGCCGCAGGGTTGCTCGTACGGGTCACAGATCGTTGACTAGGACGACTTGTAGCATCTGAGCTTGACCTTGGTAGGGCAGGATGCGTAAAGTGAGGAGATGGTGGCTCCCGTGAACGTCGAGGAGTAGGATTCCATATTGTGACTGGCGCCATGTCAGGAACAGCTACCTCTTCACGCGGCGACAAGGAGTCTGTGACTCGTCGACGCTTCAGCCGAGATACAGAGACACTCGGGGCACGTGAGTGCATTGGTTGTGATGATGCGTGCTTGGTGGGAGATGAGTTCAGACGGCGCTTCGCTGAGCCAGGAACTTCTAGGACAGAAGTAGATGCTGTGCGGCTGAGGGATCTAGGCCGTTGCTGATGGAACAAGCTGAGAGGGGAGAGTGGCTGCTGTTGCCTGTTCTTCAGGATCGAATTGGGTGTAATTGATCGCCGCCACTGTCGGTCTGCAGGGCGCACCGACAGCTCGACTGATTGATGACTGCTGAACGAGGAATGCACACTGACAGGTGGAGCGTCATATGTGGCGTAGTACTGCCAACATGCCTCCTTTGCGTCTGCCTCTGGCACAGGCTGGCAGTGCTCGTCATTGCCTTCCATCTGCGAGTCTTTGTCTGGCTGGTAACGCGGCAACTGCCGCAGTTCCTGCCACGTCCACGAGCTGCCCATCTTATCACTCCGTTGCACGTATGCTTCACGCTGCGTAACATAGAGCCTCCTCTTGCCGCCTGACACCCGCATGACCACGCCAGCAGCGAGGAACTGCGCTGACCAATGTGCAGAGCTCGACATTTCACTCGGAGTGAGAAAATGAAGCTTAGACTCCTTCATGACCTTGCGTAGTGGGATGAAGGAGGCTTTCAAAGCAGGGTGTGCGGCGACCATCTGATCTTCATCTCGGTCGGTGAATTGCAACCACTCCATGACATCGCTGAATGCATGCGACAACGTAGCTTGTATGTCTCGAGCACTAGCGCTATGCAAGGTGATGTTGCGAATGAAACCTCGGCTGAGGAGCCGCTTGTAGACCAGATTGTTAGCACCACAAGCCTTAGGATGCAGCCAGTCGTCCGTCGATCCAGATGCCCAGTCACTGATGGCTTGACTGCTCCATCCACTCTCCGTGTCGCTGAATACGCCCTTTGCGCCAGGGGTCGGACTCGAGTCAGTGTCTCGCAGGCTTTGAGCTGGCTTCAGGTTCCTGGCTTGTGTCCATTCCTCGGAATCTTGAGTAGTAGTCTTGGAGGAGTCGTGCATTGGCTGATCAGGAGAGAACCAGATACCACGTAGTTCACGACCCCATGGCAGTAACACAACCTCGACTTCCCATGGATTGAGCATAGTGGGTAGAGCCGCAGATTCCAGAACCTCCAGTCGACCCTTGATATCACCGAGCTCGGCTTCCTTGTCCTTGCGTTCCATAGCAGCGAGAATCAGCGCTGAGGCGGTCGTCGACTGCAGGGAATGGTTGGAGTTGAACGATCCTGTGACGTTGTCAATACGACGTCTGCTATGAGACACGCTGCTGTTGTCAGCATCAAGAGCTTGATGCATCTTTTCATGCTCGTCCATGCGGTGTTCAACAGTAATGAGCCTATCATCATACATCTCAAGGGTTTGATGAAGGTCTTCTGGTTGCACGTAGTTGAACGATCCATTCTCGAGCACGTCCAAACGATGCCCCAGCTCCCTCATAGTCTTTGCCACGTTCGGAATGGAGTTCAGCAAGTTGTGTAGCGGCGCTAGATAGGAGACTAGCTTCTGGAGATCTTGAGGTGACGCTGACCGGAGAACATTCTGCAACTGCTCCTCTTGTTGGACGGAAGGCGAGTTGGGCAGCCGGAGCTGCTGACCAGGCACAGAGGTGACGCTGACAGGCCTGTGTGGTGAGCCATTCGGTCCTGGCTTGTCCGAAGTCAGTCGCGAGAGCGTGTCAATCAACTTTTTCCCTTGCTGCACAGCATTATCAGCAGCACCAAGGTCGGATGTGCCTCGAACGCTAGGCGTTGCAGCCTCGGTAGCGCTTTGTATGAAGTCGTGCGGATCGAGCGTATTGGGAATGGTATCGCCGGCGACATCGAGGTGCAGGTTGCGATTGAAGTCCTTGATCTGCTCGAAGGGGCCGCGCAGGTCGCTGAGTAGCCTGATCGAGTCGGTCGGCATGGAGTTGTCTCTGGTAGAAGCTCGTTCTGGCTCGCTGAAGGCCCTCTGGAGCGGTGGCGGGACGCTGTCGTCGGCAATGGTGGGTGAGGCAGACTGCTGACGGTCAATACATCGCATACTCTCCATATTCAACATCGAAAGTCCAAGCCCTGCTGCACTGCCACGGGGCTGGTTCACAGCATGCCTAGCTTCGTCGTCAACCGCTGGGCGTCGGTCATTGGAGAGCATGCACATCGAGGGGAGTCCAGGCAAGCCAGACGTGCTGACCTGCGAAGGAGTGTCACGACTTTGCAACATGCGACCGGGCCCATTGGTCTCAGAAGCGGCTGTTCGCTGGGGTCGCTGGCTACTGCCATAGAACGACTTTTGTATCCGCTCGTCGTTGGTACTCTGAGCTTCGTCTACATTCACCTGCTGTCCCAAGTGCTTTGTGCCCGTTTGCATGGCAGGTGTCGGCTGCTCAGGCGCGCGCGGCTTTCTTAGATGGAAGCACGCATGGTGTCCACAGACACACCAGGGCACGCGCTCACTCGCTGGACGGTGGTGGACGCTGCCATCGTGGAGCTCGGCGCTGCTCTTGTCCCAGAACTGATCACATCCACAGGGGCCAACCGAGGCATCGCGGTAATTGCAGGGTCCGTTAGGGAGCGCGAGTCGAGGAGGGGGTTCCCGTTCAGTTGCTGGGTGATAGAAAATGCGTTGCGTGGGAACCGTGTCTGGCTCTGCGAACCCCGCCATGGATGCCAGCAATTGGGCATCCCGCGAAGGGAGCGCGCGAGTCTAGTACTGGGACATTGTTGCGCAGGGCCTATGTGAAGAGCTGCCATAGCGTTAGCAGCGCGCTGCATAGTTTCTGGCGGGGCCGAGCGCGTACCGAAAATATTGCGGGCAGGACACGAAGGAAACAGGTACCTTGGAGGGTGAGCGCCGGGCTTTATAGGTTCGATGCCTGACGATCGAGCCTTATCGCGGACACGGGGCGTGGTATTGAGTGGGTCGAGTGGTTTGGGTGGGGAAGGAGTGACTCTCGCTGCTCGCATGCCAACGGCCAGCAACGAACTCTGAGACAGCGGAAACGGCAGCGGCCCCCCCCCTGTAGTCTACCAAAACTATCGTCGCCGTCTGATAGGTCGTCCGACGCTAGAATATGGGGAAGGCGGCTGCACTAGCCTGCACTCAGCCTGGCCTTGGACTGACGAACTCACTCTCCAGCACCGCATCGCGCAGATAATCACGCATTTGCCTGACCTTATCTTGAACAGCGCACGCGCAGCCTGAGACACGCCGCAAGAGGCGATTGTACGGAAAGAGTCGCCAGGTTCTTCCGCGAAGGCAGCAGTCCAGATGCTGCTGCAGTGCATTTGCGCGACAGGTAACTTTTGCCCTGTTCTGCGCGAGGCCGCTCATTGGGCACTATTCGAAGGACCATGCCGCTGCTGCAGGCGGCACCGGGATCGTTGCGCCTCGACCCAGATTTTGGCCTTGGGGTTTGGCGAGTACATGCCAGGCAGCGAGAGTACGTGACCTGCTGTCGCAATGTTCTTACAAGGTGGTGTGCAGACGTCAGCCTTGCGTGCGCGTAGAGCGTGCGTGGTGAGCACAGATGAAGAAGAAGGTGCAAGGCGCGAGGGACAGAGATCGTTGCGCGGCAGGCCTGAGCAGTTTGGTGTAACAGTTTTGTGGGTACGGCAGCCGTGTAACATCCGTGGAGTTGTACACAGTGGCTGTGGGAGAGCAGAATATAGAGACGTCATTTGTGGGTCGAATGTGATGATTGCTGATCTCGACCAGATTTACAGATTGAGTCTTCAATGCAAGCTCCCAGCATAATCTGTTCTGATATCCCAGCGTGATACATTGCTCATTCATCGCTCACTATGACTAGAACCACATTCAAGCTTGCCTACTTGAAGCAATCGTTTGCCTCCTCGAGAGCGGCGCGCCGAACGTGTATCTTGTAGACTCAGGAAATGTTGAAGCTTCAATCCCAATGAACGTGTGTAGTGGACCTTGTCATTGAGCATTCCAGAGGACTCGTCCTCCTCCTACCGTCCCGCCTTGTAGTCTTCCAGGGTAGTGTAGTCCTGTCGTCTTCACCTGTTCATACCATTAATACATCCTCAGTCTGCGCTAACAAGAAATCTGCACACTCACTGTTCTCTCCCTTTGGCACAATATGACCCACCGTCATCAGCGCATCAGTTTGCATCATGATCTGGTGCACCGTATACACCGGCACAACCAAAAACTTGAACTCGACGTGCGCTCGCAAGACCTCCATGGCCGGTAGGAGATCTGGCACGTTGAAGAAGACGTTCTCATGCTCATCCACCATCTTCCTCTGTTCGGGAGTAAGCTTTTGAGCGCCCTGGACGATACACACAGTCCCCTCTTCGGCAAGATAGTACGTATCGAACTTGAAGCAACGGTTGGGGGACATGAAGATCTCCTGTCCGAGCATGCGTCGAGCTAGCCATAGGGGGTCGGCCTTGATGTGTTCGAGCAGAGCAGCGTTGTTGTTGCGTGCGCGGGTGAGCTGGGCGATCTGGTTTGGGACACCGGCTGCCGGGAGACGTGGAAGGATGGCTGGACTGGAACGTGTGGTCAGGGACGTCTGCTTGGTGTTGGCGAAGTAGCCTGCGACCTGGGATTTGCGCATGTGCCGGGACGGCGGAATGCTTATCTGGGTGTGGGAGTTGTGAATTTCGACAAGGTCAGTCGAGTTTCTTGAAGGAGGCGAGGAGTGACTTGATAGGCGTCGACATGGTCGAGAGGTGGCTAGTGTGGCCTTTGCAAATTTTGAGAAAGAAGGTCAATGCTTGAGGTTGAGAAGATAGGAGTATTGTTGACTGTTTGTTGAATCTATGGTTGTTGCCGTCTGCATACATGTCGAACTAGGCAACGCACACAAAAGCACCACATTCACCTTCACCACCAACTTCAACATGTTGGTTCCACAAGCTCGGCTACCTGCATACTCTATGCGAGCCTCAGCCCATTCTCTTCAGGCTTGAACCATTCCCTCAACAGATCCTCCAGGATACCATTCGCACCCTTCTTCGCCTCTTCACTGGTCTTGCCTTGGCACTCAATGTAGAGCTTGATCTTTGGCTCGGTTCCGCTGCCCCTAACTGTAAACACCGCGCCATCATTCAGCTCGCAGGTGATCATCTGTGCAGTCGGGTCCACGGGTAGATCTGGTGTGTGGTCACTGCTCTTTGAGTCATAGCCTAGCGTGAGATCCCTCCAGCGCACGATCCTGCGGGGTCCGATCGTGGTGGGGTGGGGGCTTCCCAGTGCACGAATGGCTGTGAACACTGCTGTTGTGACTACTGGCGATGGAGAAACAAGGTATGTGTTGGCATCTTCGAAGTAGCCAAGATATTCATAGAGTTGTTGCAGCTTGGCGTATGGTGTCAGGCCCTTCTCAGACCACTGAGATGCTGCAGTCAAGAAGACAGCTGCGGCGCTGATGGAGTCCTTGTCATGCACTGTCTGCGGAATCATATAGCCGAGAGCTTCCTCGAACGCGTATGCGACCTTGTAGTCTTGCTTTTCGAGATCCCGTGCTACATTTCCAAGCCATTTGAATCCAGTCAAGGTCTCGGTGAAGTGGAAGCCTTCCTTCTTTGCTAGTGCGGCAAGTGACCTAGAGCTGACTGTAGAGGCCAACATGGCAAGCTTCTCTCGAGGTCTCGAGGAAGGGTAACGTTCGAAGATGTAGGCGCCAAGCAACAGTCCGAGTTGGTTTCCAGTGAAGATGTGCCACCTATCGCCAACCTTCTCCGCCGCGGCAAGTCGGTCAGCATCTGGGTCACTGGCAAGAATCAAGTTCGATGATGCTGCATCGGCCGTCTGAATAGCCAGGTCTAGTGCTCCCTTCTCCTCTGGGTTAGGGAACTTGACAGTAGGGAAGTCCGGGTCTGGTTGTGCCTGTGCTTCTACGACAGTCATTTGCGAGGCGACTCCCAAGGTCTCAACGCAGCGCTTCATGGCTGGCAGACCAACACCGTGCATGGGTGTATAGACGAACTTGAGATCCGGACTCAGTGAGATGGTATGTTCTGGCTGCGACGCGCACAGAACGGCTTTGTGATACTTGTCCCTTACCAAGTCGAGGGAGCCCTCCACCATGAGGCATGCCTCATCTATGATGGATGTATCCCAGGTGACAGGTTTAAGGTTCTCCAAGATAGCTTGAGCAATTCCGGTGTCATGCGGTGGGATGATCTGGCAACCGTTCGACCAGTATACTTTGTAGCCGTTGTCTTTTGCAGGGTTGTGGCTTGCTGTAACCATCACACCAGCAGCAGCGCCCAGCTCTCGCACGCCAAAAGGTACGAGTGGGGTGTGCGATGGTGTCTCATACCACCAAACTTTGATGCCCTTAGCCACGAATGCGGCTGCTGTGAGCTTGGCAAACTTTTCTGAGTTGTGTCGTGCATCGCGGCCGATGACCACACCTCGCTTCTTGACGTTTTCTTCGGTCTTTAGAAGATATGCTGCCAATCCCTGAGATGCTTGAATGACTGTGAGGGAGTTCATGCAGGCGAAGCCAGCTTGCATAGGGCCTCGCAGACCAGCAGTACCGAAAGCAATCCGGTTTCTTAGTCGCAATTCCAATTCGGTTGTATTGCCATGGTGTAGTAGTTGGTAGATCTCATCTCTCGTGGTTTTGTCCTGGTCGAGCTCCAACCACTCCTTAGTCAGATCTTTGATGTCTTTTGCCATGTTTGATAGGGTCGTATTTCAGTATGTAGTGGTGTCAATGTCAAAAAGGAGAAGAGAAGAAGCAGATAGAGTACTTATTAGCGCCTCTCGGCTGGTAGCTATGACCAAACAGATGCAGTTCTTGCAAATCTGGTGATGGCGGAGGTGGCCGGGTTCAGAACGAGAGGGACACCAGCATCAGCACCTGCCTTGTTTTGCTGCGTCGCCACAACGTTCACCTCACTTCTTTGCAACTCAGTCATGATCCCCGATATGCGTGTGATGCAAGACTAGCTCTTCCGTCAATAGCAACGCAATTCACATGTTCTGCGTGGGAGGTGAGTGCTGAGTGGTCGAGAACGGCCGTTACCGTAGGGCACTCCGCCACAAAAGCTGTGGACCCCTGCCCAGACCTGCAACTCTCAACAAGCGGTGGTCCGATTCGATCACCCTATCCTCTCCTTCCCTTGCTTGATTTCGAGAGATTCCTAGGTGGAAGATTTTTTCTCTTTGCACATTCGCTTGAAGCATGATTTGAGTCTTTCGTCCGACTCTGCCTTCCTGCCACATTTCGATACGCCCAAATAGACTTTGTGTAGCTCCGCAACCCACCACACCACAACTATGGACGCGCAAGCACAGAGGAAGGCCAAGGTCTTCAGTCGTAGGGAGATTGAAAGCCAAATCGCCAATGGCAGGGCCATTGTCATCGTAGACAACAAAGTTCTGAATGTGGGAGCTTGGATGCCATACCACCCAGGTGGTGACAAAGCTATGCGGCATATGATAGGACGAGATGCTACAGACGAGGTTACTAGGTACATCACATATTTCCAATCAATTGCTACTGCTAACACGTATGATCCAGATTCCACTCCTCTCAGACCCTCGAGCTCATGAATCGCTACCAAGTTGGCCGCATCGAAGGACGCTGGACGAACTTCTTACCACCGATCCAGGGAGGAAAGTTCAGGACACAAGAAGAGCTGGAAAGGCTGTCCGAAGAAGAGTATCTCGAGTCTTGCGCCTCGTCAGACCATGAAACTGCCAGTTCAGCATCCTCAGCGGACCAGAGCCCTATCTTCGAGCCGGCCGATAAGTCGTCTTCTGTACGCCAACGAAACACGGCCAATATCGCACGCGCCTTGTCATCCTCTTCGGTATCTTCAATCGGGCTCGAGGACATTGCAGGGTCACCGAAGATGTCTGTGCTGGATAGACGTACGCAGCAGGAGTTGGATTTTGACAAGGCGAAATATCCCTCGACGGACGCGGAGACACAAGACAGGATCACCCAGAAATATCGCGACCTGCAGGTGGAGATTCAGGCGCGAGGACTGTACGACTGTAGCTACACGTCGTACGGTATAGAATGTCTGCGATACGGGACGTTCATCGCGCTATTCCTCTACGCCCTTTACTCTGGCTGGTACATTACGAGTGCGATCCCACTCGCTTGCGTCTGGCATCAGCTTACTTTTACGGTTCATGATGCTGGTCATATGGGCGTCACACACGACTTCACGACCGACACGACCATCGCCATGTTCATTGCGTCCTACATGGGCGGCCTAAGCGCGTGCTGGTGGAAGTTCAACCACAATGTCCACCACCTTGTGACAAACGACCCAGAACACGATCCAGACATCCAGTACATTCCCATCTTCGCCGTCACCCACCGCTTCTTGGAAAGCCTCACAACGACGTACTATGAGAGGGTCATGGAGTACGATGCGGCGGCCAAGATCTTGGTGCGCATCCAGCACTACACGTACTACCCAATCATGTTGTTTGCACGTTTCAACCTCTACAGGCTGTCGTTAGAGTATCTTCTTGGTGGAAAGGGCCCGAAGAAGGGGCCGGCGTGGTGGCACCGCTACTTCGAGATGGTCGGCATGATAGTGTTCTGGACTTGGTACGGCTACGGTGTCGTCTACAAGACCATGCCAGACAACTCCAGCCGCTTCTGGTTCGTCCTCATCAGCCATGCTCTCACATCGCCCTTGCACGTGCAAATCACACTGTCACATTTCGCAATGAGTACGACAGACCTCGGCATTCACGAGTCCTTCGCCCAAAAGATGTTGCGCACCACTATGGATGTTGACTGCCCGCAGTGGCTCGACTTCTTCCACGGTGGCCTTCAATTTCAGGCTATCCATCACTTGTACCCCAGGATTCCTAGGCACAACCTTAGAGAGACGCAAAAGCTGGTCCAGGAGTTTTGCAACGAGGTGGATATTCCCTATGCCCTGTACGGATTCCTGGACGGGAACAAGCAAGTCATCGGCAAGTTGGCAGATGTAGCAAGGCAGGCAGCCATTTTTGCTGAGTGCCAAAGAACCGTCGCAGCGGAGGGAGCCTATGGGCTGCACTAGGATTGGTACTGTAGAACTAAGTCAATGAATACAACACATGTGTATCCATTGTTTACACCATGTTGCGGTGATGTCTGGCAACGACTCGAACAACCCGGTCAAATGAAGTCTGGCCCGTGATCTGCCTTTGATGCAGCGTTGGGCGTGGGAGGCGTGACACGTGTTGGGCTTACAGTCCTGGGCCCCCTGGTGGCGCTGAAGGATCCAGCGTTGTTTCTGCACAGACGGGAGCATGCCACGCCGTACAAAGGCAGCCCTATCGAATGCGGCAGCCCTCGGGCAGAGCAAGTTTGGAGACGATGTGTCGCAGCCAGAATCGGTGCGTCCAAGAGAGTTGCACGGCCCGTTCGGACGGCACGAGGCAGTCACCCGCAACACTTGCAGCGTCAGCTGACAGGGCACAAAGATGCTATTCGCGGTGTGTGAGAAGATGCGGGTATTGCTTTCTCGATGCTGTTTTCGTTCGGCCAGCGCATCTCGTCTCGGTTCCTGGGTAAGCGGCTTGTGTTTCGGCCTATTAGCCATTCGACTGCAAGGCCTGGCGTGCACTTACACATCATCACCCCCAACCCATCCCTCGCTGCCAAATGCACCTGTCCTCGTCGCGCCACGGACCTTCTGCTGCGATAGCAAATTTCGCTGTCCAACGGGCGAGTGCCGCGTGCTGGCGAGGGCCATTTCAGCGCTGACCGCTATTGTTCGGTTACTTCGTCGCGGACTGCAGTGCTATCCAGGCATTCACCCGGACACCCAGTGCACCCAGCGCAGCATGACAGCGCAGCTCCGAGCGTTCCTGCCATCTGAAGTAAACGAATCGCAGCCAACATGACCTCGACAGCGGCTGCTCCCCCCGAGGTCGACGACTTTCGCAGCATCACCGGCGCGCAGGAGAGTGCTGAGCCGGCGTCGTCATCGTCAACAACGCCCACGCCCACCACCGCCGCCCCGTCGCGCGAGAACTCGACCACCAGCCAGGCCTCGGTCGTGCATGCACCTACCTCTGGTGCCCAGAGCAGTCCCGCTACGCAGGTTCCCTCTATGCGCCGCCAATCCCTTGCGAGAGACCGTTCACTCAATGTGTCCGGCTCGCCGTCGCCAGCGAACTCAGCGCTCAATTCACGCGATGCCTCGCCTGCACGCAGTCTGCAACGCACCACCACCGCGCCGCCAGGACCAAGTGCCAGGTCCCAGTCCGGCCTCCTGTCGCGCAAGAGCAGCACCGACGTCAGCCCCAACCGCGGGCCCAGCACCAACTCGCCAGGACTCTCTGCTGCGGCCATACAGCGCGCTCTCTCGTCCGCCAACATCCCTCAACTGCCACCCACCGCGTCCTCAGACTCTGTCAAGGCACCCCGGCCCTTGAAGTCCCCTTCCGCCATCGTCTTTGGCGACAGCACACCCCATTGGCCTGTCTCGCCGCGCATTAAGTCTCCATCACCGCCGGACGCCCGGTCCCATTCACGCTCGCGCCGCAACTCGCTACGCACGCAGGCCAAGAAGCCTGAGCTCGTATCGACGCCCTCAATTGTGGTCCAGCATTCCTCGCCCTCGCCTGCCTCGGCCTCTCGTTTTCCAGTCAAGGAAGAGGTGGTGACGCCTGGCGAGGAGGACACGCCCATCATCATGAGCATGAAGGGGCCGTCCCGCGGGGCCAGCGGCGTGGCTCCCAAGCTGGAGACTGTGCAGGAGTCTAGTCTGCCTGCAACACCGGGTTTTGACGGCGTTGAGCCGCAAAGGTAAGGCTTTCCCCGCAGCGCCCCACTCTTTGTCATGGCGACGCACGTTGCAGCTGCGCACGGAGCGAAAAACCGTACCAAGCAACCATGCTAACGGCTATCGCAGCTTTACTCTCACAACAACCACGTCAACCACCCACAAGAAGCCCGAGGAAGAACGAAATGACGTCAGTTCGTCAAAGGTTACCGAAGACCTTAGCAGCCGACACAACAACATGCACGCCAACACCGGTAGTGGCAGCGACAGTGGCACAAAGAACGGCAGGAAGGGCAAGATGCAGGAACAGCGGTCGTCATCAACCCACCGGGTGAGCAGCAATGTCTCCACCAAGCCTTCGTTGACATCGCTGTCGTCCCGAGCCCGCGACCCACCCCTGCGCAACATGACGGTCGAGACGGAAACCGTCCCATCGATAGCACAGGCCACCATTAGCAACCAGGACCGCTCCGCCTCCGGGCGTGTCGACGGCAGCTTGCGATTGAAGCCGAGCAATGAGACAATACGGCCTAAGAAAGAGAGGAAGCCCCCGAAGCGAAAAGCACCGTCAATCCACTCGGGCACCGGTAGGTCCTCGCAGCTTTCATATCACTACCAAATCCCTAGCAGACCCGACATGGCCCCACGTTCGAACACTGCGTCTTCATACGGGAGTCAGGTGTCACTGCGCTCCTACGACGACCGGCGATCGATGTTGACCATGTCACCACCTGCAAGCCCAGAGATGACCGTTTCTGCTTATGCTCCATCGTTCAGCTATTTTTACTCCAATACTAACTCAAGCTCCCGTAAAGCTTCATCAAAAGCAGATGTTTTCGAACAGAAGGTCGCCAGCGCAGTCGACGAAGCCAATTCCTCAGATTCAGATGCTACTTTCATCTACGAGTCGAATCCTCCAGAACATCAACCTCACCGCAGTCGGGGCGGTCATCATTCAAGAACGCCAAGCATGACATCAATTGCCAGTCTTGCCGACCTACGTTTAGCGATACGCAACGAACACAAGAATCCCGGTAAGAAGAGCAGTATGAAGTTCACGAACCCATACAACAACCCAAACCTGGATTTCGATGGCATAGATCGCGGTGAGGGAACAATTCGCTTGGGATCTGGCCGCGCCGGCACAGGCAGCCACCACCACCACATTGGCAGACATGGCCAAGGCCGCGGCGCTCTTGGTCACATCTTGCTGAACGACGATGCTGCTTCCATGTCACAGTCTTCGCGCGGCCGTGGCCCCTCTTCACGGCATCCATCGCAGCCCAGTAGTCCTCGCTTCCACAACTTCATCGTACAAAACGGTGCTGTTACTGGCAACAACAAGTACAGGGAGTTGTCAACGTACGATATCGATGCGGGCATTGTGGCTGATGATGAGCGCACGCCACTGATTCCATCGGCCCGTAGCCCACGGGTCCGGACTCCACGCCGCAGAGACAGCGTAACACTTAGCAATCTTCAGCGGCAGCTGGATCGCAGGCAACGCAACGAAGGTGGGTGGTGCCGTCGATTCGCTGGATGTCTTGTTCTCTCCATTCTGCTTTTGGTCGTCATTTTCAGCTCGGTCGGGCTCGTATTCGCAACCACGAAGCCTCTTGACAATCTTAGCATTCGCGAGATCCGGAATGTGATAGCCAGCCAAGAGGAATTGATATTGGACCTGATTGTCGAAGCTGTGAATCCCAACATCATCGGCGTTACAATTACCGATATGGACGTCAGTATTTTCGCAAAAAGCAAGCACGTTGGCTCAGACAAGTGGTGGCACGAACATGGCAACGGAGTGCCACACGACAACGAGGAGGATTGGCAGACTATTGACGTCTCGGATGTCGCCGAAGCAACCGGCAAAACGCCCGACGGAGTCGACAAAGGCACAGATCCCATCGAAGATCCGGACGTTGGTGAGCCTCGTACTATGTTGCTAGGCCGCATCTTCCACTTCGATTCACCATTGAACTTCGATGGCTCGTTCTGGCATCGACACAACGCCTCATCGATCGGTGAGATCCGCTTGACACACCCAGGAAACAAGACCGAAGCTGGCGGAACACAGCGGTGGGAAGAGGTCTCACAGTATCCCTTCCAACTCCTCGTGCGGGGCAATTTCAAGTACCAGCTTCCACTCAGCACGCGGGAACTCAAAGTCATAGTTGGAAAAGACTATCACTACGATCCAGACGCCGAAAAGAAGAAGCTGATTAAGGCCGACGTCAAAAGGATCGAGTCAGCAAACGCAGAGCAGCCTGCAAATGCTGTATCATCAAACCCATCAGGGAGATACGACCGTAGAGCCAACCCAATTATCCTATATCGGTAGAGGCCACTATCCATTTTGTACAACAATCAGTACCCGAGCTCCTGAGGGGCCGTGTCCATTCGCGGTTCCAGATATCACGGCCGAAAGAAATCAGATACCCTCATACAAACGAGTTCACGACCCATAGACTTACAATATCCGGTCCAGCGCTCCGCCCCATCCGCGAACCTGACCGCATGATCGTCCTCACTTTACGGCTTCGCAGCCTAACGATTTCCTTGTGCTCTGCTTTTTGCTTTGCATTGTTACTTATGCCGGCCTTCTCGAAAGGTCGGCTATATGTATACGCTTTGGGTGAATCCGCAACGTGCACGGATCTGATGCGCTTCAGCGAAGGTGTTTTGTAATTGTTGGACACTTCACGTTCTCGTACCTTTTCGAGAGAGACCTTGTCGGTCTAGCCTCTGTTTCTGATCTTCCCCTTCATGTGAGCGTTATTTAGCTACATTACACTTTTGTACTCGGTCTCTTTGAGACATTGAGCGATTGCATCGTAGGAAAAGGAATTGAAATCTTATCGCGGTCAAAATGACTTGCGTATTACTACTTGCACCTCTGTTCCTGTCCTCAGAGGCTCCGGTCTTGCATGCGTAAGCGGTCTATAACGACGGCAGTCCTTCAGAGGTGCTCGTGCCACCTCGGAGTAAGTCACGGTTCTCACACCTATATCCTGATTTCGTAGGACTGACGCAGAAAAGGGACAACAGTATTTCGAGCGGGCTTATTTCAGACGTAATATAGTTCACGCACTTGGCTAATGCGGGGTGCAGACGGTTCATCTCATTCAGGAAAGAGATGATCAGGAATTATCCCGGTCGGTGCATCTACCTCCATACAATGTATCTTGGCGAGATCAGCACCGTCTTCTACATACGTGCCGAGACGCACGGTGTAACGGGACGAGTTCGCACTTCGAACCACACAACATGGCCACATAGGAACCCAGTGGATGGCATCATAACACTTGAAGAACATCGGAAATTAGGGAACATATTCCATGCCCTGGGGGGACGGGAGCAAGTCAGCATACACGAAAGCTGGACATTAGGGGGAGACTGAAGGTATTACAGCCGCAAAACAGGAGGCAGCGCGCCTCTACGAGCCTTGAAACAACGTTACACACACAAGGCTTCGAGTACGGCATACACGCGGGAACAACAATTCGAGGAACACAAACTCAGGCAAACACGTCACTTCTTGAGGCGAAATGTACATGGTCGTAGATAGAAGCCAGACCACGCAGAGGCGAGGGGACAGCTAGCCATACCACCGGTATGCTGAAGTGGGGCGGTGTTGGTTTGTCCAACAAAGCATCCGGACATAGCTGCGGATACATCGCGGCTGAAACCGAGTAGGAACCAATAGTCAGTCAGTCAATCCAGAAGCGTTGGCAATAGCGCATATGCACCGCGCTTGAGCACCTATTCTCCCGTGCCCTGTATCGCTACATGTAGGGCGGGATCAGCTCTCTGCCGCCCTGCCGGTACCGTAGCGCTAAAGGAGTTCATCTATATTCTCGATCCATGCCGCCTTCGATGCAGCCGCTTTACAGCCTTGCGGCTGGCGTTCTGCACCTGCGTTCTCCTACGCCTACCTCGCCTGAGGCCTGATGCGACGCCATCACCAAACTAAGAATACAACAACGAACACCAGCTTCGGCTCCCAACACTGTTCCGGACTGCTGTTTACCATAGATCTACCTAGTACTGTACAGCCGTTCATCCTCCCCTCCATATGCTAACCTAGAGAACGATCAGGGGAAGCCAGTTGCCGCACTCTTCTCATCAGGCTGCCGCATTAAGCCTCGTGTCTCATTTCTACCGCATGTGCTTACCACATCTCCGAACAGATTGATGCGTCTTTTGAAGTACGACAAAAATGGAGAGCTCACCATCATCAGCTTCAACAATAACGCGATACCTCCTTATGCGATACTTTCACACACTTGGGGAGCAGATGAAGATGAGGTGGCTTTCGCGGACCTGGTAAAAGGCGATGGCAAGGCTAAGCGTAGCTACAAGAAGATTCGCTTCTGCGGAGAACAAGCACAGCACGACGGTTTGCAGTACTTCTGGATTGACACATGCTGCATCGATAAGTCGGACAAGGCTGAGCTATCCCAGGCTATCCGGTCCATGTTTCGTTGGTACCAAAACGCAACCAGATGCTATGTTTATCTATCAGACGTATCGACAAGGAAGCGGAAAGCCAGCAGTATGCTTACTGTGACGGTTTATGGAGTAAAGCGGTCATGTCTGCCACGTGTGCTGGTGCAGTGCTCTTGCCTGTTCCAATAGCACTTTCTGTCTGAACGACAGATACGTCATGTAAACAGACCCCGCTGGGGGTCGAGTGAGAGAGACAGAACACTAAACAACCCAACAGAATATACTGATTTTACTGCTTCGCGCGGTTACCCCTGACTTACTGCCCTGCGCGGTTACACCTTCACTTATTGCATTTACTGCAACAGATGGTCTCTAGAACCCTACTATTCTAGTTCTCACCAATACCTTGACCAAAGACCCGAGCATCTCTAGCCCATTGTTGAGCCTGTTCAGTAAGATTCTGCATGAACACATCATATGTTCTTTGAACTTGACTGATCAATCAAGTGAATCTCAACTCACGAAGCTTAATTCGACAAGGACCCTCGCCTTATGTGTCCTGAAACATGCATCCTACCGGACCTCTCTTGACGCTAGGTCACGGATGTCAGCCACAATGGGAAAGGGTACCACAAAGAAGAGTGGTGGCTGTCAGGCCGACTTCTAGACCCACTTCCATCCAAGCGTTTGCGTGAACTTCTCGATAATAAGATCATCCATGCTCCTCTAGACCACTCCCCGATACACAAGGTAGTTGGTGTAGGCTGCGGAACCGACATTACAACCAACGAACTCGGCGCCACGATCCCCAAGGCAAGAGTCTACGGCGTCGACCTGACGACTGTTCCTGCTCTGCGCCCCCAGCTCGAGAACATCGAGTACATCGAGGGCGATATCGTTTCGAGGCTACTGGTGGCGGGTATGACAGAGCGGGGGAGATATGTGAGCCTCTGTGTTGCTCTGACGAAGCCTATAGTAAGTTACACGTTTCTTACTCACCACAGCACAGTAGCCTCAGCAGACTCGTTTGACGTGGGTACAGTGCTGGATCGAAATGGAAAAACTGATGTCACCGTTCGCCTCTTACTGCATGCCGTTTTTGGAGATGCGTACCGATAGGGCAGTCGAGGCGTCGAGAGCTTTTGTGGACAGATTTGAGGGGAACAGAGAGTTTGGGTGGGTGTACGTTGTTTGTGGACGAAAGGCGAACGTGTAAATAAGCCAATGGGGTACGATTATACTGCATACTACATCACTGAATTGTGCTCCTTTCGAACTATGGACTCTCTCATCTTCATGGTTAATGAGAGTCCGTCCTTATTAGTAAGACGATCTAGGAAAAAACGAGGGTCTGGACGCTGCATCGTAGCTCGCTTTCAGACATCGGATAGCAAGCAAAAAGTCAACGAAAATATACAAAAGGTAGCTCCAGTTCTTTGGAAGGTATCAGGTCCTCATTGCAAAGACTGGCTCGTTGGGAGCCACCTCACACCGGACATCGCGATCGTTCGGATGGTCAGCTCGGTTCTCGGTGTCTTCCAAAAATGGAGGCGCGGGGCAGCCGGATGCGCCAACGTCACTGGCGCTTGAAGTGCTTGTTTCGATGGCAAATATCGAGCCTGGCAATCTTGAAGGGTACAACTCCATTCATCCTAACTCTTGATGGCGAAAGCCCCGACAGATAATATCGGGATCGCCGCGGTCACGATGAGGCCATGGGCAGATGTTTAGAGGAGCAGTTGGAGCTCTGACATTTTTGTGCTGTTTGACGCAAATCAGGAACGCGGCAGCTCAGTCTAAGCTTATTCAGGAGCTTAGCGCGTGAAAGTGGGGCAGCTTTCATGCATCAGGTCATCGTGCTATCATGACGCAGCAAGGCACGCAAACAGCGAACAGCTCCAATTCGACGGAGAGCTCACGGTATGATGAAATGTTGTTGCAGGAGCGCTGCTAAATCGCTCAATGGCCAATGGCACGGCAAGAACAATGGATCAGGAGAGCTTCCTGGAGTCAGCTGTCAAACGGTCGTAACTGGCAGCTACAACACTCAAATAAAGCTGGGAGCCCATTACGCAGCTCTTTGTACTCTTCTACCATTATCCTCTACCTTTACCCGGAGCGCTCAATTGACGGGGTACGCCATATTGGAGTTCTGTATTCTTCCTCAAGCTCCTTAACAACCTGTACCTTTCCGCCCACTTCCGTCAACGACATCATCGTACGCGTCTCCACATAGAACTTAAAAGCACGCGTCTCCACATAGAACTTAAAAGCACGCGTTCGCCTGTTCGCGCCTCAACCAACAGCGATCATGGACGCAATGATAACAGCCGCGGCTCCTGAGCCCGAGAAGCTCACCGAGGATGTCGAGAACCTGAGTTTGTCGCCATTCGGTGTCGCCAGGTCCTCTGTCAATGAGTCGCCGCTCACCGGAGATGAAGTGCGCCTCATGACCGACTACTTCCATGCCTCCATGTACATGTGCTTGGGCATGATCTACTTGCGAAGGAACCCTCTCCTGCGCGATCCGTTGACAGTGGAGCACGTCAAGCGCCGACTCTTGGGTCACTGGGGATCTGACGCTGGCCAATCATTCACATACATTCACATGAACCGCTTGATCAAGAAGTATGACCTCGATGCTCTTTTCATTTCCGGTCCCGGTCACGGTGCGCCCGCCGTCCTTTCCAACTCCTACCTTGAGGGTGTCTATTCCGAGGTCTATCCCGACAAGAAGGAGGACGAAGAGGGCCTGAGGAGGTTCTTCAAGTACTTCTCATTCCCTGGCGGTATTGGCTCGCACGCTACTCCTGAGACTCCCGGAAGCTTGCACGAGGGAGGAGAGCTCGGATACTCGATCTCTCACGCTTTCGGTGCGGTCTTTGATCACCCAGATCTGATTGCGCTTACAATGGTTGGTGACGGCGAGTCTGAGACCGGTCCTTTGGCTACGAGCTGGCACTCTACCAAGTTCCTCAACCCGATCACAGACGGAGCTGTGTTGCCCGTTCTGCACTTGAATGGATACAAGGTAAGAGAATACCTACCAATTGGTCACGCAAATGTACTGACATCATTAGATCAACAACCCTACGGTTCTCTCTCGTGTAAGCCACAAGGAGCTCGAGGCTCTTTTCGTCGGCTACGGATGGACGCCCTACTTCGTGGAGGGCAGCGACCTACCCTCGATGCACCAGGCTATGGCCGCCACGTTGGAGCGCTGTGTCACGAAGATCAGGGAATATCAGAAGGAGGCTCGCGACTCTGGTAAGGCTTTCAGGCCTCGCTGGCCTATGATTGTCCTCCGCACACCTAAGGGCTGGACTGGTCCTCGCAAGATTGGCGAGCACTACTCCGAAGGCTACTGGCGTGCTCATCAGGTTCCAATCACTGACGTCCTTACCAACCCTGAGAGCCTCAAGAAGCTTGAAGAATGGATGCGCAGCTACGAGCCTGAGAAGCACTTCGACAAAGACGGCAAGCTCATTCCCGAGCTGAGGGAGCTAGCTCCCACAGGCAACAGGCGTATGAGTGCCAACCCAGTCGCAAATGGTGGAGTGCTCAGGAAGAAGCTTCACGTGCCAGACTTCCGCGATTACAGCGTTGAGGTCAAGAAGGGCGGCGTGTCGAAATTGGGTAGCATGGCAAACTTCGCAGCCTTCCTCCGCGATGTTGTTGCGCAGAACCCCAAAGACTTCCGTGTCTTCGGTCCCGATGAGACACAATCAAACAAGCTTGACAAGATCTACGAGGCTGGTAAGAAGGTCTGGCTGGCTGACTACTTTGACGAAGACGAGGATGGCGGCAACCTTGCCTTCGAGGGACGTGTCATGGAGATGCTCTCTGAGCACACAGTCGAGGTACGTAAAAATGCGTGTTGGTAATGGATCTAATGCTAACGATGGTAGGGCTGGCTCGAGGGCTACATTCTCTCAGGACGACATGGTCTGCTCAACAGCTACGAGCCTTTCATTCACATCATTGATAGCATGGTCAACCAGCACTGCAAGTGGATCGAGAAGTGTCTTGAGGTTGAGTGGAGGAAGAAGGTCGCATCCCTCAATATCCTCCTCACAGCCACCGTCTGGCGACAGGACCACAATGGCTTTACACACCAGGATCCCGGTTTCCTTGACGTCGTCGCGAACAAGAGCCCTGACGTCGTGCGCATTTACTTGCCTCCCGACGCCAACTGCCTTCTCTCCACCATGGACCACTGCCTTCGCAGCGAGAACTATGTCAACGTCATCGTCGCAGACAAGCAGGAGCACCTGCAGTTCCTCACCATGGACCAGGCTATTGCACACTGCTCTAAGGGTGTCGGCATCTGGCAGTGGGCCTCCAACGACAAGGGTGAGGAGCCCGACCTTGTCATGGCATCCTGCGGTGATGTCTCGACCCATGAAGCTCTTGCAGCCACCGCTCTCCTGCGCACTCACCTGCCAGACCTGAAGATCCGTTTCGTCAACGTTGTCGATCTCTTCAAGCTGATCGACGCAAGCGAGCACCCTCACGGTCTGCAAGCACACGAGTGGAGAGCAATCTTCACAGATAACGTCCCTTGCATCTTCAACTTCCACTCATACCCCTGGTTGATTCACCGTCTGACATACGGTCGTAAGGGCCAGCAGAACCTCCTCGTCTGCGGATACAGGGAGAAGGGCAACATCGACACACCACTTGAACTCGCCATCCGCAACGGTACCGATCGCTACAGCTTGGCCATCAATGCTATCGACCGCGTTCCTGGGTTGGGTAACAAGGGTGCGGCAGCTCGCGAGACGCTCCTTAACGAGCAGATCCGTGCAAAGAACTACTCTTACCATGAGGGACTGGATCCCAAGGAGATTGATGATTGGGTTTGGCCTTTCTAGATGCGACAGTTTAATGACTTGAGTCTGGGTGGGTTTTCTTTCTATGATAACGAATAATGACACGAACTACACTCCAATTACATGCTTGTGTCCATCTTGATGTCGCAGGCCCCCAAAGATCGTCCGCGTCGATCTCCAGCAACCGTCAAACCTCAAGCAACTGCACACTGCACGCCCATGTATACAATCAGAGTCCAGAACACAGTCGAGCAAGCTACTTGGCCCAACATAAGCGGAGCACAAAATAGGCACAGGTACCTCCATGATTCACTGTTGGCAACCAAAAAGAACACGTCCCAGCCTTGAAGGCACTGCAGTCGCGAAAACAAAAAAATAATGCTTGTTATCTCCCCCGGAAAGGCTCGAACTTTCAACCTCCTGATGTGCAATCAAGCGAGATGCGGATAACAGTCAGACGCGCTAGCCAATTGCGCCACGGAGGATCAGCTATTTGCTGGTGGTTGCGCCACTGCTTTGATGAGTGGCGGGGGGAAAAGTATTATTGTATACTCAATTCGAAAATTGAACAAAGGGGGTTCCAGACTGAGGTTCGACTGGGTATAAATAGAACAATGAGTTGGATTGTGCCGGTCGGGCAGGTGCGGAATTAAATTTGTGGGGTGAGTGGGGCGGGAGCTGTCAGGGGCGCGCCGGAAGAGTTCGAGTGGCGGCTTTTGAACTCCGGCTTGGAGACTACAAACTCACAAGCTCCACATCCTTTAGCAGAAGTGGCAGCATGTCCATCATACCACGCAACGTACAAGATAATTCACTGTATTTAATAATGATGCATCTGTCAGTAACTATACTGCAGCTTGGTACGCAACGACAAGCAATGCCGCAACTTTTATGTCACTAGCTCTTCTCCAGTCCTCCAATCTCCACATGCAACAAAAGCAATTGGGTGCAAGCAGGCAATCCTCAGACTTACGGGAGATGCTCAAACCAATCTGCCCTCATTTCGTCAGAGTATGGACAATTTGAGGACCACCAGTAACTCTGCCCACGCTGGGTCGCACCACGTAGCAAGAATTTTTCTGAAGAGCCCCAGGCTTGACTCATGAAAGTCAGGGCTATTAGAAGCGTTCTAACCTTTCTGCAACACGAATGCAAGCTGTCTTCAGGTTTCTCCATGTGTGGACCTTGACAATCAAACCAGGCGGTGACAAATCTTATCGTCAGCCTCCAACTTGACATGTTGGAAGGCTTGGTGATAGTCAAACTACAGGGCGTGACACGTGTGATATCACAGGAAGCCATTCAGTCCTACTAGACATTTTGAAGTGGACCATCGTGGCTGCATTAACCTGTGGATTAGTATCGCGTGCATGGGTACATTGTAGTCTCCAAATGCCTTCCACAGGTGTTGACTGGTGTGACGAGAAACTCTAAAGCTGACATAGCTGTACCAGAAACCTTCCCGTAGTGAAGTTCCCCGGTCAAGATTGGTTTGCTTCACAGAAAGCAAGCTCCGGATCAATATGAAGGCTGTATAGGTCGTTGACCGCATGTAACCACTGGACAAGTGGAACTACCCTGCTGCTCGGTTGGGTATCAAGATCATCAGCAGCTATTTCTGTCCAGGAGCCTGGTGATACTCGTAGATGATCCGTATCGTTTGTGAATCTAGCTAGTAAGGTTGGAATATTTACACAACACGAGCGATGATGAACGCTTCTCGAAGATAAGACATTTTGATTTACAGAGTTGGTCTCGACCAACGGCTTGAATGCAAAAGGCTTTGGTGAGAAGAAAACGATCGGAACGGGAGGATCGGGGATATGATACTATTTGCATGCTACTTATGCTGACTCAAGCGAAAGAAGAAACACTCTCTTCGCTCAAACGCCTACCCAATGCAAATGCTCCACGCTCATGCTATGCAATCAAATCACCACCAAACACAGCTTCAATACTCCAAAACTCCACGCTAGAATGCAAAACGAACCGAAGCTCAGAAGTCATAATCACCAACAGCACTCAATCCCATCCTCATGTTCTCAACCGTCTTGCCACTGACACCCTTCAACATAGCCAGGCTGGCCAGGTCTTGCACTTCAGCATTGTCCATCTCCACCAAACAGTTCACGATAGCATCGGCCTTCTTGGAGCCCACTCCTTTCAGCGCCTTGATCTGATTGACATCGCGGCTGTTGATGATCTTCAGAAGGTGCGATGTTCGTGGTGTCTGTTCGCCAGGGACTGCTGATGCATCGAGATCGTCGCGAAAGATGGGGAGCTTCTTCGTTGTCTTCTTGGGCTTACGAGCCGCTTTCGGCTTCGTTACAAAGCTGTCCTCAGATGCGAATGAGTCGTCGTGGTCTGACGGTGGCGGTGGTGCGAAGTCGTCATCTTCAGACTCGGCATCGTCCCTGAAGGCCATCTTCAGCCTTGAGGCCTTCTTGTCTGCCTTCAATGGCATCATGAGGGTCGACACGGGCGCTGGTGCGACTGGTGCTGACACGTGCTTTTGTCCTTCCTCGCGCTTCGCCCGTATCCGATCTTCCAGATTCATCATCTTCGCCTGAAGCTTCTCATTGCCAGGGAAGTACGGCTCAGCTAAGTGGTACATGCGAAGAGCGCTGGCATCTTCGCCTCGCGCGTGATGTTGCTTGGCCATCAACAAGAACTGCAAGCCCTGTGACTTTCCATCGTCCTCCTTCGCGTCAATGCGCTGTTCCAGATCGTCGAGGCGCCTTTGAAGTTCATCAGAGAGGGCTGGTGCTGCAGCTGCAGCATCTTGTAGCGCTTTCTCTGCAAGCCGCTCGTCTAGTCTCCGCGCGATGAGTGCCTCGATGTCTTCTTTTGTCATGCCAGACTCCACGTTACGAACTCGCGAAGTGCTATCGGCCGCTCGGAATGTCTTCGTAGGTCGAGTGCTAAAGGTTCCGCTCGGTTCTGCCGCCCGCTTCTGCGCTTCCGTACGTCGTAAGCCTTGGTTCTGGGAGGTAAGGTTAGACACACGTGATACAGGCTTGCGGGAATCGGAATATACGGAAAAGGCCTTTACAGGCTTTTCTCCCTTCTTCTCCTTCCCTGGCTCTGATACGTTGACATTGGCTGCTGCTGTCAGAGCTCGCAGAGGTTGTCGCTTTATGTTCGCTCCTCCTATGCTGCTAGTCACTGCAAGAGGCTTCGACATGGTCCTGAGAACCGGGTCATTCTCCACCTCTGCGACTTCGATCTTCTTTGTGCGACTGGCGAAGTTCAAGGAACTGATAGTGTCGAGGTGGTACGCGCGAGTTGGTGCAAGGTTCAGAATCATGACAGTCAAGCCCTTGTTCTGACCAAGCGAAAGAATTCTCGTCATCTTCGATTCGCGGTACGGTATCCTGCTTTGCTTCTTGTTCATAGCCTCGACACACTGTGCGAGCACGAAGAGCGACTTGTTGATGGCGGAGCTTTCGACGAGGCGCTCCTTGTTGTTTTCCGTACGGCGGTTGTCCTCAGATCCTGCGAGATCGATGCAAGATGCTCGGCTCACACGAACTATGGTTTCGGTGGTCTGTGTGATCTTGACACAAAGTACGGCATGCGATCGGGATGAGTGCGCGTTGAGCTGGGTTCGTGTTAACTATACGCTAATAAAGCTGTCCAGCAGTAGTGGTGTACCTTTGTCGCAGACGTTGAACGGTTCATGTTCGCCTGATCATACAACTGCTCGAACTCCTTCAGCGTCGTGCATGGCTTCTCAGTCAGACCAACAACGACTGTCTTCCCGTGGTTGTCGCGGATGGGAAGACCAGATGGTGTGCGCTTCTCCGGTGGCTCGAATAGATCGTATACGCGGTCACAATAGATCTCGAAGTATTCCAACGCGACCTCAACTTCAGTAGCGCCGGCGGAGTCCTTTTCAATTCTCTTGCACCGTCTGTATATGGCGCTCAAAAGCCGAGGGATCACACCACGGTCGGCCAGCGACTTCCCTCCTCGCATCGTATGGGTCTTGCCGGTACCGGTGCAGCCATGTGCGAAGATCGACAGGTCGAAGCCATTGAACAAGTGTTTGACCGTCGGTGAGACTGGATATACGTTAGTAAGATGCCGATGGCGTCTGGCGGTAATTACACACTCTCGGCATCAAACAGTTGTTGTTGTGTAGCCTCCTGTTCATACACAGAGCTGAACTGAAAACTGAAGGATTCTGCATCATTCTTCGGGCTCGGTAACCGTACGACCGTAGCGGTGGACTCCCCTTCGAGGGGCTCTGCGGTGACGATGGTGTCCTTGTCGAGCTCTTGCTTGAGCAGTGGTCTGATTCGTGCGACTACGCGGACACTCATGTTGTTTACGCCGGATCAATGCTAGGACGCGCGCGAAGGTAAAGGTGAGAAATACAAATATACAAACGCGTAAGAACAAGCAAAGCACGCAGCCTACCGCGACGGGGATTCGATCTACAGAGTGTGAAGGCCACCCTGGTACGCCGTATTTTGATTTGACCGCTTCGCTACTGGAGATCACCACAGCAACGAGGAAGGAGTGGCACGTGCTCGAACATCTGAACTCAGACTTCGATCTGAGGTCATGATTCAAATGTTGAACTTTGAGGGATTCCATCCGATCGCATTATGGATGGATCGTGTGTTGTCAAGAAAAACGCTTTGACTTCTTTTGGCCAGATGTCCCTAGGTCTAGTCCAGAGGCCTCGAGGAGCAACACGTAGGTTCATTGAACGACCGTAATCCCAAGAAAGTCTGATGCTTCGCACTGAGTGCCTCCAAGGCTTTGTCTTGCGCGTAGAGTGCGACTCGATGGAGGCTTGCTGTCTACGTGGCGTATTTGAGCGTCTACTCGACGGGGTCACGCTGCGGCGCGCTGACAGACTTCAAGTTCCAGCGCCGCGTCTGGAACTCTATAAATGATGGAAGGATAGAAAAGGCTCCGCTGTGCCTCACTGCAATGCCGCGGGCCGGTTAGTCGCTTGCGAAGCCATGAAGGAGTGTCGTTGTTCGGCGAGCCGCCCAGATCACGAGGCTGCATTGGTGTGATGTCGTCTGATTGGCTCATATGTAGCTCAATTCTGAAACACCAGGACTTCTGCATCGAAGCACCACAACCACTCCTCCAACCAAAGTCAAGTATTTTCGGAAACAACCCGGTGCCGCCTTCAAATTGAGGCGAATTGGGCCAGTACTACATGAAAAGCTATTGTCAGTCCAGACGTAGAGCAAGGCGGGTATCGATGCCTCAAAACCAGAGAAGACCCCTGCGAGCGGTGAGTCTCGCACAGTAGAGCTTTGAACTTGTGCGTTGTCGACTACCTGAATCGAACGGTTTGTCCCTTTCTTTATCCGTCTTTCAGGTAGTTTCTTTCATTCCGTTGATCGTTGCCTTCATAATCGTCTGTCCCCTCGGTCACTTTCGATTTCTCAGTTTCTGCTCTTGTCCAGTCGTAAACGCGCGCGTCTCCTTCGTTCTCCACTTTCTTTCATTTCCTAATCCACGAGCTTATCTCAGATGGCTCGCTTTACTTCACTATTGCTGCTGGCAGCATCTACTTCTATTGTCGTTGGAGGGCCATTGCCTGAAGGCTACAGGAGGCAAATGTGAGTTGGTCACTAGTGCATGACGATCCCAAACTAACACGAGCAGGTTCTCCAGCTACACAAATACAATTTACGTCGCCTCTTCAGCTGTGGAGGCGTCTCAATCACTAAGCACAGCTGATGATGTCTCATCGATACCTCTGTCTACCATCGACAGCTCTATCCTTCCATTGCGACCTGCATTTGCGTCTCCCAGGTCATTATTACCATCCTTGAATGAACCATACGCCAACGCAGAGACTGCTGTTATTATTGAACCCATACAGCCAACTGTCTTCACACAGACAGCACCTGCCATCACATTCCTCCTTCCGGATGGCCAAGCTATCGCTACCCAAACGCCTGAAGTTATCTTGTCAACTTCGTACATCACATCCCCTGCACCCATCCCTACATCAGAGACCAAACCAAGCGATTTATCACCTGATATTACTGCCTCATCACCGGTTCCTGCGGAAAGCCAAGCATTGAGCTCCTTCCCTGCGAAGGGTCTGTCCAGTTCGAAGGTGGAAGAGGAAAGTGAGGCGCTGAGCGCTTCCACTTACGCGCCCCCGATGTTCACGTATTCGCCCGAGGAAACCACAACAGCAGCATTCTTTGCGCCTAGCACTATCGCCGCCAGCTCTGTTACTGCCAGCTCTGCTATCGAGAGTTCAACTCTTGCGAGCTTGGTCGTTTCCAGCTCGATTATTTCTAGCCTGACTGCATCCGCGACTGGAGGTCAGCCGGCGCAGAACGGCACAGGATTGCCAGGCTTCACCCATCCGGGCGCGATTCAAGGCACAGCTACTCTCAGTGGCTCTTTGGGTAGCTCCATTGGTGCAGTCCCGGTCAGCTCATCGGTGGCTGCATCAGTTACTCAGGTGTCGCCCTCTGCAGCACCTGTGAGCTCCGCAGCCCCATCACTGCTGGCTTCAAGCTCCGCAGTCCTAACTCCGGAGAACACGACCATGACAACCTCATCTCGCCTCGTTGTCACAAAGACATTGTACACCACCGTCTTCCCTACCCCTGCCGCATCGGAGGCACCCTATTCTGCAACTTCAGCAGTCTATTCAACCCAGAAGTCCAGCACGCCGGCGGTGTCAGCCGCATCGTCAAGCTCTGCGGCTGCAGCCGTGCCTGCTATCACTGCATCCCCTTCCATTCGTTCTTCGATCGTACAATCGTCCTCAGCCAAACTCCTGCCCTCGACGTCGCTGCAAGTACCGCCCGGTATCATTGTCACGCAGTACACTACTGTCTTGCCGTCGCCATCATCGGCTCCCGCTGAGACACCAGTGGTATCTTCATCTCCATTGTCGTCATCGCAAGCAACTGTGCCTTCCGTCGCGCCTTCCTCATCTGCGTACGCCACACCACCAATCGTTTCTAGCGTCCCAGAATCGACACCTGCTCCAATGCCCAGCGTTGAACCCACACCAACACCATCATCAAGCTCAGCCATCTCGTCTTCCTCTGAGCCCGCATCATCCAAGGCTTCATACTCCGTCACGGACGTAGAGCCTTTGCCAACAGAAGCACCCGCGTCACCAAGCGAAACACCACCAGCGCCGGCGCCAACGGCCTCTTCGTCTGAGGGCCCACTGATCATCACGCCAATTGCGCCGAGTCAGATATTCACTATCACGGTGACGGAGAAAGAGAAAGAGACGGTCACAGCTACAGTGACTGCCACTGTAACAGCGTAATTTGGATCATACGGAAATGATTACGGGGGGAAGAACAGAAGAGAACGAAGACGATGGTTTATGAGTGATAGCAGGACAATATTTGATACCCCATATAATTACGTAGCTGAACTATGGTCCGAATATCTTCATTCCTTGTTCTTTTATTACTCCTAGTCCTCGATCGATGTCTTCTACTGCTGCAGAAAACATCTCTTTGAGTCGGTCAGCGCTCACCTTGTCATGTGCAGCTTCCAAGGCCGTGAATTCTTTGTGCAGTTGCTGGAACATTTGCCTGTAGTTCACGAGCCAGGCATTGTGCCTCGCTTGGTGGACATTGAGGATGTCAATCTTTTCTTTCCTGAGCTTCGGTTTTATCGGCTTGTGCGACCGCCACATGGGCCATCGACCGCTTCGTCAACTCACTTTGGCGGGCCAGCGTATGTCACAAGACACTTCAGCATCAAATCCGTAGACTCGAGTTTCATGATGATGGGTTGCTGGTTCTTCTCTTTCAGACACCGATTCTCCTGAGCAACCTCCTCCTGAGCAACCTCCTCCTGAGCCTTGTGTAGTCACAGCTCCGATTCCTTTGCATCTTGTCCCGGCTCCTCCTCGCCCCTTTTGCGCGCCTTCAACTGACGAATCTTCTCATCCCGAGAGGCCAACTCCGTTTCGAGACTGTGACATTGGGCCTTCGACTGCTTGTTGTTCTCGTGTGCTTGTGCGACCACCTGGCGCGGCTTTAGAACTTCGGAAGATGTTTGTGATGCCATTGGATCAGGAAGTCCTGGAGCTTGATGTGTATGGAAGTGTACATATTGGGAGTAAGCAAGTGGAGGGCGTGTGGTGGTGTACCCATCCGGGGAGCCATCCATGGCGGTGTCCATGATGAGCAGGAGAGTGGTAGTACTGGCAGGGGATGGGATCGCTTGAGGATGGGATCGATGGAAAACTGGACAGATAGTGAAGCTCTGGAGGATGGGATCGTTGGAGAATGGCTGCCCTTCTGAGGTGAGTCTTGCTAAACACAGACCTACGAGCAAACTAATAGTCTCAGAAGCTCGCACCAAATGCTTAAACAAGATGAGACATAGTTTAGATACTACATCGTCGTAGACCACCATGGTGATTATTCTGCATGCGTAGCGCCACTGAGGCTAACAAGAGTGTTGGTGCATCATCATAAACATGATGAGGTCGTGGCCACCTCCAGGGCTAGCTTTAGTAGACTAACGCCGGCTCTGCATGATCGACGAACCTCCAGAGATATTATCTTAATTTCCATGTGCACTACGGCCATGCTCACCTGGTTGGTGTTATACAAATTGGTCATTCCTCGTCTCCTCATTATCCAGACCTGGTATCATGCCCACCTCAACGCCCTTTTCATAACGCCCTCAGTACCCGCTTTGCTCTTTCCTATGACTTCCATCTGCCCCACCGTCACCTTCCCCATCTTTCCTACTCTCTTTCGCGCCAACAGCAGCCTCCTGAATTCCCTGGTCATCACCTCTTAACTTCTCGAAGTACGCCTTGACATCCTCCGCGCCCACGGCCTTTCCGCTCTCCGCAAACGGCTTCAAGAACGCGCTCACCTTGTCCTTGAGCTGCGCATACGCCATCGCGCCCTGGATAGCGCGCACGCGGTCCATATTGTTAAACGCTGCTTCGCCGCGGTCGAGAATCGAGCCTGTGCCGACGGACTGCGCGCCTTCCTCGCCATCTTCGGAGATTGGGGGCTCGTACGTGTCTTCTTCCTCCAGGAGTTGCGGGTGTGGTTTCAGGAGGGGAAAGTGGGTTACGCAGCGGCAGAGGTGGTCGCGGAAGTCGGGTTTGAGGAAGAGAGAGAAGGAATTGGCGAGGGCCGGTGTGGGGAGGGGAGGGAGAGATGCTAGCTTGCAGGTTGTTATGTCCTCATTCTTCGGCGTGATGGGTAGGGTCGAGGTGGTTGCGTCTTCGAGGATGCTGGAGAGTGCACCGCTGCGGTCTCCTGACTTTTGGCGCTTAGTTGGAGCCGGTACAGATAGCGACGCGTTGGTGTGTTCAACTTCGTCCTCATCGGACGCTTTGCGCTTTCTGGAATCGCCAGTTGTGGCAGCATCGGCCGACGTGCTGGTCTCTGTGGGCAGAGCAGCATTGAGAGCCTTTTCAGTGTAGACCGGTGGCAGGAAGCCAGGAGAGCCTGCGTACTTCTTGATCCAAGGGTTGGCCTCCACGCACTTGTAGCAGAGGAAGTGGTCAAAGTCGTCCTCAGGTGGAAAGCCCGGAGGAAGTGGTGAATCCTCATCCTCGACCTGCTCAGCTTCAGCTACCACATCGTTTCCATCCACACCGTTGCTCTCAAGTGCTGCCGCATTGAGTATTGGTGTCGCTGTCGTGGTCTCTTCTTCGTTCTTGACTTCCCCGTTGGCCTCATTATTCGTGTTTGTACCGCTCGAATCTCCGGTTTCCGGTTTCTCGATTGAGTTTGCATACTCCTCGCGAGTGAAGCCCACCAAGCACTCTGGGTGCCACCAGTCTTCGCCGCAGCCGCCTTCGTCAACAGTCCCCAGTCCCAGACATTGAAACATAGTGCCTTTCTCTTGGTGCGCATCGTAGTCCTCGCCACAACCACAAAACCTGTTCTTGAAGTTTTGATTGTATCGGTTGCTTTTCGCAGCCTCTTCGCCCGTCACAACTCCCTTCTGTCCGGTCTTCGAGTTGTGGCGCAAGGTACACGGCGCATTCTCGGGCATACGAGTTGTACCACAGTCGCAGACGAAGTTGCGTTTATTGAACAGCTCGACGAGGGTATGTTCGCCGTGGCAGGATATTGAGCAAGAGTAGCAGACGCCTGCGGGTGTGTGGACTTGAGCAGCGCTGGCCGGCGGTGGGCTGCATGTAAGGCATGCGTACAGGCTCTGACGAATAGGACCGAGGTTGCGTGTGCAGGTATCGAATTGCTGTCAGTGGTCAGCATGGTGCGTACGACAGGTGCGGTGTACTGACATATGGAAGGGCCTCGCGTGCTTCTGCCTCCAGGCTGAGTTGCTCTTTGATGAATCTGTCGATTGGTGTCAATCACCGCCTTGTGACTCTTACATGATTTCGCCTACTCTGCTGCAGTCTGGGAGCTCTCAGATGCTTGCGACATGCTGCTGGTGCGCGGCTTCGTGGATGCGGTTGTAAACTGCGAGTCCGCCATGATTCTCGAGGTGGGCGCTCAATACGCGCACTAAGGTTTTTGTGGTCGCGGGACTTGGTTCTGTTCTGCTTGAGGGTCCCAAGATATAGTTCAATTTCGTGTTGGTGTCACTCTGGTCAAGATGCTGAAGCTCTGGTGAAGCGTAGAACCAATTAAGCCCCGATTTGGCCTAGCACCATGGGACGCGCGCGTTGCTACGGAAGGCGCGAATTTACGCGCGACCGACGTGACTTCCTCATCACACCCCACGTAATACACACCCCACCTACTCACGTCCCCTTTTTGCGCCTGTATACCCTTGTTCTCGATACACAGTTGTGCATTGACCCGACATGAGGTACGTAAACACTTTGGTTGGCACATATGGCAACAGCGACCAAGCCCCTCCCCCTCCTGACCGCCTGTCCAGCTGCTAATACAACCTAGTTCACCTCTACGCTCCAACATGTCGTCTGCGAACCGTGGGGCAGGCCCCAGCAGGGGCAACAACAAGCGTGCTCGCGATGACGGACTTTCGTCTTCAGGAGCGCTCCCACCGTCGAGCCGTAAGTGGAACATTCATGCAGGGAGTACCAGACATCTGACAGCAAATAGCCATGGCTTCTTCGCCGCCCATGCTACCCCAAGACGAGGATGCAGACATGCTTGACGACGACGATATTATCCGCGATGTCGATGACCTAGACGAGGAAGCCGAGGAAGCTGAGGGTATCGATCTTTTCGCAGACGACTTCGAGAACGACTACAGCAGGCGCGAGAACGACGCATACGAGGGCGAGGGCATCGATGATGAAGGCGAATACGACGAGCTTACTCTAGACCAAAGGCGAGAGCTCGAGAGACGTCTCAATGCCCGTGATCGAGAAGCCAGACGTCGCATGCCAGCCGCCTTCTTGCCGGACGACGATGACCAGGATGGTTTGGCTGATCTGATGGGCCAGGGCCGTCGCCGTGTACGAAGACACCGATATGACGAGGACCAGGATGATATGGACATGGGCGATGATATCATGAACGAGGAGCTGACCCTGGAGGCTCTCACCGATGTCAAAGCCAACAACCTGACTGATTGGGTCGCGCAGCCACAGGTCGCCCGTACTATTGCCCGCGAGTTCAAGTCTTTCCTGACAGAGTACACCGACGAGAACGGCACATCGGTTTACGGTACTCGCATTCGAACACTTGGTGAGGTCAACGCCGAATCGCTAGAAGTGTCGTTTGACCACCTTGCCGAGTCCAAGGCTACATTGGCATACTGGCTTGCGAACACTCCGACCGAGATGCTCAAGATCTTTGACCAGGTCTCCATGGAAGTCGTACTTCTTCACTACCCTGACTACGAGCGCATTCACAACGAGATCCACGTTCGAATCACAGACGTACCCGTCCAGTACACTCTGCGCCAGCTTCGTCAATCCCACCTGAACAGTCTGGTTCGCGTCAGTGGAGTCGTCACTCGCCGCAGCGGAGTCTTCCCTCAGCTCAAGTATGTCAAGTTCGACTGCACAAAGTGCGGTACAACGCTTGGCCCCTTCCACCAGGATTCGAATGTTGAAGTCAAGATCTCCTTCTGCCAGAATTGTCAGTCGCGTGGTCCTTTCACAGTCAACTCAGAACGAACAGTATACCGCAACTACCAGAAGCTCACACTACAAGAGTCCCCAGGAACTGTTCCTGCTGGTCGTTTGCCCCGTCATCGCGAGGTCATTCTGCTCTGGGATCTGATCGACTCCGCGAAGCCGGGCGAGGAGGTTGAAGTTACTGGTATCTACCGAAACAACTACGACGCTGCTCTCAACAACAAAAACGGATTCCCCGTCTTCGCCACCATCTTGGAGGCGAACTATGTTGTCAAGTCCCACGATCAGCTGGCTGGTTTCCGATTGACTGATGAGGACGAGCGCGAGATCCGAAGACTGGCGAAGGACCCTAAGATTGTGGACAAGATCATTGACTCGATAGCACCCAGTATCTACGGCCACACCGATGTCAAGACCGCTGTCGCACTATCATTGTTTGGTGGTGTTAGCAAAGAGGCAGCTGGCCGTCACTCTATTCGTGGTGACATCAATGTCCTGCTTCTCGGAGATCCGGGTACAGCCAAGTCACAAGTTCTGAAGTACGTCGAGAAGACAGCTCATCGTGCCGTCTTCGCCACTGGCCAAGGAGCGTCTGCTGTCGGTTTGACCGCATCCGTTCGCCGCGACCCTATGACCAGCGAATGGACTTTGGAGGGAGGTGCATTGGTGCTTGCCGACAAGGGCACATGTCTCATTGACGAGTTCGACAAGATGAACGACCAAGATCGAACATCTATCCACGAAGCCATGGAACAGCAGACCATCTCTATCTCCAAGGCTGGTATCGTTACAACCCTTCAGGCTCGTTGCGCCATCGTCGCAGCTGCCAACCCCATTGGTGGTCGCTACAACTCCACTATCCCCTTCTCACAGAACGTCGAACTGACTGAGCCCATCTTGTCTCGTTTTGACATTCTATGCGTCGTGCGTGATACGGTCGATCCGAAGGAAGATGAGCGTCTCGCTAAGTTTGTCGTCAACTCTCACGGCCGCGCACATCCCCTCGTCAACTCTGCATACGGCTACTCAGACAAGGCTAAGGCAACACAAGATGGCGAGAACGACGAGGGTATGGAGGTCGACGAGCAGGAAACCTCTCGTAAAGAAAGCGAGATTCCACAAGAGCTGCTGAGGAAGTACATCCTCTACGCACGCGAGAAGTGCAGGCCCAAGCTCTATCAGATCGATCAGGACAAGGTTGCTCGTCTTTTCGCTGATATGCGCCGTGAGTCGATGGCAACTGGAGCATACCCCATCACCGTAAGTATTCTCCATGTTTCCTGTTTTGATGTACAAATGCTAATATGCGCAGGTCCGTCATCTTGAAGCTATCCTCCGTATCGCAGAAGCGTTCTGCAAGATGCGTCTATCAGACTACTGCTCTTCACAAGATATCGATCGCGCTATTGCCGTCACTGTTGATTCGTTCGTCGGCTCGCAGAAGGTCAGCGCGAAGAAGGCTCTGGCAAGGTCGTTCGCCAAGTACACACTGAACAGGCCTGGTGCCGTTCGCGCGCCTGCGAGGGCTGGGCGCAATGCTCAGCGAGCAGCTGCATGATTATTCGACAGTGGATTCGAGGAAGGCTACATGTACCACGTGATTTGGATAGGGCGATGTGGACGGTGCAGTATCACGAGGCTGCGTACTGTTGGAGCAAATGCAAGTGTTGCGAGATTTATCCATACAGCTCCTGGCGTTCGGAGTTTGTCAATAGCTACATATACCAATCCCAGTTTGCCCATTCACATAGGAAACTTCTCTATGACATCAATCTCACTACGTCACTCAAGACTTCAAGTTGCAGGCAGAATGCGCCTCTCACCTAACTTCACTAGGAATTGCAGCATCTGCTCGCTCGCTTCTTGGATCTCTTCCTCATCCTGGAGGATGTCAGTGTATACAGGTATGACCCGCTCGGTAGAGTCTTGACATGGATTATATTCATCTATTCCTTCTGGGTACTTTTCAAGAAGTGAGTAATGTCAACCAGAAACCTAAGGCAGCACGCTCACATTCTGGTAGAAAGGCTATTTGGAAGAAAGCTCAGTCCGTTCTGAAAGCATGTGAGGCTGAAAGGTCCAAGGAGTACGTCCATGATACCAATGTGCCGCGTACCTTCTTGCACTTTAGCCCAGGGACGGCAGTCAGTACGATATCGAACAGGATTTCGGCTTGATCATTGCACATTATACTGGCAAGACCATCGATGTCGGCCTCGGTTGCTGAGTTTGTGCGGAGCTTGTTGATTTGTGTGTCAATGAGGCCACAGAACTGAGCTACGCCCTCGGGAGAAGGAGGCAAGTAGGTTGACAGTTCGAATACCTCCATGGTGCAAGATGAGGGCAATATCGAGATGCTCAGGTATTCTGAACATGCAGGTGTGGTCGTACTTAGGTATGTGGTGATGTTGGTGAGCTTGAGTATAGGGTGCAATGTTACTTGCCGGTTTGGAGGTGAGGAGCACCTGCCTCAACTGGCAGGCATCACAATGTGTCACTTGTTTGGACATCTTGATCGCCTCGCATCATCTTAGGACCCTAAAACGCCAGACTAAAGTCCGCAATCGATGCCTACTTACACCATTTTTCACGTCTCTACAGCACCGTAACCTGGTAGTGGGCTCGAAGCAAGAGTTTGAGGCGTGTTGCCGTCAATTCTAGTACTCAATAATGCCTTCGTCAGGAACACAAACTGGAAAGCAGTGTCTCAACTTAACATTGTAGTGTACTGTATGGTAATGTTCAGAGCGACGGTCATTAGTAGCAAGGCTGATAAGCCAATGGTCCGTGCGGGTTAGCGCGCGTTGAATCCCACAGCGAAATTCGCTTGCGCGCAAACGCGAACTTTTCCTTTCGACAACCACAAGCCGGAGCAACTACCTCAGGAACTTTATCAATCACTTCCTATACGCAACGATGGCCCCCAAGAAGAGCAAGAGGACCGCTGACTCCATCAACTCGCGCCTGGCGCTTGTTATGAAGTCTGGAAAGTACGTCAGGCGCAACACCACGAAATGGGCAGGATACTGACTGCAATAGGGTCACCCTCGGTTACAAGTCCACCCTCAAGAGCCTCCGCTCTGGCAAGGCCAAGCTTGTCATCATTGCCGGCAACACCCCTCCTCTCCGCAAGTCTGAGCTCGAGTACTACGCCATGTTGTCCAAGACCTCCGTCCACCACTTCTCCGGCAACAACGTACGTACACACCCCGATCCCTCTCATGGCCTAACGACGAGATACGCTGAGACACCGGGTATACTCTGAGGGTTGGCTCTGAGAAGAGGTCTGAACACGACTTCGGAGAGCTGTAGACTAACGTGTCAACACAGATTGAGCTCGGTACCGCCTGCGGTAAGCTCTTCCGCTGCTCCACCATGGCCATCCTCGATGCTGGTGACTCCGACATCCTGACCACCAACACCGAGAACTAAGAAGTTACTCTGAGAGTGAGGGGTCCAGATAGATTTGATACCTACGTACGGCTTCAGTGCTGGTGCGATGATGATATCCAATGAATGACAAGACTTATGAGCCGTAAAAGGCCTGTCAAACATGTTTTTGCCGCGTTCAATTGTGACTCTTACCCCGTTTTGCACATGCAGTGGTGACTAGTTTTGCTTTGAAATCAACTTGAGGCGCATCTTCAGGTGGCCCTAGGAACATCAAAGTGTAGATGCAGGAGATATACACAACGCCTGAAGAGCTGGTTCAAGCAACATCTACAGCGTGTGAAGCATGCGACATTCACAGCAAGCTGCATCATCAATTGACAGCCTACAGCCTTGCTTAACGGCAATAGTTCACGCGAATCACCACCGAGTGTGGCGATGATGCTTTGAAATCGCGCCCCAGGGCCGGCTAAGCGAGCGGCCCGTGCGCCTTCACACAGGAAATCGTCTTTGCCCGCCCGACCTCACTCGTCAACTAACCCACCCAACGAGGTACGTACGGTCTCTATAAGTACCCCAGCACGCCCCATCTGCTGCCAGAATCGTCATCCACACTCTCGAGCGATTTCCACACGTCCCGCCGCCCTTTTGCGCTCGTCGAACACCCAACTTATTGATTTCAAAGCAGGTTACCAGTCGTCACAATGGCCCGCCGTCCCGCCCGTTGCTACCGCTACTGCAAGAACAAGCCCGTACGTGATACCAGAGGATGCTGCGAAGCGTGAGAAGCGTGAAGGAGGAGCAGCGGACTGACATGCGTCCAGTACCCCAAGAGCAGGTTCAACCGTGGTGTACCTGATGCCAAGATCCGCATCTTCGACCTCGGTCGCAAGAAGGCCAGCGTAGACGACTTCCCTCTCTGCGTCCACCTCGTCTCCAACGAGTACGAGCAGCTGTCCTCCGAGGCTCTCGAGGCCGCCCGTATTTGCGCCAACAAGTACCTCGTCAAGATTGCCGGAAAGGAAGGTTTCCATCTCCGTGTCCGTGTCCACCCTTACCACGTCGTCCGTATCAACAAGATGTTGTCGTGCGCTGGTGCCGATAGGCTGCAGACCGGAATGCGTGGTGCCTTCGGAAAGCCCAACGGTCTCGTTGCCCGTGTCAACATTGGTCAGATCCTCATGTCCGTCCGAACCCGTGACTCTCACCGCGCCACCGCCCTTGAGGCTCTGAGGCGTTGCCAGTACAAGGTACGGAAGAAGCATTACAAAAGGTCATCTGGACGCGTACTAACATGACGCAGTTCCCCGGTCGCCAGAAGATCATCGTCTCCAAGAACTGGGGTTTCACCCCCCTCAAGCGCGACGAGTACGTCGAGAAGCGCCAGGAGGGCAAGATCAGGATCGACGGTGCCTACGTACAGTTCCTCCGCAACAAGGGTGCTCTCGAGTACAACATGCGCCGCTTCCCCGAAGCTTTCGAGCAGGAGGCTTAGGTGTTTTGTTGCGAGTGAAAAGATGATGAACATGCGCTTTGGGTTATTCAAATGGGATACCGGTCATGGCGTGGTTTGCTTTCCTCAGTCATCGATCAAGGTCGGAGGAGGTGTCGTCTGTAGAGAATGACCGAATACCAGCTCGACAATGACAATGATACAACAATACTGTTCGATGTTCATGTGATGCCATATACCACTACACTAATCAAGAATCAGTCAAGTATCTATATTGCAGATCATTGCGATCATGCAGTGTTCTTGAAGAATGCGATGTATTGCGTTATCAAGGCCATCCTAGCCCGTCATGGTATCAAATCAAACACCTAAACCCGCCCAACGCATATAGGCATGCATGCTGATGCAATACCAGGATGAATCACCCAAACGCCAGAACAAATGATTACACCCCAACACCAGCGCCCCTTCCCTCAGCTTGCGCCTTGCTAAACTGCCGCAACAACTGCAACACGCCACCCCTCCCAGCACCCGGCGCCTCATCCTCGTCGTCATCATCCTGCGCCAACCGACTAGTCCGCCAACTATCCCCAATCGTACTCTCCTCCTCGATCCTCGCCCCTGGATGCCCCGTCGGACTCGCCACATTATGCAGTCTCGACTGATACCTCCCATGCGACACGCCTCTCGGTGAACTTCTCAACGCAGGAGCAGAAGGCTGGTGGTGCGGATCCAGCAGCATGGAAGACATGGGCTCGTCTCGTGCAGGATGCCTCGGTGTGTGGCGCTGGAGATGCTGCGGTTGGCGGCCAGCGGGTCCTCTGCTGGTACCGCGTGCATGAAGCCCTGCATCACCGGGCTGAGCCGTCTGGCTCATGTTGCCGAATGCGTTCGGGAACTGCGGCGGGGGATGGAAAGTGCTGCGGCCTTGAAGTCTGTTGTTGTAGCCTCTGCCACTTGGGTTTCCATATGTGTCCATGAAGCCGTAGTAGCTTGCTAGCATCTTGTTATCCTTTGCCATGAAGTAATCTTCTCGTGGGTCGCTTGCGGGGTCATTTGCGCGTGCGCCGCCGGGTTGGGAGGCGGGGATGTTGTTTGTGCGGTTTTGCGTGCCTTTGTTGAAGGGGAACATGGAGTACGAGCACGTCACGCCTAGGCCATCTACGACGATGGAGAACTCGCGAAAGAAGTCGACGATGCGCTCGCTGCAGTTGGGCAGGCGAAAGATAAGGAGGAATGGTGTGATAACCATGCTGAGGATTTCTTCAGCGAAGATGAGAACCTTGGGTTGGTAGAGCTTTGCGAACTCGGCGCGGACTTCGTCAGTGTGTAGACGGTCGGTCCACGACTCGGGCTCATAGCGTGTGTGGTAGATGACATGGCCAAGGTAGAATGCGGGATCAGAGATCTGGTCTTCTTGAGGGCTGCTTCCTCTAGCCGAACGGTATATGGCTGTGAAGACACCAATCCAGAAAATCGCTGTCTTTCCAGGCGTGATCTCGAAGGTGAGGAACAGCTCGGAGTCAAGAAGAGTGAGCGCTACTAGCACAAATGCGAACGCTCCTGTAACAAACGCTATAAATGAAGATATCTGCTCTGTCTTGTCCTTGGGAAATTGTGCGAGGTACATGTTGGCGTACGGTTGGGCCATCTTATGGCGGCGCTCGAAAAGGTGAGGTAGCTCATTGAACTCGCGGAACTTCCACTGCGCAAAGTGTGTGAAGTCGCGGTTGCTCAGTTGGCCGGGGTCTTTGTGGTACTCCTATTACTGTCAGCTTAGGTTTCTCGTATCTTCATTAATAAACTTACTGCAAAGTACTTGAACAGGTACGATGCCAGTACGAAAATCACTGCGAATGGAGCGCAGACAACACTGATCAGTCCGACACCCATCAACCGAGTCCGCAGTCTCTTCACAAGTTCCCGACGGTTGCGCTCTTTGAGGAATTCGGGATTAAACTGGCCATTCTTGCCGCTAAAGACAAACTCTAAGATGGCGAGCTCCACATGCCACCTTGTAGTCTCAGAGAAGATGTACCTGTTTCCTAAGAAGGGAATGGGCACCGTCACATCCAAAACCTCCTTGTTAAAGAGGGCGATGAGGTAGTTTTCGCGCCTCATGAGGCGGCTTGCTATATCGATGGCATCCAGACGCTGTCGGCTCTTTGAGTCCAGCAGCTTCCGAGTTTCTGGCGACAAGTTCGATGCTGTGGTGAGGTTCAGGTCACGTAAGGCCATGATGCGACTGACAACTTGTTGCCACTCCACAGTCTGAATGTCCCGGTCTGGAATATCGAGGAGATGGTGGTAGAAGTCGTGCATGGCCTTCAGCCTTGGTATGTCCGTGACCATTGTATAGAACGAATAGATCCAATAGCTGGAGAAAACCCATATAGCAAAGATCCAGAGGCCGTGTATCCTGGATGTGCACTTGGGCACGAGCACTTCGCTCATCTTGTGGCTCTGAGAGAGCTTAGAGTAGTCGATGCACCACCCGAAGAAAGTCATGAAGCCCACTACGAATGCAGATTGCAGAAGAGTCAAGACCCGTTTCAGTAGCATCGAGTAGATGCCGTGACCGCGGTAGTATTCGTAGACGTCCTTCATGTATGTGTCCAGGTCGGTCTGGTTAACCCACAGCCACAGTGCCTTCTCTTTAGGATTAACGTTAAACTGCCCTGTCCTCCCCCAGGTTTTGGCTGGTGCCCCGGCCATATCGTCGTGCAGCCGCTGCTGTCTCTGGGTAGTGTCCCACTGCGCTCGTGTCTGCCGCGTCGAAGGGCCAGGTACTGGGGGTGGCAGGCCGTCTGTACGCCGTGTCGCAAGTGGTGACGAAGGTCCTCCTTCAAGGAGCAACGACTGCGGAACATCGTCGTCGTCGTCCACTGGCAGAGGTCGCGCTGGGGCAGGCTGTTTCCGTCCAGCGGCTCGATTCGCTGCGTTGATGCCTGGAGGCGCGTTCGGCTTCCGTCTTGCTTCAGGAGAAACAGCACGGCTATCGGTCGTCATCTGACTGCCAGATGCTTCTTCCAGTAGGTGTTCCAAGTCTTGCGGCTCGAAGTAGGCCCCGAAGTTCTCCTCGTCTATGTCCATGACGTGCTGTCCGTCTGTCGAGGTCGAGCTTCGGCGCGGCTGAGGGTTTAGGGGATCACTTTCGAACGGCTCGTCAATTGCGGAGGGCAGAAGTCTAGAAAGAAGATTGGAGGCCATCATGCTGAGCAGCCTGCACTACGCTCAGGCAGCGGGCGGGGCGCGTGGCCGTGCTGCGGCGTCTTAGGGAATATTGTGATTAGAGGGCTGGTCGTATCTTGCCCAGAGGGTCAGATCCAGCTCCATGAACGTGAGTAAATCTCAAGCCGTGAGCATTCCGGCGTGACAAACTGTAGGAATGGTGACAGTAGCTGTCATGTGGGTGCTCTTTGGGAGTGTTGCAGGTGACGCGGTTGATAGCTGTGAGCTGCCGATATCGATAAGGAAGCTCGGCTAAACCTTCCCTCCATTTTGTTTGCCCAATGTGTACACTTGTGCTGTCCGCTGGACACTCAACAACCATGTCAACGAGTTATTTCCAGGAGCGTGGCACTCCTGCATCACAAAATGGCCTGTCTCCCGCTTCTCCGCAAGTTGGAGCAGGATCACGTGGGGTCAACGCACTCTCCAGTCGAATAACCAGCGTACTGTCCGCTTCCTATGCTGATCTGGAAATTCGAGGGGCTCTAGAGACCATAGATGAGCGCAATATTCAGAACACAGCAGAGACAAGACGGCAGATTCGACTCGATGTTCAGAAGGAGGTGATCGAATGCAACGGTGAGATTGTCAAGGATTTCGGGGAAGTCGCTGAGGTTTGTCTCTATCGTTGGACAATATGTGTTCATGTACTGAGTAAGTGTAGCAACTGAGGCGTATTGGCGCGGCTATCAACAGCTTGAACAGCTCTTGCGCTGATATGCGTGCACACATCACGACTGCAGCCCGTGAGACTGGCCCTGTTCAGGACGAAGCCACAAGCCTTATCAATCAGAGGAAACAGATCGAGATCAAGCATCAGATACTGAATGCATTCAGCTTGCACTTCCGGATTACCGAAGAGCAGGCCACCGTCTTGACGTCTACTGCAGAGCCAGTAAATGAAGAGTTCTTCCAGATCTTGACACGCGTGAAGAAGATCCATCACGATTGCCAGGTACTGCTGGGCACCGAAGACCAGCGCCTTGGTCTAGAGATTCTGGAGCAGAGTTCGAAGCAACTCAACGGAGCGTTCCAAAAACTGTATCGCTGGATACAGCATGAGTTCAAGACTTTAGATCTGGAGAACCCACAGATCAGCGCGTCTGTACGACGGTCCTTACGAGTCCTCGCGGAACGACCAACCCTATTCCAGAGCTGCCTCGACTCTTTTGCCGAAGCTCGAGAATCGATTTTGTCTGATTCTTTCCACGCGGCTCTGACGGGGTCCAACTCGGACACTTCGCATATCGCAACTAAGCCTATCGAGTTCTACGCACACGACCCGTTACGTTACGTCGGCGACATGCTTGCTTGGGCGCATTCAGCTACAGTATCGGAGAGGGAAGCGCTTGAAGTGCTGTTCGTTTCAGACGGTGACGAGATCAGTCGTTCCATCCAAGCCGGGCTGGAAAGCGAACCCTGGCTAAGAGGCGATGGAGACCAGGAAGTGTTCGATGGCAAGAAGGCCCTAGACCAACTCGTCAGTCGTGACCTTACAGGCGTTGCACGACTCTTACGGCAGAAGACCGAGCAAGTTGTTCAGAGCCACGAAGACGCAACGCTCGCCTACAAGATCGCCAATCTGATCGGATTCTACAAAGGCACATTCGTTAAGCTGCTTGGCCAAGACTCAGATGTCCTTGATCTTTTCGACACTCTGCAAGCCGCAGCAATGCGCCAATTTCGTGCCAACATGCGTGACCATGTTGCCACTGTTCAAAGCGAATTGGCTGTTGTGCCAGCAGATCTCTCACCTCCCGACTTCCTAGAAGAAGCCCTGCAAACTCTCAAGGTGCTTGCGAAGAGCTACGACACCTCTGTAGCAGCTGTGGACGAGTCAAACAGCGACTTTGAAGCTGTGCTAGCTGAAGCCCTCGATCCTTTCCTCGGCGGCTGCGTGAATCTCCAGAAGAGCATGGAGCAGCCCAATGGCGCTATCTTCGCCATCAACTGCCTCCTCGCTGTCAAGGAGGCACTTACGAGTTTCAAATTTGCTGCAGAACGAGTCGCTGAGATGGGCGAGACGATCGAGGAGCATATCGCTGCGCTCGTGGACTACCAGCATCAGTACCTCCTCCACGAGTCTGGGCTCGTCACACTTCACGAGGCACTCTCGGACATCACCGATACGCCTGAAAGCCTGAAGACAATCCCACAGTTGACTGCATTCAAACAAGAAGCGTTAGTAGCTACCAGCCAGCAACTGGACGAGTTCCTGCCCTCTGCGCTCATTGATGCTGCAGAGAACCTGAAACAATTACGCAATCGAACCATGGTTCAGGAGATCACGGAGGAAGCGGCAGCCCAGTTCTGCGAAGACTTTGAATTCGTGGAGAAGAAGATTGTCGCAGCTGATGATCTGCTCTACGACGAAGATGACGAAGACGCCGAGCCGGGGCTCAGCGACTTATTTCCTCGCACAGGTGGAGAGATTAGGGTTTTGCTCAGCTAGACCCCATTATACTTTATATATAGACAGCCTCACAAATACGAGCAGAAACAGTCGAGAAGCTCCTTCTCTTTGCCGTCATGCATCATTTCGTTCTCCGTGCTCCTCTACATTCGTGATTGGGTCATGACCTCGTGAGCCCCAGATGCTATTCGTTTGAATTCGTGACTCATTGGGGCTTCTTCTTCTCCCACTCTTCGGGCGTATGGCACTTGGGCGTCCAGGCATGTATCGCGGCAATCTCCTCTTTTAGCGCAGCGTTCACCAGACGATGTCTTGCCAGTGTTGTTTTCTTGGTGAATTGTGGCGAGACGATGATGGCTTCGAACATTTGCCCGCATCCTCCTGCGAGGAATATTAGCATGTGATCTCGTGACATTCGTATCTTACTTCACCAACACCCAGACATCAACAAATCCGACATAGAGTTTGAGAAACGATCAATGGTTGAAGATGGAAAACGTACCACTCATATCCTCAATCTCCACATGCGTTGCCCCAAGATTTGTCTCCAGTTTCTGCTTGATGGCCTCAGGCGTAACGCCCGAGTTCGCTGCATTACGGGCCGCCTCGTCGTCTGTGCGTGCACTCATGATCGCGGCGTTCGAAGGGTCGACGAATAGCTGGTCAAGAGATTTTGTGAGTTTGTGACGCGGATCCATCGCGTTGCTTTTACGAGGCCGATGATGTGATGGTGGGCTATCTTCGGATCTGATAAGGACCCTGCCGGGGTGATGGCTCGGGTTTATGATGCGTGCGGGAGGTGACGTAGCGCAGGACGCGAACGCAACGATTGCTGCAGTGAAGGGGGACGCGTCGTGCAACAAAACAATTGTTTGAACTGGGAGAGGTGCAATTGGAATACCAAGGTATGTTTTTGAAGGATAGTAGAGACTTTACCCCTCCATATAGCTGCCCAAGCTGTAGGGCTAGAATTGGTATGCAGGGCCAGCTACTGACGGGACCTGTGCAGGTAGCCCGAGCATCGAAGCTTCATAGTCTCGCAAACTACTGCATGTTCTTTCCGACATTGAGACGCTCTTTTGCTGCGACCATGAGTGCGAATACTAGCTCTGCGCCCTTCTCGAAGGCCGTGGTAAGGGCGATGCAAAAGCTGTATGTAGCATCCCTCGTTCTCTCGAATCGAGTGTTAACAGCTAATGTTCACACAGCTATCCAAAGGCACTTGCAGATAACTCATGGGACAATACCGGACTGCTGCTAGAAGCTCCCTTCGACCCTTCACGCCGACAAGATAACACAGTCCTCCTCACCATCGACCTCACCAAAGCTGTTGCCGACGAAGCCATTGCCCTGAAGTCCTCGATCGTAGTCGCGTACCACCCCATCATCTTTCGCGGCCTGAAGTCCCTCACCCTCGCAAACTCCCAACAACAGACACTCCTCCGCCTCGCCAGCCATGGAATCAGCGTCTACAGTCCTCACACCGCCGTAGACGCAGCACCAGGAGGGCTAGGTGACTGGCTAGCAGACATCGTAACCGGGACAAAGACAAGCTACGACGCCTCGCCGTCAGCAGCAACCACCCCAGCGCCCCAAAGCGAAGGCGATCACGACCCTTTCGTACAGCAAAAAGGAGCAGCAACACTATCCGTCCAGCGACCGACCTTCCTACTGCAACACCACCCCAGCCAAACCACACTCCGCCTCTCTAAAGATCCGCCGAAGACAACTTCGATCCCACACACCCGACGCCCCATCGTCCCTCAATTACCCGAGATCAAGACCCATCCTGGCGCAGGTATGGGCCGCATCGTCGAATTCAACGACGCGCAACCACTCCCCACACTGCTTGACCGGATAGGCAAGGGTCTCAACAACCCAAAAGGTTTTCCAATCGCAATTCCACAAGACGCGAATATCGGCGACATCAAGATCCGCAGCGTGGGCATATGCGCGGGCTCAGGAGGATCTTTGCTCGGGAACCTGGATGTCGATCTGCTGTTCACGGGGGAGATGAGCCACCACGAGGCGCTTGCGGCGATTGAGAAGGGGCAGGTGGTGATTAGCTTGTTTCACAGCAATTCCGAGAGGGGTTTTTTGGCGGAAGTGCTCAGGGAGCAGTTAGAAGACACGATTGAGGGCGAGTGGCAGGCTGTTAGGGAGGAAGAGAAGGGCGACGAAAGGCTGAAGGAGGCGTTGGCGGATCAGGAGTTTGAGGTTGCGGTTAGTGAAGTGGATAGGGATCCGTATGGGATTGTGGTGTTGAAGGGTGATGCTGAGGAGAATGCCTAAATGTGAAAAGAGAGTGCAGCATCAGAGTTGTAATGACGGAACAACAAAGACAGTGGTCCGCTTCCTAGAAGATACGGCAAGCGTCACATCGGTCAAAAGACTACTAGTCACCTGGTGGAGTGTTTATTCAGCATAACGAGTGCTAGACTACTAGGTGGTATATCATCGATAAACAACCGTCTATCCTTTAACTCCAGGGTATAACCAAACGAAAACATATAAATCAGACTATCAGCACTCCTGCCATTAGCCGCCATTACTCAACCCACTCCAACCTTCCCTTTGCATCTAGGACGACTCGCTGCCGTTCCCCAACATTGCCAGCTTCTTCGGATCAGACTCGTGCTGCTGCGGCATCTGCGCCAACCATGTGGGGGGTGCCATACCCGTCTGATCGTGAATCGTCGACAAGAGGGGAGGCAGGCTCTGGAAGAGGTTACGGATGGGTGCAGTGGCGTCCATAGCGCCGTCACCACCCTGCGCTCCTGTATTCCAGACATTGATCTTCGGTTGCAGACCCTGGATCGCCTTCGCGTTCGCGTTGGCGAGTTGTTGGTAGGTACCGTTGCTCAGCATCATCCACTGCATCAGCCCCTGCGGTCCACCAAGCACCGTCGCCATCTCGCCGTATGCTTTCGCCATGGCAGACAGACCCTCAGCTTCGCGCTGCTGCGCGATGAGGTGCGCGTGCGCCTCCCTCTCCCTCCTGAAGTACTCAGCTTCCGCCTTGCGCTTCTCGACCAGGAACGAAGCCTCAGCCTCGCGCTCCTTGGCCTTGAAATCCGCCTCCGCGTCTTGCAAGCGGCGGTATGCAGCGGCTTCGGCTTCGGCCTGCTCGGAGAACTTGAGACCCTCGGCCGCACGCTGCTGCGCATAGAGTTCAGCGTCTGCCTTCTGCTGGCTCGATTCCTTCTCGATGCGCGCCTGCACGACTTTGGTCGCGCGCATGCGCTCCAATTCCATCAGCGCCTTTTTCTTCTCCACTTCGGTGTTGAGTTCTGCGTCGCGCTGCTCGGCCTCGCGCTTCGCATTAATCCGCGCAATGTTCAGTTCATTCCCGATCTGGATCTCCTTGTTCGTGAGCTTCGCGTCCGCAGTGGCCTTCTCGGCTTTGCGCTCGGTCTCGAGGACGGCGGTGGCGGCGTGGATTTTGGCGACCTCTTGTTTGGTTTTGCCTTGCTTTTCGGCTTCGCCGACTTCGCCCTTCATGCGGGCGTCCGCGACGTCGACTTTGGCTTGGTTGAGGGCGCCTTCGTGCGCTTTGCGGGAGAGGAAGGCGAAGTATTCGCTGCCGGGCGTGTCTTGGAGTTCTTTGACGTTGGCGTTGTAGATGCAGAGACCGAATTGGTCGAGTTCGCTCTGGACCGACTGGATCACCTTGTCCTTGAACACCTTCCTCTCGCGAAACAGCTCTTCCATAGTCATAGTGCTCACGATACTCCTCGTCTCGCCCTCGATAATACCTTTGACGATGTCTTGGACATGGTTGCGGCCGTCGTTGCCGGCAACAGTGACAGTGCCTTTCCTCGCTCCGGCGGTCGGTCGGCCGTCACTTTCTCCTGTAAGAAGCACAGCGTACTTCTCGAGCGAGGCCATGTCATCCGCGGGACCGATGGTGAAGACCGCAGGCAGCGAGAATTTAAGCTTCTCGATGGTCATGGCTTGCAGCGACATGGAGAAGTCGAAGGGCGTGATGCTGATCTTGGACACTTTCTGGAAGGGATAGACGAAGGCCTGGAGCATGTCAGCGTACTCTGGATGTTGTGCGTCTGAATTCGGAACTTACCTTCTTTTGGATTTTGACCTTCTCGATTCCTACACCCGTAACGACGAGGTAGGAATTCGGCTCGGCTACATGATACCAAGGCATCTTTGTGATTATTGGTGTGGTAAGTTTGTGTGGGTTTCGTAGACTTGCAGAGGTGTATTATTGCTGTGGAGTTGTGGTGTGTAAGAGGATTGGGGAGGTTTTCAAGATATCTTGAAGCCCTTGTGAAGGAGTTGGTCAATTAATGGTAGAAGTGATGCAACGAGCGAGATCGAGTAGGTAAACACAGCCGAACTTGCTCTATGGTTCTGATGATGCAGCCATCACAGAGCGAACCAGAGTCCTTATAACCTACATCCATACTTTCATCGCATTGTCGCTCGCATTGCCCCGCAGCCCTAAGACATGCAGTGGTTCCTGAAAGGGTACCGGTGAAAGCACGGGCCTTACTGCTAGCCAATTGGTCTCTTACACACCTGAAGTCAGCCTTGGCCTCAGCCACGCTCACCTAACCGAAGTCTTGCCTGAGGTCATGAGACCAACGCTCGCTTCTGCAAGAGGTAGTTCCGGACACGGTGAACCTAAGTGTTGACCTTTAACTGCGCAAACTGGCCTCTGTTAGTTTCGTTTCGCAGAGGCTGAACCAGACCGAATTCCAGAGCAGGCAGCAGAACCACATCACAGCCACCATTGACCGATTTCTCAACACCGTAAATCTCCAGCTTTCTCGATAAACTCATGTTCGTGTAGATTCTCGAGCGTTTTCGCGCCAAGCTTTTCGACCCAGGGCAATACCTAGGCTTCTTTCGAGGATCCATTATTGGCTCAACTTCGCATTACCAAAGTTCTGTATCTCTTCAGACCCAAGGATCGTTGAGTCACGAGGCGTTTGCGAACTGTGTTCAGGCCACAGTATGACCTAGGCTGTGTGAGGCTCAGATACGATCGAACGGTTGGGACGGATAACATCATTGTCGATATCGCCACCATTTGAGCCTACAGTGTCAGCTCGGGGATAATAGTTCGCCTTGACGGCTCAGCTTACAATCGCACGAGCTCCAGACCTTCCGCTTGCTGTGCCGGTCTTCCATATTCAGCCTCACCTCTTGTTCGACAACTGAACAATCGACCAAACGAAACGCAACCATGTCGCGAAACGAGAAAGACGATCTTCTCCCATCCTACTCAGAAACACCCACTCTCTCGCGCCCGACTGCGCATCGAGGCCAGCGGATCCTCGACCAACTGACTCTCACACGCGCACAACACATCCAGTCCGTGATCGACACCCACATCATTCCACTCGTAGAGGAGCGTGCATCGTATGGAATCGCTCAAACAACCATCGCTATGCTGCCATCAGACATCCCTTTACCAGCGGTGCAAGAGAAGTCCGAATTCAGCTTCGACACCGACACGTCGAAGGCTGTGGAAGTCATCGGTTTTGCATCTGACGAGGTGCCGGATGTGGTGCGCCTAGAAGGGCAGATGAATCGGACGGAGTTTTGGAGGGTTCAGACAGTCATCACTGAGCTGGAGCGCGTGCTTAGGGACAGCCTGAACGCAAGCCCGCAGTCGAGGAGTCCACTACGAGAGAGAAGCGAACTCGAGGCGCCACATAAGCAGAAGAGGAATTTTCTGGCCAAGTTCGTCGGGAGGGGTGAGGAGGAACGGTTGCCAAGTGGTGATCCAGAAGTGGGCATTAAGAAGATGGACGAGTCGGGGCTGGTGCTGGTCAAAGCCAGATTGGAGGAAATATCGTTGCGGACGTTGAGCGAGTTCGGACTGTATGATACCGTGTCGAAACAGTGTGTGATCATCAGGATTGATGCGAGGTGTTGATGGGAACAGGCCTCTCGTACGCTCGACAAATCCAGCAACAAGACTAGGCACAATCAGATCTCCTGGCTACGGCAGCAGCTCTGAAGATTGTGGAGATGCAGAGCCTTGCCTGGCAACGATGGTGCTGTGTTGCGGTGCAGCAGGCCCCTTACTGCCGATTTTCTTGACTTACGAGAGGGGGCGCAAGAACATATATCTACGTTTTGTGAGTGGGACACGAGAGCGAAGAATCAAAGCCAAGACAGCTGTTTCTCGAAAAATCACTAGCTCGATTGTCGTTGGGTGTATTCTCTTCTGCTAAGGTAATTGACGCAATGCACTATAGCAGGCCGAAGCCAACCAAACGCGAAGAACTGGCAGCATGCCGATCGGCTTTGTCGAGGCAGACGAGCGATGGCGGTCGAGTAACTGGCCGCGATCGAAGAACAATCAGCTATTGCGAAGCTTGAGCATGTCTTTTACTGCGATGGTTCTGTATGGATGTCGATATCGAAGCCTAGGTATGCGTACCGCCTTCCGCTGAGTGGCATATCTGCGAAGGCCCTGACACGGGCTGCGTTCGCCGACGCAAAGCAAGCCAGTGTCCTGAACAGCGCCATGATGTGGGTCGTCTGGGGGCCAGAGCGTTTCGTGCAACGTGAGATTGTGATAGATGATGCGGGGTGCCGTCAAGAGCCTCAAGTCTTAGCTGGCTTCTTCTCGCCCTGAGCATCGAAACCAAGTTTCTCCAGCTGTCGGACGAGCTCGCTGATCTTGATGACCTTCTCGAACTGCTCTGGCAGCAGCCCTTCGCCCTTTTCTTTCTTGTCCTTCAGTTCTCGGGCCTGCCGCAGCTTCTTGACAAGCTTTTTTGCCTCCTTCTCCTTCTCGGCCTCCGGATCGACGGGCTTCGCGGGCTCAGCGGGCTCAGCGGGCTCAGCGGGCTCAGCGGGCCCAGCTGCTTTTCCGGGCTCGGCGGGCTCGGCGGGCTTCTCGTCCTCTTTCTCAGCAGCAGCCTTTTTCCTTGCTTCCCTGCGCTTCGCGTTCTTGTTGGCTGTGTTGCTGCTCTTGGCGGGGTCATCCTCTTTCTTCAGGGGCTCGGCGCCTGGGACACCAGCTTTGCCTCGGTTCCTGAAGCCTTCAGCGGTCCTGTTTTTGTAGAGCTCGACGTCCTCTGGTGGACGGTAGCCCGGGCGCACGCGGATTTCCTTGCGGACGGAGCCATCAGCGCGCACGGAGGAGGGAATGTGACGCTCACCCGTGGCAGATGTGGCGATGCCAGCTCGTGAGACTGGGGCGCCCTCGACGGAGGGCATGTTGTGCGTGGTACGCGCTACGGTTGCGGAGGGTCGAATGTGACTTGGTGGGGCGGGGCAGCAATTGTAGTCGTGCTGCACGGTGTGCTGAGAAGCAGCTTGTCGGTCGCAGACGTGCTTCGTTGGCGGCTTGCTGTGCAGATGCGTGGGCGTGGGCGTGGAAGCCCTTCGGCGTGCTCACAGCTCGAGTCTCGTGTGGTGGGGGAAAATGGCTGTGATGTACCGGTTGGAGTTGTCAGGCCGCCGTCGCGTCTGACCAATCGCATCGGCCGCCATTTCCGTGACCCGGCTGGTTGATTCTGTCGTTCACGAACCTCCACCCTGCCATACCCGCAGCAGCAGCACCACCACATCCGTCTCCGCAGCCTCCCGAGCTCCGTAAACACCTCCACAATGGCCGGCGTAAGTCAATTGAGAGTCCACGAGGCTCCGAGCCCGTGCTAACAGCGCCGTGTGCAGTTCGCGAACACCATCTACAAGCATGCCTCCCCCTACCGCGATGCCACGGCCGGACATGACTAACAATCGATCGCAGCACTGTTATCAGGAGCAACGTCACCCTCCTCGGTACCGTGTTCGCCGCTGCCTTCGGCATGCAGCTGTACGTCGCAATCCCGCTCTGAAGCGTGGAACACCAGGAGTACTGAAACTGGGAACAGGGCTTTCGACACCGGCTCCGAGCGCATCTGGGACGGCATCAACCGCGGCGTAGGTGGAGCCATGCTGTTTGGACGGCTCAGGCTAACGATGCGGACAGCGCCAATGGAAGGACATCAAGCAGCGATACATCGAGGCCGCCGAGGACGACGAGTAGCGTGCACCGGAGAGACGGGGCAGACGGGGCAGACGGGGCAGACGGGGCAGACGGGGCAGACATGGCATAGACCGCACTTTCCTGCGCTTCTTCGAGACGGGCACTGTACATTGAGGTGTATTCTACAGCTTGCAAAATACCACGGCAGAGTGCTGATCATCCACCATCCCGTTCTTCCGTGCGTCTGCATGCAGGCACGCCCTGCACTCCCTCCAGACAACTGTCAATGTTGCCCCAATGGGGTTCTGGCATTCGGTTTGTCTGGCTTTTTGCTTTTTTCTTCTTCTTCTCTTTTGTTTCGGATTGCTTTTGGGATACACAGTTGCTATTTGAATGGCCTCTGAGACGACTCTCTGATGAACACCAGCCGTTGGTGCATGTGCAAAGCTCACGTCGCCTGTGCGCCTGAAAAGCAGTATCTCTCTTGTGAAGTTGAAACGAACACAGTACCGTGCCCAGAGTGAACTGATTCGCGCTATACCGCGACACGCTGGATGCAGCTGCCGCGGCTGCGGGGAGTTCTTTATGCTCAGGTGCTATGACATAGCTCTGGAACTTTCACCTGCCACCGGCCTGACTACGCAGCAGTCCCGCAACAAGTCCCGCAACAGACACCAGGCCTCACTCTCCTTGCGCTGTGGCAGGACCACAAACTTACTAATAGCATCCGTTTCGGCCTCCGTCTCCTACTTGCCTCCTGCGCACATCGACAGCCAACCCCACTACATCCCACCTCCGCCAATTGCAGCTGGGGCGCGCCATGTACATATCGCCGCTGGAGCAGCAGCTCTGCCGCAACCTGCGCGAACTGCCTCGGCGGCACAACTACCGATACACGCCAGAAGCAGAGCGTGAGCTGCGCGCCATCCTCTTTCGCTCCCTCGCCGGCCACCCTGTCCATATCCCACTCTTCTTCCCTTCTGGACTACCCACCGGCCAGGACAAGCCGTGGAGCTTGCGCGACGCACAAGGCGCACTAGAAGGCGCAGAGTACACAGCTGCAGCAAAAGGAAAGCCGTGCGGCCACATCTTCAAGAACGGCGAGGGCACGTATCGCTGCAAGACATGCACAGCCGATGACACATGCGTTCTCTGCGCGCGCTGCTTCGACGCTTCAGACCACGAGGGCCACCAGGTCTTTGTTAGTGTCTCACCTGGCAATTCAGGCTGCTGCGACTGTGGCGACGAGGAGGCATGGATACGGCCCGTCCATTGCAACATACACTCGGCAGACACAGAGTCTAGCAACAAGACAGCTGGGAAAGCGAAAGAAGGCTCGTCATTGCCGGACGACGTGCTCGAGAGCATCCGCATGACGATTGCAAGATCCCTCGACTACCTCATCGATGTCTTCTCCTGCTCTCCGGAACAACTGCGTCTGCCCAAGACCGAGGAATCGGTCTTGCAGGACGAGCGCAACTCACGCCTTAGCTCGAAATGGTATGACCCCGGTGATCAGGCTGAAGAAAACCAGGAATACTGCTTGGTCCTCTGGAACGACGAGAAGCATACTGTGACAGACGTTCAGGAGCAGGTTGCGCGGGCTTGCAAGCAGAAGCAGGCGTTTGGCCTCGCAAAGGCCCACGAAGTCAACGATGTTGGTCGCAGTGCTGTCGTGTACAGATCAGATGTGAAGGAGCTCCTTCGTATGGCTAAGATTATCGAGGAAATCAAGTTGACCGTGACCATCCGGTCTGCGCGAGATACCTTCCGAGAGATGATGGGCGGCGCTATCGTTGAGTGGATTTCAGATATCGCCGGGTGCAGTGCGGGTGACGATCATCAGGTACTGCGACGCACCGTCTGTGAAGAGATGCTGAAGCCATGGCGCATCGGGAGCGCAGCGTCCAACGAAACCATCGGGAAAGACGGTCTAGACGATCATGAACTGGAGGACAGAGAGAACGAGGAGAGGAGTTTCTTCAGAGGACTCGTACCTATCCAGAGACGGGCTCAGATTATACGGATACGTGGGCAACGTCGGCAGCGTACACACGATAGGACGGACGATACAACAGCCTCAGATGACGATTTCGACGACGGCGATGACGAGGGCGAGGGCACGGCTGATGCCGGAGAAGAGATGGATATTGATGAAGTTGGCGCCCAGGACAATGATGGAGACGTAGAGATGGAGGCGTTTGAGAGCGCAGACGAGGCCCTGGAAACATCAGAGGCCACCATGGCAGGGTATCCTGCTCCACCTCCACCTCCTCCAGCCCCATCGCAGTTTTCGGCAGGACAAAGAGCACAGCATGAGCAGAGTGACACCCCTGCAGAATCTGACAGCGAGCCTCTGGTCGGTGCACCATCACTCAGTCGTGTTGAGCCTTTGATGACAGTGCCTGGAACACCTCATACACGATCACTGCCACTGAGACCATCTCGACCTCTGCAGCACTGGTTGGAGAAACCAGAAGGGTATGGCAGAAGGCCTGGGACACCGGCTCACGAGGACCTTTGGCAACGCCTGCGTCTCGACCGCCTCATCTTATACGATCTGCGCATGTGGAAACAACTTCGAATAGGCATCCGCGACGTATTCATCAGCACTGTCGTGTCGATTCCCGAATTCAAGCGTCTGCTTGGCCTCCGCTTTGCTGGCGTATACACCGGCTTGGCACAGCTCTTCCTTATTGCCGATCGAGAGCCAGACCATTCAATCATCAACTTGTCCCTCCAGATGTTGACAACGCCCTCCATAACTTCGGAAGTGGTGGAGCGCGGCAACTTCCTCACGAACTTGCTCGCCATTCTGTACACCTTCCTGACTACTCGTCAAGTCGGCTACCCAGCGAATGTCGACCCGAAGGCTACCCTAGCTTTTGAGCAAGGCGCTGTGACAAATCGACGGCTACATCATTTCTTCATGGATACAAAGTACCTCTTAGCATCAGAGTTTGTGCAAGACAAGATCCGCGAACAACCACGGTACCTTTCACAGTTCTTAGATCTGGTCAAACTACACCAAGGTATATGTCCTAATCAACGTGCTGTCGGCGAGCATCTCGAGTTTGAATCAGAAGCCTGGATCAGCGCATCACTCATAACTAGAGAGATCAACAAGCTATGCCGACATTTCGCAGATTCGTTCATCTGGAAGAAGGGGGAAGACGCCACAAACATCTGCCGAGCTATTCGAACCACAGCGGAAGTAGTGACTATCAATTCGTTGGGCGCTGAGCGCAAACGCTTCGATCAAGCCGAGCTCAAAGACGAAACCAAGTTCAAGACTCTGGAAGTGTTCGAATTTGATGCAGAGCCATCGAAACTCTTCGGTCCCAAGTACAAGGTCGTCGATTATGTTGTTGCAAAGGAGCACATGAGCTTCCACCACGCTCTCCACTACACGCTGTCCTGGTTAATCGATCGGGCACGAAGCATGTCGCCGGATCATGTACGGCAACTGCTTCTCTTCACTCGCGACGAACTGCAGATCCGATCCAACCCTGCCCTCATCTCCTCACATCAACCTGAAGACTACCTGCTTGCCGTCTTTGACTTTCCTCTTCGAGTGTGTGCATGGTTAGCTCAGATGCGGGCAGGTATCTGGGTTAGAAATGGCATAACGTTACGACACCAGATGAATCAGTACAGGAGTGTTTCACAAAGGGACGTTTGCCATCAGAGGGACCTCTTCCTCCTACAATCTGCCCTGGTTTTGTGCAACCCTTCGGTGTTCTTGGCTTCAATGATCGATCGTTTTGGACTGACAGGATGGATGACCGGAAAGTACGAAGCTAGTCAACATGGCTTCGAAGACACCCAGGTTATCGACGTGGTTGAAGACTTCGTACACCTCCTTATCATACTGCTCAGCGATCGCACCTGCCTCGTTCCGGCGGAGGACAACAGCGAATCGCACCTTGCTGCCATGCGACGAGATATTGCGCATGTTCTGTGCTTCAAGCCGCTCTCTTTCTCTGACATGACGGCACGATTGTCAGATCGGATACAGAACATGGACGAGTTCCCTGATGTTCTTCATGAGATGACACGATTCCGAGCACCCGAAGGCTTGTCGGATAGTGGCACCTTTGAGCTGAAAGAACAATATCTCGAACTGATCGATCCCTACGTCCACCAGTACAATCGCAATCAACGAGAAGAAGCCGAAACCATCTTTAGGAATTACAAAGCAAAGAAGACAGGAAAGCAAGCTAGCGACATCGTTTTCGAGCCAAGTCTCCGACCAGTCACGTCCGGACTCTTCCAGAACATCGCTGGCTTCACAAGGACACCACTCTTCGCTCAGGTTATGTACTACCTCTTGGGTTATGGTCTGAAGGCAACTGCCGCGACACCCAACATACCTGACACGCGCGTGGAGACGTACATTCAGTTTGTGCTACAACTGCTTCTCGTTGCCATTCTCGAGGATAAGTCTGAGCAACGCGTCTGGTCTGAGGAGATGCCCGATTCTTTTGTGGTTTCTGTACTCACAAAATCGGCGAATGTTGGCATACCCGAGCGACCGACTATCCTCTCGCTTCTGCTGGCTATCCAGGAGAAGGAAGAGTACAAGAGTTGTGAGTCCAAGATCGGTTTGATTCTGCACCGACTGAAGCAGCGGCAACAACACAGATTCATTGTGGCAGCTGCAGCTCTCAATGTCCCCACCGACAGGATGGATACTGCATCTCCAGCAAGCTTTGGACTCGAGGAGAAAGAGCTGAAGAAGAAGCAGGCTTTGGAACGGCAAGCGAAGGTCATGGCAGCCTTCAAGGAACAGCAAGGCAAGTTCATGGCCAACCAAGACTTTGACTGGGGAGAAGATGACTTCAGTGACTTGGAAGATGAAGATGGCGGCCTGGTCGAACAAGAAAAGACATTCAAGTACCCCTCAGGGACCTGCATCTTGTGTCAAGAGGAGACAAACGACCAGAAGCTCTACGGTACCTTCGGATATATCTCAGAAAGTCGCATACTTCGACAGACCGATCTTCAAGACAACGATTGGGTAGACGAGGTAACGCAGACCCCTACCAGCCTCGATCGCTCGGCAGATGAGGTTCGCCCATTTGGTGTTTCTGGAAAGAATAGACAAGTAGTCGAAAAGGTCAATGCTGGGGGAGAACGTGTCGCGACAGAGAGGCAAACTCTTGGGAAAGGCTTTCCCCGTGCACATGTCAAGTCAGGCCCAGTCTCCACTGGATGTGGACACATTATGCACTACGCATGCTTTGAGGTCTACCTTCAGGCGACTCAACGGAGGCACGTTGGTCAAATTGCTAGGAACCACCCTGAACGTCCCGAGTTCAAAGAGTTCATGTGCCCACTCTGCAAGGCTCTAGGCAACATGTTCCTACCGATCATCTGGAAGCCGAAGAAGATATTGCACCCTGGTGCGCTGGAGACGACGGCATCGTTCGACGAGTGGCTTGAGACCCATGTTGCAACGATGCACAAGAATTTCGAGAACGACAGAGGCAAGGCTTCAGCAGGGGAACTCGGTCAAGATCGAAAGAAGCTGTACGATTACGGTCAACAGGGCTTCATCCAGAACATCGCAGGTCATCTTCCGGACCTTGTCAGAGCACCCGTCTTTCCACCGCCCACGCAAGCAGCAACAGCCCCACTACAGCAACATCGATTCCAAATCCCAGCGTTTTTAGGAGGAGGTTCACGAGAACCTGAACCTGAACCTATCGCACCTGTCACACCAATGACCGAGCTCTTCAAAGTGTACCAGCGACTGCGAGATACTCTCAGTTCAAACGACATTCCCTCTGCTTTTACACACCTGCCTGCGCCAGGAACCGACATCGAGGACTTGACCCACACGGATTCACTTGCCCAAGCTCTAGGTCACTCGATCTCTGCGGTGGAGATTGCCCAACGTGGCGTACAGTCGGACTTTGTCAGGGGCACATTGATTGATAAGATCTCTCCACAGACTTTGACCCACCTCCAGATTTTGTCAGAGACTGTATCGTCCTACGTTGCCATCGGCAGTCTTGGGAACCAAGGATCGAGTCTCACGGAGATGGAGTATCTCCGCACTCAGTATGAGCAGATCCGCCAACTGTTTGTTGGCCACCCTGGAGTGTTTGACCCTGAGGTGCTTCCTCTCGATCTGAAGACCGTCACGCCTCTCTTGTGCCAGGACCCATTTGTATTCCTCACGCAATGCGCAGCAGGCACCGTACCAGCCACAGGCCTCGACGTGCATCACGTCTTGCGTCTGTCTTACTTGGCAGAGATGGTGCGCGTTGTCCTGGCGTACACCAACCCCACAGAGGGCCACCAGAGTGCACCGCACTTTCAGCAGCCAGAGCGCTTCGTCAACTCAGAGAAAGTGAGCAACGGATTCTTCTCCCCCGATCAGGCGAAAAACCTCCTCTTCTTCGTCTGCGCCGTCTTCAACGTAGCAAGTATGGAAGACTCTCCAGCATCACTGGACATCGACAACATGCCCATCCCCGATCAGTTCAAAGACCCCAACTTCCTCTACTTCATGCACACCATGTTATCCTCTTACGCCCTTCCTTTCATCCGCAAAGCTGCAATCCTCATGCACGTCCGCTACGGCATCGAGCTGCCCCCTACCCCAATGGACCAGGTCGATGAATCCGAACTCTCCCGCCTCACCACGCTCCTGCGTCTCCCCACTCTCCACGACATCTTCTCATCCTTCGCCACCCGGTCCAACTCAGGTCACATCACACGCTCCATCGTCGGCGGCTGGGTGCGGCATCTCTTGTGGGCCCAAGCAGGGAACCAGCCCCTGCGACCTACAATCTCGCTTTCGCATCCTGCCATCTTCGAACTCGTCGGCCTGCCCAAGACGTATGATACGCTTACCGACGAGGCGATACGCAGGAAGTGTCCGACGACAGGCAAAGAGCTTACGGATCCGGCGCTGTGTCTGTTTTGCGGAGAGATCATGTGCTCCCAGGCTGTGTGCTGTATGACAGGCAAAGGCCAGAGGGGCGGTTGTAACCAGCATTTGGCCAAGTAAGTCCCCCACACACCAATCCACACGCCCCATGCCCCCATGACCGTCATCATCAACGTCAAAACAAGACCGGTACTAACGATCGATAGATGCGGCGGCCAAATCGGCATCTTCATCCACATCCGCAAATGCATGGTTCTCTTCCTCAATCGCAACCACGGCACCTGGGCCGTCGCGCCCTACCTCGATAAACACGGTGAAGTGGATCCCACGCTCAGACGACACCATCAGCTGTTCCTCAATCAGAAGAGGTACGATGCCTTGCTCCGCAAGGTGTGGCTTGAGGGCGGCATTCAGAGCCTCATCGCACGGAAGCTTGAGGGCGATATAAATAATGGCGGGTGGGAGACTTTATAGGGAGATCTTTTGGGGATGAATTTGGGGGAGCGGAGGAGGTGGTAGGCGATGCAAGATGGAGAGCAGTGCATCCTAAAGGCGTTTCATGCTTATGTACTATGGTAACTAGAATCTGATCCTTCAATCACTCGTTGTCACTTAACATGAGCCCTAAAGCTGATCGTGCTTTGGTAGTCATAGTTTGGGAACACGTGTTATCGTTCGCATTGCGATGAGTCAGTCCATGTACAGAGTGTCATATTTACATTGGTGATGGTACGTACTGCTACAAGTAATCTTACGATGGCGTCCATGGTACAGGTTCGCCAGTCGAGGTCTTTGCTGCGGCCTCTGACTTATCGGCCGTCCTATCTTCCTCTTCCTTGATGTCGTCTTTAACCTCATCCTGTAGCTTCTCCTCTACCTTCTCAGCAGCTTCTGCCGGAACGCCATCCGGCTCGTCCGCCCTGGCTGCTTCCCCACCACTCTCCTCGCTCAGAAACCCGAACTCAACCGCTGGATCAACACGCTCGACCTGTCCCGGCGACTGCTCCGGCGCTCCATTCATCCCCTCAACGAGCGGCACGTGATCGCCAACCGCCTCCCCATCATCGACCACCCTCCGTCTCCGCGGCACAGGCACAGTCCCCTTCTCCCTCCTCCCATCATCCGCGCCCACCCTCTCCGCCACAACCTGCCGCCACCTACGCACCTCCCTGATCCCCTCGCCAAACTGTTCCATCCCGTACACCATCTGCATTTCCCTGCCCAGCCTGCCGCTCCTCGCCATGTCGAACTCTCTGATCACTTGGTCCAGCAGCGCGAGCGTGTCGACTGAGAACTCGATCGCGCCGTTGTGCATGTCGGTGAGCAGGCTGGTGAGCAGCGGGTATGAGGACTGCTGCAGCCATGCTGTGCGGAGGAGGGTTGTGTATAGCGCGGTTGTGGCGCCGAGGGCGTAGGACGAGCGGCCGAGGCTCTTTATCGTGGGTAGGATCGAGAGCGGGAGGGGGGAGGCGGGGAAGTGTGTGCGGAGGGTTGTGAGCGCGGTGAGGAGGTGGTGCGGGTAGTTCGTGAACAGAATCTTCGGATCCACGGTCGTGGTTGTGGAAGTGGACTTCGCATTTCGAGCAGGCCTTTTGGGTTTCGGGGCCGTGCTGTCGAGGTCCAATTGACGGACTTGGTCGAAGACTTCGCGCTGCAGGGTTTCCCAGAGCTCGCGGTCGGTTTTTGCGGATGTGAGGAGGGCGTCTATGCGGTTGCGCTCTCGCAAGCGTGCTTCGTTTAGCTTTGCGGCTTGGGCGCTTGTGTCTTTCTTCTTCTTCGCTCGTAGCTCGCGCGCCCTCATTTCAAGGGGGCGAGTTCCCTTCAAAACATGTTCTGCCATGCTCTGAAGATCCTGTTTGGATTTCCTGCTCCTCAGTTGTTCCGTGCCTGACCTGTTCCATTCTCTCGCTGATTTGGCTTTACCCTTCAGCGCATCATCGAAGATTTTGTCCAGGCTCGCCTTGGGATCCTCCTCCTCCTCGTCAGGCTCCCAATATTCGTCGGCAATCGCATCGATCTCTACCTCGTGATCCTTCTCATTCTGGCGGCTGCCACGTGTGTTGAACTTTCTGTACAGCTTCTCGAAAGCTGCGCGCTCCGAGCCGGTGATGGTGGTTTTGCGTGCAGGTTCGAGATCGTCGAGCGCTGGCGGCAGTTCCTCTTTGTTCTCGAAGGGAATGTCTTCAGCGGATGGATCGTCTTTGCGACTGTAGCGTGAGATGTTGCGGCGTGCAATGGGTTGGGCGGCGGGCTTCCATTGCTGGATCGTGGCTGTCTGGTACAGGAACGGCAGGAGCGTCTTGTTCGTGGGTATGCAAGACCGAGAGAGTGCTCGAAGGGTATTCGAGCATGCAGACATCGACGAAAAGGGATGGTCTATAATACAAGAGGCGAAACGAAGCAATGGCGACAAGCGATGGTGAAGCGTGATGGCTGTCCCCAAAACTTTCGAGATCGACGCGTTAATCGCGTTAGACAGGGGTCTAAGCGCGAGTTGCCTAATAAGGCAACTTTTGAACGCCATCGAAGACGGGTCAGCACTACCGCATGTACCCAAATTCGACATGGTCCGTGTCTGACTGGATCTTATTGCAGTTTTCTAAGTGACGGATGTACCGATGAATACCCATGCCATTCGTAGCTACGGTGTACCTGTACGATGATGATGATGAATGATGATGAATGAATGATGGTTGTCATACGTTTTAAGACTAACATGAGCCATTGAGATTGGGAAAGCAAGTATGGAAGGTATATTTGTGAAGACCATGTACGGAAGTAGAGATTGTCCAGAGATTGCTATCCAGAATCAACACCTTCCGACCATTACTATGCTCAAAGCTCAACATTGTACGAAAAAAAAAATCCACGAAGCAACGCTAAAGGTCAGATGAGCTAGAGAAGATCAAAGCGGAAGCAAAAACGCCCGCTGTCATCGATTTGGTATATCCCAAGGCCTAAAAGCCAGTGGCGCAATGCTAATCATCAAGCAGAAAATCATCATGCAAATGCTGAACGATTGCATCGTTGCAAACAGAATGCCGTCTCGGGTATCCGAAATACGAGTGGATCGTGCCTACTCGGGGTATCATCGAAAAGGGTCCTCTCCATCGGCGAAATCAATGCGAAACGAGGTGTTGTGTGGTTGTGGAACCAAGTTGGAGATGTATATCGTAGCGTCAGATCAGAAAGATTCGTTATTTGTTCGATGGCCGTAACTTCGTATGTGAGGTAGATGGGATATTTGAGGGGAGATGTCGGTGTCGTGTTGTGGGTGACTTCAGGATCGGTTCTCAACAGCCTGGTGTTCGCCGGTTGCCACAGCCACGAGAGCATCGAGTCGTCTCATGTCGTTGGCGCCCTGTGGAGGTAATGGTTGACCAAACGTGGTAGGTCCTCTCTCCGGCTCGCGCTGAGGTCGATAGGTCGAGCTAGAACTCGAGTTGGAGAGGGTGTGCCTATGGTAAGATTGATAGCCAGTATGCAGCGGATGCGGTCTGTCCATGATTGAGGCTGGAGATTTGTATTCCTCCACATGAGCCCCGGGGGGGTGTGCCTCCACGAACCCATTGCTATGCACAATTGCAGGGTGGTATTCGCTCATTGTAGTATTACCTGGGGTCGGAACACCTTCGCTACTGCTTGAGTCCTCGGGAGACGTGCGCTGCATGACCCGTACCGGCTGGGAGACAGGTTGGCTGACGGGCCCGTTATACCAAGCCTGCCGCTTGTTCTTGCGAGGCGTAGCAGGCACTTCCTGAGAGCTACGCCCTGAATCAGCGGGATGGGTTTGCAATAGCTGAGGGACATTTGGCGGCTGCTGATGATTGAAGAAGCCGTGGGGTGCAGTCATAGGCCGGGTCGTAGCTGGTTGTCCATTAGGAGGATACTGCGGCCACGACTCCCGAGGGGAGGCTGAGCCAGTTATGTCGAGACGATTGATGCCCCTTTGCATGGTGTCCTCCCAGGAGACGCTCATGCGTTTCCTATGTCCAACACCTGGTAGAGGCTCGATCGGTGCGTGGTAAGTGAGGGGGCGTTGTGGTGCATCCGTGTGCACAGGGCCCGGTGGAGGACGCGATAGAGCTGGTGGAGGAGGCGCATAGTCAAAACTTTCGATGCCGGGAAGCCTAGTTTGTGATGCAGCGGGTTGCGATGTGTACGATGGTCGGTCTGCATCAGGTGTCTGGTGGTAGCCAAGTCCACTTGTTGCCGGTCGAGGTCCAGTATATGTGCCTGGGTGCCAAGTTCGTCTTCTCCAGTCTGCGTCTGCGTTCGATTCCCTCCTCTGTCCTGGAAAGTTTGAGACTACTGGACTACTATACACGCTACTTTGAGTCGAGAATGTAGAGGCGGCAGATGACTGTAGTGGAGACATATACGGTGGAGGAACTTGTCCGGGTGGTCCTGAGAAAGGGTTACTGTTAGACAAGCGACGTCCTGGTGGTGGGCCAGCCCATGAAACCGGTCTGGACGATGTAGACGCAGGTGAGTGCATCGCAGAACAAAATTGTGCAGGGCTGCCTGCAATTCCGGAATATGTCGTAGATGTGGGCGTGGTGGGAGCATTTGATTGGGAGTCGTACTCAACAATCTGAGGGCCTGGACTACCCATGAGTGGTGGGTTGTAAGCTTCCATGGTCTGCAGCGACAATCGTGCTCTCGCAGAATCGTCACTGGCCATGGCAAGAGGTAGAGGTCGGCGTCGAGAGTCTGGAGACTGTGCCACGCTCATGGCCGAGATAGTCGATGTAATACTTGAAGTCGAGAGGTTCCTGCTGTGTCCTCTGCTGTGCCCGCCCATACTTCCGAGGGTGTTCGCCCTAGAGCGAGGCCCAGGAGGCCTGACACGGTCCGTCCTGATCTGTCTTTGAAACCTTGTGCCAGTCGCAGCAAGTGATTCTGCTGGAATGTCTTCGTTGACATGAACAGTCTGGGCGTGTTGTCGAAGATTGTCGAGTCGTGAGAAGCGTCGAGAGCAGTGACATTGGAACGGTCGTTCACCAGTGTGTTTACTACCATTCGTTAGCACTAGAGCATGGGAGCTTACTTCCGAAACGTACCGAATATGCCTAGCTAAATGCTCACTTCTCGTAAAGCTCAAATTGCATGGAGGAAACTCGGTACAAAAGAAACGCTGCCCTTTCTTTTTCTTTGACGGCCTGCCGCTTTCACTGGTTACACTCTCATTGTCTGACCCGTCTTTGTCGTCGTCCTCGTCGCCCTCGCCCATGTGTACATCTTCTGTTGTGTCTACCGATTGTGTCGAAGTGTGTGATTGCCCTCTGCTCAGATTGCTTTTGGTTGAAGGTGTCTCACTGAGTTCGCGAGTGGGCTCGAAGGGCGAGGAAGGTAGGGGTTGTTGGCCGGCAATACCAATGAAGCTATTGCGTGTCGGTGTCTTGAGGGAAGGGTCTTCTGTCCTAATTTCCTCGCCACTCTTTGAGTCCTTTTGGAACCTAGCATCTGGTCGTGGAGTCGTGGGGGTTGTTTCTTCCCCAGAGCGTCCTGGTGGCGGTTCAGGCACCGCCAGGGTAGTGTTGACTGCTTGGAAACTCGACATGCTGGGCTGGTTCAGCACCTGTAAGGTAAGAATGAAGGGTCCCGTGTGCCTGTTGAGCTGAGCACTGGCAACGTGAACGATCCTCGGCTGCGTGTAATGCTTGCGGTTCAACGGGCGACAGCAGCACTCTAGAGGCCGGGTGAACCAGTACCTGAGGGTAAGTGCAGGGACTATTCCCGGGTGCAGTCACTAGACTACCTGGTCTACCGTGGTTCGCACCTTCCTTGACGCAGGACCGGAAGGCTGAAACGGATGTGATGACGAATGGAGAGCCGTATCGTCGCAACATCCGGACGCTGCGCGCGAAGAGGAGAACTGCAAACAAAGAACAACAATCGAAAAGCGTCAGTCCAGTCGCCGCGTCGTCAGTCGTGAGATCTCTACCCGTCGAGGGGTGCGGCGGCGGCGATGATGCGTGAGCAACAGATGCTCGGAGTTTGGTGGAGGTATGCGATAAGGCGCAGACGTTTGCCGGGGAGGGCCCCTCTCGAAGTCTAACGCGGACTCGATGCACGCAGCGACAAGCACGAGCTGACGCGGGCAGAGGTAAGTAGTGGATGTGCGCGGACCCGTGGAATGCTGGAATGCGGCTCTCAGGGTCGCAGAGAGCTAGCAAGGCTTCTGAAGCCAGGAAATAGTGTCGTGCAGGAAGCAGCGGGATTGGGGCCTTGCGCAAGATGACCTGAACACCAAGGGCCAAATTGTTCACTGGAGGGGTTGGTAAGGCACGGACAAGCAGAGCTAGCGGCTTTGTTGCGCGCCCTGATGCTGGGCTGGCGAAGGGCTGGGGTTTAGAGTCCGATCCACCACTGCCACCACCCGAAGAGAGCTTGGTGAGCTGTGGGATCTGCACCAGCGCCTTCAGTCGCAGACGTGGCTTGGCTGCAGTTACCCCTCCTGCGCCTGTAAGCTTGCGCTGAGCAAACCTTGATGATGAATGCTCACTGCTCGTCAGTGCTGGACATCCCCCATCAGCCATTCCTGCACGCCCCTTGTGCGAGGACACACGGCAGCAGGCAGCTCATGCAAGCGGGGCAACTGGGCGGTGTCTGCTGTCCGGGATACCTCGAACAGCCATAGGCCCTTGCCTTATCCATGTTGTTTGGATTAAACGAGTGCGGCCTCCACTTGAAGCCGTCGTGGCTGGCACTGAAGCATGCTCGAGTTCGACATTGATGACGAAACCACAGCTGCCACTGCCGCGTTTCACGTGCATGAGGGACAGCGCTTGGGATGACTACCCTCGACTACGACCATGAACGGCGCGGTCTATCCCAACAGATGGGCAGCAGGTCTGTCAAGAGAGCCGTAAACAGACAAGCTGCTGCGAGCATGGCGTGGATCTCCCTAGCGAAGCTGACCGTTTCCCGAGGTAGTAATTGGCTCACCAACTCGGTTGCTGCAAGGGGGTGCTCAAGTATCATCCCCACATAAACATGTTGTACTTTTGTACCTTGCCGAAGCGAACGCTAGCAGCCGTGATAGAGCCGGACTTGCTCATGAAAAGTCGATCTTGTTGCGGCGAGACCAGCGTCGACTGTCGCAAAGTAAGACTTGCAGCCGTCGGTCGCAGACTCAACGTGTGGCCTTGCAGACACGAACGGCAAGTCAGGTCTGCAGCGGTGTACGCCGTCTTGGTATCGAGCCTCGACAGTCAAAGCCAGATTGGACGAGTTAAATGTTCCTGGCGGTCGAATCGGTGGAACGCTACCACGAGCTAGCCTAACCACTGGTAAGTGTTCCCGCGGTCATCTGATGGCGTCCTTTGACGCGTATCCGGGGCCATGTTCTCTATCCACACCGATCTACCACCAACAAAGTTTGCAGAGTATCACGGTAATATTGACATGCTATCGAGTCAGTGACCATGCGACCACGAGGTCAAGGTTGCAATAATCTCGGTATTGTCTCGTTATGGTAGATGTACCATGCCACAGTGTCGCAGTATGTCTACGCAAGGAAAGGCAGCCGGTAAGGTTGATGAAACACTTAGCGGATACGCGAGCCGCCAGCTCATGCAACCTCTAGTTAGCTGGCGAAACAAAAGCAGCGATCAGCCGCCACCAGATGGTTCGTGGTGGCGATGGCTGCATGGTGTTGAGTTTGCAGAGCTGGGCACTCTCGACCCGCCGACAGAGGCGGGCCTGACGTTCAAGCAGTGAAGCGGCACAGCTTCGCATAGCTTGTCGGACAGAGCTGGATTCGAATTTGGTGTTCACGATGTTGTTCACAGCGCCCAAAATGAAGTGCATGCCACTCCTATCAGCCTCAACGTCTTCAGACTTGCACAACAGGGATTCAAACATGGTGTTCCTGAGCATCCGCAACGGCAAAAATAGTGTTCTCGCCGTCAGACTCCGACAGCTAAAAGAGACATCGCTCATCGCAAAAAATCAAGTCAGGGCCGAACCGGAGTCGAACCGGTGACTTCGGGATTTACTGCTAGAGAGCTGCAATCCTACACTCTACCACTGAGTTACCGACCCGTGGTTATTGGACTTGTGGCGTCAAGTCGCTAGAAGTGATGATAGAAATTTGGCGAAAATGACTATTAAGTACTTATTTATAAACCTCAAAGGCGGTCTTTAAGCATCAATCTGACTTCGTTTTGCATCGAAAAGCGGTCTGAAGTAATGGTTGTGGGTCACAAAGGCTCTTGATATGGGTCATAGCCCCGCACGGCGAACCTCAGCATACCTCGGCAACTGGCTCCAAGAATCCCGATGGCTTCAGCAACCAATCCATCAACAAATACCAAACGAGTGCGTACAGCACTTGCTACAGTCCGCCATGCATATTGTATCCATCAGAAAACCACGTTCAATATGTGTGGATACTGCAGCTTGACCAAATCAAGGAATCTTCAACCCTGGTTTTCCACTCCAAAACCTCGAACCGCGAGTTGCAGTTTCAGTGATTACAGCACCATAGCATTCCTCGAGCCGAGACTTATTTCATGAGAAGAGCCAAGTTTCACTGTGTGGTATCGGCGGACCTGTTCGTGGGCGACATGTTTCTTCACAACCGCTATGATAATAAAAAAGACAAGTCTCTGCAGCAAGACAAAAGATACTCATCGTCATTCCACATATCTGTTGTTCGTTGTTGCAAGATTCAGAATTACACGTATTCAAATGGACTTTCTACTTCCTCCGGTCCACCCTGGCAGCAAACAGTATAGCTCGACTTCAGCTCGAACTCGACATTCTCGGCCATCCTCGCACCACAGCACGCGCAGGCCCGGCGTTTCGTAGTACCACGTTTCAAGACTATGCATGCTAATGTTGTGGAACAATGACGGGCATCATCTCCGCAGCATATTGCTTATCGTGAACCTGTCATACGTCGGGGTACGCAAAGAGAATCGGATAAGGTGAAACGAATTACCCAGTAGCAGAGTTGGCAACAATCAATTCAATCAATTCAATTTCGCCTAACAAGGTACGGGTTGAACCTACGGGAGTAGTGACTAGACCAAATCGGGCGAACTTAGATTGACTGAATTGATTGTTGCCAACTCTGCCCAGTAGTCCTTTGACTACTCGCAAGCTGACGGGGAGGGAGCAGGCAAGACTTGACTGCCTCCCACATTTTGGGGGATCGACCTCTTGTATCCGGTGTTCTCTTGTGGCATGAGATCCTAGGCACTCTCAGATGTCGCAAACTACTTGCTGCAGCAAATATGATTAGGCGTGCCCCAATGAAAGAAAGCTAGGAACAGCTTGCCCTGATTGTCCTCACGGACAAAGACTTTACCACGAAAGGCATAAATGGCATTCTCAGAGCAATCGTTCTGACAATCAAGATATGACACTATAAACAGCACCGAAAGCTACCTCATACTGCACTTCTCATTCGCACCGATGGACACCAGACCCCAACTGCAGGCGCCAGGCATGACCATGAAGTCAATTACGCAGAATTTGGAGCCTTCGAAGTCATTCTACAACGAGTCAGCCTTATCGAATGCCATTTTGCATGAAAGTGTCTCGTCATTGACCACACCAAGAGGCTTCTCCAAACTGGAATGCTCTCAGATGTTATACTCGACTTAGGCTCTTCGAAGTTCAAAGCTCACTCCACTACACTTATGCCCAAGTCGACGTGGTTCGCCAACAACTGCCCAGGTAAAACAGAGCACAGGATGATCCGACCAGATGTTCGAGTCCTCAGATACATCCGTTTCGATGACTTGGATCAAACACAGTTTGACCGAGCCCTCGGTATGATGACTTCCTTTTGTTACCAAGGCACTTATGATCTCCTGTTGAATTAAGATGATTCCATGAAAACGAATGAGGTCAGATTTCGCATCAATCTACTCATCAGTCTGGTCAGCAGAATGTATGGCATCGACAGTCTGATCAAGTACTCTGTGAAGAAGGCTGCAGACTTGGCCATATCGCCTAGAGACACTGATTCGGTCTTGTTTTTAAGTCATATCCATCTCATCATGGAGTTCGAAGACTGGACGCAGGATGATGCAATGAGGCAAGTCGCCCGCAACGAAGTTAAGCTCATAGTCGAGGATCAGGCCTGCGTAATGGTCAGAAGAGAGTGGAGATGCGGAACGTGTAGCACCGTGTTCGGGTACTTGAGTCCCGAAGGCAGACAGTCTGACCTTGTGCTGCGAGAGCGTAAGGCAACGCCGTTACCAAGCGCACATGCTTTGGCGCAGCTTGAAAGAAGTCAGTAAAGTCAAATTACGTATGACGAAAGACACTTGCCTTCAAACTCCAGGGCGAAAAATTCTGTGAATCGTAATCCAAATAGGTCATACACCATTCGTATTCGTACACATTATCACCGAAAACCATGGCAGTGGGTGTTGGGTTGGGACAAATCAGGCCTTTAGTTATATTGGGAGTATTCACGAAAGGAGAAGCGGTCATCGTAATGCGGGAAGAAGACGAAGACGAAGTCGAGAGAGTCGACGATGTCAGAGCAGACGAGGACGAGCTGGAGCTGGAGCTCAAGACCGAAGCAGACGAGGCGACCAACGAAAAAGCGGATGTCACTGTAGGGATGCGTATTCCAGCCCTAACATTAGCGTTCCGCACCAGTCCTGTGTTCGCTTCCTTTAGGTAGCAGAAGCCGCGACCATCACCGCCGGTCCAAGCCATTGCACCGCAGGTATCGAGGGTGTCACATTTCTGCAGACACAACTCGTAGCTGGCAAGGTCCTCAACATCGAGAACACTACCATCGTAGTCGTAGCCGCAGTAGGTATTATGCATTTGACCAGTCGCTTCTGTGTAGATGGTGTTGTTGGAGCTAGGGCAGAGAGCTGCCAATGTAGCGGTGGGTGATGCTGCTGAGCTTGTCGAGCTTGAGGGGAGGGTGACGCCACAGGCCTGAATGGGGTCGTTGCCGAGATAGTAGACCTTCATAGCATTAGGTCCGCCACAGACCTCTGTCGCCTTGCCATTCACGTCATGTTACAGGCAGAAGCAATTGTAGGTGCGCTCGGGAGCATCGCAAGGAGCCACCGCAGTAACATATCTGGCTGTACTCAAGCCCGGCATATGTATACCTCGCCTGCTTGTATGCATAGCACAGCGAACACCAGTGTTGATATCCTCCACATTGGCAGCGAACTCTCGAGTTCGCTCGCCGATGGAGCCTGTGTAACGTCCAGAGACTTCCAGTTATCAAAGCCTGGATTGACTACAGATCCAAAAGACAGACCTTATCCGTTAGTGAAGATGCTCATGCGGTTACTGGCGCCACATGACTCGGTGCTTGAGCCAGGGCAAGGAAAGCTGCATTCTGATTCGGCTCTCTGCAAGCCAGTGTCGAGAACTCGGTAATCGCAGTAGCACTCGCGGCCGTATTCAATTCCAGCATATGAACACCTTTTGCGGTTACAGGCGCTGATACAGCTCGATCCGGTCATAGAACCGTCTGCATGGCCATCGGCATGCAGGGTGCGCGGATTTACGTTGTCTGCGTAACACCCTGAGTACGTCCACCCGGAAGGTAGAGCATTGTTGATGGTAAGATCCCGCTTGGGAAGATTGAAAGCGGCTCCTTATGTATGAGTATCGAGGAGAACTGTCAAGCCCAGAATGTACAGGTGATTGAAAGGAGTATGCATGGTGTTACGACCAAAAGAGTGACGATGGGTGAAGACAGTGAATGAGGGGTGTCCGACGACGTCTTCAGCAGGAAATGCCCTAAGACTCTATAACCCGCATGTCCACAACCTCCTCATTCTCATTCCCATGGCTCATCAATAGCGGAGCTGCCGTTCTTGCAGACGCTACAAGAGAACCATGCCAGCCAGATCGTGCTCGAAAGTGCGTCGATGTAGGTATTTTCATGTTCTCATCTGTGCCAGAGCCGGGTACAATATGATCATGAGTCCGGACTATCAGAGCCAACCAAATCTTTGCGGATGTGGCTTGAGACTCTGCAAGCCCTCAGGGCGAGGCTATCAGCATGGCTAGATGTAGGTCTGCACTCTACGCACCATCGGAAAGGCGAAGACTCTTTGGGGGTCGGGCACACCCCTCGCCTCATTTCCAACTCGAAGTCCCTTCCAAAATCATCGGATCGGATCACAGATGGTACATGTCTTCTGTATTGTTCCTTTCGAAAGCATTCCTTGACCTTGACATTAGCAGGAGAACTACAGCAGTACTTCGTCTCCTCTTACAAGTCGGAATATTTTGGAGCCTCTTTGGTATACTTAAGGCTGCAAAACATCCATCTCTCCTTATATGCCTGCCTCGACTTTTCAAATTAACAAGTACTTGCCTATGTTTTCGGCTTCTGGCAGAAGGCACGCAGCATGTGGGCATGCATCTGTAACTCAGAAAACGTTGACCACTTCACATGCTCCTCTTTCTTTCTTGTTCCGAGCCTATTATGACTGGAGCTTCAAGAGGCAACCCCAAAAATGCAGATTGTTGATGCCTCCGGAAGCGGCAGCTACATAGCGACCATGCAACGCATGGTGAAGGGTCCGACTTGTCGTCTACAAAAAAGTCAAATCACAAACTGTGCTCCATGTCTCTTACCACGAACGAGCATGCAGGGGTGAGATGACAAAAATACACGCAAAGAAGGTTGATGTCTTCCGTGAGATTGTTCCCCCCAAATTGTCCAACACATAGCTACGCCGGAAGGAATATCTGGTCCTAACCTGGAAAACGAAAAGAAAGCCCATGTCCTCACGATATGTCGAAAACTCACAGTAAGCTCTATCTATGTTGAAATCGCGAGTGACAGTGCATTGTCTTCTTCGGCCACCGTCCTACCGAAAAGATATAAAAGAAAAAATACCTCTCTCCTTGTCTGTTCAGAGTTGCGAGAAAACATTCTGTATGTTTGAGTATAGCATGTTGAACATAAAAGCCCCTCCCTTCGTTATATCTCCTCTCTTATGACGCTGGCTCACTTCAAATTTCTTCAAGGAAAGGAGTTCGAATCGTGTATGTTCTCAAGCTCAACATCCCCTATGTTGAAACCCACGTTTATGAGACTCGACCAACCGGGAGGACTACAGACGCATCGTATACACACTTCAAGTACACGTTGATCGAAACATTTGTTCAGCTGTCTAATGTCTGCTGCCCACTAAAAGACCACCGAGCAAGGTGTCAAGATCTTTACGTGCCAAAGTCAACATGCACTAGCTTGATGATTCTGGTGGAACCTGAAACATGCTTGAGCCTGCGGCCAAGTACATAAAAAGCCAACTACAACCCGCATTCCCGATGACCAGAGGAAATTTTGCTGTCTCTCCACACCGAAAAGATTCGGTCAGTAGAACATGTCCAAACCAAAAGCGAGACCGAGCTTGAGAAATGTCCGCGGCTGAATTGCAGAGATCTTCTGCTCTAGGAATGGCATCGTCGAAGCCATAGGCAACTCAACTGTTGCCCTTTCGAGAAAAAGGCCTGCGCATGACTTGCATGTTCAAAGCTCTAGAAGCAGTGCGTACACAACTCAAACGTCATCAAGATCACCCTACGGTTCTTCGAAAAACCTGCTGCTTACATTCTCAGCAACATAATCTATGCCTGCTGCCAGATCCAAAGTGAAGCAACTTCAGTACATGATTGTTGCGTGCTCAAAAACAGCGGTTTGTGTCTGCATGACGTTGGCGAGATAGAAGACACTCTCGAAGCTATAAAAGCAACTGCTCTCTCAGCAACGCTACTTTTCACCTCCTGTATATCCATCAGTTGTCGCGTTTCCAAGAATGTGAGCACAATGAACATGTCCGTCCGAACAAGATCTGTGCTGAAAGATGATGGAGTTCGACCCATGTCGACAAAGAAACTCGGCTGCTTTATAACCCGACTAATGAAGATGAAGCAATCCTATGTCTTGGCTGGAGTCCTTTGCTCTACGCAGGGAATCCGACATTGATGATGGGTGTGCTGTGCTGTCGCCAGATAGTTCAGTCAGCGTCCGGTGAGCGAGAACGAAAGAAGGCGATGGCATGTCTGTGGAAGTTCAGCCAGGATGTTGGTCATTACGTCTGTGTTCATTGATACCTCACATCGTGATTCGTCTATGCCAGCCAGGTTGCGAGCTACGCCCACAAAACCTGATGTAGTGTACAGTGACATGCACATGCTTTCGTCCTCCTTTTTCTCCTCTCCTCATCAACCAACTCCTCGTGCCCGCTTAAACAATCATCTCCAGCTCCCGAGCGTACCCCAGCGTATTCTCGATGACCTGATCGCTCGTGACCAGAATGTCCTTGCTCTGGTAGTCGTCCTCCTGCTGAGGGAAGTATATCCTGCCGTCATTGATAACCCAGCCAGACTCGCGCGCGAAGTTGACAACGCTGCCTTCTGAATCGAGGAATAGCAGAGATTTGGCGTCAGAGATGGGGATCGAGGGGTATGCGCGCTCGCTGCAGGAGGCGATCTCCTTGCGGATTGTGCCGATGAGGATCTGATCGTTGGTGTTAGCATGAATCTTCCTGCACAATGTGGTTGCAAGATATTGTTATGATGTAGCAATACGTGAGTGGCGCGACTTACCTCTGAGAACATCCCAAACTCCTCACTCGGCACCCTCTCGCTCTTCGTTTCACCCCACACCCTATCGTAGCTCCCCTCCATAAGCGCCTGCTCCAACCTTATCGGATACTGAATGAACTGGTCGTCCTCAAGGCCCTTCCCCTCCTGCGCCGCCGCCACCTCCAGTGTCTCGAGCAGTGTGTGGAACCCTGCGTAGTCGCCCTCACTCAGCAGCAACAGCAGGTACAGACCTGTGACCTTGCTGGCCTGGCTTCCGTCTTTTGGTAGGGATGATGCGGGCAGGGCGTAGAAGGGCTGCAGCTGCTGGAAGTAGCGTGTGAAGGAGACGGTGTCTTTGAGGCGGATGGAGATGATAGCGCCGAGCTCGAGTGTTTCGCGGGCGGCTTGGAGTTGCTTCTTCGGTGTCTTCTCTTGTGGGATGAGGGCGTTGAGCTGCAGGAGTGCCATCTTGGCTTTGGAGAGGAGCGTTGTAGCCTGTTGGTAGTTGCGCAACTGGAGCGTCTGATGGAGGTGCTGGAGCGCGGAGTGTAGTTCTTTCTCGGCCATGGTGACGGGTCTTGTTTGTGGTTGTCTGGTGAGTGGAGGTGAAGAGGTTTCGGTTGCGTAGATAGGCGATGTGGCGTGTGGTGAGCTTGGAATTGTCGTGGTGTTTGTTGCGGCGGGCGGTGGAAGCTTAGGCGGCGGCGAAGCTAGGGCAGCGCCAAGACCCGGTGATGTACTGAATACCTCCACATGGGCGTACGACATGCTGTAACCTTCAAACACGCGATTTCGAATATAAGCCATGACTGCTGTGGTGTAAGGGACTTGGTTCAGAAAGAGCGGAAATGGAACAGCCTTTTGGACTTGGTCGAGACAAATCTACATTGCTTCCTCCACCATTGGTGCGGATGACCTGCATGGTCACACTGTCTCACTAGGAGAACAGTTCAGGCAACGAACAGCATCGCGAGCCGGCAGCCACTGGGGCATTCTGGGGCCGATAAGGCTGACTTGTCTATCCAAAGCTTGGAGCTATTCACAACTTTTCAGCAATCAAGATCTTACTATCTCCTACCAAATCTTCCTCGCGGTTTCCCACCATTTCCACCTTTGCCCTTGATCTTGAGTCTTTGATAGTTCGCATGTGCGGTAGCTGAGATTTTCCTCTTAACTTTCTCGACCACACCCTCTTTCTTCTCAGCGGGCTTAGCCACTTTCTTCGCTGGCGCTTTGCGCTTCTTCGCTGAGTGAGAGACATCGCTCGCATAGTCGGAATCATCCTCGTCTTCCGACAGTGCAGGCTCTGCATCTGCTTGGCCTTGGGTCTCTGGTATAGAAATTGGCCCGGTGTCTGAGTCTTCGTCCTTGTATTGGAATTCTGGGGCGGCTTTGGGCTTGACGGCATTCGGTCGCACTGGAGATTGTTAGAATGCGTGATTCACAGCATGGGCAAAGTGAACTCACTATTCGTGCGTCTTGTTTGCCTCTTCAGCCCCTTCTTCTTCCACACCTTTCTTGGTTTGCCATCACGACCCACATCTTCTCCTTCCTCTTCCTCGTCTTCAGATTCCAGTCCACGGTCGGGACCCAGCGGCATCACTACCTGACTATCCTCCACCTGAACATGAGACACTCTCGGTCTAGCTGGTGCTGACATACCCTCTTCTTCCATCTCCAGCTCGCGCATAATGTCCGCCTCTTCGTCCAGCCTATCGTCCTCATCTTTCCTCATACTCTGTATCATTGCACTGAGACTTCTCACCATACCCCTCTTCTTCCATGGCGCCGGCCGCGGCGTCGTCTCATCCGCCTCCTCGATCCGGTCCAACGCGTTGTCTCTCCTCAGAAACGCCGGGGTAGCCAGGCCTTTCAGCGCAGAAATCGGTGTGCCCTCCTCATCAAGCTTCCTCTTCTTGGGTGTAACAAACTGGTTGAAGAGATTCCTCTTGGTGACCGACAGTGGTGTCCGTTCCCCTCTTATCCTCGATGCTGACGATGCTTCGCTCGCAGCTTCTGTGTCCTTCTTGGTAGGTGTCTGAAAGACATTGGGCTCGATCTCGCCGAATATTATACGGCGCTTGCTTGGTGTCTCTGCTGTGAGGTTGTCGAAGAGTCCCAGCACTATGCCGTCCCGTTGCGGGGTAGGCCCAATGAACGCCGGCCCTTGAGGCGAAAGGTACTCAGATGCTGCGTCCGCTCCCTCCGCGGCCAACTCTTCTTCCCTCTTGCGCTTCAGCGGTGTGAGGACTGGGGCTTTCGGCGCTGCCTTTGGCGTTCGTTCGACATTGAGGGTCTGCTTGCGGCTCGTTGTTTGTTTCGAAGGCGTTTGAGGGAGTGCTCTGGTAGGTGATTGAGTTCGTAGCTTGTTGTACTCTTTGTATTTCTGTGCTGCTCGTAGTCAGCAATAGGCCTGGTAAGTTGACTATGTCGCGTGCATACATATTACTGCATCAGCCTTGATATCCTCCCGTCCAGCTTTCTTGCCATTATGTTGTGCGGCAAACTGCTTCTCCCAGGCTTTGAGATCGTTGCGGAGATCGTTGCAGCGCTGTGAAAGCTGTGTTATGCTCATTGTGGGAATGTGTGGTATTCAAGATGTTGGGTCAATGACGATATGGAGGGCCGAATTGAAGATCGCGGAACGCGTCGCGCACGCGCAAAAGCTAGCAGGGGTCTTGCAGCCCTACCACTCGCGAACACTCTACCGAGCATGCACATGTCAACTTGTCAACGACCCTGCATTCTTTTGAACAAGCATTGCATCAGATATATTACAGGATACTATTCACAACTCCCCGCTCGAGAGCTCGATAATTCATGCCGCTGATGCTGAAAGAGAACCCCATACTAAGAAAATCGGGAATCTAGTAGTGAACAGCCTTGTCGTAGGTGGCCATGGCAGCCTCCTTGAACGCCTCAGCAAGCGTAGGGTGAGCGTGACATGTTCGTGCAACGTCCTCTGAGCTAGCACCGTACTCGAGGGCAAGAGTACCCTCGGCAATCATCTCACCAGCGTTGGGGCCGATGATGTGAATACCCAATATCCTGTCGGTCTGAGCGTCCGAGAGGAACTTGACCATGCCGTCGGTGTCGAGGTTGGTCTTCGCACGCGAGTTGGCGGAGAAGGGGAAGCTTCCGACGTTGTACTTGACGCCGGCCTCCTTGAGCTCCTGCTCGTTCTGGCCGACCCAGGCGACTTCGGGGTGGGTGTACATGACGGAGGGAATGGCGCCGTAGTTGACGTGGCCGTGGCCCTTGGTGATGTACTCGATGGCAGCGACGGCCTCCTCCTCAGCCTTGTGGGCAAGCATAGGACCGAAGGTAACGTCACCAATGGCGCGGATGTGCTGGATCTTGGTACGGTACTCCTGGTCGATAATCAGGCGGCCACGGTCGTCAGTCTCGAGACCAATGTTGTCGAGACCAAGGCCGGCAGTGTAGGGACGGCGACCGATGGCGACGAGAACGACGTCAGCGTCAAGCTACGAATGATTAGCCTTTGCTTCCACACATGTTGAACCTTTGCGACTTACGCTCTCGGCCTTGCCACCCTTGGCAGCCTCAACGTTGACCTTGATGCCCTGCTCGGAAACCTCACCGGCGGTGACCTTGGTGTTGAGCTTGAAGTTCAGGCCCTGCTTCTTGAGCAGTTTCTGAGCGGTCTTGGCGATCTCCTGGTCCATACCAGGGCCACCAATCTGACCGAGGAACTCGACGACGGTGACCTCAGAGCCGAGACGCGACCAGACGGAGGCCTATGCTATTATTAGCAGAGTTCTGGATTGTGTGTGTGTTTAGATTGCTTACCATCTCGAGACCAATGATACCGCCACCAATGACGACCATCTTCTTAGGAACCTCCTGGAGCGCAATAGCACCAGTGGAGGTGATGACCCTCTGCTCATCGATGGTCAGACCGGGGAAGGGCGTGGCCTCAGAACCGGTGGCAATGAGGACATTCTTAGCGCGGACAGTGGTCTCGCCGCCCTCAACGAGGTTGACAGCGACGGTGTGCTCGTCCTGGAATGCGCCGGTACCCTTGATGTACTCGACGTTGTTCTTCTTGAAGAGGAACTCGATGCCCTTGGTCAGACCAGCGACCGAGGTATCCTTCGCCTTCATCATGGCGGGGAGGTTGAGCTTGACATCGCCGACCTCGATACCGCGGCCCTTGGTGTCGTGGAGAATCTGGTGGTAGAGGTGCGAGTTGTTCAGGAGGGACTTGGAGGGGATGCAGCCAACATTCAAGCAAGTTCCACCGAGGGAGCCGCGCTTCTCGATACAAGCGACCTGTGTCCATGTTAGCTGGTGTTCGTGTTGTTGCTTGCAGTTGTCCTCCGCACCTTCAGGCCGGCCTGTCCAGCCTTGATAGCTGCGACATATCCCGCAACACCACCGCCGATGATGACCAGGTCCTTCTCCTCTGTCTAGCAGTCAGCGCATGCTTCCACTCGTCCCCCTTCATCTCCACGGAGCTCGGCGTACCAGCTTCCGAAGCGTAGCCTCGTCGTAACCTGTTCTGGAAGTAGATGTTGGATGCGCAGAATGTGCTGTTGGAGACGGGCCGTGTCGCCCTCTGCACGGCGCGGGGAGCCAGAGACCGGAACATTGTAAAATAGGCGGACGGAACTAGAAACCAAAAGGAGCTGCGGTGGCACAGCTGCGATGACGGGCGTCAATGGATGGGTGGTGGGACTGGAGGTTGTTGTTGAGCTTGGGCGAAGCCTCTCTTTTTGCGGAGACCAGAGCTCGGCCGGGAAACCTTGCGGGTAGTCTCGGTGTGGCGCTGTTATTGGTCAGCCCTCGACCTCGCTGCAACGAGCAGAAGCATCACCAAGACCTTACGGAAGACGCGGGTTGAACTTGATGATGAGTATTCAACATGGTATCTAATCTTCTTCTAAAGTCGTCGTGGCCAGAATCCTGTTCAACACGCCGATAACAGCTTTACATGCCCACTTGACCGTCTCCTTCTCCGACTTCTCCACGATGTCCGTCTTGCTCACAACCTTCTTGAGGAAGAATTGTAATCCTGCAACCATCTCAGGCGCCTGGTCTACTTCTACGAATGTTTGCAACAAAGCCGTCTCGTTTCGCTCTCCCTTCGCGCCCTTCTGTGTTTCGAGGATCGCCGTGACTAGCATGATCTCGACGAACGTCTTGGTCTTCGGTTGCAGGTACGGGAAGTTGAGGTTCTTGAGGCAGGTGACGGACAGCACGCGTTTCGCGATCAGTGTACCATAGAGCTTACCCTGGTTGACAAGCTTCCGTAGTGACACGTCCTTACTGTCGTCGCCCTCGTCATCCGAGTCTGCGCCTCCTTCCTGGTTCTCTCCAAGACTCTTGAAGATGTCCCAGAGTGCAAACTGGAAGCCTTTCCGCGTCTTGTGGTCTGAGCAAACCTTCCGTGCAAGGATCGTGTAGTATGGATTGTAGGTCTTCTCGGCACCTGCACAGTGGATAATGACCTTCGGTATCTCGACTTCTTGCGCTTTCTTGAGGTTCAGCTTGTTGAGTCGTATCTGCGCATCCTTGAAATCGGTCGCAGACATGATTGAGACGTAGATGGCTCGCCGCACATCAGTGTTCATACGTTGCTCACGGGCAAGCTGGGCTAGGTCGACTTCGCCGTCTTCGTCTTCCTCGTCTTCCTCAACTCGCTGTCTGTGTTGCTCTCTCTCCTCTTCTACGGGTGCATCGTTTTGAGCTTGGTTTCGCCAACTGGCGCCAACTAGCCACCACTTGCCCACCTTGTCTGTGTCCTTGATGTCCTTCAAGCCAACCCGCAGTGGCTCAGTGGCTTTGAGATTCCTCGAGTTCAAGGTGCCCAGCTGCTTCTTCATCTGTGTTGTGCGTTCTCTGGTAATCGAAGCTCCGGCGATGCCTGTCTTCATCTTGTTGTTCTTGAGATCATTGATGGTCTCGATCATGAACTTTGTTCGGACAGGCAAATTTTGTTGGCCAACGTTCGCTACGGACTTCTGCAGCAAAACAACAATGTCTTTAAGCGCAGTTGGATCGTCCTGTCGCAACTGCGGACCTGCTGCTCGAACAATCCGCAGCAGCAGCTCCGTGTTGATCTCGGAGAGCTCGTTGAGGAAGAATCGAATGTAGTCGAAGACGATGTTGCTGCCGATGACCTGGAAGGTATAGAGCTCAGAAACCACTGACATAAGATTCGTGGTGTGCTTCCCGGCGCCGTCCTTGTTTGGCTGGTAATTCCTGTCGAACTCAGAAACTATGCGCTCCACGATCTGAGCACCAAAGTCGGGTCCAATGACCTTGTAGACCGCTGCGATGAAACCAGCGTGCAAGATGATGAATGACTCGAGGAGCACCGATGGATCGGAAAGCATGTCGATCAAGAGATCGATCAACGTAGTGTTGACATAACCACGGGGGTTGGTTGCGTAAATTGTCTCGATGTCCTTCAGGATCGTAAGGATGTTGGCTTCCGACAGTCGATTGATAAGACCTTGAATTTGGCGCTTCAGACGCGACAATGCTTCCGCATCAGACGAAGGCGGTCCTCGTAACGCTGGGGGTATGTATTTTGTGGTAGGTGCAGCATTCGCAGCTACCGGCGCAACGTATGGGTTCTCTCGTATTCGAGGTGCTGGTTCTTCGTCCTCTTCATCCCCTGATATCTCGTCCTCAGAGAAAGGGTTCTCGATGTCACCCTCCTCGTCCATATCATCATCCAGGTCACCATCTTCAAGATCCTCGTCATCGTCGTCCATATCCTCAGAATCCAGGTCGTCATCCTCGGAAAACGGGTTCTCAAGTTCATCGTCCTCATCGTCCTCGTCGTCCGGCTCTGGCGCTGGTGGAGCGGCTGTTCCCAAAGCCTTCCTCCTCTTGCTTGCGAGCCAGTCGTCATCTTTCGTACGCTTCCTCTTCGATGCAGGGTTCTCGAGCGCACCCTCATCGCTAAAGTCTCCAAGATCGCCGAACAGGTCATCTAACCCATCATCTCCACCTCCTGCTGACTTCTTCCTCTTTCCCAACTTCTTCTCCAGCGCGCGGATTTCCTTGTCATCCTGATCGAGTCGTTCTTGTACGGCACGTGAAACTTTGGCAGGCGCGGGTGAGTCATCTTCCTCAGGTTGGGGCTTCTTCTTGAGTATACTCTTCGGTGCTGCTTCCTTCTTCACCGGTGCTGGCTCGTCCTCGCTTTCCTCCCAATCCACTTCGGACTCGTCCTCTTGCTGTTGCACCGGCGCCTTCCGTTTACCATTCTGCACATGTGTCGCCGGCAGTGGTGGTGCTCTCCTCGGCTGTGTTCGTTGCGTCTTTTTTTGTTCTCGTTCGGCTTTGCGCCGGTCTTTGCGATTCACCTGTCCATTGCGCCCGCCGCTGCTCTTGCCTCGATTCGCAGGATCTATTCACGTTAGTACCGAGGAAGACTTGTAGACCATGTCTTATATACCTCCAAACTGGTTTCGCAAGTCTGCCGGCAGTTTTGGCCCTCCGTACTGTTGGCGCATATTGTCAAAGTTTCGAGGATTGCTGCCAAAAAAAAGTTGGAGAGTACGCCCAAGCCGCGGTTGCTGACGCTAGTGATCGGTAGTCTTCCCCGCGGCCTTATCCCACTTACCTCCACCCATGGCGCGGAGGTCATAGCATCACACACATACACAATGGGGCGGGAACACCTCAGCAACGACGAGGTAAACTATGTTGAGGTTGTGACCATTTCAGAATGCTAACGTTCGCCAGTTCTTCACTCAACTCGGCAACCTCTTCGAGCACAATCGCAAAAAAGGCCACGGCAGCGTCTACCTCACACAGAAGCGTCTGATATTCGACTCGGCTTCGACACCAGCTACGCCCACAAAAGTCGCCGATGACCCATTATGGGACACACATCCTGAGAACCCCCTACCAGTCTTGATCCGCGCATCGAACAACGCGAGCGACAAGAAGGCTGGGACCGAGAGGCAGGATGTTGCAAAGATTGTCCTGAGCACTATCGTAGAGCCAGGTGACATTGACACCTTCTACATAAGATACGCAGAGGCATGCAAGGCGGGCATGTCTTCCTTGAAGAAGAGGGATAGGAAGAAGGGCAAGAAGGACAAGAAGAGGAAGAAGGTTGCTGTGTAGATGCATCAAGGCAGGGATAGAGAAAACAAGCTAAGGAGCCGTGTCTACATGACGGAAACGAGGATGAGGGGGCATGTTCGACGGCTCGGTACAGTGCACAGTGCCAAACATGCAGCCACCGATCAGCGGCAGAGCTTCAGAAGGCATGGGGAGGGGCATTCAGAGTGGTCACACGACCAGTCGACTGCTCAGAGGGACGACACAACCGCATGTTTCCTCGATGCAGTCATGGAGATGCATTTCGGTACAGCCATATACCCACAATGACACATTATCAAGACGCACAGCAAGCTTTGCATTCATCTATTCACTTACTTACTTCTTCTCTCGGTTCTTGAACAACCTCAGGTTCAAGGGTAACGGCTGTCCCATCCAGGTAGCCCTCTGCGTATGATCCCTCTCTTCTTCATCGGTATTTGGATGGATGAGCGCCGACAGTGGCCCTCTGTTGATGACCAACCACGGAATGAAGGCTCCAAATTGCTCCGGGGTGAAGAGGTTGACTTCGAACATACCAATGGGATGCGGACCAAGTGGTCGATCCCAGATTCTGTAAATGCGGAGTTCAGGAACTGATACCACGCGTTAGCTTTCCCTCTACGGGATTAGAAATGCTAAAGGGTGAAGTAACGTACATTCTCGCCGTATACGCTCCCAGAGCTCAGTCGCGAATTTCAGCTCTTCTGGCTCTGTCTGCAGGAAGTAGACGTGTATACTGACTCAAGGTCAGTGCTGCTTGCCTTCTTCAACCCGGCAGCTGTAGTCGACATACTCGAAACCACCCCGTGAGCCATTCGTGATGGGTGATGGGAAAGACGTGTATGCTTCGCTCCTCTTCTCTGCTGGTGGATTGACATAGGACTTGCCGTCTGCAGCTTTCTCACTGGCGGCTGTTAGTACTCGAGGTCTATTCGTACGTCCTTTGTCGGCAATCGTACTTAGGCAGGGGCTCGAGATTCTGGTAGCCTTCGAGAGGCGAGGGATACGTGTAGAGAGTTGGGTCTGCCATGTCTGTGAATTGAGTCACTTCACGGATGATGCTCAAGCAATTGGCTTGAGCCTCTATCAGATATTATGGTCGTTGAACACGGTACCATGGCGCAATTGCGACCCTGTTTGTCAGCGCGCATAATTCCGCGCATGAAGCAGTCATACACAGACCTCTACAACGAAGATTGATTTTGTCAGCTGCTGGGGTGAGTAAGCTCTTGACCAAGACAGACTCTATCACAGACAATTCTCTTCTGGGACCAACGAAGTATGCTCACCCTTATTACAGAACGATGTCGGAACACTGTCGGGTTATCTCTTATCAGAAACTCCAGTCGAACATGAGTCGCACCAGGATCGGCCAATGAGGGGCAGCGCCCCGCATGACTCCGACCACATTATAATTTCGAGGACAACAATGCGATTGACACACTAACACACTCCACATACCCAATTGCTGCCACCATGGCGGACGCTACCTATTACATTGACGAAGATGTCGGTCAAGACATCCCCGAGCAGACAGGTGACGAGAGGCTGCCCTACAAGACTCTTGGATATGCCATCTACCAGAAGGGCGAGGCCGCCAACTTCAAGACAAGAAAGAGCGTGACCGGCGAGCTGGCTGAGGGCGCTGACCCCTCGTCGCGCATGGAATGGAAGGATGCGGCGAAGTCGGCCCTGAAGAAGGCGGTCAACTACGCAAAGACACTAAAGAAGAAGGCCGAGAAGGAGGGTGAGCAGCTGGCACTGCGCGCGAAAGAGCAGGCAGCCCGCAACGAGGTGCTCGAGGGCGCCAAGAAGGTCGTCCTTGAGGAGGACAAGAGCCTGCCTGCGCCTATCAAGATCAAGCTCGACGACACAGACTCCAGCAAGATCACACTGGGCGACGGCAAGGACGTCAAGGGCACACGCGTCAGGGTGTTCGGTCGTGTGCACCGTGAGCGCAAGCAAAGCAAGGTTCTGTTCATCACATTAAGAGATGGATACGGTTACATGCAGGTCGTCCTCACCGGCAAGCTGGCCGAGACCTACGACGCCCTCACCTTGACCCGTGAGACCTCCATGGAGATCCTTGGTGAGCTGAGACAGGTTCCCGAGGGTGCGCACGCTCCCAACAACCGCGAGCTCCACGCCGACTTCTACAAGATCCCGTCGATCTGGAAGGCAGCTGGTGGTGACGACGCCATCACCAACCGCGTCTCGAAGGACACCGAGCACGCGACACTGCTCGACCTCCGCCACCTCACACTCCGTGGCGAGACAGCCTCCAAGGTCATGATTGTCCGTGACGCCGTCGAATACGCTTTCAACAAGGTCTACAAGGAGCTCCGTCTGCGCAAGGTCTCGCCCCCAGCGCTCGTACAAACCCAAGTCGAGGGTGGCTCGACGCTGTTCGAGTTCAACTACTACAATGAGAAGGCCTACCTGACACAGTCATCTCAACTCTACCTCGAGACCTGCCTTCCCTCCATGGGCGACGTCTACTGTATCGAGAAGTCCTTCCGCGCTGAAAAGTCCCTCACCCGCCGCCATCTCGCAGAGTACACCCATATCGAAGCCGAGCTCGACTACATCAACTTCGACGACCTGCTTACCCACCTGGAAGAGGTCATGTGCCGTGTCCTCGAAGTCACCATGTCCGACCCGGTCATCAAGCAGCACATCATGGACCTCAACCCGGAGTTCAAGATGCCTGAACGCCCGTTCATGCGCATGAAGTACCAGGACGCCATCGACTGGCTCGTCAAGCACGAGATCCCCAACGAGGACGGCGAGCCGCACAAGTTCGGTGACGATATCGCCGAGGCCGCTGAGCGCCGCATGACAGACATCATCAACCGTCCCATCTTCCTGACACATTTCCCTGCTCACATCAAGGCATTCTACATGCTGAAGGACAGCGAGGATCCGAGAGTAACAGAGTCTGTGGACTGCCTGATGCCCGGTGTCGGCGAGATCGTCGGAGGCAGTATGAGGATGGACGACAATGACGAGCTGATGGCTGCGTTCGCGAGAGAGGGAATTGATGCGTCGACGTACTACTGGTACACTGACCAGCGCAAGTAAGTTCCCATCGCCACTCACGACCACTCGTACTGCAGGGAATAGTTGACTAACATGGCTAACAGGTACGGATCCTCCCCCCACGGCGGCTACGGCCTGGGTCTCGAGCGCTTCCTGGCGTGGTTGTGCAAGCAGCACACCGTTCGGGATTGCTGCCTGTACCCACGCTACTTCGGGCGCTGCAAGCCTTGAGCTTCTGCCTTCTCTCACCCAAGTCCTTCCTAGCATCTTCTTCGGCCTGGGTAAAGTCTTGGTAGTGCTTCTCTGTTTGTGCAACAACAGTTCAAGCGCGACTCAAAAGCGGCCACAGACTTTGATCATGCACGGCGTCTTATGGCGTGCCGTCGCACCAGGTACAACAATCAATCAGTTACGTCCAACCAGAGTATGATGACCTGTGTGCTGTGTGTGGTGCCTTCGTCCGGTGACACAGTTTGCCTACCTACTTGAAGCCTGGTGCGATCGCCATTGGGCTGCGTCATGTGTCGACAGCGTGTCGAAGATAGCGTGCTGTGTGTCGTGTCTCGTCAGCCTCGTTGCGCAGAAAGGGCCTTGCTGATCCGCTTCACTCATGTGTATAAGTCGAGAATTGCATGTTCAAGCAGGCTTTTCAAGGTACTGAATGGATGTGAAGCTCAAATGATCGATTCTCCTTGTCAGGTCCAAGTGCTGTCCTAGCTAAATCTACAAGATATCATGCCATTCCTCCCAAGCCTCTGCATATATGCAAGCAGAAGATACACACGACAGGCGCCGACAGCGACCTGGCGTCAGACGGGAAGCTCTGCGCCGAGAGCTCAAAAGCAGCAAAAAAAAAACACAATGTGCCGGCCAGTGCCGGCCCAAACTCCTCGCTATGCAGATTGGTACAGCGGAGAGCTCCTGAGGAGCTGTGGTAGGTGATACAGTCATGTTGTGGGCGGTTTGCGTAATCTGCCCAGATGTTCCAGGGGACAGACCATGGTCTGGTGAGAGGTTTGGAGGGTTGAAGGTGGTAGGAAGGGTAGGCAGAGATCAAGACATGTGTCCTGGATGGTCGCGGAAGTTGATGGGAGCTGAGCCGCTCAGCCGAACAGGAAGTATGCACTCGGCGCGAGCGCCCCAAGCTGTCAATAATCGATATTCGATAGCCAGGAGTCGGCTCGAGTCGGCAGGTCGGGAACCGTTCGTGTTTAGATGCGAGGAAACGTGTTGGTGGTCGAGACCCAGTCTAGCTTACGACGCCACTACTAGGGTAAACCTTAGCTTTACAAACGGTTGAGTGACGTTCAGGAAGCGTTGAGGCGACGCTGAATGAGCTCTTGCAGCTTTAACAGCTGTGCGCGCTCATCAGCAGCAACGGGAGGAGGAGCAGAGTTGGTCATGGCTGTGATGACCTCCTGAGGAGCTTCGGCCTGTTTCACATGATTAGCGCCGATGATCGAGACAATGTAGGTGGGGCACAGAGAATACTCACAGTGAGGGTGAGGACAAGGCTATCGATGGTGCCTTCGCCCAAGCCGATGTCCTGCTCTTTCTTTGCGAGACGTGCCAGGTTAAGGGCTGCCTGCTGTTGTTGGAATGAATGAGTCACGAAGTTTTGCATCGATGCCTTGCGCTGGACAGCAAAGTGTGCGATGTTTTGCGCCTCGTGATCCCGCGTGATCCTGCGGCTGTCCATTTCGTTAACCGAATGTAGTTGTATAGGGGGTAATTGTACGTACCTCTTGATCTTGCTGAGGAAGTCAGTGATCAATCCTCTCTCAGGCACGCGGTAGACCTTCGAGTTGAGGTCCTTGACTTCGAAGCCAGTGTAGTTGCCTTCGCCATCAGTATCATCATCAGGATCATTGATGATGTCGATCAAGCCGTTGTTGCGCATGCCACGAGAGAAAGCCGGTTCAACGATCTCAGGGTTCTTGCGCCTTCGGATCTTACGTGGGACTCGGCTAAAGGTGGCATCACCCATCTCGACATCGTCATACGCCCCATTGAGATCATTTTGCAACAGCAACCCACTGCGAAGGTCGTGCTCAATGTGACGCGGGCACCTCCAAGCATCGCGTTGTGATGCTTCAAGGCTGATGTGTGGGGGGTTAGCGAGGGGTGGATCGACACAGTCCAGGTGCCAATACGCGTTACAAAAATCGCACTTCAGCATCTGGCGCTTGCTGCCACTCGACACACCGCACTGCACGCACAAGATGGGCTTGTCACCATCGAGTACTTTGGTGTAGTCAGGCCTCTGGTAGCCGTAGCCGCTGCTCTTTGCACTGCAACATGTTAGCACCAGGTCACGCGTCAGAACGCGTCGTACTTACAGTGGGAACTTCTTGATCTCCTCAAAGTATGATCCATCGCCCCGTGCAGACACGTCCTCGAAGTGATTTTGAATTTCCTGTGGCAAGGCAAATGCGCGCGGATTTGTCTTCTCAAGAACCTCGAACAGCGGCCCAAGACTTGGGTGAGACTCGGCAGCGGGCTCCCCAGGTTGGCTCAACCTGGCGGTGCACTCATAACAGTAAAATGACCCTTCTGGTACTTGCACGCGTGGTGGATCGCAGCAAAGAAGGTGGAAAACGCGTGGGCAGCCTTCGCAGCACACAAACTCGCCTGCACCTCTGCAGGCAGAGCAGAGGTCATCACTTTCTGACGCCGGCGAGTTCTGGCGTTCTGTTAGAGGTGAAGACAAAACCGAAAGTGGAGGAGAAAGAGGTAACGGAGGCTGCGCAATTTTTGTGTTGACCCCCATTTGAAGTTGAGAGATGAAAATGGGTCAAATGTTGTTGATGGTTGTGTTGGTGAAGGAGGAATGGTGTGGTTGGATGCTTCGGGAAAATGAGTGGCACTTACTGGATCGTTGTCATCAGGCCCCAGCTGTCTCGAACCGCCACCACCGTTAAATGCTACACCAGCAATAGGTCCACCATCCCGATTCTTAACGGGTCTGTGCGTGTTACATATTAGCTTCCTGATGATTTGATGATAGTTTTTCAAGGGTGCAAGGCAAACACGTGCAAACACGTAAAGTTTGCTCACTCGCCGAGATTCCTGTGCTGAAACGGACACTGGTAGTGCCCAGTCCTGCGCTCAAACACGGCAAGGACGATAAAGGAACACAAGAAGAAGAAAACCTACGATCGCTTTGTTCTGGCAGCCTGGCCGTTGTTGAGCTTGATCCTCTTGATTGCTGGCTGAACTGCAGGTGTTGTGGGTCGTGAAATAGCCGCTGACTCCAGCTGAGGTGAGGAAAACCGTGACATATCCTCGCGCAAACGCTTTGCACCGTGTGGCATCCGTCCAGCACGCCGCGGCTGATCAGAATCCACTGGTGGCCCAACCGCAATCATGGATTCGGTCAAAGACTCAGTCTCCAAGATCTCGTCATCGAAGCGGACATCAGACTGAGGGAACGGGAGGTCGAACTGGCGCAAGGGCTGAGCGTCTGCCATCTCTTTCCGCAGTTGATAGATTTTCTCGAGGTCTTCGAGCTGTTCGGTACTTGCTGGTTGATTCTTGTGTACATGCTTGCCAAACAACTTGCCCTTGTTTGCGTGCTTCTTCCCAGCGCGAGCAACAGCAGTGTTTTTGCCCTTCTTCACAGCCGCTGCAGACAATGGAGTCGATGACTTCTCTTTCGGCTGTGCAGGTGTGGGCGGACCCTTCTGCACAATCTCTTCGTTAACTTCTGATAGCTCAGAATCGCTTCCATCACCTGCATCAGGCGTGTTCCCTGCCGGAGTTTGGGCCACCGAGGATGCCCCGCCATCAACATCCATCTCACTCCCAGGTGCCAGATAGCTGTTCGAGACGTGCTTCTTGCGAGGTGATTTTGAAGGCATTCGTGGTGCAGTTTCGATCGAAGGCTCGATCGCTGGGAGAGTGGGGGCTGTGCTAAGCGGATGAGGTGAAGGCAGCGCCCCAGCTGTCGCATCCGCGGCTGGGTATGCGTTTTCCATCGCAGCTTCGTTATCGTGAACAAAGGAGACCGAGTCGTCAGGGGCCACCTCGCTACTAGGTCTAGGAGAAGGCTGCTGGCTGATCTTTGGAGTTTCGGATTTCGCGGCGGCAAAATCACCGTTGCGCTGCTGCTTCCGTTTCTTCTTAGCCTCGTATTTCACTGATTTCTTCAGTGCCTTGATATTCTCTCGGAAAGTGCTCCACTGCTCTGGGGTCTGGTTTTGTTTGCAGATTGCGTTGATCACGTATGCGAGGCCAGGGTCGCTCTTGCTCAATGCCTTCAGTTGCTTAAACGCTTCACCGAGCCGGGGCTTGTGGTTGGCTTGAGCTGACTCTGCCGCCGCCAGCAAAGCAATCTGTGCGCGCTGTGTGATTTCACTGTCTCGCGGTTGTTCTACAGCTTGCACTGCTGGGCTTGTAGGGGCTGATGTGACTCTAGGCGTACCAGCCTTGACCGGTGTTTTCGCCTCACCAGGTGTCTGCCCTTGCGCAGATTGTTTGCCCCTGACAGGTGTTTTCGACGCCGGCGCCTTCTTCTTTGTCTTGTTGGGTACATAGTCGTCATCTTCGTCCTCCTCTTGTGGCGGAAGCTCCAGTGGCAGCTCATCCTCCTCTTGCCTCTCTGAGTCGTCCGGCTCGAGTTCAGGAGCTGGAGTGACCTCAGGCGTTGACCCAACCTCTTCCCCTAGGAAATTGCCCTTGCCCGCCAGAGACTTTCGCGCAGCTGCGTCACCGCCCATCGCGCGCGTGCGCTGCTTTACTCTCGCTGAAGGAGGCTGTCCCAGGGGAGCCATTTGCTCCAGGACGCCATGACGAGCAAAGCCGTGCTCTTCGAACGACGGCGTTGGATTTTGGACCGAAGGTTCTGTCCACTCCATGATTGATCGTTGGTTCTTCTCTTTTGCTGAATCGCTGGGCGTGCCGGTGGGTGAGGTGTACGGGGTGGTGCTGGACCTGGGACCACGGTCGCTTTTGCGCAGGGCCGGCATGGCGAGACTCAGAGAACTGTTGAAGCGTGAGCGCGCAATTCGCGGATATGGGTACGATCCTTACTGTCCACGCGTACTATTCGGATATTTTACGCGCAGATAGCGCCCCGGAGCCCGTGCCCGGCGTGTTGTGGGTGGGTGGTTGGGGTTGCAGGTGAGTGAGTTCTGTCGAAGGTTCACAAATTCGAGGGAGAACTTAGGTCAGCGATCTTGGAGGACGTGCCCCTTCAGATGTCAACCCTGGCAACCACGATGACCGTCGATCGATAATAAAGAAACCAGTGAAAGTGTGAGAGGAAAAGAATTTGTTGGACTGAAAATACCAGAAATTGGGGGAAGTCGGTTTTGTGAGGCCAGGGAGGTCGTTATCATGGGAGAGGGGAGCTTGCTTGCTATATGTACTCCGCCCGTTCCGTAGCCCTGACATTCACTTTCACCGGTCGGAGTTTCCAGCCTACTCTGATACTCTGTGTTGTTCTGTTTGAACTTGAAGAATAATCCGGAAATTTCGGATACGGCTGCAAGTTTCTGGTAAAGCTTGACGGTTCACCGCGGACCAGGAGCTTAACATCATCCATTCGCATCTAGGTTACGTAGGCATCACCATCGTGCAAGCGCGCTCCTCCAGGCGGGTTCCAATTCCCACTTATCTACGGCTTTGGGTTTGCGGGTTCCGGCGATGAACCCTTTTGCGGTTTCGGTTCTCAAGGTCCAAGCTGCGCAGTGAACAGCGGATCACGCCCCTCCTAAGTGACTGAACGATTTTGTGACAGCCATACCATGATACCTGATCTTCAGGGGCTCAGGAGTAAAAGAGAAGTTTTGCGTCTCCTTGTCGTCCTCTATAGATTTGTACGAAGGGAGTACACGCGCACTGCTGGAAAGGAGGGCAGCAAGGTAAGTGCGCTAATAGAAGGCACCAACACGAGGACATACTCTCCAAGACATTGAAGAAAACCAGAAGAATATTAGTTAGTAGATGAGTTAGATGGCAGCTCTCCGCTATTAGCGAATTGCTAAGCTTCGGTTCAACCTCCGAGTAGTGCGCACGCAGTGCGTAGAGAGCAAAGGTAGACTGACTGAGGAGGTAAAGGGCTGAATGCCAGGTATAGTTATTATGGCAGCTGTAGCGCAAATTCAGGGACATCGAACGGAGTGTCTTTCCACGGCTTGACTGATTGAGAGGTCAATTGTTTGCTTTGATGGCTGCGCAATGGGCTGGTCATAGAAAGAAACCGAACAAAGACTGACGACGAAAAAACGAAATATGGCAGGGAATTTTTTGGTTGACTTTTCATTCTTTTGCAGGCTGTTGTAGCCAATGCCTATTCGTGATTCAGGCCCTTTCTCAACAGAGCCTGGGCAGGCCAAATCGACCAAAAACTACCCCTGTCATATCTTCGTGCAACCGAAGATCTAGGGACTGCGATCGATGCTACGTGAAACGTTTGCAATCGTTTGTAGATGCTAAGCTTACTCGTCATCGCTCTCCTCCTCCTCAGCAGCGGCCTCGCCGGCAGCAGCCTTCTTGGCGGGCTTCTTCTTCTTCTTCTTGTTCTTCTTGGTAGAGGCCTTGCCAATGGGCTGCTCAAGGATCTTGAGGATCTCCTCATCCTCGATCTTCTTGTCAGACTTGACCTTCTCAAGGTCAAGAGCAGGGGGCTGAGCCAGACGCTGGATACCGTTCTTGGTGACAGCGATGGTGGAGAACAGCCTAGCAACGGGCTTGCTGTCCTTGTCGACAACAACCTCGTACTGGCGGAGGACGCCTCCACGCACGCACTCTACAACACCGACCTTGGCGACCTTCTCGTCCTCGATCTGGCGCAGAGAGAAGGGGAAAGTGCCGAACCTCTTAACGACCTCAGACAGAAGCTGTCTTGAGGTAGGGCGCTTGAGACCGAAAGTATTGGCTGTGCGGCGGTGAAGAGTGGTTCTCTGGCCGTTGTTCTTGACCTTTCCGCTTCCGAGCGAAAGACCAACCTCAACACCCCAGACCTCGCCAACCTCAGGAAGACCTTCACCACGGACACCCTCGCCGGGGGAGAGGATGATCTTCTTCTTGGACTCGATCTCGTTGTGCTCGAATTGCCAGATGGTGGTGCTCTCGACAACGTTGAGGCCGTAGGCCTTGGCGACCTTCTCGAGCATCTGGGTCATCTGGCTCTGTGTGTATGGCTTGCGGGCAGCGTTCTTCTTCTGCTCCTCCTCATCGCCATGCGCGACAAGACCGGGAGGAACCATCAACCTCAGGAGAAGCTCGTTTGCGTAGTATGTACCCAACAAAAGGTCCGCCGCCTCGCCAGTGATTTCGCCGGATGCGCCAACGACGACGTTGTCGCAAACAATGGCAGCGAAGCCATCGATCTGAGCACCGAGCTGGATCTTGACGATCTCGCCGGCCTTCAGTGTGGCGCCAGACTCCTCAGCATCGGACTTGAGGGGAGTGTAGGGTGTGACGTAGGAGCTGGGAGAGATGGTGGTGCAGTGGCCAATGCCCTTGGCAATCTTCTTTCCCCTGTAGACCTTGCCGATCTCCTCATCGAGGAGCTTGTCGCCGCGCTCGCAGAGCTCGACGATGCTGGCGCCCTCAGAGATCCATCCTGCAAAAGTCAATATTCGAGTCTTCGAGTCACACGATCGTCGCGGAGGTCGGCGCGTGGGCTTGAGGCATCGTTACGCACCGGAGACTTCCTTGAGGACCTTCTGGGAGATGTCGGCGGCGACCTTGTACTTGGTTAAGGTATCCGGGTTCGCGAGCGTGTAGTCTAAGGTTGTCGATTAGCGTTGTACTTCTTCAGCAGAGCTAGACAGCAAGCTGTATGTGTGCCAATGCGCCTATTGAAATGCTTGCGCCAGTTCTGATTAAGGGTCTAGAGCATACCGACTACCTGTGCCTCAGCCATGATGAATGATTGCCGAGTAAACTGGGGATCGAGGTGAATGCCAGAAAGAGGTGTGGTGAGCGGTAGCTGTTGTTTTGAGTGCCCCACTGAGGGGTCTTCCCTCGCTTAAACACCAATGACGATGGTGCCTGACACTGCATTTCGAGCATAAAGATGGAGAAGCAGCACCGAATCCGGCATTGGAGCGTGTGACGTCGACATGGTGAGATCATTGTGGGCTCTGTCTCTTGTTGCATCCAGGAAGCTGTCACAACATCCCTTACAGCTTGTATACGTTTTCAGGACCTCCAACTGTCTACCACAAACAAACAGACCCTTTCCTCCTACTACCAAATACCATCTAAGGATCTGAGCTACCTGTAAGTCATCTTTTGATGTACGCTGAACAGATCATGCCACGATTTCGGTCCAATAGTGACATATGGGAGTCTAGAATGTTCGTACGTTGTACTTAACCAGGAGGCTCTCAAAAGATAGAGGCAAGTGTAAATGATCGGTTGGACGATATATCCAGTATCGTGAAAGCAACACGAATCAGATTCGAGTGTACAACCAGAACAACAGCAAAGACTCCGTGCCTAAAAGTAGAAATCTACTGCTAATCAAACCTAAACATCTCGACAGCTCATAAACCCTGCAATAAGCCGCCTCTCCCCAAACCTCAAACATCCACAACAACATCCACAACCACCGCCCTGTGATCACTACTATACACCCCATCATCAAACCGATTACTCAAAACACCAAAACCCCTAACGCCCCACCCCTTCTTCCCAACGAACACATAATCAATAACACTCAGCTCATCCTCCTGAAACCCTGTACAAGTCCGCTCATTCCCATATCTCCATTGCGCCAGCGCCCTCGAATCCTGCAACAGCGAACCCTTCCCATTGAGAATCTGATACGCCTCGCCATCAGGTTCGCTGTTCAGATCGCCAGCCAACCACACCGGTACTCTCTCTTGTCCGTTTGAGATTGATGGGGATATAGCGTTGTCCACAATACCCTCAATCATCTTCGCACTCTCGCGTCTCGACACCTCACCGGCGTTGTCGAAATGCGTACACAGCCCCACAACCCTCTTCTTACTGCTCTCGTGCACGAATGTGCCGACGGTGACGATCCGCACGCTTCCAGCATCCCATCCTTTCCCGGGTCTCTCGGGCGCGGGGGAGAGCCAGACGGTCTTCCACTTCTCGACGCTCCAGATCGAGGGACGGTAGAGGATGGGACTGTATTCGCCTTTCTGTTTGCCGTCGTCGCGGCCGACGCCCATGTATGCCCATTCGTCTTGTCCTGATGATGACGCTGCCGTGGACTTGGTGTTGTTGAGGCCGGAGAGGATGTCGAGTAATTGCTCGTGCAGCACTTCTTGCAAGCAGATGAATGCTTCTGGGTTGTAGAGAGTGTTGTATTTGAGCTCGTTGATGACGAGGTCTTTCCTGTCTGCCCAGGGCTTCTCGCCTTTGAATGGTGAGTCGGTCGCATAGCGGATGTTGTGGGTTAGGATGCGGATTGGGAGGGAGGCGTGTGCTTTCATGGTCAACGTGAGTAGTGTTGTGAGGAGAAGCAGTGTTCTGTGTATTGGTGTTGGAAGGAACATGGCGATGAGCGCAGGTGACGCTGATACCCCGCACGTCAATGTAGGACCGAGGTGATACTTTAATGAGGGTGGTTAGAGGTAGTCGCGATGCGGTTGATGAAGGAAGAGCCTCAAGTCTTTCGTTAGGGTATGATAGTATGGTTCAGGGTTCCGTGATGAGTTCAGGAAAGGTCACCTGAGGATTGAGGGAACGCGCCTAAGAATATAAACAAGTACAATTCGTGTCTACCCACTTGTTGCGCAGTGACAGCTCTACTTGTATCTGGACAAAGAACGCCCCTTTGTGCGTTCTGTGGACCAAGTGGCTTGCGCAAGACAAGAAAATGCTCTTCCCAGACAAAGACGCCAATGTCTCCTGTGCACCTCCACATGCTCTCAATGATTCGCTGTTTATACAAAAGATCTTGGCCTATCGTTGCCAGTTCCGAAGAGATCAATCCATGTCACCGCTGTAGAAAGCAAGTACCTAGCTGGGAAGGTCCTGGGCGCCATGGTTCTACGAGACAGGTCGCCCGATTCTGTTTGACACATTGCTCATGTGCTGCCTGTTCTTAAGATGCAACTCGAAGTTCGTTACCGTCTGCCCCGGGCCTGCATTGTAAAGCTTTCCTGGGCAGTCCTGGCAGCGTATCCTTGGAAGGTAATAGGCCTTGTGGTTCGGCGGTAGAGGGTCGCTGAGGGAGAGGCCGTCAAGCTTGACAGCTTTGGGCTCGATCTTGCCGGTTTCGCGGTTCTCGTGGGCTTCGTTCATGACAACGTAGCGCATGATGGATTCGAATTTGTGATCGGGGTTGCGGTCGCGGAGGTCTTGAAGGGCTTGTTGCACCCATGTTGGAGGGGGAGGCTTAAAAATGTCAGTCCACATACACGTCTAGTATGTATGGTCAACTCACTGTTTGTGATTGAGCTGGCGCCGGCCATGGCGCGTCTAATGACCCGTCAGGCTTGTACTGCCACTGCTTCGGCTGAGGCTTGGGTGTAGGCGTAGAAGGCGGTCGCGGCGAAGCTTCAGCAGGTTTTGAGCTTGGTACCATAGCTGGCGAAGGAGGTGGGGGCATGGAGTTGGCGCTAGGTGTACCCCGTGCTGGTAGAGATGTGGGTGCCATCATGGGCGTAGATGCAGGCTTTGCGAATGCCCTTGGGTTCCTCTGCCACTCTCTGAGCTTCGCGGGCGATATGCGAAGCTTGACAATAAGCGTAGTAGGCTCTGATACGCTCTCTTCCCGTGCTTCATATCTCTGCGTCCTCGTTGAGCGGTGCTCTCGAGTCTCTTGTTGAAGTTGAGCGATCTCTGGAGTTGCTGACCGCCCTATAGCCGACCTCATCGCTGCTTGCGCTGACACTGCTGCTCCACGCATACCTCTTGTTCGTGCAGTTCCGCCAGTAATCTGCGCCGGCGCTGGTGACTCCATAACCGAATCGTCACTATCGGAGTCGTCTGAATCGTCATCAGCTCCACGTCTGCGGCCTTCCCTCGCTTTCCTTGTCGCCTTGAATAGGTGGCTCTCCTCCAGTGTTTCGGCCGCCCCAGGAAGAACGGAAGAAACAACCAGAGTCCGAACCGTTCGTTGGCGATCCTTGAGATCCGGTAATGCAGGCCCCCCGCGTCGGTTGACTGATCGTTTCTGTCGCCGCTGTTCACGCATGATGGACAGCTCTGCTCGCTCCAACTCTGTGTGACTCAATTCGTACAGGTAGGGCTGGAAGTCCTTCGTCGATTGCATGGGTCGGAACACCGAAGGTAACGGAGACGCAAGGAAGTTGTCGTGGATGTCTGCATCTTCCACTGGTCGTCCGTCGAATGGATGACCAGTAATATACAGACTCTTTGTGAACATCTGGCATTGCTCTCGTATTGAGTGCGCAATTGCTGTCACAAACTCTCCGCTAAGGGAAAGATCAGCAGCCATCTGTCTTGCAAACTGCTCCGGAGAGTTCAGAGCGTTGTTGATCTCCCACTCAAACTGATCCACCAGCGTATGCTGTCCGATCGTGATGTTCAGCTTGATCAATATCCTCATCTCGTCATTCTTGTATGCCGAGTACGGTTGTTGCGAATCGAGCGGTTCATCGTCGAAGAAGGCGTGGGGGTAGTAATCCTGGATTTGCTCACGGATTTCGCGATCGACCTGGTGTATTACATTCTGATGCAGTTCTGGTGGGATTTGGAAGTCTTCGACAAGTGTCCGTGCGACAAGCAAAGGGTCCGTAACGCGGTCGTGGAGGTTCCATGTGAATGTGTCTCGCAGTTTCAGTCTGTCCAATTCAATCTCCAAGCGCACTGGGACCAATTCTTCAACCTGTTCAGCTTGTTGCGCGCCCTTCTCCTTCTCCACTTTCAATTGCGGCGCCGCACGTCGTCCGGCGCGTTTCGCCTGGCTGGGATACAGCAGGTGCGGTAGCTGTGATCGCGGATCTCGAGGGTTTGTCTGCAGGTCGGTAATGCCATTGCCATAGCCGCCGTAGCCGTATCCAAAGATGGCACCAGGGTTTTGCCGGCGCACAGGGAAGACTTCTTCACGGTAGAAGTCGCGAAGATCGTTCAATTCGCCGTAAACCTTCTCTGAGTATTTGCTGCGCTCGTACTTGTTGACGCTGTCCAACAGGTCGCGGGCAATATAGCGATTGAGAAGCGCGGTCTGCTGCGTCTTCTGGTCCTCGGTGAGCTCCTGGGTCGGGGCGGTCGAAGGCTTGCGCGAGCCTGAATGTGAGCGCTTGCGGGACGCGCCATTGACGCCGTCTACTGTGGGAGAGTCCATGTTCATGCCCGAGGCAGCGAGAACTGCCTTGGCCTTTTGCTTGCCGTCGCGGATCGCGTTGTTGTCGCCCGCCGCATCGAAGCTCGAGGCGGCAGAGGAAGCATGGGTGGGCTGCTGGACCGCGCCGTTCTGGTATGACGCGCTGTTTTGCGATTGAGACGAGTCTTGTGATGTGGGGGCGTCAGCGCCAGAGGGAGAGGGCATGGCGTGGATGGAAAGTCGAGGTCAGAGGGTCGTTGCGCGCATGGAGCTGCGAGAGGTTAGTGGGCGTCGAAAGCGGTCGCGACGCAGCAACAGGGGGCGCCGACGGGAAAGCCAACGCGCAGTGGCATCGCGACAGCAACACCAGAGAATAGCGACTATGGGAGAGGAAAGAAAAACATACCTAGGGACCATGCACTCTGCGCGTCGTCGCTCGGCTGGGCCTCTGTATGGCTGAGAGCAGGTGCCGATCGGCTTCGGTCACGAGTTGAATCCACCAGCAAAGCGCAGCCGGCAGGGCTCTCGAGGCGCAGGTATTGGCACGCCCGAATCGGCGAAAACGCTCCTCGGTAGCTGTTACCTAGGATCTAGAAATAATTGGGCGCAGGAGGATAAGCATCGGAATGATGCCGTCACCGTGTGTTGTGTCAGACAGCCTGGAGGTCCTCAAGGGATCGCGCGCTTGTGCTGGACCGCTTAGACTGGGTCACAAGCCGAAACTGCTGCACCTTGTCCTTGAGGCGGCTGCCAACAGCTCTCTATGCAGCTAGTAGGCTGAGGTTGGTGTATCCAGTTGAAAGCCCACCTGAATCGTACTAATTGCTGTCCCCACTGTTCTGCTGTGCCTTGGGTTTACACATCGACAACGGCTCACGTGATGACGCCAAGACCCGTGAATGAGCAGAGTGAATGCCCAACGGTAAGTGACTAGTGAAGCTTAAGTAAGGAAAATTTGCTTCTAGATACGAGATCTTCAGCTGTTCACCCTGCTCGTAAACAGCATCGCACTGGGTGTTTCAATCTGTGCATTAAACGCTTTCAATAAGAAGAAGGCTGCTACCATACAGCCCAACGCCTGTGGCCCCCCAGACCGTTTTGCTGCGGACAGAACGCTATGAACGAAGAGACCGCTTCCATCTAGAATTATCATCATCATCGGGTCCAAACTCGGGACCCTTGGTCTCTACTATGTATCTGACGCTCGCGTTCCCGGCCGAAGCTGTGAGAGCTTGGGGGCGGAAGAACGAGAACAACCTTGCTGGAGTTAATATGTGCGACAACTGACGTAGATCAGAGGAGAGAGTCAAGCCTTGTGAAGACACTCAGACACGCGGCAACAACCTAACAATCGGTTAGCATCATCATAACAAGGAATGAGCATGGCGAAGACTCACCTCCATCTGCAGCTCTTTGTCCTTGCCAGCGTTGATCTCGTCGTTGATCAGCTGGCCTAAATTCGCACCGACCCCCTGACCACCGCCTGCTCTCCTTGCAAACGGCCATTGCGAGTACTCTGCCAGTAGTTCGTCAACCTGAGCGAATGCGCGCTCCCTCGCCTCGTGCCCAAGTGTAGTGAGTGCATTCTCGAGCACGTTTGCAGCGTAAGCAGCGCAGACCATAGTAACGGTTCGAAGGGTCCTGAACTCCAACTCCTCAGGGAGGAATTGGCTGCCGGGGAGGACGACGGTGCGGTTGGTGAGAAGGTTGCGTACTCGGCGCCTGATCTCGTCCTTTGCTGCGCCCTCTGCGACAGGATGTGTAGCCATGTCGAACAGAAGGAAGTTCTTCTTCTCGGTGCGCAGGATGCCCTTGTCGACAAGGCCCTTGCAGAGACGTTCGCGGACTTGCTTGAGCTGGTAGCCGATCTTCATGAGGTTCCATGTCTCGCCTGTTCCTGTCAGTAATAGCATTTGCATATACATATACTGGTGCCTTACCGCTCATAAGGTCGATCCAGGAGTTGACGCTCATCTTCTCGCTCGACTTCATCATCTTTAGGGCCTCATCCAGCAGCACTTCCCCTGTCAGCGTATCGTCGATAACCTCAATAACCCGGTCTGCGAGAGGGAAGCGCCGCCGCGACGAGTCTTTCTGCATGCTTATGCGGCCCCTGAAAGCCAATTCTATGACGATGCATCCTCGCAGTGCATATGAGATGTTGTCGTTCCAGAAGGAAAGGTAGCCCTAGCCTCAAGTATCAGCCTACGCCCTCAGTCAGGGAGCCTGCCTGCGGCCACGCACCTGCTTGTCCTTCAGGCCCATGAGGATAATCTCCTCCATGAGCGTCAGCTTGGGCTGTTTGCTGCGCTCGGCATTCTCGCTGATGTCACGCGGATCGAACGCAATCTTGTGGCCATTCTCCGAGTTCTCGTAGGATGTTTCTGGAGCGCGGTCGCGATCGTTCCGGGGCGCAGGTGAAGCCACGCGGCTACCTTCGTCCTCGGTGTTGCCCGTTGCCGCACCAGCTCCTCTTCGGCGTACCACGCCAGACGTCGAAGCCATCAGGTGTGGTTGTGGAGCGGAGTGGGGGTTGTCCTGGAGATTATGGGCGATGCTCCTAGATGGGCTCAGAGTTGGCGGCGCTCGGGCGCACGCGCGTCACTTTCAAGATGGGGGACCTGCGATTTTTGCGAGGCAGCGGGTGGTGTAAGAGAGCGTAGCAGGGCCGGGATGTAAAGATAGGGGGTGTCTGGAGTGTTCGTGTGAGACTGTGTGGAGAACAATGTTCCTCGTTCGTGTTACGGCGTCTACAGCCAGCTCAAGGGCACTCGCGACATGTCGGGGCCAAGCGGGCTCCGCTCAGGGAATGAATACATTCAACACCACCGATCTTCACATGAAACAGGTGCACGTGTGTTGGAAAGTGGATAGCCTCGTTTCTATCAAAAGTACTTGTTGCCATCCCAGAGCTGTTTTACACGCAGGGAAATATATAACAATGCCGGCAGAACCGACGAACCAATTCCACTCCATTCATCTTCGAACATCTTCAGGCACCCAGCACTCCATTATCATTTAGTGAGCTGTTGTAGTATTAGCAACCGTATGCAAGCTTTGACTGCAATGCTGCTTACCATCGGGCTGGCGGAGGATGTACTCTACTGCTTGCTTGACTGTGATATCATCAGTATGTATACCAGACAAAGTTGTAGAAGAACACATACCGCTGTGGATAGCGTCAGCCTCCTTGTCTGGGATCTCAATGCTGAACTCCTGTGCTACCGTCAGAGCTGTCTTGCGCTTATACTATCCAATGCGACTAACCTCCTCAATCGCCATAACGACCTCTACGGTATCAAGGCTGTCAAGACCGAGGTCGTTGTGGAAGTGCGACTCGCCGTTGAGCTATGACACGTAAGTCTGCGTCCTGCTGTGTTGTGCATGTCAATTGGTAGCTACCTTCGAGGCGTCCTGGACCTGCATGTTCGTTAGCTATGCTGCCCTGCAATCCCATCGCATCTCCGCATCGTCATACCTTGTCGAAGTTCTTCAGGAGGTCCATTATCCTGCCCTGGACCTCGTCTTGCGACAGACCGGCGCTGGAGGCGTAGCTTCGTACGGCCTGGACGTATGCGGCGGGAATGATCTGCTTGGGCTGGGCGAAGGCGCGCGCCGGGCGGGCAATTGAGGCCTGGCATCGGGGAGCAGCGCGGACGGCGGACCTTGCGGACCTGAGGAGAGCTGTGCGGAACATGTTGGGTGGGTGAGAGCGTGTCGAAGGGCGATGGGTCGGGGTGGGAGGTTGAAGTTGATGATGCTAGACGACTGCAAAGAAAGCTGCCGAAATGCGTGCACGTGACTTATGATGCACACCCAACAACACACGGCAATAACAGAACGAACACGGAAGGAAGTGCCTGTCGAAGCTTCGAATAGACTAAGCAAGTGCATCAAATCCTTCTACACCACGCTGCAACCCCAGGCTTGCCTCTCGCCGCATCGTCGACGCCCCCGCATCCGACCAATCACAGCGATTCCGTTACATTCGGCATCTCGACGTTCAAGCTTGCGACCTCACAATTGTCTGCCAGTTCGACATCTCCCACCGCCGCCCACACAACTCGCACACGCCCACGATGGCCAGCACCAAGCCATTGACGATGCTGGCACGTGGCTCATCGGCCACAACACTGCTCAGGCAGTCACAGTTCGCTCCACGCTTCGCCTCGCCCGCCACCGTCGCCTTCTTCAGCACAACCTTCCCTCGCGCCGCCACGCCTGCCGGACCTCCTCCTCCCGGTTTCCGGTTACCGCGTCAGAAGAAGTGGGATGAGGGCGAGTCGGCATTAGACAAGGCAGGCAAGTACTTCTTGCTCGTGGAGATGTTCCGCGGCATGTACGTGTCGCTGGAGCAGTTTTTCAGGCCACCGTAAGTGCTCAATCGGCGTCCTCGTCTTTCACAGAGGCATTGGAATGCTGGTTCTGACGGTTGGTTAGATACACCATATTCTACCCTTTCGAGAAGGGCCCGATTTCCCCCCGCTTCCGCGGCGAGCACGCCCTGAGACGGTACCCAACTGGCGAGGAGCGTTGCATTGCCTGCAAGCTCTGCGAAGCTATCTGCCCGGCGCAGGCTATCACAATTGAGGCCGAGGAGCGCATGGACGGTAGCAGGCGGACTACACGCTACGATATCGACATGACAAAGTGCATCTACTGCGGTCTCTGCCAGGAATCCTGCCCCGTCGATGCCATTGTTGAGGGTACGTTATAGTATCCTGCTCGATGCTCTGGCTGGGCAATTTACTAACGATGGTGCAGGCCCCAACGCTGAGTACGCCACCGAGTCGCGAGAGGAGCTCCTGTACAACAAGGAGAAGCTGCTGGCCAACGGAGACAAGTGGGAGCCTGAGATTGCAGCCGCTGCCCGTGCGGACGCGCCTTACAGATAACGAAAGAGCAGACAGCGAGAGAAAAAGAACGGTACTCAGGGTCTGTATATAGTAGGGGAGCGGTATGTCTAGCTCAGCAATTGGTTTCCTTTGTGATTGTACTGTGATTGTACAAGGGTAAAACTCAAATTTCAATTTCAACAAGTACGCAACATGCACTTCCTACTACTTGGTGATGTGAAAGTCCAACGGTTGCGTTAAAGTACAAGGTATAACAGACGTGACGTTTTGTGTGTCCTCGAAAGACGTCATAGTATTCAATCGCTGTACATACTCCCTGACGCCCAGACAATGCCAGCCACTGTATGGGATATCAAACGCCAAAATGCCCCCCAAATTTTGTGCACATCAAATACGATGCTTCCCAGATGATCCTTTTCCTTTCCGATTCCTTCCTATCATCCGACATCCTTCACTATCGTACCGTTGTATTTACTTCCCCTTGAAAGTGCCCTCGAAACCCGGTCTCTTAGCCGGCTTCTTTCCACCCTTTTTCGGCGCACCCTTCTTCTTGCCCTTAACACCCTTGCTCTCTCTCCTCGCCTTGAGGTTCTCCTCACGCTTCTTCTGTCTCTTCTCCTTGCCCTCGGTGACATTTGTGAGTCGCTCCTTCCACTCCTGTTTGCTCTTGTCCTTCTGTTTTTGCTGGCGCTTCAAGCTCTTCTTCAGCAGGTTGACGTCGTCAAAGACCTTCTCGCCCTGCGCACGCTTCTTAGCGTTCAGCCAGAGATCCTTCTCTTGGATGTCTTTGCGCTTCGCTTCGTCGTAGCCGTTGATGCGGGCTTGCTTTTTCTGCGCGGCTTCAAGGGCGGTCTTGGTGTCGGATTTGCCCTTCTTCTTGCGCGATTCGAGGAATTTAGAGAGGCCACCTTCGAGCTCTTGGCCGTCTTCCCAGGCGACTCGGCCGAAGTTGAAGTTGCGCTCATGTTCTGGTGATCGTGCTGGGAAGATGGAGGGTGATCCTGATCCGCCTCTTATCCGTGCAAGCTGCTCCTCTGCTTTCTGACGTGCCTCATCCTCCTTAGCTTCCTGACGACCGGCCTTCTTCGTGGCCTGGCGCGCTGCTTCCTTCTTCCGTCGGGCTTCGATAAGCTCGGCTCGGTTCTTTGCAGGTCGTCCATCAGGTCCGTCAGCCTTGCGCGCTGCGCGCATTGCCTCGAGCTTGGCGTTCAATCGTGCGCGAAACTCCTCCTGGCTCTTCTCGTCGATCTGTAACGGCTTCTTTTCTTTCTTTGTGTCCTTCGTTGTAGGTGCTGCTTCGGGAACGGAGGTTGAAGATGAGGCATCGGACGCTGCTGTAGAGATATTGGAATTTGCAGTAGTGGTGGGAGCGGTGGACTGACCCTCTTCAACATCGACGAGGCCGCTGACGTCTAGGGCCTCGATGCGATCCTCGGGGTCCTCAAGGCCATCATCCACCTCGTCGTCCTCATCTTCGTCAACCTCAACCTGCTTAGGCTTCTTCGTCTCTTTGGGTGCCGTAAGACCCTCCTTGAACTCAGCCTGCGACGCCTTCCGTGCTTCCTCCTTGTTTTTCTTCTGTGCTTGCTTCTCCTTCTTCTTTTCCTTCTTCTTCTCGGCCTTGATCTCGGCTTTTGTTAATACCCGGCCTTCTTTGACAACCTCTTCCGGTTCAGCGTCGGCGTCCTTCTTTGTTTTCTGCTTCTTGGCTTTCTTTATCCCCTCGAGCGGCGTCTCCTTTACAATGTCCATATCAAGGTCTGAAGAGGGTGCCTCTGAGACCGCGTCGTCCTCGGCTTCACCCTCGAATTCGCGCTTGCGCTTGCGTGCATTCTCGTCCAGTACATCCTGGGCAGACTTGTGTGACGCGGGATCTAGCTTCGCTCGCTTTGCAGCCTGGCGCTCTTCGGTGGTCTGCTTCTTCTTTTGCCATTGCGTCTGTGGAGAATGTCAGAGAAAGGCTGGTGCCACTAGCGCGGTGGTGCATACACTTGTGATACTCTCGTCTTTCCCGTAGTATTCTTTGGCTGGGATCAGCGACATCAACCCTTCGAAGGCCCGGGCATGGCTCTTCAATCGCGACTGGAGCTCTCAGTTAGCGGCAAGAATGGTGCGGGGGCGCTTTCTTGCAGCGTACCTCAAGATCGTCAGGCATATTGACACAAAAAGTAAGCTGCACGTGGCCGTGTGTCTCAGTGAGCGTGGGTTTATCCTGCAAGCCGTAACGTCAGCGTGTGAGGTTGCAGCGGCGAGGTCGTGTGCAGTTCAAAATGAGAAATCTTGGCGCAGAGACCTCTTTTTTCTGATCGGGAGGGTCCTACCAAAGTTAGTTCCTCCACCGCCTTCGCACGGACCAATGACTCGCCTGCAGTCGCAAACCCTCCAGCCTTCCTGCCAGTCCAAGTTGGGCGTGACTCGCGTGCAAACTGGCATTGGGCTCGCTCACCAGCATCAGCCTCGTTTACACCGTGACAGTATTCTTGGCTGACTGACTCAGATTCGCTCGTACCTTGCTCCATGCGTTGCAAGCACATTTGCTGGACACGATAAACCTGGAGGCGCATGCACAGCCACCCAAAGCAAACGCAAGCACAACCTCAGCTGCTTTGCCTCACATATGATCTGCAAGCTAACATTGCCTGCCTTCCGTAGCGCCTGTCATTCCAAGCAAGCATCAAATCCCTATCGTTCCGCCTGCTCCGCTGCTCTAGTCTTTCGCTCAGATGTCGTCGATGGCTGTTGAAGCAAAATCTCTCTCCTCGCTCACAGCACTTGCATCCAATCCACCAGCATATCCTAGAAATCCAACACATGTGAAGCACGAGCCGTTGGTGCTCTACATTGCTCGTGTACCAGGCAGCAAAGGTACGAGTATTATGGCCGTGCTTGGTTGATGCGAGTCTAACGTTTTTAGATGTTTTTCTCTCGCCCATGAAACCCCGCGAAAAGGTGGTCACCGCAGAAGATATTACAAGTTCCCTCTATTTCGTCCACGTTGAACATCCTCAAGATGTGAACCTTATCAACTACCCGGAAGCTCAGGACCCAGACTATCCGGAACAGCGACCTAATCCTGGAAATCGATTATCTGCGCCGGCCATTCAGCGCAAGGCTGTCCCAAGCACTCCAACAGGTGCACCAGCGCGAAAACCCGTCCCTGGAACTCTAGCTCCCATTGCGAACTTCGATAGCAGGCAAAATACAAGTGCAGGTCAATACGCCCAAAGGCCTGGAATGTTAAGCCCTGGGTACGAACCGCGTGGATCTTACGATTCGACTCGATCGCAAACAGAGAATGACATACCGACAATACAACCACGAAGACCAGAGGTGAACGTGACTCCCACCGGCATATCACTCACTCTTATTCGACGAGATCCAGCATCTGGCGCCCAATGGAACGTTGCCCGCATTGATGATCCAACCATCGCTGAAATCACATCCACTGAGCTGACATTGGCTGCTGCAAGAAGGAAGCCAGGCGCTCCAATGTATATCGAAATATCCAATCCTGGATACTCCAAATTCCTCCATTCAGAAACAGATCAGAAGCCTCCTTTACCGACTCGTACTAGCGACCTGTCAGTGCGATCTTACCAATCATCAAACGCTCCGCTACGCACAGGCGTGGACTATCCACCCGAGCTGTCATCAAAGAACGACAACGTTTTCCGCCGTCGCTTGTGGATGGAAGGGTCGCATCTTGGCGGCGGATTTGGGCATCGCAAGAGTGGTTCCTACGATCGCAACTCCAGTCGGCCCACTTCAAGAGGCAACTATGATGACAGACCGTCCATGGATCGGCCAATATCCTCACCATCATTCCTGACACGAGATGATCAAGCATATGGGACCCTTCAAGTCTCTGAGCGACAGTCGAGCTTCCGAGGATATGTGTTCACAAGTCCTTGGAACGGGCGTTGCGAATTCATCACTGGTGCAAGTGGTGGTACATTGAAGGTGAGTAGATGACTGTAACTTGACCCATATTGTAGTCACTGATTCACTCGTAGTGCCGGCATGTCATCCCTGGTCTGCAAGGTGCACCGCCGGCAGCTGCGACCGTGAGCGAAATGAAATTTAATCTCCCGAGTGTCAACAAAGCGCCGTCCCCTAGAGAAGAGACTTCGAAGCGGTCATCATTGTTTAAGCGAGGGCGCCATAGTCGCAATAACTCTGTCTCTGTCAATCGCAATGAAGGTGTAGAAGACGCAAGAAGCTCTTTAGATCGCATGGACTTGTCACTTGGTCAAGAATTCGCTGGAGGTGGTTTCGGTGGCAAGCAGGCAAAGCTGGGCAAGATTATCCTCGAAGACGAAGGCTTGAAGATGATGGATCTGCTAGTGGCCACCAACATAGGATTGTGGTGGCGGGCATACGAGAAGGCACAGGCTGCTGCAAGAGGTGATCGGAGTGGCTTCTGAATAGAGTGTCTCTCGTCCGATTGAGAGATCGATTAAGAATCTAGGGACCGACATCAAATCTTGGTGGCCTCCAGAGGTGTCAACATTGCACGAGCCGATTTGAAGTCTATTCCAACGTCGCACTTCCCGTTACCAGTGCATCAGACTTCAAAATACCCTGAAGACCTCCATGGTTGTCTTTGACTGGAAACGGAAGGCACAAATCGACCAGGAAGCTATGCCACATGAGCTGAAGCAGCTACCCCGTTCCACGTCGTCACTGCCTGCCACGAGAGCGCTAGTAGCTGCTCAAAACGTTTTTCTTGTCAATTCGACCTCCAAACATCACCCACCAGCACCTTTACCTCGAGTATACCTAGCGACCAGCATCGCTTTGTCACATCTCCACCTTAACATCTCTCACTACCTGACCTGACGAAACGCCTACCCGTCGTCAGGCAGCACTAGCATGTTCATTGCGCACACTCAGGCCGCCATGCTTGTCACTGGCATCATTCTCGCGCCCGCTGTGATGGCTACACCGGCGGTTCAGGATTTCATCGATCTAAGGACGGTCATCAACGCAGCAGCAAATACCATTGGCGACCTCCAGAACCCCAACAGAGGTTGGGGCCTCTTTGGCAGCAGCAGCAGCCAGATGGGTACTGCAGACCTCATCAATAACGTCACAAGCACAATCCTGCGGTCGAAGTTCCAGATCGACACGAACAAAGTACTGACTCCCTCCACGGCTATTCACGCCGATTACTGACGCACACGCAGACGGCCTGGCTCAACCCCATCAACATCACGCCCAACCCAACTCTCAACACCACTGCACCATCACCATGGACACCGACTCTTCCGATGAGCTCCAGCATGGCCCTTCCGTCCACGCTTCCGACGAGTACACCCAGCCTCGAGAACACCGTTACGGATCTCTCGACCCCGTACATTGACTACGTTTCATCGATACCCAACTTGAGTACGAGCCTTACCTCGCTTGGACGCGCCTGGCACCGCGAGATGAACTCGCCAGTCAATCAGGCTATTGGGGTACTGCAGGAGAGCATCACCACACTACAAACCACCATGCTCCAAAACGAACTCATCAGCAGCTCCGCCGTGTTGCGGACCGTTCGCGCGAGTAGCTCACTGGAGAGCGCCCAGCAAGCGTGGAATCGTTTCCTCAACTTACCCGGAAGTACAGGTAGCAGTGACTCTGGTAACGATACACCGACTTCATCCAGGAAAAGGTCAATCCAACGCTTGCCACCAGCGAACGGTAGACAATACACGCACAAGGAACTTTGGGGCCGTAAGGAGCAGTCTAAGACTGGCGAACCAAGTCAGAACGATGCCGTTATCGAGTGGGGAAAGCAGGCCGAGGACCTTCGTCGTGGTACAGCTCAGCCGTTCAAAGCATAGTCGTGGTCCCCTACCAGTTCCCTTGCCGCAGCTGGTCTGTTAAGTAGTTCTTCTCGCTTCAATCAATTCGATGTTTGCTAGATATGTTCTGACGCGATCCATATGCGATCCCCGCCAACTGTGATACGCTGAGCTCCTTCAGCCTTCGTGTGAATAAGGAACACAGCACGGGACCTGCTCCTGCAGGCTAGCGGTATTTGTGGCGCATGACTGCCCAAAGCCATGCAAGCAGATCGTGAAGGAGCCATGTAGCGAACCGCCCTTACTTCCCTCAATGGTAGTTACTATGACGTCGCTTCCGCCAAAGAAGCAAACAAACAGACAATGAGACGTGCAGATCAGGAACGTAGCTGTCACAAACATACAGCAGCTTGTCTCAAACTCTGTACCTCAACACCTCGGACCTGCAACCAACCATCAGCTTCTCCCTAGATCAACCAAACCCTTCGAAAGACGACTTCAATACTGTAATGAAGCCTGAAGCACTCGACGCCTTTGCCACACAAAGCATACGCCCAGTGGCGTTGGAAGCTGCCGCAGCTAATCAAGCAGAGGTGAAGCAGAACAGTACAGAAAGCAAGATGAAAGAAGAAAAGGATGTAAGCTCATAAACTTGCATGCACTTACGAAACAATTCTAATGACCGCAGTCCCCACAAATGGAGCCCACCCGACCAGCCCTCAACCGCCTCAACACCCCGTTCGGCCAACGTACAGACGGTACAGAGTCCGCAGCCAAAGCCGTGGAGGAAATCGCGCAAGTTTGCGAAGGCATTGTGGAAGGCGTCAAAGCAGTCGTGCACGAAGCCGTTGTTTGGACAGAGAAGAAAGCAGAGGAGTTAGCTCATAGCGAGGACCATGCTGGACCATACGACTCCCCGGCGACAGCTGCGGGTGGCATTTCAGATCTAGATGCCATTGCAACAGGAGTGCTGACAGCAACCATACCTGTGCAAGAGGATGGCAAGGACAATGAGCCGAAGGATGAGCAGACGTCGGGTGGCAACGACAACTCGAGGTTGTAGGACGATCTTCCATATTCGCGAGAGGTTGTGACAAGTCTGGTAGTTCATGTATCGAAGTACTTCAAGGAGGAGAAGGAACGCTGTGCAGGCAAAGATTGGAAAGGTTGGAGTGCGAGATGGATAGATTTCAGCGAGGTTGAACCATATTTCGGGATGGAGGATCTTACCCATACGAAGGATGAACAGCATTCTTAGGTACATCAGTATCACACAGTCAAGGCGAGGTAGGACCGCAGATGTATATTACACTCTCCTGTAGCCAACAACGTCTGTAATTGTTTGAGTATGCCATAGTCGAAGACGTCCAAATGCAAGGCTGGAGATCGGACCCGCCCTAAGCCCTGCAAAAGTGGAGAGCTTGCCCAAAGCGGCATGGACCTCGGCCCTTAGCTTGGTGAAGAGCATCGACTCGCACGCTCCGTCTCGACTTTGCTCAATCATTGACTTTGCAAATATTCTCGCAATAAAACTCCCGAGGGCATTACACCCAGATACATCATCCCATTCTGACAGCGTCGACTCATTCGAAATGGCCACTTCAAAGCACCCACTCCTTCTCGCTGCGGCCGTAGCTCATGGCGTACTTTCTCTCGGCCACACAGTATGACTTTCGAAGAACTCCGACTGGTAGTGGAAAAGCAGAGCTGACAGTTTCGTAGACAAAAGGCCTTGAACAGTTCAAACACGCTTCGATGAGTGCTCTTCCCACCGCCTTGCGTGGTGCTGTGAAGGCGGGCTGGTATGAAGGGAGTGGATTCTTCCTTATGATGGGTAAGTATATCCCGCTTCTGAAACTTGATGCTCCATTATCGCGCGGAGGTTTTGGATGCGCCGTTCTAGGGCCCAAAGCTAACAATTCTCTCAGCTATACTAAATTATAAGTGGGCGCAGACAGGACTGCTCGATGTCTACGACAAGAGCATCGCTGGGCTGCTGGTGGCTATCTTGGTTGGTGCAGCAGGGAGCTACTTCCAGAGTGGCGATAAGCCAACTGCGACTACGCTGGCTGTTCTTGCTGTCTTGCAAGGACTGGGTGCGAAGGGTGTGGCCTTGTGAATAACTGCGATCTGGATGTGGAGCAAGTCACTTTACGAGCGTGATCGAATCCTGAGTCTATATACATTATGGATCACCATGTTCTTGCTTCAAACGCGTGGAGGGAGTTCCGGCCAGTACCATAACAGTGTCGTTACAGGCTGCCGTACCATTGAGCAGCGATAGCTCTCACTACCCTCATCACCACCATTCTCGCTTCATTCTACTTGATCAGGTATGAACAGAAACCCCTTCTTCTCCAGACTCCTCTCAAACCAGGCACTAGTGTATCACGACACCAGGAAGGCAACGAGGAAAGCCACAGAGACACCGACACCGACGCCAATAGCAAGCTTCTTGTCGCCAGACTTACTCTAATTGCTGTCGGCTTGCTTGATCATGCGCTCTTCCGCCTCGCGGATCACCGTGAAGGGTTTGCTGATATCCCATGTGGAGCCATTGTGGGGGTTAAAGGTCTTAGGATGGTAGCTGCGGAAGATGTTGCGCTCCATGGCGTAGCCGGTAACCTCGACCGGAGGAACGTTGAGGTGCTTGTTGGGAAAGTCGGAGACACGAGGCTAGAAGTTCCATCCGGTGACGCCAGCGCTGATGTCTGTAGAGCATGTCAGTGGTGCTGTCGGAGTGGTCGGTGGTTGGGTACTTACTCTGAGAAAAGGCAACGATGAACCTCTCAGGCCCTAGGCCTCTGTAATCGTAAAAGACGTCAGTCTCGTTTGTGAGGACTGGTTCTACGCGAAATATGAGTTTTATTGATAATACGATAATGTGATGATTTACTCTTGGTGCCCGGCGCCTCGAACATCAACCACTCCACCACGATATCCTCTCCCTGGGTCTCGACGCTCGGTATCCAGTTCCAAAGTAATTCTGTCCCCAGACGAGCGTGTTCCACTGGGCACCGCTGTACCCTGGTCTGTAAACATTGTCGGGCAGACCGTACCTATTCCCTATTTTGGCATCGTACTTCGAGTGCCTCCAGTACCAACACCTCCATGATGTCCAGCAAATGTCGTTGAAACATGGTATGTTCATGCTGTACTCGTCCCCAGTACTGACAGTCGAAACTGCCAAAAGGGCAACAGCGCCAAAGAGGTTGAGGTTGTGCATGTTGGTTACTGTAGCAGGCTTATATATACAAGAAGCAGACAGACGAAGGAAGGAAGCCGCTACCAACAACTGGAAGGTAAATCCAAGGTTGTGTCGGTACGAAAAACGAAACTGTTCTCCATGATAGGCTCGGTACGTGTCTAAGGCTACCCACTATCATGATGTTGTATACGATTGCCCATTTAGGGATTTGATTCACCTGTGGTGCTCATGGCAACGCCTTGACAGGCATTCTCCAGGCTGACTCTCAGTTTGATCGAAGTGCTTACCGCTGGCACTCCAATTGTACGTCAGCCATCAAACCAACTTATCGTGAAATATAAGCATGAAGAAGTCGTTTCAACATGAGCTCACTAGCGTGCTTATCTATGAATACTGCAACTCAGGAAACCCCTGGATCAGAACCGGTGATGTATAGGTTGGAATGGTCTTGCCTTGGCTATCAGGTCGTCAGGAGGGCGTGTCATATCAGTAAGCGTACGTTATGATGCATCGTATGTGGGCAACACTGATAAGAGGTCGACGCAGTCCCTCGCCTGCATACATGGACGAGTCGAAGATGGGATTTGCGTAGAGCACAGGAAGCGTCTTGTCGTACACGGTCCTACATGTGCGTAGAACAGCCGAGTGGAAGCAACAGCTAGCATCGTTGCGGCCGAGGTGAAGCATCTGGCCATGAACCTTGTTCCTCGGTGTCTCATAGACGTCACACATCATGTTCTGGGCCGCCTTGTCAATGATATGCTCCTCCCAATTGCACACTATGTGCGCCCTTATTCCACCAAACAGCTCCTGGTATATGAGAAGTCGTATCTCGGCGGGCAGATCTAGGAAGCGGAAGGAACGAGGTGGTCGAGGTATCAGCATTCCGAGGTTCTCGCATATGTGGCGCAGTGTGACCACAATCGTGGAACCTGTATCCATCGTGGAGGTGTGGAGGAACGATGGAGGAGAGAGCGTGGGAGCCTTGACGCGTTCGGCATTCGGCAGGGGTCCAGCTGGTCGGAGTAAGTTTAGCCGGCACTCTTTCTCCACAGCGATCTGCTCTAGTCATCTGACTAGTCTTTTACATTCCATCTCAACATTTGCCAACTTGCCCGGAAGAAAACCCATTTCTTAGCAATAGATACCGAGACATATGTGAAAGAGCTAGGACCTGCCATTGTCGAAGTAGTCGAGATATATTGATGGCCAGCGCCGCGCCCATTCAAAACCGGCCATACCGTTCGCACAAGGTGCCCGCCTGCACCAGATGTCGATCCCGCAAAATCCGCTGTCACATCGACATCCCTGGAGAACCATGTCTGTCGTGTCGAGAACGCCGGTTGAAATGTCAATATGTGGAATCCTCCACAAGTTCGCCAACCGAAGAGAATGGTGACCGGAAGCCTGGAAAGCGTCGCCGAATTAGCAATTCGGATGGAATGGAGGATGGACCTGTGCGGCCTCGATCAGCACCTATACTGCATAAGGCCACAAACAATCCATCAGCTTCCATCATTATGGCATCGCATCTTGCCGAAGACCTCGACATATTCAACCGTCACCTTGCCAAGCATCGCAAACCTGGAGGTGAAGCTGCGGACACATCGACCTATCAGACCCTCAACCATGACGTACAAGATCCAATCGTATATCTTACAGTTCCCAGATTTAGAACTGGACTACCACCAGGAAGTGGATGTGGGCGATCACAGCTTGACATCCTTGAGCAAATCATGGGTCCATTCAAGCGCGAGGTTATAGAGCTGTACTTCAAGCATCTTCACTACCATTTTCCTGTCCTAGACGAGGAGATGGGCGCACTTCTTCGTAGCGGCCAGCTCGAGAAGGCACCAAACAACCTATTGTGTGTCATCTATGGCATTGGATCACCGCTATGGCCCAGATCAGAAACGCTGAAGATGCACCCAAAGCCAGATGCGCATTATGTTTGGAATAAAGCCATTTCAGCGACCCTAGAAGACTTCCTCAGCCCGGGTATGTCGACAATATCAACCGCTATTCTCGACCAGATCGGCCGTCCGTCAGTCTCCATTGTTGGCAACATCACGCTCTGTGGTAAGACTGTTTCGCTTGCGCAGACGTTTGGCCTGCATCGCGACCCAGCGAAGTGGAATATCACAGAGAACGAGAGATCTGTTCGGGTTCGTCTGTGGTGGTGTGTGCTCATCACGGATACATGGTCTAGTGTTGCATATGGCGCTCCTCCACACATCACGAAGGGCTACTATGACGTGCCGCGACCGACAGTCAATTCACTTATCAGTCACAAGGCGAATCAGCAGCAGAAACAGGCGACTACTTGCTTTGTTCACTTCTGCGCATTGACAGAGCTTGTTGGATTGATTCTTCCTCTCATCTACGAAATCGAACCGGATCGCATGCAGCTCTCACAGCAGGTGGCCCACTTCAAGCGCGAATTGAACAATCTGGAGGCTCAACTACCTACATGTAAGTCATGGTCGAGAACACATATCGCATTCATGACAGATCCTGATCAATCTGCAGGGCTTCCCCTTCCCAATCAACCTGGATCTAGTAACCTTTGGTTCTGTTTCCTGTCGACGCGCTTACTCCTTGCCCGCGTAACACTACGCTCCGCAGTCCTTGAAGGCGATAGCACCTTGGGACGTGACAGGATGTATCAGCTACGTACAGCCTCATCAGCTGTCCTAGACTTCCTGCTCTCCCTCGGCGAATTACAGTTTCAGGACTTCTGGCTACCATACGTCACGCATCTCTTGGTCCACGCCATCACAGTCTCCCTCCGATGCACAGTCGAAACCCAAGATCCCGAAACACGTAATACATCCGTGACGCGACTTCAACATGTGATCGCCCATATCCAGTATGCTCGGGATAATTACGACTGGGACCTGGCGATTTACTGTCTTGAGAGATGTGCAGAGCCGGTTTCGAGGATTGCATCACTGAACTCGAGGGAGCCGGGACCACCGTCTGAGACCGGTGCTGAGATCACGAGCCTGGCACCGAATTCAAATGGACATAGGACTGGTGCTGAGGTCCCGCCTGTGCCGACTTTCGACGATACGAACTTTTTGCTCTCTGATATACTGGACCCGAATGCATTCGACTTTTCTTGGGAGGCGCTATGGGATACTCCTTCAGGCATGACGAACTTTGCTATATGAGGAATTGATGCTATCTGGTTGTCACAAGTGCAAATTAAAACTCGGCTTATCGAACCCACCATCAGCCCGAAATCTCCGGTGGTAGAACGTCTGAGACGAAAACAAGCTGCGCGCGCATGGTGGTTGCCTTAAAACTCTATCTTACCCAGATCTGTCTGCGAGCATGATTTGGCGCAGCCCAAACCAGCCTTTCGATGGGCACATCAGGAGAAGACAGAGCCGCATGCGAGGAGAGGCAGTATGTCTGAGAGCGCAGATGCCTCCATGTTTGCATTGGGTCGGAGGAAGATACAGGACCAGGCTATGGGGCCGAACGACTACTAGACGACGATGCGAGAAGCTGGCCAGTATGCAGTCGGGTTTGAGACTTCATTCTTAGATAATGATAATGTACCTGATTACAAACCTATCCTGAGCCCTTCGCAGTCTCCGCTCCCCGAACGCTACATACTGTTGGGAGCGCTGGATGTTGAGATCCCGCTCGGCGTACACACGACAACAACATTATCGCTTCACAAACCAGCGACACAGAAGTATACGAGAGGTAAGGTACAGCACACATGTACGGCTGGCAAGACATCTGCAAGAAGCTCATTCTCATTGACTATGCACAAGCGCTCAAATTCCCAACGATCACATACCCTCCACTCGTCTAACCTCTCCATACTAAAAGAGTGATACCGCCTGCATGAAACCTATCAATTATCTACAGTCTGCTCAAGCCAACAACCTCTCTCGGTGCATGGTAGGTAGGAACCTTCATATCAAGCGCAGCACCGCTGTAGCCCAGATCCTCAGCCGTCAAGACAGCGCACTTCTCACCAATGAGCAGCGCAGTCGAGTACGTGTTGCAGCCGACGTTGTCAGGGCAAATCGACAAATCAGCAACCTTGAGGCCCTTAACGCCGTGCACGTTAAGGCGCTCATCCAGCACGCCGTGCTTGACAATGCTGTTGCCATTCTTGGGCGCCATCGAGCAGGTGCCGAGTGAGTGCCAGGTGGTCTCAACGTGGCCTGTAAGAAGTCAGCTGGCTGTAATGGTCACGTGAAGGGAGGGGTGACATACGCTTGGTCCAGTTCTCAATGTGCTTGATATCTTCGGAGGTGTAGTGCAGATCATCAAGCACGTGCTGCGAGTTGGAGTTGAGGAAGCTGGGACTGGGGACCTTGCCCTTCTCGATGGGCATGGTCCAGGAGCCGTGCTGGATACCGGCGGTGATGTTGCCGGGAAGAGCATACTATGGTCTGATTAACACGTGGGGTATGTACAGCAGGAAAGGTAATACTTACAGCGTTGGTCGTGGCGAGGTCCATGTCGTTGGCGCGAGCGGGGCTGTCGAATGCATAGAACGGGTGCATGGACTGCACCTCACCAGCGTACGCGTCCATGCGGCGCGCTGTCTCACGGGACTTGACGTATCCCCAGACTTGTCATTGTCAGTTTGTACGCTCGTGAGTGCAGGAGAATACGTACCCATAGGTGCCATGTCACGCTTGTCGTTCATGAAACCAGCATCGAAGTCCGGAGCATCGTAAGGGTTAGGCGAGGTGATGTGAGTCGAACCACGCGAGAATGGGTACTCGAGGAAGTGGAACCTAGAAAGAGCATGTAAGCTTATCGTCTAAAATAGCACGCTCGTCGTCCATACATTGTGAAGAACTTGCCGGGCGGCATAACCATGTGGTCACCGAACCAACCAGCAATGACGGAATAGTGCATGACTGGCTTGTCGGGCTTGTCCTTGAAGTAGCTGTCCCAGCCGGATCGGAACTCTGGGCATGGCCACTTGTCCATCATGGTGAGCTCTTCCTCTGTAGGGCGGATCTTGACACCAGCTTCGATGCCGTTCGTTGCAAGAGGGCCTGTACCGTTGATGTTCCACTGCTCGAAGACTTGCTTCTGAACTGCAGGGTCACCACGGGCAAAGTCGTCGAAGGACTCGACATGTGGCTTAGCACGATAAGTCGCGAATGTAAGGTAATGGTCCTGGAAGTTGAGACCAACACCGGGAAGGTCGACAAGAGGCTTGACACCGGCGTTGCGGAGCTTCTCGGGGTCACCGATACCAGATCGCTGGAGGATGAGTGGTGAACTGAGAGTACCTCCGGAGACAATGATCTGCTTCCTGGCTTTGATGACCCTGGATGTCAACTGTCCTGGCGAAAGAGGCTTGGTGGGAACAACCTTAACACCAACAGCACGGTCGCCTTCAAGCACTACCTTCTCGACCTTGTTGTTGACCATTAAGTGCAAGTTCTGGTGCACGGCACGAGTGCTGTGGATGTAGCCATGGGCAGAGTCAGAACGACGTCCAGTGTCGCGGTTGATCCACTTGAGCCAGTGCTCAGCTCCATGGCCGGTGACCAAATCCTGAAGATCGTCGGTGGTAGGAATACCTTGGGATTCAGTGGCCCTCAGGAAGTCTTCCTTGATGGGGTAAGTGTAGTTGCCAAAAGAGACCTTGATTGGGCCCTCGAATCCGTGGATATCCCGGTTGTTACAGGCACGCTGGTAGGTCTCGTGCTTCTTCATGAGAGGGATGAGCTCCTTGGTGGTCCAGCCCTTGGCCTGGAAGTCATCGTAGTCGGAAGCAGAAGCACGTGTGTACATCTACACAATGATCAGTGGCCATATGGCCCATATGCTATCGAGTACTTACCATGAAATTAATGGAGGACCCACCTCCCAAGATGTGTGCGCAAGGTACGACAGCTCGGCGTCCATCGAGCCATTCCGAAGGTCGTGAGTAGTAGAAGGAGGCAGTCTTGCTGTCCAACTTCATGTTACGCGGGTAGATACCCGGTCGGAAAACCCATGGGTTGTTCAAATTCGACTCTCCGGCCTCGATCAGGAGGACCTGGAGGTTGTGGTCCAAGTTGGCCAACCGTCCAGCGACAACACATCCACAACTACCTCCACCACAAACGATGATATCAACCTGTCATGGTCAATGGCTGGACGTATGGAGGGGCAGGGCTCAGTACCTCGTCTGGGATCGTCATCCTGAACGTGTTTACCAGGTTGTAGCCTGGGTTGGTTTAGTATCGATTACTAAAGATGTTACCACAGGAGCACGAAGTCAACTGAGCATGGTGTCGCAATTCCAGCAGCAACATTCACCTTTTAAACCCGCCAAACCCCGCATCTCAAGGGCTTTCGGCTTCAAGGATATCTGTCACCTGAGGTTGTAACACCAAGCATTGCCATGGACATGCTCGGGCGGTGTCAAGATCCTGCATGGGCAAAAAGAGGGGATAGTACATATCTCATGCCTCAAACCATGTACATAGCACATCCAGGATGGCTAGTTAATGATATGTACCCTTAATTGAGTCTGCAATGGGATAAGCCTTGAGTGATATCTATGGTGGATGTATGCGTTGCTTGCGGATCCGGTGCACCTGGTGCTCGGCCTCGACGACATTAGTGGAGGTACGAAGGTATGATTGGTTTGTAGCATCGGCTGAGGAAGCTCTTCCAACGCAGTGGACCCACCGTCAGGATTGCCAGGATTGCCAGGATCCGCAGTGCAGGACTCGTATGCTCGCTACTGTAGTGAGATGCGGAGAACATACGCGCCCAGTAAGATTGGAAACACCAGGGTACATGGTTTCTCTTTCTGCAAGATAATTGCGGACCCGGAGCTGCGATTGTTTGGGCCATCATATTACAGCCTTGAAGTCGAAAGCCCAGCCTGTTGACGACGTGGGTAAGGGACTACCGAACTTATCTGTTCACGGACCGAGTGAGACAAAAGGATGGGAACGATGTGTGGACCTGACAAGCAAGCTCAATAGCAATTGGTTCGCCCCAAAATCTTATGCGATTAATGAATCCTTGGAGCTCAAATCATCGGCTGCAATTCTTCATCAGTGACAAGAGTGAAAGCTCCCTGAGCTCCTGCAGCTGCGGCACACCACGGCATTAGCCCGAAGACCGTCGTGGGGGGGGGGGGGTACGGCGTTGACGCTAGGGCCGCCGGGAATTTTCTCAAACGTTGGAGTCCAAGTCCCTCGTGGAACACACGGATGTGGGGTGCAGTAGCCTCGTTGCTGTCTGGGGGGGGGGGGGGTTTTGCTTTCTTGGCGTGAACGCTAATGCCAGAAGGTGCGGGGAAGTTCCATCAGCATATGCTGAGGGATTAACAGCCGGTCGTTGCGGTGCTACAAGTACCCTTTTCTAACCTCGCGTGGATTAACCCTCGCTTTGTGTCTTGATCAACAACACAACTGTGAAACTTTCCGCGACAAAAGGGTGGGCTGGAAAATGAGCTGTGAAATGTCCACACCAATTCTTATTTGCGGCAACTACATTTCCGAGGCCGAGGCGCTGGAGTGACTTCTTGCGGACACAAGGGCGGATAAAATGGAGTGGGGTGCATGCTGAGGCTTGGCTGGACTGTGCCTCGATGGTACTGATCGAGGATGCTCCGCGGATTATGAAGTTGGGTCCGGGTGGATCGCCTTCCATCTGAGGTCGTCCGTGAGCAGCTTCACTTTGACGACCAGGAAGTGGTGAATACTGAATGGTAGCTATGAACGTTAGCTTTGTTATGTCTGACTATCGTACCTAGTACTTTCACCTATCCATAGAGTGGGCGTGTCCAGTAACTACCACTACCCCTTACGTAGCAACAGTAAATCTCTCGGTTCTTTTAAGGAAACAAAAAGAAAGTAGCACTGGGACTTTGCCGAAGTTGGACAGGTTGACTCTGGCGCATCCGCATCGCCTGAATTCATTTGAAAGATGAATACCTGATCTATAGGTACTATGGAAAGCTCGTGCCTGCTGCTAACAGGTAACACCCATGAGAGGCTGGGTATTGTTCGCTTTAATGTAAAAGTATCCACCAACGCCATGACAGTATGATTTTAAGAGTGGAGAAGAAGATGTTGTAGGGTAACGGTGTAAGAGATGTTCAGATGAGGTCAAAACTCAAAGCCCAGCGGTCAGGTACCGCTTAGATTATCTCGTGTCGTTCCCAGCCAGTGGGTTTCGGGTGCGCAAGATCTTTGCTTGGGTGTGGCTTCGACAGGTCCTTGTACTCGCTCGCGTAGGGGTTTGGGTCTTCTTTCTGGTTGAGATTGCCGAGAGTGTGGTTCACCTCCCGATGCTTGCTCTCGTCTGCACGGACTAGAGTTACGTCAGTCGTTGTCACAAGACAAGGGGCATTCAAGGTAGGCTTACTATATAAAAGTAGATCTCGCATCGTGCGGTGACCTTCAGGCATATTCCAGTAGTCAATCGCAATGTCGGGAGCCTGCAGCTTCTCCCACTTGGGCAAGCGCCCGGCGTCAAGGTCTTCCAATTGGCGCGTGTATGTGACGACAGCTTCCTCTTCAAGGTATCCGACAAAGCGGTGGACGGTGCGAGGGCTGATGAGGTACGCGAAGAACAACGCATTGCACCAGATTCCCTGAGCGCCCAAAACCATAAGGCGCATGAAGGGGCCAGGCTTACTTATCTTGAGGAAGGTGAGCAGATGCATTCGTTCGTTGTAGCTTTCTTCAAGCAGTGACTCGATCCTAATTGGCAATCAATATCGACTTGGAACGTAAGTTGGAAAGTTATTGCTTACCATCCATTGTCTCGCTTCATCCGCCTCATTGAGTTGAGATGCCTGATCATACCCGCAACCATTCCGGGTACGCCTGCTACGCTCTCGAGAAATACGTTTCGGATCATGTATTTTTCTTCGGTCATAGCACCTTGCTTGTGCGTGTAGCCCGTGACCACATCAAGATTCCATCGCAGTATCTTGACAGCAATCAGGGCAGCTTTGTCTGATGCTGTCTGGGTTTCTCGATGAGCGACGGTGACTGCATTCATCTGGTCTTCGTTGAACTCTGGCATCTATGTCAGTGTACATCGACCCATGACATCACTGCATGCCTACCTGGATGAGGCCATGCCGCGGGTGTCCGGCGAACTAATTCTGTCTCCTTCTCCTCGAAGAATTTCTGGATTTTGGGACTTTCCGATGAGGAAAAGTGGCGTTGACTAGCCGGGGCCAGCTGAACATGCTGAACAACTACGAATGTTGGTCGTAACGCAGAGGTGTTGAAAGACCTGAGGAGCTGGGCTGTCGCTCGCCCAGAGGCGATTGATCCGCGTGTAGCTAATCTGCTGGAGATCATTGGTGGTTGCTTAGTGTATGTGTATCGATAAACGTTGGTGTATCTGTAGTGATGAGTACTGATGGTGAGCTGGAATCAGACTGAGGCACGCAATGGCGCTTTATATGATCAAAGGATTCATTGCAGTGACGCCAATGTCTAAAAAAAAAGCTACCAGTCCGAAGCTGCCACAATCTGGTAGCTGCAGTCGACACAGTCATCAAAGGGTGAAACAGGAAGCGTAAGGCTGAACCAGCCACTAGCGCGCAACAGCGGTCGGCATCGTCGACATGTATAGTGCGCGCCGGCTAGATCGTCAAATGAGATTGGTCGAGTAGAGTCACGTAGGACGTGTACGGTCGCGTGCAGAGGAAAGGTTTGGTGGCTGTGGCAGGGTCACCACGAATATCGACCGGGCTAGCGTTGGCCATATCTCAGCCGCAAATTGCCCGGAACCCGCAAGAACCCGAAGAAAATTGTCACAGCAACTTCAAAAGTCACCGAAGCATGCTTAAAAGATTGCGTCTTTTTTCGCATCAAAGAACCCTCTTTACTGCGCTCAAGAGCTTGCTTGTTGTTCATGCCCGGGGTCTCGGTGAACGCGCCGTTGTATCCACATGTAGACCTGAAGCGAGCTTCGGCATCCAACGTTACAGTTTCGACCACCCAACCCTGTCTCTGCTCAGAGTTCGTTGTGGATTCATTCCAGGCCTTGCGAACTTATCAATATACTGTTCGAGTCCTCTTGTACTTGGCGAGGCCATCATGGTACGATTTCGCGCGAGGTCGCTGTGCTTACTGACACTTAGAGGTACACTGTGGCTTGCAGCTCAAAGGATCCTTCACGGACACAGAAGGCTTGGATAGTAATATTGGAGACAAGTTGATTCTTCGTGACGGCTGTTATAGGTCACTGCCGTGCAGCTCCTTCGTCAGTCATCTTTCATATGTTCATTGCTTTCATTCATTCCGTCACTCATTCGCCGTGACAGCTTGAAAGGCTCTGGCTCTACTGTACGTTGAACCCGCTTTCACCACTCTTGGATGAGATGTCGTTGTGTCCGACGCCGGAAACAGATGCTGCCGATGGGCCCTTGTTCAAGTGCTGAACGAACTCCTTCAATTGGTCGGCACTGCCTTGAGCCTCGCCTTGTACCTGCACAAGATCAGCATCGAGAAGAGAGCGAGGGGGTGAACTATTGTAGGCTTTGGCAACTCACAGTGCCATCTGAGGCATTCGTCACGAAGCCAGTGACGCCAATGCTCTTGGCCTGCTTCTGGGTGAAGGACCTAGTGGCTGTATGAGTTACCTGGACGAGCATTGACAAAACCGAGGACGTACCTGAAATTGACACCTGATGGCACTATTAGTAGTGCTGACAGATGGGTAGGGCTCCCGGACTTACCTTGCACCTCACCATCAACCTTGAAGGAGATCTACGATATCAGCTCTGCTATAGTCTGCAAAACCAGAATGACGTACTCGCTTGTCAGACATTCTGGCTGTTGTTGTAAGGAATCGTTTCATTCAAAGTATTGACTGGACAATTGATACTAGAAGCTTGAGTGTGACGGATTACTTGAGTCGGTGTGCTTTTGTGCCTCTTCACGAGATCGACTTCTTCCAATGCAGGTGCGTAACGTCATGGTGAAGAACGCGCCCGGTAATTGGGCAGCATGGGTGCACCTGCCGCCAGCACTGCGGGGGCTTTTGATTGATTGATTGATTGGTTTAAGGTCCTATGTGAGTCTGAGACTATGGAGGATGAGGTGCAGTAGCTCCTCTGGTAATGCAAGGGCTTAGTTACAGGAGGTTGGGTTCTGTGAAAGTACAAGGATGGTGAGGGTTTTTGCCTGCAGGGGCTTCTCGAGCTCAGGGAAACCACGACTGGCGTTTGTACAACTCAACGGCTCCGAGTAATTTCATAACAACTCACATGCCGACCGTGATGGCATCTCGCCGCTCGCCCACCTTTCACTGCTGTCGGTGGTCGCGTGTGGTGATGCGTGAGCCAGTCCCACGCTAGTGTCGCGTTGTTTTGCGACAATCTCGTCGCTAATCAAACACCCCTTTCGACACATGGCAACATCCGTGATTCACCCATGAACCTTTGCAAGCACCGGCCGAACTGCTCTTTTGCAGCTCCACAGCGCATGTTTGCACCAGAACACCACCGCATCTGACCCCGAGTCTGCAAACAACACCCACTGTCAACAACCATCGACCCCCTTGTCGTCCCATCATGGATTCGATGCCCACGCCCCCACCAGAGCGAGGCTCTTCGCCAGAGCCATGGGCCACACCAGGCCTCGCACTAAACGCAGTACCTCAGCTCGACCGTTCCGTATCGACAGCTTCAAGCGTGTCCTCTCGCTCGGTGGGCTCAAGGCTCTCAGAAAGTGGAATACCAGGCAAGAGGCGAGGCTACATGAGACCGGAAGGAACACAATTTTCGGACTCGGCAAAGAACAGAGAAAGTGTCATGAACCTGGGAACGATCGCACATCTGCAATATTACTTTGCTCGAACTGGGCTGCTTGATGCAGCTACAGGACGAGTCGCAAAGTCGAGGAAATCAGGTTCGAGAAGTCCGAATGGAACCGAAGCGGGAGGCGACGTATCTATATTATCACCTGTGTCGCCATCTCTAGCAGCGTATGATTTCGGAGAGAGTCTGGTCGAGTCGCCCCACGACGAGACAGCTTCTATGGACTGGGAAGGCGGCGAGCCCATGATGCTACCACCTACCGTCAGCACCTACAAGCAAAACCCAGTATACGTGCCGCCGCCCCCAGACATGACCGTTCTGCGCCGAGAACTACGCGAATCGCTCGATGAAGCCAGCAAGCACCTGCAAGAGCTGGAGAAGGGTTTCGCCAGGGATGACCCTGTGGAGAACGGCGGTTCAGGGCCACGCTCAGCTGATGCGGCAGGATGGCATGAGATCCAGGGCCTCAATCTATTGGATGTCACCACTCTGGCCATCAGAGCTGCCAAGAACTACTACACTGCACATGAGGAGCCACAACGATTGTATGCTATCAAGACCGAACGTCAGATCCGCAAAGAGCTTTATGAAGTTTTGGAGGTGCTGAAGCGTTTGGCCATACGCAACTTCGCCAACGGTGTGCAGCCATATGAGGTTGCGCAGATCAGGCAGTGGATAGATGGCATCGGTGACTTGCTCGATACTGAAGAAGAGAAAGAGAGACTGGAGCATGCAGAGAGGGAGAGCTGGGCCTGGCGCGAGGGCGACTGGTCAGGACGGGAACGTGAGAGAGAGCTGTTGTTCCTAAAGTCTTTCGACAACAACGCAGACCCTCTGCCTGACTGGACAGAGCCCACCGAAAGCGAGCCTCAGACACCATTCCTTCTGTCTTTACAGAACGGTCTTCGACTCGTCCACCTACACAACAGTCTTGTGAGGAAATCACGTCGCCATTTTGAAGAGATCAAACAGTACCACACCGACACAGCGAAACCGTATCGATGTGCCGATAACCTGCGGTACTGGGTCAAGGCTGCGGAGCTACGCTGGGACATCAAGCTGGACGTTGACGTACTTGGTGTCGTCCAAGGCAAGGATGTTGCGGTGTGGCAAAAGTTCGATGCTGCTGTGCTGCTGTGGTGTCAAGGCGTACGCGAGGAAATCACTTCAGAATGGCTGAAGCAGAAGAACCAAACACGAGCACCGACCTTGCACATACGCAACCCGAGCATCGAAGCATAAGAGAGGACGAGCCTCTCTTTATTCCGGTGGGACATCTCTACGGACATTTTATCATATCTCCTTCGTTGTCTATGTTTCCACATACAAGTACCTAATTTGTACAAACCCACCGATCATGCAGTCGCCGGTATGTACTCAAAGGCATTGTCTGGTCAGGGACCGGAATGCCTCTGGGACACAACGACTACACGGTCGATGCCCACACATATTTTCCCTCCTGAACAGGAGTCAGATACCCCATTTTGAGCACTAGCATCACTTGCAGTAGCGTAGCATTTACATAGCCAAGAGGTCATGCAACTTATCACAACATTCACATCCTAACCTCTGCTTTAGTGAACGTGTCTTACTGTTCCACGGAAGCTACCGAGGATACAGCTGGGGATCGATAAAGTAAAATGAAGTCATCCATCGACACGGGACACACGGACGCAGTTGGTGGCGTCTGAGATTGACAGAGATGAGCTTCTGGAAACAGGGGTCAAGCTAGTGAAGATTGCGGTTCGCCGGGACCGCGTGTCAGGACTGCGGACAAACCGTTTTGAATGAAACAGCAGTGTCGCGCAGAGACAAACGTATCTTGAACGACAATGAGGGGGCTGGCGAGTGCATCTACATGCAAATCTTTTTCTATCACGTTGTTGTACCATCCACTCGAGGCTAGCTTCCTGCAGGCAGTGTTGTTTGTTGACGGCTGAGACCAAAGACTAGGCGAACGCGACTTCCCCGACTCAGCTCAGGCCTACCCTGCGCAAGACCCGCACAGTCGCTGCTGTTCCCCTTCCCTTTCACTTCCATGACGCAGAGCAGCTTCCGGGGTCCAGCAGCAGCAGCAGCAGATAATGGCCCCATGAACAGTCTGCGTGCGCTGCAATCGGTCGACAGCCCCGCGAAGAGTGAGGTGGCATCGACACCGCCTAACAATCCCGCGCCAGCGAGCAGCACCGCATCGTCATCACCGCGCACCCAACTTAGGCGCACTGCCTCGAACAGCAGCAGCATCCTGGACAGCACCACCAAGCTCGCCCGCAACGTGTCGCCTGGCTTGCTTGCCCGCATGAAATTCCTCAACCAGGCCAACAGCGACAACACCAGCAAGAACGCGCCTGCCTTGAACTCGATTGGCCGCATTGCTGAGCACAAAATCAAGCAGCTCGACGACTTCCACTCCACCAAACGCACATTCAGCATTGAGCGCCGCGGCACCGCCTGGAGCAGCGGCACAGGCAGCCAGTTCGGCACGCCGCTGATCCCCCAGCTGACGGGCGAAAGCGTCCCAGCGCTGGTCATGGAGCGCGACCTGGAGAGCGATATCAGCAGCGTCATCAGCACCAGCGACCGCGTCCTGCCCTCGGAGTCTGAGGCAGAGACCGACGATGTCCTTGACATGCAGAAGTACCGTCTGCCTGACATCACCAAAACAAAAAGCTTCAGCCAGACCATCGCCGAGTCTGACACCACTCCCCTCGCCGATTTGACACGCCCACCCACACCACCACCCAAGGATACCCCGCCTCTGCAGATAGAGGAGGAGGTTTCAGTGCTCGACAGCAACAATGATATGGACGTGGCGTCCTACTTTGCCCGCCGGCACCTGCACCGCACTAACTCCATCTACACACTCTCCAAGGCAAGCTTCACCAACCAGATCCAGCAATTGACATCGATGAAGCTCCCACCCACCACGATTGCGTCCGAGATCACCGCACTTCCCTCCTCCACACTCGCCGGCCGGGCACTGCACAGCTCAGCGAACGATATCCGGCTATGGATGGCCAAGGCTACAGAAGTGCTCAACGGGCTCGATGCTGATGACGATGTCGAGTGGGCTGCTGCCGCTGGAAGAGAAGGACTGGCCGAGGTCGATGCTGCGATCGGCAAGTTCGAGGGCCTCATCACCGTCTACATTACGGCCATTGAAGATCTACAGTCACGACCAGATATTGCGCTGCTGCCTTTGAAGGATCAGACAACTCTGGTCACTCAGATGGAAGAGATTGTCGGTAACTGGACCGAGATCAAGCGCACACTGAAGGGCATCAAGAACCAGGTAGAGATCGCTATGGAATGGGAAGAGCTCTGGAACTCAGTGCTTGGCGAAATCGGTGTTGAAGTAGAGACGCTCAGTCGCCTTGTGTTCGAGATGGAAGAGCGCAGACACCGTGTTATTTCTGACTCTGTCGCCGAGTCTGCAGAGAAGTTTGACATCGCCGACCTCGAGACGATCGTAGAGGAAACCCCGCGCCAAAACAAGATACGCAACAACCGGTTTAGTATGCCGCCTACGCTCACCGTCATGTCGCCGATCTCGCCCATTCCTCAAATCGAGCAGGAGAATTCCCGCCTACTGGAAATCTTCGCCAAGCTACAGCCCTTACGTGCATCGCTCGACTTCCTCCCTATGCGACTAGCATCGTTCGAGATGAGAGCCAGCACCATGTTCCCTTCCGCATGCGACGAATTGATGCGCAGAAAGGATCAGCTGGAGAAGCAAGAGAAGACCCTCGAAGCAGAAGCAGATGCGCTGAGAGAAGAGCTTGGCGAAGACAAGTGGGTGCACAGCTTTAGACAGGCTGGCAGCAAAGCTGTGGCTATGTACGACTCATGCATGAAGAGCATTGAGAGGCTACGACAGGCCATTGATGATGGCGATGATGAGAAGCTTGGTTCGCGCATCTCCTCATACAAGGACAAAAGGGATCATTACCCGCCGTCAATGAAGAGGGTGCTCGAGTTGATCGACATCGAGATGAAGCACAGGTCGACAGTCAACGGCGAAATCTTGCGCATTCAGCAGGATGTACGGCAGAAGATGTCTGATCTAGAGAAGGAGATTCAGCAGATGGACGCCATTCTGGATGAGGTGTCCGCATCTCGCAAACTCCGAGACTCTGTCTCTACGGTCCTCTCTGCACGCACCGAGGCTTCCTCCGCTATGGACACACCAGGCAGCTCGCCTGCATCGAGTGTTGTAATGAGCCGCAAAGGTAGCGATTATGGTACCGTGACTCCCGCTGGCCGAAAGTCACGTCAGTCCAGCACCTCTACGACAAGATCATCCGCTCCACCGAATCGCCGATACTCGAGCCTGCCTGTCGTTCCAGGAAGCACAACTCGCAAGTCATTGCCCGTCACATACCTGGAGCCAACCATAACCCGAACGATGGCTAGCACCCCTACACGGACAGCCCGCTCATTGACCCCTGCAACCGAGCGACCTGCGAACAAGCCGCGATGGAATGCAAGCACCAATATGCGAGATACCGTTGTCGGGCACCACCACAAACCGCTCTCTGCGACGCCACTGAGAAGTGTGTCTGGTCAGTCATCCATTCCTGTCCGAAGTCCTCTAGGTCGATCCTCGATGTTATCGCCTCCTCCATCCGTCCATTCGGCGACTGCAACGCCCGCCAAATCGTCTATGAGACGTCCGGTAGCGAGCACGCTGCAGGCACCCGCCACACCTCTCAAGAGCCCGACTTTTGTGCAATCATCGCCTTCCACGGGGACTCCGTGCTCTACTCGTCGAGTAACCATCGCCGAAGATGAAAGCAGCCCCCCTACCGAGGAAAGCCCTGTCGCTCGCCACACAGCTCGCCCAGCTAGTGCGATGTATAGTCGTCGTACCAGCCTTTTGCCTACGCCCAAGCCACGCACTACCTCAGCGACCAATCTGTTCACCCCTGCTTCGACACCTGCTCGCACTACCAGCAGACTTGGCAACGCCGAAGAAGGCAGGAAGAGTAGGGCTGGCGATGGCCGATCCAGCCGTGTTAGCGGTCGACAATCAAGCCTTGGTGTCACTGGCCGCCAGTCAAGTCTCGGCGTTAGTGGGCGGCAATCGAGCGCGGGCGATAGACCGGTTTGGAGATAGGCTCTCACAAAGCGACCGTATCTCCTGGACACTTGAGGCCGTCTGACACACTGTCATGCTATCCCTTCCCATATTCCTCTCCTTGACCCTGGTTGGTCAACTCCTTCTTTCACGCCGTTGTCAAAGCAGCGGTCTCGACACCTAGCATTTTACAAGCGACGGTGGGTTTTCACATGGTGCATGAGTTGCATGTGCCGGCGTTCATGGCGGATGGGAGAGAGTATCCTATACCCCGGTGTTTGCTTATTTGATTGTTTGTGGGTTTTTGTTTTCGGATACAGCGCGCGACTGTACATCATCAATGGACAGTGAACAGCGCTCAGCGCTATACAACAGGCACGAGCTTGTACACCAGGGCGTTCAAATTGCGAGACTTGTGTGCTGTAGTATGGAAGGAGACTAATGGTATATCCGAGCGTCAGAGCACAACGTTGTAGAGAGATAGAGATACCATAGTGAATCGACGTATCAGCATCGGCACTTTTCTTCTGCTTCAAACTATGTCTTGCTATTGGTAGATCAGTTCCTTCCTGGGTCCTCTTGCTGCCTCGCCAGAGCATTACCACCATAGTCCCTCTCCATGTAGTGTCCCTCCCTACTCCTGTGCACATTCATGTTCTCGAGGAAGACGTTCGTGTCATGGTGCTTGTCGCATCTTCCAAGGCGGGAGAATTGATCGACGTTCAGTCGCAAAATTTTACCCTGCAGTCTATCAACTGTGCAGCGTTTCGTGCTTGGCTGATCATTGGACGAAGGTGGACTTGCTTCGGGCGGAGGCATGTATTGCGCCATAAAGGATGGTACATTCCCGTCATTGAGGTACGAGGCTTGATTAGTGTTGGCAGGGGTTGCATGAAAGGCCTGATTATAATCATAAGTTCCTCCGAGACCTTTGTGATGGCGACCGTAGCAAGTAGCTGACAGCTCTGCTATCAAGTTGTTGTTCAACATGTCGAGCTTAACGGCCGGGTCGCGACGAACTTTATCCACAGCTAAGGTAGACTCCTGTATCGACGATTCCAGAGTTTGGATGCGGTCAAGATCACCGGCGTTTTGCGGCTTGAAGCGGTCATTAGGGGTTTCGCGTCCAGGGCTTATGGGTAGAGTCTGTGACGACCTGGGTAGACTTTGGGGTCCGGAAAAAGTTGTGTGAGTTGGTTGTACCAAGCTATTTGTCCCCCTCTACGCTCAGATGGGTGGTCAGCTTTGTTAGAGTGGGCCGATCGTACTCGCATGGAAGTTCGGCTGGCACTTCATGAAGTCGACAGCTGTCGTTCGACGGCTTGCAGACATTGGATTCTAGAGAGTTATTGATGCCAAGATTTGCAAGCATGCGTTGCATCTGGTCCATAATTGCACCCTGTTGCATCGGTGACAATGCGGGTGGATATATACAATCCTGAGGGACGTCGAAGCAAGAGGAGGCCATAATAAGGGAACCAGGATTGATTCTGCTGGCGATATCAGGTCGTGTGGAAGTAAGAGTGGCTTCTTCCATGTAAATCTACTTATATGTAAAGCTTAATGTGCGCCTCACCAACACATTGGCAGCCGAATGGCAAGAGAAATATTGCCAGCATAACGACAGCGCAAGAGTACATCGCCAACTCCTGTGAGTATTTCTATGTAGTGATTAATACCGGACGTAAATCCAGCTAGAAAAGACACATGGTCGCGTGTACGTAAGTATGAGATCGCAACAAAAGAAAAGGCTGACGTGGAGACATATGAGTTGGCTACTTGTGGTGTGGGGGTCAGCAGTGTATCGTACATCCTCTTAAAAGACGTGCCGTGGCGTCGGATCCCATCCGCAAAGTAAGTTGTTGTGTCAGGTGTGATGGGCCCGGAGTTATCGATATCCAGACATTGTATAGCTGAAGTGGAATTGATAATGAGTGGAACTGATGATGAGTGGAATGGGCGATGTCGTGACGCAGCATGGTCGCCACGTTGTATCCGGCCGTTTGATGTTGTACATGTGTAGTGAGTAGCGACCCGAAGCGAAGAAGAGACACTGCCGCTGTGACGAGTTCAACCCGATACCTTCCCGAACATAGGCGGGCAAGGAGATGTCCCAATCGACAATGTCCAAAAGAACCCACACGAGCGCCGTCTGGAACACGCAACCCAAGAGAAGCTGGCTAAGAGCAAACGGACCCATTAGAGTCACATTGGCCTTGAGTCTAATCTGACAATCTGTTACAACGGAGGTCTGCAAGAGGGCGTACACAACGGCAAATATCCTCATAAGGGCGAGTGACATTATAGGATTGGGTGACGCATTCAGGTCGTGCCTTGTGCTGTGGATACATCATTTCGCGTACATGACGAGGAACGCAGGGATGCACCCGAATACGTATAAATCGAGCAGACAACCTAACGTGGTTGCAACGTGAAAGCCTACATTTCCAACGTGCCCAGTATGTTAATCTCTTGCAGATAGGCTAGACCGTGTAATCTGCTTAGACGTCTTCTATATATGAGGTTATGCTCGACGCGAAGGTGCGTTGCTTTCTCGATATATTTCCAGCAGTTGCAGAGGGCAAAGAAGCGGACCCATAAGGGTACAAGGTTCAGACCGTCATACAAGACAAGACATCCGTATGGACAACTTTTTCTGCCAAGATAGTAATCGACGAGGTTTCTGTAGCATTTGTCACCGATAAGATGGCCACAGGGCTGGTAGCAAAGTGGAAGGCAAACAACCTCGTCTGCGTTTGCAGGATCGCCTCTCTCGCCAAATGTGTCGTGGCACACATAGCAGCGTTCGTCGACTGGCCAGGGAGCTGCAGGCACCGATTGCGGGCTCGTAGGATTCGTGGAAGGTCGTTGAAGATCGGCATCTTGGCGATCTTTACTGGACTACAAGACGATATATGAGAAGACGTGGAATGCGTAACAGAAGAGGTGAGGAATGATCAAGCGAAGACGAGAGAATTATGAAGGGAAACGAGACGAAGACATGTGGCTTGTTTGAGCACAACTGAGACAGCAGGCAAATGAAGAGTCCAAGCTGCAAGAGCGATCTTGTAAGCATTCGTCCTGTTGCTAAGAAAAGTGGAGCAACCTAGAGCTTTGACAAGGCCAACCAGGGTAGTGGGCATGCACGTAGCCGGGTTGCATTAAAACGAAACTGCACTGAAGTCAGTCCAAAGTACACCACAGAGCAACAGAATAAGGAGACTCTGTTCAAAAATGTGGAGTCACAACGTGGGCTCGGCTCCAAAGTCGGACGAACCAAGGTTGTGTGCTCACAAATATCAGCGCAGGATATTTGAGCCAGCACGATCAACCGTACACCTCTACCTTCACCGTTTGCACTTTCCCAACCGCTAAGATGGGCTGCAAACCAAGCAAGCCACCGGCTCACAAGGTCATGAAAAGACGCTCTCAACCGCAGCCACGATCCACAACCATGCCTTTGGTGGAAGACTTCCCACGTAATTACAGGTTCATAAAAAACCTAGGGAAAGGCGGGGAAGGCCAGGTGCAGGAGTTCGCCCAAAAGCGCACTGGCACGCTGGTTGCCGTGAAGGTTATCAAGCGGAGACGAGGCGGTCGGCCGCGCGAAGTTGGATTCCTGAGTAAGCTCCCCGAGAACGACTATATCATCAGATATCTGGGATATTTCGACGGATGGCCAGATTGGGACTACTACACGATCGTCCTTGAGCATTGCCCGGGTGGCGACCTATACCAGTTTTATAAGAAGTGCACAGCGTCAAACGATCAGGCTGTCTTCTCTGAGGCGTTCATGTGGACCGTTTTCAGTCAGGTGGCAAAGGCACTTGCGTTCATCCACGAAGGTGTAGGGTGTAGGAACCCGCGCGACGCAGAAAAATGGCGATCACTAATACACTGCGATATCAGACTGGAAAACATCCTGATCAAAAGTCTGGGGACAAATAGCACTTACTCGTCGATAGTCATCAAGTTAGCGGACTTCGGTCTCGCAGGGTACTATGATCCGAGAGCTACAGGTCCTAACCACCTAGGAACGCCTGCATACTGGGCGCCAGAATTGGACTGGGAGAGATTACTGTATACGCCAGCAAATGATGTCTGGGCTATCGGAGCGGTGATGCACCATCTTGCTCACGGCTTCTTACCGATTGAGGATCCCTGGACCACCATAAAAAGGTGGGAGAAATGGAATGCAGGGCAGCCGTATCCAAGTAACTGGCCCATCAAGAATGAAGAATCCTGGTGGTGTGCATACGCGAAGCGTGAGGTCGTACCCATCAACCTCGAGCCCGGGAGTCACACGGAGGACTGGCGGAGGAAACGACCAACGCCAAAGTATTCGAACGCACTGAATGATTGCTTAAGCCTGGCGCTGAAAATACACGCTTATGATCGGCCAGAAGCTGGCAAGCTTGCGCGACATATCGAGTCGACACGAACGGATGTCTTGGTCAAAGCTCGAGCAGGTCAAGCTACCAATGATAGTGAGAACATGGAACTAGTGACGGGGCGTGGCATCTCCACGTTCAGGGGGCATCCAAAGGGAGATGGTTTGCGTCAAAGAATGACGTGAGGGGTCAGCGATGCGTTGGGGAAGGAGAGATGGCCATGGCAGAGGCGTTCACGAGTCATTCGCCGAAACGGGGGATAAGCAATTTAACAGGTTCATGGCGTACGAAGAAAGAGACAAGTCGCCTCGAAGAATGGTATAGATGTTTGGACTTTGTTGGTGGATGACTATGATCGACGCGTTGTTCGCTAAGACGCGCCTGCTCAACTTGGAGCTAGCTGACTAATCACCAATTCTCTCCTTCCTCTTTCCTCGTCATTCGTCCTTCATCATCAACAACACGAATAACATAGGCAGTTTGCACAATCAAATGTCACGTTGCGTTGATATTGCTTCATAGAGTCGAACTCTAAGCGGCTGGCTCGAACCGGGAACGATCGAAGTTGCAGGAGTTCTGATCAGGACTCGAGCACAAGCAATGACCGTATGTACAACACTCCCTGCTTCCCTGCCTCCTACCCTTATGTGATGAACGGAAGCGCTGGTCTGAACCACCAACGTGACTCCCAATACACTTGAACCGAGAGCTTCCTCCCCTGCCCATTGCGCTTTCTTGTGGTTAGCGCTCGCAAGCCCGGACAGATGCGATGGGAACAGACAGGCGAAGAGCTCGATGCGCGAGACTAAGATAGCTCTGATTGAATTGCATCTCCACCATCGTATCACCTCTGAAGCTGCAGGACAGTTGCTGACTCGAACACAGATGCAGTACGAATCTCAATAGTTCTCCGCTCATTATGCGCGCAATGCGCAATCAAACATCTAGTGGTATCTCCCGCGCCTTTTGAAAACCTAACGCCATGAACTGGATCTCCTCAGCCGTCTAGTAGACACCTTCTTCCAGTATCGGCACAAAATCAATCCCCACTGCATCCTCTCTGACTTCCTGCGGCGCGGGCTCTTCATCCACCATCAACCCGCCCAACTTCGAATCCTCTTCCACCTTCTCCTCCTCCTTCATTTCCGGCTCCTGATACCACTCCTCCTCCTTATTCTGCAGCATCGCCTTCTGCAGAACTTGACTCAACGCCTGCATGACACTTCCAGCACTACTCTCCTTCGTCTTACTCTTCATTAAAGTATGATGCCGCAAGAAATTGCCATTGCACTCCGTAATCGGATAATCGCGATGCACATCCTCCTTGAACCCCGGCCAGCCGACCGCATCATCGCAACTTATCCCAACGATGGTCTCGGACGAGACGTTGAACTCCGGGTCGTGGCGGATGTACTCGCTGAATGCGCGCTGCTCGTGGGACCATTCTTGTTTCCACTTTCCGCATCCTGAGTAGCGAGATTCGGTTGTGCAGTCCTTCCAAGCAGAGAGCATATCCATAGTAAGAGGCAGATTCTGAGCGACAACGAAGCCGGTGTTGAGGACGCGCAGATCGTAGCTGTCGGTGCTAATGGATTTGTTGTCGCGGAACTCTTCGGTATCCCAGGGAAGCGCCATGGAAGTGTTGCGTGTGATGCCCCAGCGGTTGAACATCCACTCGAGCGGGACTTCGAGGTGGGATACTGTGACGTCGGCGTCCATGGCGACGACGAAATCGTATTCGGGGACTAGTTCATGGAAGACGTGCGGCATGATCCAAGTGTTGTAGTGGTCGGGGATGGAGCGGGCGGAGTAGAGTCTGTAGTCGTAGCCGTGAATTTGGGCGTACAAGTAGTGGTTCATGACTGCGTTGGAGACGAGCTGGCCGCCACTCATGTCAAGCGATTCCCAATCAAGCGTGTCGGGGTTGAGGATCTCGTTTGAGCCAGTTGGGACACGGGTGTCGATGTCTACAATGAGGACCTTCTTCTTGAGGGGTTCGGTCCATGTTGTTTTGCTGCCGCCTGCGAAGTACTTCCCAGCTGAGTCGCGGTATTCAGGGTATGTAGGATCAACTCGTATGGAGTCGAAGAGAGCGACGATGGTGTCGCGTAGAGTAGGCTTGATGGTGGTAGTAATGTTCGATCTGCGCAGTGATTAGACACTGAGCTCTAATGCTGTTCGACATGCATACCTGTATGGCGACTTCACCACTTCATTATACACTGTTGGTTTTTCATGGAAGAGGAAGAACGAGAACGAGACGATAACAAGAAAGACAGCAAGTGCAAGATAGTGATAACGCTGCGTGGCTAACATTTTGAACTTAACGAGAGACTGTATGCGAAGCAAGGAAAGACAGATACGATAGAAGCAAGGCGTGCAAGGCGGGAGCGAGAGGATATCATAAGTTCCTGTTAGTCCAGAGTCTTTGAGGGCGGCAACATTAGTTATTCGGAGATGCGCGGGACTGCTCTTAGTGAACGGCGGATGTGCACGATCTATTCTACAACAGGTACTTGCAGAGGCGTCGTCACCTTGAATCAGGCTAGCCGGTGTCGGACTCGTATCCAAGCTAAAAACATACCGTGTCAGCGCGAATTTCCATAGTCATCCTCACAAGAATCTCGTATATCTCGGATGTACGTGGGGTTTATCGTGAGCCGTTACGCTAGACTTGACAAAACTTTCAGATGTGTCTTCCAGCTCAAAAGGTGTGATCGTGTAAGAGAGTAGGAAATGCTATGATGCTTGATACGGACAGCGCAAGGCGATTATGAATCATCGCAGATCGCGGGTCGGACTTTAGACTTGAATGTGGCTGGCTGATAAGAAGCTGAAAGCAGGTCGTTGGGAGATGTTCTTGTTCCAGGCTGAGGCTGAAGTGTCATTTTGGTGTAGCGGAGGCTTTAGGCACGTCTGATATGCGGTTACAAACCTGGAAGTGGACTTAGTTGTAGTCATTTTAGGCTTGGTCTCCAAACACCGCTCGTGATCGTGGCGCTTTGACCCACGCTTCGTGAGCAGTCTGATTGGCCTCAAAATCGTGCGATAACAAAACAACACCACCTCCTTTCCCCATTGCAGACAAATTCCAGTTGTGGACATTTTCTGTGGGTGTGGCGTTGCGCGCGGATCTGAAGATGTGCATGAAGAGATCTGGATCCAACGCACAAGCTGCAATCTGGCCCAACCTCCGCGCTTTCACTCGTAGCTGTCCCCGCCGAAGAGAACTGTCAATACTTTAAGGAGACCACAACCGTCGGCAAGACCGCACGACCGCAGTAAGGGGCGTTTAAGCGACAGAATGATGGTTCTCGGGTTCGCATTCCACAAACAATCGTCGTTCGGCAACCCTCGTTTTCTTGCGTGCAGCATCCGTAGCGTTATATTGATACCAACGAAGGGCGACCAATACAGCACTTGTAGCTTTTAAGGATCAACCAGTACCCGCTGTTTTTTATGCTCGGGGAGCAAGGACAGAAAATGATACTCACTCTTCGCAGAACAGGCCAAGTTAAGTTTGGAGTTGATGGAGCTCACATCCTCCTCTTGACTCGCGTCAATGCTCGTTCAACCACGTTCCTCCCGAGTTGCGGTATGCTTTGCACGATGTGGCCTTTGGCTCCTTCCTGCTCACCCACCTGCTCATCGCCCTGGACGTCTGTAGCGACAGCTTTGACCTCGTACTGCCTCGGCGCGTCTCTCAGTTCAGGCCATATGTCCAGAGGTAGAAAATCACCCTGAGCAAGCGCGAACTGCTCTCTTGCGCGTTCGTCCTCAGTGAACAATTTGTCCAATTCTTTTTGCGCTTCTTCGGCCTTTCGTTTCGCTTTCTCATGCCTCCTTCGGCGTGAAGATACTTCAACCAAAAGCTCTGCATACGCAAGATCAAAACGCTCGTAGAACTCCCGCTGGTTCTCCCACTCTTCGATGCCGTTTAAAAGTGTCGGTCGCGTATCGTCGAGCCACGACACATGGAATGAGCGTGAGGTCAAGATGTGTGACCTGACTTCAGCTGTGATTTGTGCTATCATTTGCAAAATGCTCGAGAGCGCTGACGCTTCGTTGCGGAGGTGATTGATATGGTTCTCGATCTGGTTCAAGAGGAAAGTTATCTCTGATCCACGCTCTCGTATCTCTGAAACGACCTCTTCGACCTCGTGTGCGTCCTTTTGTAGCACGGTCAACATTTCTTGGCGCTCGCCTTCACTCATAGGCTCCGGTGGAGCTGCGAACTCATCTCCAGATTGAGACGGTGCGTCGCCTGTGGCCTGCGTCGCAGCAGCTGACCCTCCCTCCGTATGTCGCAGCGCTGTGACGCATAGATCGTAGTGTTGCACTAGTCCCTGAAATGCTTGTGCGGCCTCCTTTGCGTGCCCTTCGAGATCGTGGTATAGGCTTGGTATTGGGCTTGGGTTCGAGGTGGTAGCAGGGGTCATCGGTACGTTCTCGATCGAGGAGTGGAGATTATCAAGGGAGGTATCGAACGCATCGTTACTGTCACCGAGCGTGGCTAGAGCTTCGTTGTATCGATCTATGCAGGCGCGCAAGGTGCCTTCGAGATTGGAGACGGTGGTGCTGTCGATGAAGTCGTAGAGGTGCTTCTGCGGTGTACCAGGTGGCTGAAGGGCAGCCTCGATGGGGGTCTCGCGCAGTACAGCGAGCATCGAGTTGAGACCTGAGAAGGAGGTATCGACATCGTGCAGTAATTGCTTCAGCCTGTCAGCAAGTTAATCTCAACGAGGTCAATGATATTACCTTGAATTCAGCCTGGACCTCAGCCTCTACTACGTCTACACCACGACGGACGGCCTCCAATGTGTCTACCTGCTGATCTACGATGTTCCGTATCGAGGCATTCTTTGCTGCTAGTATTGCGTTCTCCTCAAGCAGCTCTCGTGCTGTAGTCACAATCTCGTTGGCGCGCCATAGCACGGTCTGAGAGTTTAGGGAACGCTTCGCAGCAACGAAGTGGTTTACAAGGTCCTCGAGTGTTTGCGGACGATCGCGATCCTGTTCAAAAGAGTGTCTCGAGCCGGCGCTGCTGGCTGAAGCTGCAGGCGACCGGGGCGACGCCATGATGCAGGCAGTAACAGGCAGACGCTGTGAAGCAAAGGACAAATGTCAGCGTGAAGCTACAGGTCGGAGTTCACCATCGTCACAAGATGTGGTAGCTCCGGAGAACCACGGTTGAGATGTCCAAACCAGGCCTGTGGTCCTGAAACTGAGCTTCCCGCGGATGTTGGTGGCAGCTCCGCTCTTACCCCAACATTCACAGTGGCGCTTGCCGCTAGCTGCATGAACCCTGCCTCACGTTATCGCTCCTTCCCTCGAAGAAGAACTCCGGATAAGCAGGAAAACAAAGCATGAGGAAGCACAGGGGGAGTCACTCGAAGCAAATGACAAACACAAAGTTCGAGTTCAGTCTCTGTGCAAAACTTTCTTCAACTCGGCGATCTTCGCAATTTCTTGAGTAATAGTTACTGGTCTCGGCACGAGTTGCGTGATCACTCGGTGCTCGCCATATGGCGCAATTCGGTTCGTCGCCCCCAGCGCGATGGCCCTACAAGTCGTCCACCCCCACACAATCAACGCTCGTGGGTTGATATCAAAAGCAAGCCGTCCGCCGCGATTGCAACTTTTTTTGTGCAGATTCAATCGCAGGTTACCACGTAATTCCACGCAACTTTGTTGAGTTGCTCGTACTGCGCTCAGTTCCCTCGATCATCTCTTGCTTGGCAGTCAGACCCTGGCCATCGTCACAGCACGCGATACCGCCCTCAGATCTCGACAGCAGCACAAGCTCACCGCGTCCCATGATTGAGTGCTACCCGGGCTCTCGCGCTCAGACGAATTCCTGCGAACGCACAGGACACATCTTATCGTGCTGAGCATTTCGAGCATCTCTGGGGTGCTCCACACTAAGATGGCGTCAAATACCACCCAGACTGTCACCACTGTCGCAACAGACCGCAATCGTGCGCAACCTGTCACAAATCCTCCGAAACGACGCCACACGTCCTGGCGTACCCAGTTCCCCGACGAGGAAGCAATGGGTACTCCTACCGACCCGCACACCGCTCTGATGCAGGGCCACGACCATGAGCACGCTTCTGAGCGTTCACGACACCTCCTGGGCGAGAAAGCAGAAGAGACCGAAGAGGCCCAAGCGAGCAAGTCTAAGAAGATTGAGAAGATGATCACGCCCTACCTCGCCCAACATATCCCCCAGCAGTACAACCCGCTTGGCGGCGCTGGCGGCGCAGGCGCCCCTCCTGGCAACATCAACACCAAGTTCTGCTACCGCCACCGTCCTGACCTCCTGTGTCGACGACAGGCCGACGAGCCCTCCATGGAGCAGTTGCAGCAGGTACGTTCGTTTCTCACCAATTGGTAGACAGCCACTGACGTGTCATAGGAGCTTGGCAAAGAGTCACAGGCTGACCAGCAGAGCATCGCCAATGTCTGGTCACTGTTCTCCGCGGCCCCTTCTCGACACCGCAACCTTATGCTTCAGGGCATCTTGGCTCAGTGCTGCTTCCCTCAATTGTCCTTCGTCTCCTCATCTGTCCGCAATCTCATCAAGATCGACTTCATTGGCGCATTGCCCCACGAACTTGGCTTCAAGATCCTCTCCTACCTCGACACTACCTCACTCTGCAAAGCAGCTCAAGTGAGCCGCAAATGGAGACAGCTCGCCGACGACGACGTGGTCTGGCACAAGATGTGCGAGCAGCACATTGACAGAAAGTGCACCAAGTGCGGCTGGGGACTGCCATTGCTCGACCGCGCACGTCTACGACACGAGAAGAGGAGGATCCAGCTGCGAGCTTCAGGACGAGGGATCAACAAGTGGTCACCAAATATTACCCCCGTGCCTGAGGACTCAGAACCCCCTACAACCCTAGTGCACCGCACATCAGCCTCTTCCGACACCACCACAGGCACCAAGCGCTCCGCTCCCGAGGACCCATCCTCACCAAAGGCCTCGTCGAAGCGATCATGTACCGACGTCACACATGGCGAAGCTCGTGACCAATTGGCATCATACTTCGCTCAGCCCAAGAAGCGTCCGTGGAAGGATGTCTACAAGGACCGCTTCAAGGTCGGCACCAATTGGAAGTACGGACGCTGTTCTGTCAACATCCTTAAGGGCCACACCAACGGCATCATGTCTCTCCAATTCGATGACCGCACCCTCATTACAGGGTCCTACGATGCCACCATCAAGGTATGGGATATCAAAACCGGAAAGGAAATTCGAACCCTTACCGGACATACTGCCGGTATCCGCTGCTTACAGTTCGATGACTCAAAGCTCATTACTGGTAGCCTGGATCGCACCATCAAGGTATGGAACTGGAGGACTGGCGAACTGATTAGAACACTGGGAGGTCACACCGACGGCGTCATTGGCCTCCACATGGCAGAAAAGTTGCTTGCGTCAGGATCGTCAGACCACACCATCATGGTGCACGACTTCAACAACTACCAACGTGTCACACTACGAGGACACACAGACTGGGTCAACTCAGTTAAGATTGACCTTGCCTCACGCACACTGTTCTCAGCATCCGATGACATGACCGTCAAGCTGTGGGATCTCGACACTCATCAGTGCATCAAGACGTATGAGGGTCACGTCGGTCAGGTACAACAAGTCTTGCCCTTGCCACATGACTTTGAGATTGACGAGGACGACTTTAACGCCACCGCCAATACCGACGTCTCTGACACTGCCTCCCAACCCCCCTCCGACAATGAGGCAGCCCTGCCATCGTTCTCTGCTATACAAGAGGAGTCGGTCTTCCCCGACGACCCATCACGACTCAGCCCACCCTCCTACATGCTCACCGGCTCTCTCGACGGCACTATTCGTCTTTGGCACGTACCCTCGGGTCGATGCGTCCACCGCTTCTTCGGCCACGTGGAGGGTATCTGGTCGCTTGCCGCCGACTCTTTACGTGTTGTAAGCGGAGCAGAAGACAAAACAATCAAGATCTGGGACCCACGTACTGGCAAGCACGAGAGGACCTTGGTCGGTCACACCGGTCCCGTGACTTGCATCGGCCTCAGCGACGAGCGAGTCGTCAGCGGTGGTGAGGACGGCACTGTGCGAATCCACTGTTTTACAAGCGTCTGAGCGATCTTCATTGTCGATCTCTTTAATGGCTCATGCCACAGAAAACTTTAGCATGGCGTCTCTCATCCATGGGTTGACATTTACTGTATTTTGAAGAGGGCGGCGTCCCAAAAGCAACAAAATGTTGGCTCTTCATTTGGCGTTCATCTTGTATATATGTAATCCGTTCTGGCTTCATCTGCTTCTAGCTAGATACCCTCTTGCAATCGATCTGAACACTTTCAATGGCCTTCTTCTTCTCCTTCCTGTTCTGTTTGTCTTTTGCATCTCTATCTTATCAGCATCCATGCAAGACCCCTATCACCACGCATAAGGCGTGCTTGCAGTGTCGCGTGGTGCGAGAAGTACGGACCGGGTCGGCATGGCGTGATTCGCCGCCACAACGTATAAGGATTCTGAGCGCGCACGTCAGTCTTGTAGTTTTGAGATGTTTCAGCGGCCCGCTTGATTTCCAGGACTCGAGTCTCTAAGGAGAAATGAAGAGTGAGCTGGAGTGTGTCGATCCGGAGTGTTGCTCTGGCTCGCCGAGGGATATATGCAAAATGCCTCAAGCTAGCCTCAATTTCGAGGGGCGCAGGGCTGTGCTACACCGCGACATTGCTTCACCTTTCCACATATGTGAAGGTAGTGAGGTGAAATTCGCTCAAGAGGGGTGCATGTGGCGCGTGATGGTGTTTTGCCGGTGTAGGTGTTGCGGTATAAGGCAACCACCATGTTCCCAGCATCAGTGCACAACAACACTGCACAACTACACAATCCCAACTCCAGACAAGCCTCTCGACTGTGTGCGAAGAATCTCAACGCGTACCTTGTGACTGCATTCGAGCTATCGCAACCCTGTCACTTCCCCACAACTCCACCGTTGCGTCGATCGCGTCACTATGTCGCCATCCACTTTGGTCCCGACTTCAGCGCACAACTCATACACCGCATACACCTCGACGCCCCGCTCATCGTCTATCTCATCTGTCTCGTTGACCGCCTCGTCTACGACGAACTACGATGCTTCACAACAGTCTGGGCGACGACCATCGATCACTGTTCAGAATCAGCGACTCCCTTGCACAGACCGAGAAGCTCAACTGTACTTCCTCATGGGGTTCAGCCCGACAGACTCGAGAACCGGGAGACGGGCTAGTTCTATCGGCAGCCTGGGCTGAGCTAGCTCTGTCCCTGGATTCACACACGGATCATAAAACGACAGCGAGATAGACTACCAATCAGAGCACCATCATGTGGCGTCTAGTCGTTGATGTCGAACGAGATTGGCAAGCCACCGATTCCATGCCGACTATACATGGACTAGTACCCTGCTGCGTCAAGCGGCCAGCGACCAGCATGCGCTGTCTGGCGGTATTGGGCCAGTCGTCACCGTCGGCGGCTGATACCAGAGACCCGAAAACCGAGTGTCGGATTGCGTGTTCGATGGAGTGTTGCAAGGGAGAGCATGGACGGGGTTGGTTCGTGTGAGGATGGTTGTGGTTACTTGCATCGAAGGGAAAGTCCAAAGACGGAAAAGGCCAAGGCGATGTAGAACAAAGTAGGAGCATCAAGACATACGGAGCATTGGGGCTGTTTAGGAGCGTTGAGGCTGTTTAGGAGCGTTGGGGCTGTTTAGGAGCGTTGAGGCTGTTTAGGAGCGTTGAGGCTGTTAAGGAGCGTTGAGGCTGTTTAGGACGACTGAATGCATCATTGTACTTTTCCCCAACCATGCCATGCGGTCGCTAAAGTGCCGAACAAAATGACGCCTCATCGAGACGATGCTCACTTCCCGAACTTAATCCGATGCAGTACCTCCCCTATGGCTCAGTCTCCTAGTACTGCGCGCTTGGAGCTTTCCTGCCGTGGACAAAGTAGAACCTGATATACATGTGCACGTCTTTCCGCCTCACATCGTTCGTGACCTGCGCAATCAAGACACGACATTCTTCTTCTGACCAGCCAAGGATCTTGCCAATGAAACCAAAGGTATAGGGCTCGATGCCCATGGCCATGTGCTCGCGCTGATAGCGGCCAATCTCTTTCATCCGTGGATCCTTAGGCCACGGACCGATGGGGACCTTCAATCCGTCAGTACCAAACACACCATCAACACGGGCAAGAGCGTCTCACCTTCACGATCTTCTCAGCGACATCCACAAAGCCCGCGTCAAGCATCCGCTGCTTTAGCGTCTGGCCCACCCGGATATCCTTTGCAAACACCTTGGCCGCGTCGTGGCACAGATCCTGCCACCTCTGCATGGCCGTAGCATTCTCGATCGTCCCATCGTCGCTCTCGCACAGCGCAACAGGCTCCTGGAACTCCAGCCACCCGCCGGGCTGCAGATGCGCATAGCACTGCTGCGTCAGCTTGTCCCAGTCGCCAATCGCCCCGGACAGTGTGCGCACGTGTATGAAGTCGAAGTGCTCGTCTGGACTGTACACCCATTCTGACTCGGCATCGTCGATGTAGAACTTTGCATTTGGGGGGACCCACGTTGGTTGAATGGGCGAGAGGTCTGTGCCGAGGACTTCGCACCCGGGGTTCTCATCTGCAAAGTCAATCGCCCATATGCCTGTCCCGGTGCCTATATCCAGCACCCTTTTCGGCGGCGGCGAGATGGGCACATCGTAGAGTTTGCCGCCAAGGATGAGGGTGAAGATGTGGTGCAGCAGGTCGAGACGGTCTTGCTCCTGCTCGTCGTTGGGCAGCACGTAGGCGCCGGAGCGGTAGCCGTGGTAGCGGCGGCCGTTGGAGTACTCGTAGTTGAGGATGGAGGAGGCGAGCGAGGTGCTGGCGGACGAGTTGGCGTCGAAGGCGCTGTCGGTGTCGCTGCCGGAGTCGGGCTCGAGGTGGGTGACGGGCTGGAGGTCGCCGTGGTCCTGTGGGGGGTCTACATGGTGCTGTGACGTATGTACCGTGTCTGTAGGTGGCAGTGTAGGGCCCGCGGACGACGGCGCACTTGCATGGGGAGTATGGGCAGCTGTGGGCGCTGTGGGCGCGGTCGCTGGAGGGAGCGGGGACGGGCCGCTCTCGACGGCGGGGGCAGCCGACATGGCGGGCGGTGGGCGGGCGGTGGGCGGTCGGTAGGCGACGCAGGCTGGTTGGGATAGCGCGAGGTGCTGGTCTACGGGCGTCGCATGGATCTGCTGGAGGAGTGCGGAACTGCGATCACTCGAGAAGACATGGCCCCCGCGACGTCGCGGCGCCGCTCCTTATATTGGGGCGCTGTCTCTCCCGACGGCTGTTCGGCGTCCATTCCCAGGCTCACGGGTCTTGACAGGAGCAGGTCGCATGAGCGCTGCCAATTTCTGCGGCCGTTGCAGTCAACCCCTAGCGCCCGCCGACTACAGACGATTCACCCACACGTCTCCACCGCGGCCACATGGCTCCGCATCCATTCGCTGCTTTGGGCCATCCGGCCGGCCACACTGACACGCGCTGGCACCCCCTTCAGGCCTGGCGGCCGAAGACGGCTCCCTCTTCTGCACCACATAGTCACAGCGGCCAACAGCATGTCATGCTATAGCCAACGTCATGCTATAGTCCGGGGTCGCTGCCGACCCGCTTGAATACCACCGTTAGAACACCGCACCGAATGCACATGCTAGTCAATGCGCACCGCATTCACGCCCCACACATGCCGTCTGTCCGTGCTTCCCTTGCTTGGGTGCCCCCCCCCGTTGCTTTCTTTCACTCATCTAAAGAACCGCCGGCCCGCACTACTCTTACGCGAACACATGTTTCATCTCTGTGACCACACCATCCCCGCCACCACCTGGAACTGGCAGCACCGACAGAACGGACCATGGCCGCGGCACTCGCCCACACAATTGCGACCGCCGGTGCCCTGCCTGTGCTTGCTGCATCACTCCTCGCCTATGGCATTGCGCTCGCCGTCTACAGGCTCTTTTTACACCCGCTGGCCAAATTCCCGGGTCCGCGCATCGCTGCCGTGACTTCGTGGTACGAGGGCTACTACGAGATTGTCAAGAACGGGCAGTACTCGAGGACGATATCGAAGCTACATGACCAATATGGTAAACACTCATCTTCCTCTTGGCATGCTTGTTTGTTGTTTGTTGACGTCTCGCGTCAGGCCCAATCATCCGCGTAACCCCTCACGAACTGCACATCCGCGACTCGCACTTCTTCGAGGAATTTTATGCAAAGAACCTCCACCTCGACAAGGAAGGATGGGACGTCCGCTTCGGCACAGAGGGCGGCGTACTGACCACTGTCGACGCCGCGTTCCACAAGCGTCGCCGCGCCGCACTGAGTCCCATGTAAGTCAGCAGTCGGCCTCATCACCAATTCTCCAATCCGCAGACGCCAGGAACGAACTGCTGTTCCTCCAGCCGTGTCCATGTTCAAGGCTGACGCGCCACCAGGTTCTCACGACGTTCTATTTTGGACTTCGTTCACATCATCTACCGCCACATCGATACCTTCTCGATCCGCATGCAGGAGTTTGAGGCGAGGAAGGAACCGTTGAACTTGACTCATGCGTTTCCTGCACTGACGGGCGATATCATCATGGATTACTTCTTCGGGTTCAACTACGCCCAGCTCAAGCACCCGGAGTTTGAGTCTTTTCACGATGCGTTCCAGAAGATTGGCGGGGCTGGTCATATTGCTACGCAGTTCCCGCTGATGATTCCGGTACGTCTGGAGAACGCAGCAGTATGCTGTCTTGACTAACATGTATAGATGATGAACTCCGTTCCAGATGCCATCACAGAATGGCTACAGCCAGCCGCAAAGAACATCCTCAAGTTCAAGCGCGACCAGTGGTCCAACATCGGCCGCACCATGTCGGGCGAACCTCTAAAGACCAACGACGCAAAGAAGACCATCTTCCAGGAAATCTTACAGTCGAAACTACCAGACGAAGACAAGACCCAAAAACGCCTCTCAGAAGAAGCCCAAATCGTCGTAGGTGGCGGCGTAGAAACCACCGCCTTCGCGCTCTGCATCGCCTCCTTCCACATCATCAACACGCCCCGCATCTACGAACGCTTGCACGCCGACCTCGTCGCCGCATTCCCCAACCGCTCAGCCCTGGAACTGTATCCGTTAGAGCAGATGCCGTACCTCAAGGCCTGCATCATGGAAGCCGCCCGTCTATCCTACGGCCTCAGCGCCCGAAATCCACGAACCCGTCGAACAATGCCTCTACAGTATAAGAATTGGACCATACCACCAAACACCAACGTCAGCATGACTATCCCCGAAGTGTCGCACGATGAATCCATCTTCCCGAATAGCCATGAGTATATCCCCGAGCGCTGGCTCGACAACCCGACTGCACCCGACGGTCTCCCGTTGGAGCGGTATCTGGTATGCTTTGGCCGCGGCACACGATCTTGCTTAGGCATAAATCTGGCCTGGACAGAGTTGTACTTGATTCTGGGTATGATGTTCAGGAGGTATAAGTTTGAACTGCATGAGCCGAATGTCGAGGACGTGCAGCTTGGGCATGACTTTTTCATTCCGGTCACAAAGTTGGACTGCAAGGGTGTAAGGGTATTTGTTGAGAGCGTCGACCACTGATGGAGGAAGGGAGGACCGTTCGTGTGTCCAACTGCGCCTGTGTTCCTTCAATTTGGTCACCTTTGCCGCGGTTCGATACCCTAGGGATCTCTGCTCTTGCGCACCTAGCATTACTTCATGACAAGTGACTTGACTTTTGAAGCTGCTGTATGTGTAAGGACGACCTTCAACGAGGCCAGCTTCAAGGTGCTTGGGAGTTGTCTAATTTGGTGTCTCACTCGATCATGCATGGGTGGGTGCTATGCACTCAGATACGGACGACCAGAGTGAAAGACTGATTAGAAATTAGAGCTGTTGTCCCACGTTACTATGCTTCGCTAACTATGCTTGCAGATGTAGCCTCCCGATACATGCGTCTAGGGTTGAGGGCTACAGTTGAGAAATGATGAGCATTACAGCTCACGAGCAAGCGCCAGAAAAGCAAGTGGACGTCGTGACAGGCAAAGACACCACCCAGGCAGACTAAACGGCGAAGAACGCCAAAACTGCTAGTTACCACCAATACCCATCCGTCACTACGACAGAGATGTTATGTACAGGGGGACGTGTGTTGGTACATTCATGATACATTGTGAAGGAAAGCGGCCGAGAATCTAAACCTTGCTCTCGGGCTGAGAGATGTTTTCCTCATAACGAGCACGGACGCCAGCCTTGTCAGTGGACTCAAGGGAAGACGTCTCACCGTGGCCAGCGAAAGTCGAATGTGGCAGCCACTTGCTAGAACGACGGGGCGAGGTCTCCTTGAGCATGTTGTCGACCTGCTCGAGTGACAAACCCTTTGTCTCAGGAACAAGGAAGTAGGCGAAGACCACACACGCAGTGCAGGTAGCACCCCAGACAAAGAAGACCTTGGTCTTGAGGTTGCCGTACTGCTCGTCGATCATGTAGGGTGTGGTGAAGCCAATGACGAAGTTCCACAGCCAATTGCTTGCGGTCGACAGAGCGACTCCCTTGGCGCGGATAGGCAGAGGAAAAATCTCGCCAATGACGACCCAAGCGGCGGGACCCCAGGTGGAGGCGAAGAAGAAGATGTAGAAGCAAGTGAAGACGATGAGGCACATAGAGGCGGCCTTGCTACCCTCGTCAACGGTGCCCACGATCGCGATGACGAACTCGCAAATGAGCATGCCCACAGCACCGTAGATGAGGAGCATACGACGACCGAATTTCTCAACAGTCCAGAAGGAAAGCGGTGTGGAGCCGACATTGACAGCAGTGGTGATCATGGAGATGACGAAAGCGTTCTTGAGGCCGACAGTCTTAAAGAAGGTTGTGCCGTAGTAGAAGACTGTCCAGGTTAGTTTTCTCGTTCGAAGAGCGCGAGGTCTCCGCTTACCAAAGTTCACACCGGTCCACTGCTGCATCATCTGAAGTGCCATGCCGAGCATGACGCGACGGAGGTTGCTGTTGGGCGAGCTCCACCCACCGACGAAGCAGCTGAGCCAGCCAGACTGCATGTTCTTTGACTCAAGCTGGAAATTGGCCTCAAGCTCGGCCAGCTCATCCTTTATGAATCCAGAGTCGGCAGGCTGACTGCGCAGAATACTCAAGGACTTGGCGGCATCTTCAAGACGGCCGCGCTTGACGAACCAGCGTGGGGACTCGGGTAAGAAGAAGAGACCAATACCAAGGATAAGAGCCCAAGCAAACTGGATGGCAATTGGAATGCGATAGGAGTCGGAGCCCATGCGGTTCATGGTAGAGTTGTCAACTACGGCGGCGATAAGGAGACCGATGGTGATACAGAACTGGTATCCGGACACAATGGCTCCACGAACGGACTTGGGCGCCACCTCGCTCATGTAGAGGATGATGACTGCGCTAACGAATCCGACACCAATGCCTGCGATCAGGCGTCCAGCGACGAGGAGAGAAACAGTAGAGGATGCGACTTGGAGGACAATACCGACAGAGAAGACACCACAACCAGAAATGATGGTGGCGCGGCGACCAATCCAGTCGGCGAGGGAGCCAGCGAAGAGCGCACCAAAGAAGGTACCGGCGGACAAGATGGAAACAATGAGTGACTTCTCCCAGGTCTGATAGAGGCGGCCGTTGTAGGCGTCTGCGGCGGTGGATGGGTCTGTGATGTTAGCTTTGCATGGACAGATGCGCAGTCTCTACTCACTACCGAACTGTTGCTTGAAGGCGTTCATAGCCAGCACGCCGCTAATGTAACCAGAGTCATAGCCAAAGAGGATACTGCCAGAGTCAGTGCTTGTTTTGCAATCAGTTGCATCCAAAAGTTTACCCTCCAAAGGCGGCGAAGACGCAGAGCAGATAGCCACGCAGAGTAACGGGCGCCTCGACACGGTCGAGTGCACTGCCGCGATTGGCGGGAGGAGCCCAGCGGGGCATGTTAAAAGCTCGTTATATTTAAGCTATGAGCTGTAAGTAAGGGTGTATATACGGCTGCGGATTGCGGAGAGTGGAGTTGTTATGTGGTGGAACGAAGAAGGAATGAGAAAGTGTAGGGAGGGAGAGAAACTATATCGTACCTGCATCAAGCGTGCACGGTGCTGGAGCCGCGAGCGGTGCTCTGGAGAATTGTCCTCGTGCGCACCATGAGTTACTGCACTGTGAGGTGAAAGTAAGAACAAAGTGAAGCTTCCGAATTGGGAAGGAGTGTATGAGACATCCCAATGCGGATGGAACGACTGCAGCATTTCTCGGCCCCGGCGCCTCTACAAAGATATGTGAAGGTCACACACCGTGTGTTCGACGCGCGTGGCGATCCGTTTGCGTGGTAACTGGAGTAACTGGAGCCTGTGTAAGTATGAGGCATTGTGGTCTAGGCGCGACGAAGAGCTCGACCATCTGCTACACATCTTGGAGTAAGAGGCCATGGTCTTCGATTGCGAAAACTACCGGTCATACTCCTGCACAGCCACAAGCTGGAATACTACGTATTTTGGAAAGGTGATGTGACACCTTAGCCACCCAGCTGGCCGCTTTGAGACGAACTTCGCGTGGCGGCTGTTCGCAAATTCGGCAGGAAGGACATTCGAGAGCAGAGCGCTAGCTTGGGGAGTGTAAAACTGGTCGAAAGATGGTGTATTGACTTGCTCCACGACAAAAGGAAGAAGGAGATTTCAGAATGAATGAACGAGAGCAGAAGTTCTACAACAATAAACGAGATATTGGTGCAAACAAGCCAATGGACCGAAAAGAACATATAACGATAATACGAACAAAGTCGAGCGCTTTACTGCATCAGGAACCTGAAGTTGAATCAGGCTCTGCGCTGATTATCCCGCATAGCTTCTTCATACGTTGGCCGCGCGACTTCGTCGTAGCTTGGTGGCGCGTCTTCTTCTTGGGCTCTCTCCGAGCTGAAGCTGCGGCGCTGTTGCGCTCTTTGTGCTTCCTCGCTCTTCCTCTCTGGCCTGAACTCTCTGCGCGTGAAGTGGCTGCGCACTGCGCCAGATAAAGACGATTCGGCAGGCGCATGTGCTTCGGCTGCCTGTCGCTGTAGTCAGTACTGCAGGTGTGAAATGAGCTGAATTTAATTAGAAATTACCAGAGTAGCTTTCTTTGCCTTCCTCTCATCTCTCTTTTCCTTGAGCTTCCTTCCTCCCTCTTGCAAGCCAAGGGCGACGCCCATCACAAGGATGCCAGCCATTGTGCGAGGCTAATACTCGGTCCAATTAGGGCGCGAACCAGCTGGTTGGAGAACAAGGTTTGTCTCTGGAACTGGCAAGCTGTTCACGGCAAGTGCTCTGAGCTCACGACGTTGTCGTCGAGCGGCGCACTTGGAGAGTTGCCGAGTCTGAGCTGGAAGCCCGGCTTGAAGTAGGCGTTGCTATTGTCTACGTCTGCAACACATGATGAGTAAGAGTTGGATATATCGGTAGTAGACTCGACGAAATGGAGACATGGGGATGCTGGAAATGTTGCATGCGGATTGCTTACATCCTTATAGTTCGTTGAGCGTGCACTTGAAAACTAGAGAACGGACGTAGATGTCTACAATAGTACGGCTATGATGCAATCTTGTGTAGCCCGGTTCAATAGGGTCAAGATGGTTGTGTGGGAGTTGAATGTTGCGCCGTTGCTGTGAGGTTCTTACGGCCGGAAGTCATTGACGTACGCCGGGGTGGCGACATCACACTCTGAGTACATGTGGCTAGCCTTGCGCTCACCAGCGCCTCTTCATGTACGTTCAAGAGAATTTGCACTACGAGATAGTTCAAAGAATCATCAAACGCGATGCCGACCTGGTCTCGGTGCAGCCATAGTCGGTGTTCCTATCGGACAGCTGGTCTTCGTCTTGCAAATGACGGCGCTCGTTGCGCGCGAAAGTACCATGTAAAAAGCGGTTTTCTATTGCAATGCGGAACCGCCTACAGGTTTTACATACCACGTATGGTTAGAGCAAAGATAGCCATTCAAAAGGGGACTGTGTGGTTTAGAAACCTAGGAATTCGTTGCTTCTATGCGCATGGGCCGACTGCAGGTACTCACGCGAGCTCATGTTCCTTCTGGCAAGCCGCGACGTCCTGCCCTATCATGTCTCGCAATCTTCTATGCTTCACTTCCGTGGACCGGGTATGGATGATGTGGAGAGTCTCCCCGCTGCTTCGTGGGCGACACTCGTAAATTGGTCCTCAACGACAGCGATTGCTATCTTGTTCGAGCTGGTCTACAATTTTTTCACAAGGCCGTGGATCTTATCAATGCCGAAGACTACACCGCAGCTTAACATAAAGCCTGCGCCTTGAGCTCTCATCCGGCATCTGTCTTCAGCCCTCTCAACTTCCAACCCCAAATGCATCTCAGATCTTCAGATGTATCGGCAGCCCTGTGGCTCGCCGCCAATGCCATACCCAACTACAGCACGACTCCCAATGCGACAATTGAGTTCAAACACTGGCCTGCCAATGCATCAAGAGCCCTCAGCAACATGATCGTCAGGAACGCGAACCAGAGCAACCACGCGGTGCTCGACATGGACAACACAAGCTACCGAGACGACCTCGAAGAGTTCCTGCTCCCATTCCTTGAAAACCGCGGCATTCTGACTCGTGAGAACCTGGACCCAACACTGAAATTGATTGACTTCAAGGACACTGCGAACTTCACAGAAACGCTATATAGCTACTATCTTCGCTTGTGTGAAGACGATGACTTCATTTGCTACCCATGGGTTGCGCAAGTCTGGTCAGGATTCACACTACGCGAGCTGAAAGGCTATGTTGATGAGCTCATGGCTCTCAACTCGATGATTCCTACCCGGTCCTGGGATGGTGATGAAGTCGTCAACTCTACGGTCAGTTCTCCTCAGGTCTTTCGTGGCCAGGCGGAGCTGTACAATGCTATTATGGACAACGGCATCGAAGTCTACGTTATCAGCGCCGCGCATGAAGAGCTCGTCCGCATGGTTGCCAGCGACCCGAAATACGGCTACAACGTCCCACCGCAGAATGTCATCGGTGTCACTACCATGCTGGCAAACTCAACCTCGGGCTATCTCACCAATGCTCGTAAGCAGATCGTTGAGGGAACCTATGATCCAGAAGCGAATCTCGATCTGATCCTTGGACCGTATCTATGGACCACGACCACGTGGTTTTCTGGCAAGTGGGCTGCGATTCTGACTTACATCGATCATTGGAAGCGCCCAACTCTCGCAGCTGGAGACACTCCTGGCTCCGCCTCCTACATGTTGTTCCACGGCGTGGACACCACGAAGGGAGGCATTCACTTATGGATCAACCGCCGAGATGCGTACTGGGAGATAATGCAGGGCGAGATCCGCGACAACACTGCTGCGCAGACTGCAAACGGAAGAGAAGTGACTACCGATAAGAACTGGGTTGTTGTCAAGCCTGCAGATATCTTGTAGAGCGTAGTCTACAAGGTAGGTACAGATGATTTTGCGCTGCTTGATGCGTAGAAAGTATCAAATCCAACAATTAAGCTTTTTGGAAGCATTTGAAAACTGACTTCGTGTTGATATTCGTAAATGAGTGAGGTCTGTTGGTGTTGCGTCACGAGTGAATAATCAACAACTTTGGAAACCCCGAAGCTGCTCTTCGCCGCTTAGTAAGCCATGCGCGTTCCGCGATGCGAGCGCAGGGCTGCAATTGCATTTAGAGCTTGACATAACGGATACATTCATTGCGCAAATGCAACGGTATCTTTCTGAACAATGGTGGTCCGACGCTTCCGTAAGGAACGATGTTCCCCGCTTGATCATCTTGATTATTTCGGAGTTACCGTTACCGTGACGCATAGATGGATTTCTAAGCACCAGTAGCACACAGGAAGGGACTCCCCATATAACCCCTTATTTGTGCATGCAGGCTGACCTCCATGTCACTACTACGTCCTCTTACATCCCAAGTGCCTAGGCTCATCACTCGAAGCTTCCTACAAGCACCCAAACATCAATTGAGAGCGCCATTCCACACCTCCACTAGACGAACGCTACAAGTACTCCCCGAGATGGCTGACGAACGACCCACCGGTCTGAAGGCGAACAAGGGCATCGAACTGCTCACCTGGGGCACGCCCAACGGCTGGAAGGCATCAATCTTGCTTGAGGAGCTCAAGGAGGCATACGGCAAGGACTACACCTGGCAAGGCATCAATATCAGCCAGAACATCCAGAAGGAGGAGTGGTTCACCAAGCTGGGACCGAACGGCCGAATCCCAGTCATTGTAGACCATGACAAGGGCGGCTTTGCGGTACAAGAAGGTCTTGGTAGGTGTACAAACACACAGCTCCAGAAACGGAACTGACAGCTACAGCTATCCTTACCTATCTCACACGTCACTACGACCCCGAGCACAAATTCAGCTTCACCGATGACCTCGACGTTTCTCGTGCCGAACAATGGATGGCATGGCAGCACGGCGGCCTCGGCCCAATGCAGGGACAGGCCAACCACTTCAACCGCTTCGCGAAGGAGCGCATCGCATACGGCATGCAGAGGTACACCGGAGAGACTGAGCGCCTTGTGGGAATCCTTGACAAGCAGCTCAAGAGCAACGACTTCCTCGTTGGAAACAAGTTCAGCATTGCTGATATCGCCAACTTCGGTTGGGTACACATACTCCGATTCTCTGGTGTCGAGCTTGACAACTTCCCCAGTTTGAAGGCCTGGTGGGAGCGTGTCTTGGCTCGTCCTGCTGTACAGCGTGGCCTGAGTATCCCCTCCAAGTCTGGACTTGGTAACGACACCTATATGCAGAAGCTCAAGGATGACAAAGAGTTCGCTGAGAAGGAGCACGAGCTGAGGGAGAAGGTCAAGGCTGCGAAGGAGCAGTACGGATACAAGTACTCTTCTCCTTGAACAATCAATTGCGTTCAAGCAGCCGGTGCGACGGTTCTTACGTTCGAATCGCAAAAGAAATAATGACAATCAAGACCTTTCGAGGCAGCAAGAGCTCCTCATAAGCAACATCTCCTTGCTCAGTGTCCACAGCAAAGTCTCTATTAATGTACACAACAGACCAAACACATTCGCAACACCGGCAGTAGCCGTCCCCACTCTCGCAATTAACCGCTTTCTCATATCAGCAAGATGGTACAGTGCGACAACGTTTCTCGCGGCGCTTCCAGCTTTCGAGCGTTGTGTGAGCCAATCATAACCTCACGGACCCTTAATCCTCAAACCGGGCGCCTATGACGGCAGCCAAGAATTGCGGTTTGCGACAGAACAAGGTCTCTTGGCTGCCACCTCAAGCTCACAGGCGCCAGATACCGGGGGAGGGACTGAGTGCTTGTATCCTTTGCGATGCAGGGTTTCGCGGTTCAAGCGCGTTGTTGAGGCTCAAAACCGTTGTCACAGCCGTCCAATTTTTGCTTTTCATCACGTCCATCTCTGCATAAATTTGTTCAGTCGCATTTGAGTTTCTCGTGTCTTGTGCTTCTTGCGATATCGATTCCTCTAGGCAAGCCTCACGCGTTACCCCCTTTGTCGATCACTACACAGAAAGAACGCCCTCGTGAACAGGCCTGGCAGCCACATCCCACGTCACAACGTCATAACCATTGAAAGACATTATTCAACTTCACGCCCAAACTCTTCTTCCAAGCGTTTTCTTGTGAACGCAGTCGCACTGTGAACATACAACGCTTTTATCTGCAGACAGCTATATTGCTACTGCGCCAAACTCCCCGCAGCACCAAATTACGAATTGCGCCTCTCATACCTACAAACCAACGAGCTCACCGCCTCCTACGAAACCTCACCTACGAACAGCAACACTTAGGTACGTGCGCTTAATTTCTGGCTCTCGACTGAAGCTAATCATGCTCCAGCTTCTCATCATGGCACTCAAGTTCCTCTCTCGTAGATCGATGAAGGGCGAAAAGGCTACTCTTGGCACTTCATTCTGGTCACATTTCACCCTTCCTGGGGCTATTCTGATCTTCCTACGCTTCTTTCAGTTCGTACTGGGTATCACTGTCATCGCGCTCTATGCCGTCGACCTGGATAATGCCCGCAAAGCTGGAAAATACACCGACTCGAAATGGGTCTGGGCTGTCGTCTGCGGTACCCTGGGCGCCATTATGGCACTCGTATCATTGGCGCCTGTGAAGGCCTGGATCTTCTTCTGGGTCGACTTCTTCGTCTTCGTCTGCTACCTTGTCGCATTTGGCATCTTCGGCAAGATGTACATTCCAGAGAACGCCGAGGGCAACAAAGGCATAATCCGCATGAAGAACGCAGTTTGGTTGTTGTTGACCAACATGCTTCTATGGTTTATTACTGCAGTGTGGAACGGCTTCTTCTTCTGGAGGGAACGCAATGCACGTACTACACACACTGGACGTGCTCATACGCACGTCTAAGTGTTCTTCCCTGAGAATAGGAGAGAGTGCGTAGCATGCAAGCTGACAGAGATTGTGCAGAGAATCATGTTCGACGTTGAGCTGAACATATCTCCTTGGCCTTCTCCCGAGAAATCACTACCGCCGGTCTTTACACCAGTACGAGAAGCGAATGCTCCTGCGCGAGCACCACCTGTTTTAAAGCACTATTGGCCTCCACCATCTCTGCCGGTATCCAAGCGTCCAGATTCGCTGCCAGCTTTCCCTTTACCGCCTCCTTCAGCGACCGAGCCAGCGGCGTCACCAGCTTCCGAGTCCATACCTCCACCAACGACGTTTGAGTCCGCTCATATTAGTTCTGAGACGCTCGAGTCCATACGCACGCAAGCCCCAACCACAATGCCTATATTTCTGATGGAGCATACCCAGGAAGGGACAAGGCTGAGGAGAGTCTCTACGCCTGCTGAACTTGCTATTTTCATCCAATCTTTGCCATCGATACCCCATTGAATTAGCAACGAGTACATGAGCTTTCTTTCTAGCAATAACATCATTCCATTCTCATCAGAAAGTGTCATGCATGCGTGATTATCAAATAGTGTTGTTACTGCTCGTTACCCCGTGCAAGCATGATTGTTGTTCATTGCTAGGCGCTACTCTTCAGCGGAGGCTGGTCAAACACTGTGTGATCAATAGCAGACTTAGTCAGATCATCCTCGGTGTATCTGTCGGCGCTGCTCTGCAGTTAGGTGTGGTGTTTGAGGACTACTGTGAGCCCAATGAGATCGTGGACTAGTCGAGATCATAGAGTGCTCGTAAGGTATAGGGTCATAATCCACTTTAGCCTAAGGCGTCCCTGCTCTGTTTGTTGATGTATTTACAGGCGGGGCCAGCATTGTGCCCTCATTCTTCAAAGCACCCTCCAGCTCCAATGCGTGCGAGCTCACAACGGCGGTTGTTCTACTTGTGGAACAATGTTATAATGGCCGGATATATGGTATACACCCTTTGATGGCGATGGTGGAGTATAAATGACAACTTTCACAAGCATCAAGCAAAGGTGAACAATGTTTTGAAGTTGAAAATTATTCATTGGTATCTCATGGCCTCATAATCATGCCGCAGGGACAAATGTCACACTACTTTGCAATCTGATCCTATCGATATTCCAGGCGAACCGCATCGTGAAGTCGTCGACCGTGAGGTTGATGAAGTATTATACTGACGTCCGCTGTAAGGTATCAATGAGAGCTCGAGCAAGATAGAAGTGAGGAAGCTTACCAAGTGATTCGAGTGAGACGCTCAGATGGAGCGCTTGTTGGCCTCAGCGGAGCCCTGGTGCTTAGACTCGTCAAGCTTGTCAGAGGCAGCGCCGAAAGCACCAGAGACACGGTCGGAGACGGAGTCCTGGCCGGGAACGTTGCCCTTGGCCTGCTGCTTGTTGCCCTCCTTGGAGGCCTCAGCGGCGTTGCCCTGGACGGTCTCAGAGACGTAGTTGGCGGCGTTGGCGATGGAGTTGCCGATCTGACCGACGATACCCTCGTTAGGCTTGTTGGCGTTGGGAGCAGACATTTTGATGGTTGGGTGGTTGGGTGGTTGGGTGGTTGGTTGGTTGGTTGTGTAGAAAGGTAGTAAAGTTGATGAATTGAGTATTGTGATGAGACAATGACGGAGAGACAGAGGCTGTTTATATACAACTGGAAAGGTAGGAGAGGCGGGGCAGGGACGATGGTGAGAGAAGTCGCAAGCGCTGGAAGCAGTAGGAGAGTGACGTCACTCGGGCACGTCATGAGGTGCAGCGAGCCACGGCTGCTCCAGACCAGGCCTGAAACGATGTGCTCAGATCACATGTTGCAAGCAAATATCTAATGCAAGGCACAAATCCCATGCCGATCCGCGTCATTTCTCTGATGCTGAACCACGAGTTCCAGCCTACGGGGGTAACGGGGCATAGCGGGGCAGCTACGTCACCGTTTGCAGCTCCCCCGCGGCCAAGACTAAGCTTCATAATGTGGAAGGCAACACAAACAAAGCCGCAAACAAAGCGACGCGTGCAATTGTTGGCCACCTTCACATGCAACCGTAGAGGTATTCACTTTGATTGCAGCCGTGGCAAGTTTCAGCGTCGATCGGAATGATGAATTTGAGGCGTGCTCTCGTGGCTCAGCTCTAGATGCCCGCCAACGAATCAGCCAACACGAGGCATTCTGTCCTCTTCTCAATGGAGCTAGGCTTTCGAGTATGGATCGAGATCCGGATCCAGTGACATTGTGCTGCATCTCTCAACACGTACCTTGGCCCCACTGGACCCGTGATGCGTTGCATAGAATGAAGAAGCTGATGGAAGGCTGATGTACAAAGCGGACGTCAAGTGCTGCACATCAGTGGGTTTCTCCACGCCCGAATGAACATCCCCCTGAGAAAATGGGCATTCTGATGACATTTTTCGTTACGAACAGCCTCAGCCTCGCCACGCAACCCTCGGTTTGGCAACAATAACGCAGTTGCCCCACGTTGAGCGTTCCGTGTTTCGGTGAACCTTGTGGAGGTATTCAAGGCTATGACGAGAGACCGTGCTCTCTTCGAGAACAGGTTGTGATATCAATCTATTCGCCTCTCAATCTGCTCCACGTTTGTCTCATCTTCCGTGCCTCAATGCCAACACATGGTTGCCTATACGTGGCGAATATCCACCTTGACCTCACCTAACGCGGCGTCGTCCGTGTCTCGTGCCACCACCGCCCGTAGCCGTCACTCAAAGCTGTCTGAATACGGCAGGTCGTAGAAGAGCTTGGAATGAACTTCATCGCCACTCACCAACGTTGACTGTCATGCAATCGTCAACTGTTCTTGTGGGTGCTAGTTTCGTTTGCGTAATCAGGAAGGCACTCCGTGAGTGACAAAGCCTCCTGAAGACGGACATTCTAAGAGTCAGCCTGGGGGTGTTCGCGTCTGCTCATTGCGGACTACCCCGTCGTGCTGTCCTCAATGAGTTTCCGTCTTCGTATGGATAGCCTATCTCTTGCGTCGTGGAGAGAATCGGACACCACGAACCTCAATCCTAGTCATGAGAGTACACCCTGGACGTCTTCAGCGTACATCAGATGGATGTATACTGATACTCAAGCATGATGTAGTCTTTACAGGCTATTAATGTTCCAGAAGGTCTGCATCCTTGCGCTGAGTGACTTGTTGGATAGCAGGAGCTTCCACTGATATCCGGCTTTTTGCGCGACGCGAGAGCCGATGCGTATCGTGGGGGATCAATAAGGTTGGTATTCATCAATAGACAAGCATGCTCGACCATGGTGCCTCATCTCAGTTAGATGACTGCGCTCTTCTCGAGGAACCCTGCTTGCTACCCTCCTAGCATTCCCGTCAGAGGTATTGCTGTCAACCAGGACGGGAGAGATGTACATTGTTGTCACAATATCGTCGAAATGAGAAGGGGCTCGGCATTGAGACGTCCGTGAAGTGTAGGTTCTTTGGCTAAGTTGAAGAATGCTCACAATGAATTATTCAGGATCTGCACCATAGATCGCCATCGAGAACAGCCATATATGGATGGTACAGCCTAAACCTGATACTGGACACAACGCAGTACCTTCGTACTGATCGTGTCACTGTGTGGTGTTGTCTTCCCACAGTCACCAAAGCGTGTGGTTCATACTTCAAGGCTTTCGACATCATGCAAAGAGCAAACATCAACATCACAAAGCCACCATCCACTTTTCGAGAAATTACAATCTCCACCAGTCACCCAAAACAGAATGACGACGTTAGGGAAGCACTGTTGGTGCACGCGAAGGCCGCGGTAGAGTGATGTTCCCGTCCTTTAGCCGATGAGGTCCCCAGATTAGCCCTCCGTAGGGCACCTTCAAACGCGCGGTACTCTAGTATCGGTTCGAAGAACTGTTGTTCGGGGTAGCAGGTGCGCATTTCGGCGCAATAATGTCATTTTCGCGAAATTCGTGGATGATGTTACAAGGGGCCTCGGGTGCAGTCGAGCCGGGCACAAGCTCGAGGCCTCTGCGTTGCGCTTCCGAATGAGATGTCAGAGCGGTGAACATGCGAATGCGACCCTTGGTATAATGCAATTCGTGGTGTAGTTGGGCCGGCGAGCAGTTTGCACCTTTTGGGCGTCAACGACGAGTCATCGTATCTCCGCCTCTCGATTCATGGTGTTGTGTGGTCGAGTAATTTGAGCGAGGTTGTTCCGTGTGGCTACTGCCTCTGAGTCGTCGGAAGCTCGGTTGGGCTTTCCGTGTAGATCGATCTGCCGTACGTGAATTGAGGGATAAACAACAATATAGTTTCTGCGTGTCAGGTCAGTCACCAACACTTTCGGATGCTGCTGGTGCAACGGCAGTTGCGAGCCTGCGTAATGCTTAGAGATAATCAATTGCCGTTTGTACGGTCCTTCTAATGCCTCCATACTGCAGATGTAGTGCTTCGAATTATCCAGTGGAGCTGGGTCAAGGAAATGGCAAAGCCTGGTCCAGCAGGCGCAAACGCCACCAGTCGTTCGTCATGGGGGTATCGTGTCTCACAGAATGGTACATTTCGGCCGATGTCGTTGTCGCCGGTCCCTGTCTCCTTTCCTGCCCCCTCCTCGTCTGGGCGTTCCACCGGTCCTTGGGTCTTGGGGGACATGTCGCTGTTCATTTGCATCTTTGCGAATAATCTGCCGGCACAGATCAACAAAGGCCTCGTCTACGTTGGCTCTCCTTCGTGCACTAGTTTCGAAATAAGGCGTGTTCCATTCTCGAGATGTCGCGAATGCTCTTGGACGTGGAATTGCTCGGTCCTCTTCAAGATCAGATTTGTTGCCAACAAGTACCATGGGAACGTTGTCGTCTTCTTTGATACGTCGGATTTGCTCTCGTAACTCAGCGAGTTCGTGGAATGATGATGCAGATGTTATGGCAAAGACCAGAAGAAAACCTTGTCCGGTTTTCATGTACAGCTCTCTGTGAATCGTGAGCTTAGAACCATTGTTGGATTGAATAATAGTACCTCATAGCAGCTACGATGTAATTAGTGCGTGATAGCATGAAGTCAAGTAGGTTCACTTACTGAACTGTTCTGTTCCAGCTGTGTCGAGAATCTCCAGGATGACATGGCGGCCCTAAAAGTGGATCAATATCTGAATTGGCGTACTTCTTCATCGGCTACTGACATCCACCTCGATTTGCTTCCGGTATGAGTCTTCAATTGTGGGATCATAGCTTTCTATCCAAACGTTCTGCACGAATTGCGCTGCCCGTGGTCAGTATCTTTGCAAATGCTGTCGCTACAACCAAGCCAGCAACGTACCTGTTAGACAACTTTTCCCGACTCCACCTGATGCGCCACCAGCGTCAGTCGTGCTCTAGCATACGGTCGGAGGTTCACTAACTTACCCGATCCAAGAACGACTATGTGGTATTCTCTTTGCGACATGCTTCAGGTCTCTCCAAAATGTTGTGAGGATGACAGAGCAGTGCACACGGAGAATATCTCCCTGCCTTAAAATGGCACGAGCTGCCACGGAAGGACAAGCGGCCCAAAATCGCCGCTCCCCTAGCTCGACCGGAGCTTAGCTGATCCCAGCGACACTGATGCTTCAAGATAGCGGCACCTGTCGCGGAGAGATCGTATTTGGCGTTTCTGCGATTCGGAGAGGATAGTGCGCGATCACTGGGAACCAACCACACAACTGCGGCAGCTTGTCAGCCGTACAAACTTTTGTCAAGTGGCATCCAATCAGCAAGATGAAGATTTCAGGAACACCATGAGCGAGCTATTGAGGCGAATTGGTATACGAGGTTCTCCAGCTGAACGCGTGGACTCAACTCACCTCCTTTTGCGGCGAGGTTGGGAGTTTCGAAGAAATTTTCCAACGGTTATCGATAAGGCGACAGCAACAATCACTCGAAGGGGTAGCAAGTAGGCGAACAAGTAACGAAGATGTTGCGTATGCGAAGTCAAGGGCGATGCAGTGATTAAGAGTTGTTCAGTTGCCCTGTACGTGGCAAAGCTCAGTAGAGTGGGTGTGCAGTGACATGTTCAGATTCGTGCAGTGCCGCCGCTGCACTGGACGCCAACTCGACTCGAAGCTGCCAGCCGGTGTAACGCATGCCGTGATTCGCGCAAACGCTGCCATGTAGTCTATTAAATAGCTCCTTCTGGTCGAGCGTTAGCCAAAGCGGTTGGTTTAGCAGCAAGAATGGTCCGACCGACATCATGGACAGACCAGCCCGCAGTGCAAAATACCTGAAGGAGCATGGTCGCTAGGCAGACCCAAACCGGCTGATCGGGACCATCCCGAACCCCCAATCCCATGGTAGCGTCTCCCGAGCGATTTGACACCACTGCTCTAGCCCCAGGATGGATCAAGCCTCAAGTGTTGCTGTTTAACGCTGTGTCATTTGCGAGGCTGCAGCTTCATCAACTGCTGCGACTGAATCGAAGCCCGGTGGAGCTGGTTGATCTCAACAGGGTCCCTGACCGGATTGACTCGTTTTGAAATGAAGGCTCAAACATGGCCACTCAATGACGCCAGTATCGAGGACTTGGTGCCGCTGAAGTGGATTCGTGGCATTGATCAGTGTGGTACAAATGCTTGTTGGCCCTTTCCACGTGGCAGACGTTGACATTGCGTTGCGCTGTATCGACTCGTCGAGCTGGCAAGCCTGTGAACATGAATCGAGAGCTGAGTGCTTAAGCGTGTGACCGACAGTTATTGAAAGGGATGAAAAGCTCTTGGGGCCCTTTAAGAACCCGAAGCTGGGATAATAATTTGCCAGGAGGAGCCTTGCGCTCGCCGTTATATAGAGAAGGTCCACCGGCTACTTGCCGCTTCCCTATCAGCGCCAGGGCTCGCGTATCATGGGTCAAATCCACGGAGTACAGGCGTTTGACATTGATAGAGAACCACCAAAAGTACTCGATCTGAAGCTAGAACCGGTGATCGACTCTTTGATATTGTTTTAAGAGGAACCTGCATACAGGAAGTCCTTCATGCATACACAGCCAAATATGGTTTAGCGGCGCACCGGAGGAGAAGACGGACCGAGCGTGATGCTTGGCATCTGAGCTCATGGCGGAGCAAGTAGACGTTGAGATCGTCAATCGACGCGATATCAGCAGCCATACCCCACGATGCGTTTACATGCTGTATTAGGCCTTGCAGCTTGTCTCGCGCCGGTATCTGCCATCTTCGAGGATGACGCCTATCACATCGACTTCCACTATGCGCTATTAGGCCTACCCAAGCACGATACTACCTTCTTCCAGAAGCCGTACGGAGGTTCAAAAGCCTCTCTGCTGTACTCAGTTTCAGAGAACCAGACAATTGGCGCCATAAATCCGAAGGACGGAGCTCTTGTTTGGCGACAGCACCCTGTGTTAGAACCCCGTGGGAAAGGCCACCTAAGGGCAGCAGACGAGCAGGACACAGTCGTCAGCGCTGTAGGAAACCGAGTAACGGCTTGGAGCTCATCAGACGGCAGGCTGGTATGGGAGACAATTGTAGACGGAGCAGTTGTTGAAGACTTAGAGATTCTGGAGCAGGAAGATGGCATCACAAAAGACGAAGCTAAGGACGCCATTGTTCTGGTGTCTGGTACCAGCCATGGCGTCAAGAGGCTTGATGGGAAGACTGGTCGCGTGAAATGGACATACGAGGATACCAGGTCAGCATTTCTGCAACAAGGTGCGAGAGCTACGCTAACCCCACTTCCAGCAGTGACACACCCTTCCAAGTATCTACCTCGCCTACGACCATCTACTACATCTCGCTACATTCGTCTATGATCGGTGCAGGGTCAAAGTTGAAGGTTACTTCTCTGAGCCCTATCACTGGCAAGAAGCTCGACCAGTACACACTCAGTTCAGACACCGAGATCACATCGAGGGACCACATCGTATTTGCTGGAGCGAACACAGCAGCACCTATACTGGCATGGACAGATAAGACCAATAAGGTTCTCAAGGTCAACATCATCGGCACGAAGGCTGTGGCAAGCTTCTACACACCAGGAGAGGACCCTATTGAGAAGGTTGTTCTGCATGCACCGGGGCACGTTAACTCTCAAGCACACTTTCTTGTTGAGTACCAGACACCTTTCGGACACTCTGCTGAGGTCTACCACGTCGACCTGAAGAAGAACACCGTGTCGAGGGCTTATACCCTCCCAGAGCTGCAGGTCAGGGGTACCTTTGCTACTAGCACAACGGATGCCAACGTCTACTTTGTCAGAGTTACTGAAGATGAAGTTAGCGTGGTTTCTTCGGCATCGCATGGCATCCTTGGTCGCTGGCCTACAACCAGGTCGCCTGCTTTGGCGGGAGGCTACCCTGTACACGCAGTCTCAGAGGTTGTTGTTAAGTCCGGAGCAGCCACTGCCGCCAGGTCAGCTGTACTGTTCTCCAATGGACAGTGGGCTCTGATTCGCAACGGTGAAATCGCCTGGACTAGGCCAGAATTTCTGTCGCAAGTTTCGTCTGCTGTATGGGCAGGTTTGCCAGAAGTTGAAGCGCTCGCAGCCGAGCTAGAAGTCGAGCGTCACCAGAATGTAGTGTCAGCTTACATTCATCGGGTGAAGAGGCACGTCCAGGATCTTGAGCATTTCCCAGCGTGGGCGCAGAGCCTTCCACAGCGTCTTCTTGGCAGTGTTGTCGGCAAGCCAAAGCAGACTACTGTCGACGACATTCAGCAGGATACTTTCGGCTTCCACAAGCTAGTTATTGTTGCAACCGAGAAGGGTCGTCTTGCGGCGCTTGATGTGGGCTCTCGTGGTAAGGTGTTGTGGAACATGCACCTTACGCAGTTCGCCGATACCATATTTGAGTATCCTACCCTGAAGGCCCACAGTGGCTATGTCGAGGTCAAGGACCCAAGCTTCGATGGCTCGTTTTTCATCAACTCTACTACAGGCGGTCTGGCATCGTCGGTCAATCTTCAGATGCATGGACCCTTGGTCGCGGAAGGACAGAAGCTCGTGTCCTTTACCTTGACGAATGGTGTTCTCACAGGATCTCTCGAAAATCAGCCAAACATTGAATCTGTTTGGACTTTCGAACCTCCGAGCGGTGAGCGCATAGTTGGTTACGCCTCGCGGCCACTCAAAGATCCTGTTGCCTCCATTGGTAAGGTCTTGGGTGACCGAAGAGTGCTCTACAAGTACTTGAACCCTAACCTTGTCCTGGTCACAGCGGTATCAGAGTCTACTCGTACGGCCTCGGTCTATCTGTTGGACTCTGCTTCAGGCCAGCTGCTCCACGCCACGTCGCACTCTGACGTGGACACCTCTCGACCCATTCCCTCCACCATTTCGGAGAACTGGTTCAGCTATTCTCTGACCATTGACTCGACTGCTTCGCCAGAATCTCGTGGCTACCAGCTCATCGTCTCTGACCTCTACGAGTCTCCGCTTCCTGACGACAGGGGCCCATTGGGCGCTTCTTCTAATTCTTCGACTGTGAAGCCGTCGAGCGCCCAGGGGGATGCCGCAAAGCCATACGTGTTGTCGCAAAGCTACCAAATCGCCGCAGAGATTTCGCACATGGCGGTAACCCAGACGAGACAAGGTATCACTAGCCGGGAGCTAATTATCACAATCCCTTCCACGAACTCTCTTGTTGGTATTCCCCGCCAGGTCATTGATCCACGCCGCCCCATTGGTCGTGATCCTACTCCAAACGAACAGGCAGAGGGGCTCACCAGATATACCCCTCTGCTCCCTCTCGATTCGAAGTGGCACCTGACCCACAAGTACGAGGTCTTGGGCATCAAAGATGTTATCACTAGCGAAAGTGGTATCGAGAGTACAAGCCTGGTCTTTGCTTACGGTCACGATATCTTCGGCACACGAGTCGCTCCCAGTTTCGCGTTTGATATCCTGGGCAAGGGTTTCAACAAGATTCAAATGCTTCTTACCGTAGCTGCATTGTTTGTCGGCGTTTTGTTCGTTGCTCCGTTGGTAAGTCCGTTATCCAAAATTTGTATTCTGTTACGCTTACATTATGTACAGGTCAGGAGAAAGCAAATCAACACCCTTTGGACGATACCTTAGATTCCCATAGTTCGACGTGATGCAAGAACCATGTATAGAATTCAAATATCATTTTCGAACAAAGCGAAGGACTGCCCAGGTGTATATCAATCGACCAGCCACCTTGCTCCATGTACAGGAGGGATTCTACCCGCGTGTTGTTACCGAACAGCATGATGTCATGCATCTAGACTAGGTAGACTTTTGGAGAAGTGGAGCTGATTTCCGACGAAGCTAGCCATTATGCCGTGCTAAGTCCGCATAAACCCTCCTCGTACGAACGGGGATATCAACTCTCTAGCAATATATGAAGGCTCGCCGAGTGTGCACTTGCAATATTCCATTCTTTGTGCTTCAGAAGATTCACAGACACGCTAAGGTTGAGAATTGTGGTGAACCCTACATCATACTGACGACCACATTTTGATCAATACCAACATCTTCGACGCCCAACAACATATTCTACGTCGCGAGCAAGCCGAGAGACGAGAACAAGCAAGATGCCCGATCAGAAGAAATACTCAAACAAGCTCCATGGCTCGCGAGTCCTCATCATCGGCGGATCCTCCGGCATTGGCTTCTGTATCGCTGAAGTGTGTCTTGAGTATGGTGCTCTCGTCTCGATAGCCTCGTCCAACTCCTCCAAGATCGAGGCCGCCGTTTCCAAATTGCAATCGACGTACCCGTCCGCCAAGTCCAACATCCATGGCCAGACAGTCGATCTCTCCAAGTCCGATACACTGGAGTCGGAACTGAAGACTCTCTTCGAACAAACCGTAAAGGTTATGGGCGGCGAAAAGCTGGATCATGTCATCTTCACCGCTGGCGACGCGCTTGCTACCATGAAACTGGCGGACATAACCATGGAGAGCATCCTCAAAGCTGGCCAAATCCGATTCTTTGCCCCTCTACTGGCTGCGAAGTTCGTCCCTGAACACGTTAAGAACTCCCACAAGAGCAGCTACACGATTACCACTGGCAGCATCAGCGAGCGACCCATGCCAGATTGGAGCGTCATTGGTTCGTTTGCGGGCGGTCACCACTCCATGGTTAGGAACCTGGCGCTAGACATGAAGCCGATCAGGGTCAACGGTGTCAGTCCTGGTGTGGTCGACACAGAGCTTTGGAGCATGTCCAAGGAGCAGAGGGACCAGTTGATGGAGCAGATAAGCAAGAAAGTGGCGACGGGGACACCAGGAAAGCCGGAGTGGGTGGCTGAGAGCTTCTTGAGCTGTATGAGGGATTACAACATGGACGGCGCGATGGTCAGGACAGACGGCGGCGGTCTCTTCATGTAGAATATAGAGCCACCAAAGACGACAGATATATCGGAACAATGTATACTCTGCACATAGTATATCCAGCGACTGTAAACTCGTTTCACGAATGACTGTGGTCTGTTGGTGAATGACCCCCACGTTCTGCGAATCAGCTTCCTACAGCTTCTTCCGAGGGGCTTAGACAGGTGTTGACTGAGGAGAAGCACTTGTCACCATGGCTTGACGCAGGATAAGCACTGCAGATCTGAGCTTGACACAGAAGGTGTGTAACACAAGGCCGCATACAGACGGGTCGTGATTGCATGATACTTACTACCGGTAAGAGAAGAGCCGAGTCGATATGAGGTTGGGAATCCACCGTCGGTTCTTTAATCATTGATATCAAAGAGGACTTACACCGGGAAAAAAACGGTCTAGTACATGCACACCATCTGTGAGATGTCCGACAAAGCATGACGAAAAATCGAAAAGGTTATAGTTCGTGGAAATTATACATCTGAGTATCAGGCTGTAGCAATTTGATCAACTCTGCGAAGGACGAGACGAAAGGGGTCATGCGACCACCTGCTGAAAGATTCACCGCTCTTTCCAACACCGTTCATCTCACCTTGCAGGCTGATGGTTGTACATTCCCGCCCCGGCTGTTCTCACACTCAATCTGGTCAGCAACCGCGATACGGGATACGAGCACCCGCCCCACCATCACCCTCAGTTCACCCGGTCAATGGAACGACCCCGCAATCCCACGTTATCGGAGCATCTACCGAGCGACCCTCTGACGCATGCCGAGAACGATGCTCAACCATCCAAATCCCACGTTGCTCCCAACCCTCGTCTCCTTTGTTACCAGCCTTCACGCATCGCATCAGTTCCCTTGCTCAGATCACAGCAATGCACCCCAGACTGCAGTATTGCGCAACGTGCATCGCACCGTGGTCCCAGTGAATCCAACAATTTCATTGCTATCAGCGGGTAGTGTAGCTGATATGATAGGTGATAACGAAAGCCAAGCTAGCTAAACGATAAGTCGACACATCGCGACCGAAGTCTGAGTTCTGCGGCCCGTTTGTGAAGTCGCAATCGCTCCCGCGGCAGATGACGCCTGTCATTTCTTTCTTGCTATTGAATCACCAAGAACCTTGGGTTGCGATTAATATCTGGAATATAATGCAGGTGAATGAGTGGTGCGAAGTGATGTTTGAAGGTTTTATCTCGCTTCACCACTCGACGGCGCCATGCCAGTCAAAGGGATGGGCGAGAAGTGCGGGATATGATTGCCAGTCTCAGCGATGTGATGCGATGATGAGTATTGTGGAGGTTTGGTGTGTAAAGACTGCGATAAAGCTGTCAGCCAACGCGGGAATTGTAGAAATCATTGAGTCATCTGGAAGTCAACTAGAACTTAGTGAACAGCAATAGGGCCGTGATCTTCAGTGCTAGAAAGCGTTGATGAGCTGTAAGACTGCCAATCAAAGGCTCATTGATGGACACACGCTTTTGAGAGATATAATGAGGTGTGCAACATGATCAAGTAAATAAAGTCGATGCGATCTATGACCTGAACAGATACTACTTCGCCATGGGATCCATGATGCAAGTACAAATGTTAATGATTATCGAATGGAAAATGACAAGCAAGTGACCTCCTTTTAACCTCGCTATGCTACGCTAATGTGAACGCCAGTTGATGCAATGATAAACAGAGAAATTTTATTGAGATCACGCCTCTCCAACCTCAAAGATATGGACGCGAGATTTGTGCTCAGGTTTTGGTGGTATGTGGTGGTGAACAGGCTTCTTCGGCGAAAACCTTCCATGTGCTGAGCTGAGCGTCGCGCCGTCAGAACAGCAATTTGGATCTTCGTAATTCTCGGGACAGCAACAGTCAACGTTCCGAATGAGACTGGTGTTCAGCACCTCGCGGATGGTGATGCGCTTCTCAGGTATTGGGTGCAACATCCTAAGGATGAGATGTCTGATAGCCGGGCCTTCGATCATGTTGAAGAGCTTGCCGCATTTTGGATAGCCATTAGGGCCATCAAACAGCTCGCCGTCAGGATGATCTCTCAACCAATCTTGCCAACCCCTCTTGAACTTGGCGTAGTACTCGAACTCAGACTTCGCAGCCTGCCATGGACATCCACCGAAGGCCATCGTGATGTAGACGATGGCACAAGACCACACATCGAGCGGGCGAGGATCATACGGGCTCCGTTTCGCAAGCACTTCGGGAGCGATGTACGGGAGACTGCCGCAGATTCCAGGAGACGACAAACGAACTGCTCCCATATTCTTGCCGCATTGCCCTCCGGATGCGCGAAGGCCTGGGTGCTCACCACTAAAGACTTCTGCAACACCGAAGTCGGAGATCTTGAGGTGTCCATCCTTGTCCACGAGAAGGTTCTCCAGCTTGATATCACGGTGAGCGATGCCATGACTGTGTAAGTAGTCGACGCCTCGAAGTAGTTGCTTGAAGAAGCATAAGCGGTCCTCGCGACTATAGAACCCCTCGACACCACTAGCAAACAACTTCCGTTCGACTAGGGAATAGATTTCACCATGGGTACAGTACTCCATGACGTGATTCCAGCGGCCACGATTTGTACACAAACGGAGTGTCTCGACGATGTTGGGGTGATGCAGACTCTGAGCGATGCTATACTCAGATTTGATCTTCATGATGTAGTCTTCCTCGGTCTCTTCTGGATTTCGCTCTCGGAAAATCTTGACGGCGACCAGTTGCTCATCCTTGGACACACCCCGACGAGCCATGATCCGAACTTCAGCTGTAGCACCTTTGCCAAGCACCTTCCCTCGCTTGCCAGGCATGAGACTTGAGCTTTTGAATTCCTTTTCTAGCTCGCACTGATCTATGATGTAGTCGCTTGGCAGATTGAGGCTAAGTCGGCGAGCCTTCATGCCTACACCCTTCTCAGGTGCTTTGGAGAAGGTGTTCAGCATGCCAGCGGTAGGCTTTTCATCCTCTTTCTCAATCTGCGGCATGTGATGAGTACTTGCTGACCGCTTTCTTGACCAGGTATGCCTTCTGTTGGCATGCCCCTTATCAACCCAAGTGATGCCAGGTCTTGGAGGATTCATGCTAGATAAGGCAGTGGAAGACACAGGTTTTCTATCAAGCCGAGTCTTTCGTTCCTGTTCCTCATCAGACGTGATCTTCGTGGGTGAGTCAGACACTGGTGGCGGCGTAGCTGCTCGTGAGGAGCTCGGAGGACTTCTAGAAATTGAGAAGGAGCTAAGCCTTCTACTGGTCCTTGGAACATTGATCGCCGAGCTATCCGCAATAGAAAATTCTTCAGCTGCAGTTGCAACTGCCGCAGGGCTGGTCTCTCTCTCTGCCTCTGGTGCCTGACGAATGCTGTACGAGTCTGGATTTGAGTCTTTGGAATCTTCCTTAGGAGTGTTTCGTCGATGCAACTTGCTACGCACAAAGGATCCAACGCGTCGTCCAAATCCACGTTTTTCTGTAGGCGCCTGGTTTTCTGACTGAGTCGTAATTTTTGCATCCGAATGCGCTGAAGTGGGGCGTATCTCCGGCCTTATTTCGTGTTCCATGGTCTGAGGCGCTAGGTTGGTGGGTATGAGATTGGTGGCAGCCTTTGGTGTTGCGTAAAGGTCATCTGCATGCTCGTCGCAGCGAAATGGATGCGAGAAGGAAATGCCTTCACTGGTATGGCTAAGCGGTGTGAGAGGTTCGGCGCACTCGCTCGCTGTGCGGATACTTTCATCCTCCTCTTCGATAGCAAGATGACATTCGACCATCCGAAAATTTCGGCGTTGCAGGTGTTCGGACACAAAAGGATCATGCTGAAGGGATTCCGTCATGCTCGATATGTCTGTGTCGAGACTGGGCATAGTGACGAGAGTGAGAATTATGAATGCTCAATTGCACTGGCTGGACAATCATGTATGGTGAAATGTGATAGAAGATAGGTTGCAGCCCTGTGAATTGTCTGTACAGCTAGGCACGCTGAAGTGAACTTGGCCGATAGTATGTTGCTTCGAGTGGGCTGCAAGGAGTCAAGCGGGAGAGAGTCGAGGAAATAACCAGCTTTGAACGCGCCATCCAAACCGAAAGTGTACTTAAGAACGATTCAAGTGAACTCGAAAGAAGCCAAAAAGTGAAACTAATCTTTCAAGGGAAACAGAGTGTAGCTCGAGGTTGGAAGTGAATCAACCAGAGAGGGGCCCGGCCAGTATAAGACGGTAGTGACGTCCACTGGCTCGCTTCTTCGCTTCAAGTGTGGGTCGAAGGATTTCGGAAAACCTGGCGTTGATGGCGGAACGGCCAAGGAAGGATCCTCTTACCCGACTTTCGTCTGGCGCTACCAAAAGATGTTCAACAAAATGTGCAAATGAAGCGTTGAAATGCGGGTCTTTCACCAGGGATCGCGGGAGATATGTATGACCCAGAATAATGGCAGACGCTGCAGTCCGCAAAAAGCACCAAACCCAGTTGGGCGCGCTAGCTGCACCCCTGCAATTCGACCCCCACAGCTCGAGCGCACCTGCAGATCAGACGCAAGTGTTGTGTGAGCGCCGAGCCTTGAGCCATCTCTCAGACACCCACCACGGCGGACCTCGCTTCGGCGCAAGCTGTTTGTTGATTGAGGTTGTCCTCCGCCGATCGCGCCTTACAGACGGCTTGAACATCGGTCGCCGCTGTGTACATTGTTCGACTTCACTGGCCTATTTAGATCAGGCTACAATTACCACATGGTGTGGACCACCCAAAGACGACCGCAAGCACGCTGTCTACTGCTCAATTCGCTAAAACGCACATAACTGGTCAGCGCCTCAAACTTCTGGAGACGGGAACTGTTTCTTTGTCCTGCGCTGGTGAATGTCAGCCCCGGCACATGCAGGACGTCTCCATGGCTTTACCCGATGCGTATAAATCCCGCAAACACTTTTGGGGCATCAGCTCAGTGAGGTGCTGAGGGTAGGATGCTACGGGTTCAGTGCAACTCCAAGCATGACTTTCGAGCATGCGCCAACACGATCGGAGACAGCAATTGGATGTAGAGTTTCAAAGTCTTCACATTCTCTTTGACCGCTCCACGACAGCCCTGGCTTAAGGATTGCCGCCAAGAACCGACGCACGACATTTCGTGGGGGTGGTTTGAGCACACGATCTCTTCCCCGCAAAGTGCCAGGAGCGATATTGCAGGTGATATCGAGGCCTGTCATTATCGCTGTTGAAGGATAAAAAGTTCTTTCCGGAGTATGCTGCGTCTCAAGGCTCCCTGCATTACCCAATGTAAGGTTTGCTAAGTGCTCCCACGTCTTGCGGGGGTGGTGTAACCGCTAGTCAATTCAAGACGGGCAGAATGCCTGATGACATTCGGTCCTGCATTACGACAAGAAATTGTAATTAAGCCACTATTAGCGGTGAGTCTGATACTCTATCAAAGTAATTATGGATTGCTTCTGACATTGTCCTGAGCACGTACAACACATCTGCAGTAGCTGGATGCTTCTTTCGCCCGCTCAGTGCTTCACACGTCTTGCTGTGGATACAACAATCCAAGCGAAGATTCGAAGGGGCTCGTGCATTGTGGGGATGGAACATTGGTGGTGTCGAACGCGGGAAAGCGCGCCGCAACCTCCTGAAACCTTCGCACAGCCAAGAGCCTTATCAACGTTGTGCTTCGTTGGTGCATCTCATCCCCATCTACCACCAGTCCCTGAAGTCACTAGATTCATCGATCGAATTTTCGGGGCCAAAGCCGATACCACCTTCCTTTAATCGCACATACCGAGCCGGAGGATGGTCTGTCTCATTGAACTTCATTCTTCCCTGGCAGCCTCTGCCGGAGACCTTGGCGGCTTGGCTTACCACCGCAGAGACAACTCAAGGATCATCGACAGCCGTTCCAAAGGCTGTCAAAATCGCACAATTGAATGAGACTATGCAACGTTGACACGAACGACTTGCGCGCATCGCTCATGTTTTCTGATTATCAAATCCGACAAACCAACTTGATCGTCATCAAGAGTTGGTATCAACCTTGGGAATACACTGCTCCTCTGCAGAAAACTTGGCAACCCAGAGGAATTCTGGGCATATCATATCGTCATGTTCCGCGCTTGGCAGTCACCCATCTCCTGTCCTGTACGCCGTATGTGGTTCCTGTAACGGTTCCACCTATCCCGGTGGTGTCTCCGTGTAGCCATCGTTTCCTGTCCTCTCGCAGATGAAACGGGTAGATGCTACGAACATCAGTGGAGAAGACTGAATGCTTGGCGTGACAACGCACGATAGGTACACGTACTGAGCTTACGGAAACTTCATCCATCATTGTGGATTCAAGATTGCCGAATGACTGTACTAGCAGCTTTCGATCCGGAGCAAACACGACAACGACATGAACATCTATCCTCAGTCTTAACGACTGCAGTCCAAACAAATTGCAAATCATCTAATCTGCTACTTCACGAGGACCGGTTAGGGCAACGATCAGTACATCGTCGACAAGATAAGCTTGGAGCATCAGACTTCCTTGCTTGTCGTATATAAGAGTTGACAGGCGAATCAAGGTTGTGTCTCCGCCGAAGTCGTTTCACAGTCAATGCTCGCTCCTCCGGATGCACGCCGTGGGAGTGCCGTGCCAAGGTGAGCAGATCCTCTTGGCGGGGAAGCATGTGCGACAGTCAAAACCATTTGTGTAAGATCAGCTCTGTCCGTGGGATAGCAAAGTTGCAATCTATCTCCTTCAGGTTGGCTCATGTGCAAGTATGAGGGGATGAACGGCCGTCGCCTCAAATGGTGAATCACTGACGAATCAACACCCAATCTCACAATCTTCAATTCAAATTTTCAACTGCGCCTGTACCCAATCTCAGACTTACTACGTACTCCACCCCATGTCAATCGACGTGAATTTTGGTTGACGTGCGAGTAACGTGTCTTCAAGCTTCGGTGTTAGAACCTGACTCCATCCTGCAAGTCTGACGGAAATATTGCAGTAAACGCTGAAGATCATGCCTAGGCCATCCCATATACTCGCTATGCGGTACCACGGCATATATTGCTTTTTGTATTTGGATCCTTCATGTAGAGATGATGCAAAACCGATCTCTAGTCGTACTACTCACAGCCCATCAAGACTCTCATAACTTAATGGCAGGCCATGGCGGACGGGTCTCCAACCGGCCCGCTTCAAGGGTGAACCACAGCATACCGAGGTGCATGTAATCTGAAGGATGCGGCGATTAACACTATTTCTTACCACACCTGGGCTCACTCAACGTGTGCAAAGCCCAGTAGGAGGACTTGTCCTCAACAGTTAGCAGATGTCTATCAGCCTATCAACCAAGTAATCAGGTCGCATTATCTGCGGCTCCATGTCTGCGCCACCTTACTTCAGGTTACACACGGTGGCTAAGATCCTCCCCAATTGTAGCAGGATGCAGCTACCATACGACGCAGAAATCCAGATCGTGCAGCACTGATCTCTCGCCCCAAAAATTCGGTTAATCCCCGAGGAGTCCTGAACAAAGCTGCAAGCAACGTTCTTACACTTCTCCACACCAAGATGATGAGTCTGGTCACTACGCTGTTGGCTGATGCATAATCTACAATAGCTGTCGTTTGATCGGCTTTCACATTTCCGAGTTCCTGCAGGCATATTGTGGCACACATCTGAGCAGGTAAGCTCACTACGCAAACGTAACCTTAGTCCCAAATATAGGCCCCGCCATTGCGCTCGCAGTCTGACCACATTTCGTGTGTTTCTTGAGCCTGGTCTACACAACATATCGGCTGACTAGAACTGCGGCAAGTCTCGACTAGCTCTTACCCAGCGGTGTGTCTACACATGTGTGTCTAATCTCTCATGCTGCGTATCCGAGGTATACAACCATCTGAGAGCTCTCGCGAGGTATTAACGTGCACCCCCATGCAAGGTAACGTACACCCCCTTTACTCGCCTTCTTCAACACCCAAAATCACCTATGTTTTCATTCAAAGGCTCCCCTGAGAAGGTCTGGATCGGGGATTTCGAAGCCAGAACATCGATTAGTGCCTGAAAACCAGCGTATTCCCATCAAGATTGAGCCTTGAAATGACCTTTCAGGTATACGCATCTGAAAAATTTTAACAGAGAAGACAGGTGCCAAGGTGGGTAGGACCAATTGCAGCGAGCTGTGTGGCTGGACGGCTACAATGGGGGTGTACGATAGCCTTTAGGGGGGTGCACATTAACACTTCCCGACAGCTCTCGAGTGTAGTCCTGTAGGTTCATAGGGCTTTCCCAGACAAGAAAAGAGTATCAGAGGAGTGTTCTTGATTGGTCCACTCAGCATAGCGTCTACCAGAAGTACAGCAAGGGATGCTTCTATACCTCGCCTCCATCAGCTGGCGATAACATCATTGGATACCAACTCATGCTAAACTACACTCAAAGGCCCATGTCTCACCGAACGTAATTTAAGCTTTTGACCAAACATGTCGTTTCACAGCCAACATCTCACTGAGCGCAGGCTCTGACGGACCGCTACACTAAATCGAGTAAGCCTACGCCCCCATTCGTATCCTTCACTGGGGTCCAACAAAGAAGGACTTCTGCTACAGTTTCGGACCCATGCCTCATAGTCATGCAATGGCGTATCTGTGGTGTATCTGTGGTGTATCTGTGGTGTAAAGATCTTGGCTGTCTTGTAGGTACAGTTATGAACCGTTCACAGTGTCGCATGCTCTGAGCTTCTGTCTGCCTTTCTGTTCTTCTTAGCCCTGTTTACCACCTGCTCTGTCCTTCTCTCTTGTGGACTCTTGCAACTTGTCATCTTCGAATTCCGATTCAGGCAATTGCAATGATATCATAACCATGGCGGACCCTACGTACAGAGCAGCTCAGCCAGGCGAATTCTTCTGCCCAGCTGGCGGGAAATGGTACGTTGAACGCACTGGCTCTGAAGCGAGACAGACCTACAAGCCCCAATGGTCAAGTCGGTTCAGCAATTTGAAAGATCAAGTTCTGACCTTCTCAGGTATATGTGCGAAACAGGGACCAAATTCGTAGGTTGGTATTCCTGCGCTGTAGCTCTCAGTGCTGGAAGCTGACTTTTTCAAGGCTGTTGTATTGCAGATCCATGCACGAACGGTTGTCATGGCGACAGTCTTCGTCCGGCAGGTCGTTCGACGGCTCTCGACAGTCAATCTCCGGGTGGGTCGTGCGGTGGAAGGACTCCATTTTGGACTTGCGAGCAAGCGCCGACTTTCTGGTATTACATTCGTATGGAATAGGCAATCGCTGTGGATGCTAACTGAAGAAGGGGTTGCTGTAACGAAGATCCCTGCATGAACAACTCAACATGTCCGGAGGGGAAACTGGAGCCCACGTACTGGGACCGACCGGATCAGTACGAATACTTCAAGCATTTAAACATCTTACTGTCATCCACCGCTCCTCAGTCTACATCAACTCTGTTACCTACTGGTTTCTCCTCGTCCAGCAGCGGTTCTAAATCCTTGGGCGCAGTTATTGGAGGTGCTGTTGGAGTCACACTCGGTTTCCTGGTAATCGTCGCAGCTGTTGTTCTCCTCCTCTGGCGCCGGAAGAGACGAAACCGGAAGCAAGACCTGTCCAGACCCTCTATGAGAGAGAATAAGCCTGAAGCTGGAGAGTTGGCATCGCCAGTTTCCGCTGGTACAGGTACGTCCCATTTTCCTCCCAACTCTGAACACAAGAGTACACTGACACCCGTACAGTTCCTCCCACATACTCTTGGGACGTAAACGGCAATCCCCCCGTCCAGCAACGATGGGCTCACAACCACTCCGAGGTGTCAGGCGAAGACTCAAAAGACTCCCCACGCAGTCTTTACACCGAACTGCACTCCGAGTCCTCCCTTGCTCGCATTGCTGAGCTTCCTGGAGCTACGGCGGCAAGGGAGCTTGACACGCCCGACATCACTCCAAAGCCATTGCAAACTAGTTTTGAAGATGATATGGCGAAACAGTCACATGGCTTGGATATTGTGACCAATGCTGAGGAAGAGTCGAGGAAGAGCGCGGGGAAGCGCTAGGTTCGAGAGCTACGAAAGCTTCGTCCGTTTTCATGTTCGATGCTAATGTGCGATAACAATAGTGTACAGCAAACTTTCTTTTCGGTAATTAAGCGCATTTCCCATATCTGAAATTCATACTCATTTTTACACCGTTCCGGTGTCTTGTGCACCTCATGCCCAATTACCTACGTAAATAAGCGATGCTAATGAAGTAGCGACACGCATCTGTAGAACATTCCCCGTACCCATGCCTCAATAGTTCCATAGAATTCTCCGGCGATAGAACTCCCTCCCTCGACATCACGAAAAACATCTGTCATCTCGTCTCAATACCCTCAACTTCACTCAAACCATGTCTGAACGTGGGTCCTAGCGAACAATATGGGCACTGACAACTGCGTCACCAATAAGTGGTTGCAGAAATGTACAGACCCCCCTGAACTTGGTTCACTACTGCAGCAGACTTACGTTATGTAATAATGAAGGCTTCTAGGGGGCTGTTTCTATCTTGGTTCACAGAATTGACAGTCTGGTACATGTCATGCAGAGCAACAACGTAGTGAACGGCCACTCACAAGGCTGTCCGCCCTCATGAACCACGGTACGTACCTACTGTTCGCATCACTATACCAAGGTCAGGGGGTCCTGCACATTTTTGCGAGCACCGATACCACCACTAGAGCCGCCAATCACAGTCCAAGGACCTTGTCAGTGGCCAGAAGGATGTCGCATACCGGCTTGTCCAAATGAAGCAGTAGTGAACCGTACGTTACTCCTGCTCAAACCACGTCTAACGTTGTGACTGACAACAAGATAGACAAATGTGCCTTCTTCCTAAAAGGAAACAATGTGTATACGTATAAACGAGATCGATCCTGGGACCGACCGGACTTCCAAATACTGCATGAACCGCAAGTGTGGAGTCTCTCCAATCGAGACCTATGAACTGATAAGGTGCAGATAAATGCCGCGACAGTCAATGCTATCTTTTGTGCAGTGTGAGGAGCTCCCAACGATGCAACATATCACAAGCTGAGGAACATGCAGTTCGTCTGGCGCGAAGGCTACGACTTTCCATGGTGCTATCGTCGTGAGTCTACCTATATCACCGTAAAAAGTTATCTCGGACTGACTGACTTTTGAAAGACTACAAGAAGGCACCAGTAATCAAGCCAGACTACCCCTTGCAAGACAGACCACATCCTTGTAGGCCTGTCTGTGGGATGGAAGGAAATCAGTCATACATTCATCACGGGTACTGTAACCTCTGAGCCCATTGCTGTAGGATCGCAGTGTGTTTGCATCGAGCAGCACTCTTGCCCAGGCCGGTAGCGTCAGTGGTGCTTCGTCCTACGTTTCTTCTCGTAATACCTGATTCCTTGACACCAGATTTTGCTCAGAACGTGCCTTCTCAACAACACATCTCAAAGCTACTTCTTTCCTAACGCTGCTTCTTCCCCAACCCTGCATCCACATCGTCTTCCCCCTCCATCTCCGCACTCTCTCAACCCCCATCTTCTCGCCTCACCGACCAACACCAATCTACTATCGTATTTATCTCTTTCACATGATACCAAGATCCCCTAACCTATCCTCATCGGTCCTCCACGGCTCCCACAGAATATCCCTCACAACTCTTCAATCAACACCCTTCACCCTTCCAAGATTCACCTTCCGTCCTTGGAACCACTTCATTACCTCCGTCCACAGTAGATGGCTCAATATTCAACACTTGCTCAGTGAAAACTGGTGAGACCAGGCCCGTAGAGTATTCAGCTATGTAAAGGGCGGCTTCGCGTTTGCTGGGGTCGTCGAGGGTGGAGGGTGCTGAATCGAATTCATGCCGCCCAAAGCCAAATGCTGTTTTTGCCTTGGCTGAGAGTTTCTTCAGTGCTTGCAAGGGAGTAGCCTGCAGTGACCAGGATTCAATATACGAGGAAGATGGACTGTTGTTTGCTACCTTGGAGTCGTGCGAGGGGATACGATGGTCGCTTGCTTCCGGCTCATGACTGCTCATCTTGTCCGTGCAAACGCGCTGGTCCATAGATTCGTGAACAATGCCAGTCTGATCGCCCGTTGCTTGGACTAGCACTATGGCACGCAAGAGAAGTAACACAACCACATCCCTCCCCACTCCAGCACCAGCGAACATCGCTAATAGGGAGTATCACCGCTCGTCTGAGACGAACGACGCTTTCGATCGCGACATCGAGTATCCCAATTCAAGCCGCCCCTTCCTGGAACCAGAACAAGCCAACAGTGAAGAAAACAGCGGCGTGAGCAGTAGAGACGCTTACGACTTCGTCGAAGTATCGAAAGAAGTACCACACAGTCCTTCCCCCTCTGACATCCCAGCCGCCTGCCATCTGGATGATATACAGGAGTTGAGCAACTTGGACCAAAAGACGCGCAAACGCGGTTTGCCAAGAGCGGAGAGGAAGAGAATGTTGTTGGAATTGCAAGACAAGTTGACCGCAGAGCGGAAGAGGAAGGCCGAGGAGGCAGAGAAGCAGAGAGCCGAGGAGCTTGAAAAGGAATATGTTCAAGTGCGGAGGAAGGGTGGAGAAGAGGTATAATGATCTCCCGTAAGATGTTGATCGTTAAGCTACCTACTGTACAGTCCAGCACAAGACACCAGTCCATGCAATCCATCATCCAAAAAAAACTGTTGGTATAACTCATATCCTCGTCCAGCGTGCCTTGTCAAAACAAGCAATGCATAACCCAGCACTGCCCAAATGGGTAGCAACTTGACAAACTCCTTCCTCCAATGCAATGCAAATGCAAACCAGCTTTTGCTCGCCCCAAGAACATGCAACGTTAAAGAGTACAATAACGAAGGGTATAAAGGCCGATTTTGTGTACGTTTGCGAGAGTGAGGATGAGGTTGATTATGTGATGCCGGCGATAGCGATGCGCTCGGGGTGCAATCGGTGTCCAAGGTTCGTACAAGAGGTCCGAGTGTTCGTTAGTTGTGAATAAGAGGGTTATCATCTGTCCTCCTCACTGCTCCACCCAGCATTGTCATCCTGATCAATCGACTCCATGACCTCCTTGATAACGCCATGAGACTTCGGATCCAGGTTCATCGCAATCGTAAGGTGTCTTATAGCGTTCGCACGGTCTCGGCCTTTCTTGTAGCAGCGGCCAAGCAGGAAGTGGATGTTCGGGTCATCAGGCGCTAGGTCCTTCAGGACAAGCAGCTCCCTGAGAGACGCTTCTGAGTCTCCCAGCTTGAGTAGTGTTTGCGCCTTGCGGAAGCGCGCCATGATGGATCGAGGGTCAAGGTTCACAGCAGCTTGGAAGTGTGTGAGGGCGACATCGATTTTCTTCATACGGTCAAGAACCTGGTCTAAGTTAGTACTGTGCATATCGTGATTGTTTATTGCACTTACCAGCCCAATCCTGACAATAATCATAGCATTGTTTGGATTGATCTGGGATGCGGCCTTGTAGTGCTTCTCAGCGACATCGTACTTGCCCATCCTCTCGTATACATTTCCGAGACCGTACCAGCCGTTGTAATGCCTGTTGTCGGCACTGATCGCGTTCCGGTACGCCTGCATGGCTTTGTCGAACTCCTCGTTGGCTACGTGCTCGTGACCTTGCAGAGTGAACGCGTAAGCAAACTTAGGGTCCAGTTGCGTGGCTCGCGCAAAGCACTTGACTGCGTCGTCATGTTGTCGCTCAAGAGACGATGCGTTACCGAGGGCACACCACGCTTGCGGTGACAGACGATCCTGATCGATCAATGTATGCGCCAAGTGACCAAGAGCAACCTCATCCTTCAGTTGCCATAGTGTGTTGGAGTACACCTCCATGTGTTCGAGGTATGAAGGTGCTTTCTCACGTATCCTCTTGAATACCTTCTCCGCCTCTGCATACTGTGCGCGTTCGTAGTGTGCTTTGCCGATATGCGCAAGCACCCATGGTGTCTCGCGCTGTGCTATTGGTACAGACGCAAATGCTTCCAAGGCTTTCACTGACTCGTAGCGGCTCAGGTACCTGTAACCGGATCCAATCCTGTGCAGCAGGTCTAGAAGCCATTTCAACGCTTCCTCTTCACGGGTGATATCTGTTGGAGGAGCCATTCTGGGAGGCGGCGGTGGTGCTATCGCAGCTGCGCTCAGCGGCCTTGGCTTGGGTTCTAAGGGCTCTGTAGCATCGAGGGTTGGTTTCCGGTTGCCGCTAACGACTCGTCCTACAGTCGATGCGGTGCCTGTCCTTCCCTTCGTTCCTGTCGCCTTGACCTTCCGCAGCTCTCGTCGTTCTCTTATCTCTGGGTCTCTACTAGGAGCAGCTGCTGGCGGTCGACTTGTAGTGCGAGTGGATCCTATGGAGGCAATGGAGTTGAACAATCGGGCGCTTCTACGCGGTGGTGCGGCTGTAGGGTCGACTGCGTGTTGTTGTGAGGCTTGTGTGTGTTGCACATGCGTAGAGTGGCCGGAGATGGTCCTCTTATGACCATTCTGATTCACCGGTCGTGGTATGTCTGTCTGCTCGCCATCTGAAGGGTTCGTTTTCGTTCGCACTCTCGACGTGATCGGCCGCATCCTAGGCGGGTCTTCCACGGCGGCAAACGGTTGCATCCTAATCTTCCGCCCTGGCGCGTGCATGATATCGGCTGGCCCACGCTCTGTCATGACTGGACCTCCGCTCTCGCCCATCATCATATCGTCGTCGTCAGGGTCCTGGCCGTTAGCCACCGGAGTTTCGATGTTGAGATATCGCCCGTTAGGCGCTGGATTCCTGCCGTTCAGCTTCGAAAGCAAGTTCGTTCCTCCCATGTTGAGTCCTGCATCTCCGCGCTGCCGTGTTGGTGGATTGAATGGGTCGTCATCAGGCCTCGAAACAAATGGATTGCTGCTCTCCAAGCTTTCTTGTGGTGGTGCGACTTGCGCTGTGTGGCCGTTCTGTGCAATGTGCGATATGGAATCCAGCATAGCCGGGGTGATGGTGAAGACGTTCTGCGGTCGAACAACAGCGCCAATGTCGCAGAGACCGGTGAAAGCATCCCACATGAACGAGTTGAGCTTCAGCGAGTCCACATAGTATTCGATAGCCTTCTTGGTGTCGCCGTGTGCTGCCCAAAGTTTCCCTAGCAGGCAGAAGCACGCTGCAGCGTCGGGAACATGCCGTCTTGACGTCTCCGAGTGCTTGTCTAGTGTCACTGTTAGCCCACCCGCAGCACATCCTGCCCTATCGTAGCGCGCTTACTCCAGTGGTTTCGCCCATGCCACAGTCCTCTAGCCTTCTCGAGCGCCACAGCTCCCAGCTCAAAGCGCTCCAGGCCCAGACATGCTTGCGCAAACACGTACGCACATCCCAAATGTTGCGCCTGCGCAGCCTTGTTCTTGGAGTGTTCAAACGCAGCTTTGTACCTTCCTAATCGAAGGTTGCAGAGGGCTAACAAATGCGCAGCATCGGCGTTGCGGCTGTCCAGAGCGTGTAGACGGCCGGCGAGGAAGAGCGCGTTTTCGGTGAAGCCGTTGTCGAGGTGGTAGTGTATGAGCTGTCGCAGCTGGGCGTTGGCTGCAGAAGGCGGCGGCAACATGGTGGGCGGATGGATGGTGTTGTGTATCGCGCCGAGGAAAGGTGGAGTTGAGCAAGATGGGGGGAGGGGGAGGGGGGCTTCACGGTGGTATAGGCATGAAGACGGCGAGATGAGGGCGCAAGAGGGGGCGTGGGCGGTGCGGGTGTTGGCAGGCGTGTTTCGCGGTGAAGGGCGATGTTATGTTGCTAGGTGACGCTTTCGGCGTGCTCGACAAAGCGAATTGGCAAACACAGCGGACGCAGCAGGTGTAAGGGCAGGCGGGCCCTTAGGGTGACATACTAGGAAGCAGCGAGGAAGTGTCTGCTGCAGCAGGGCCAGACGGGTTGCGCGATGTTGTCCTGCGCGAGAACAGAGAACAGAGAACAGAGAACAGACGTGCTGCAATGCTCGGGCTTGTTGTGCATGCAACGGTGAGAGGTCGTGCACAGGGCAGGATAGCAGGTCCAACCACCGTTCGAATGCGGCGGGAAGCCTGCCACTGCCCGCAGCCATCGTCATCGCACGCACACCGTAACGCCAACTGCCATTGATTGCTGGCCATTGAAGCACAAAACAGTGTTTCAAGCCAAAGAGGTCCAGTGCCAAAACAGCCCGTTGCCCACCATGGCGCAGGTAAGTAAATATGGCTATCAAGCCCCACGTTGTTCTTTTCGACTCTGAGCTATCTGATGCTCTCGTGCCCCTGTTGTATCCTTGTATAGACACTGCCTGAGCTACTACGAGGCCCTATATTCGAAAACTTCTGGCAGTATACCAATCACAAGCAGAAAGCCACTAAAACCCTCGCCGCCGCCAACACCCGCCGCCTAAACACAACCCTCTACCTGACCCTCGCCATCCACACCCTCTTCTGGCTCCTGCGCGCCTTCCTCTTCCGCTCCACCTTCACCCGGCGCTCACTTCTCCTCTACCTCCTGCTCTCCGCCCCCCAACTCCTCATCAACCTGCAATTCGAGCGGCTCTCGCGCCCTACCCACCTACCCGATGGCTCCATCAAGCGCGCCGGCGAAGACCTCGATGCGCCCGGCCTGACCGAGTACATGTGGGATGTGACTTACTGGACGTATGGATGCGTTGTGCTGGCGACCTTGTTTGGGGATTGGATGTGGTGGGGCATGATTGTTGTGCCGGTGTACAGTGGGTACTCGTTGTATGGCATGTATAGGGGGTTTAGGGGCGCTGGGTATACGGATGCGGCGGGGGTCCCGCAGCCGGGGGCTATGCAGAGTAAGAGGCAGGCGAAGATGGAGAAGAGAGGTGGGCAGAAGGTTGCTTACAGATGAGGTGGAGTGCTTAGGGCATTGAACAAGGGTCTTGCGCAGAGATGCGCGCGCAAGTGGTGCTCGCGTGCTCTTGCGCTGCGTCACGGACGTTGGAAGAAGGAAGGCGGTTGCGGGGAGGTGTGCAGCATTCTGTGGCCAAGCATCTGGTTGCAAGATGCGTAGCCATGCTTTGCATTGATCGAGCCGGGGCAGAATGTCGCAGATTGGAGGATGGTCCCGGATGGCTGCAGGGATAAGGTATAAGTCACAGGGAAGATAAAATGCATGGTCACTTGAAGGATGACTGAGTGAACACAAGACGTAGATATATTGCTCAAAATGCTAAACGCAGGCATCGTGGCCAATGAAAATGCGCGCTCCAGATGCAGCCATATACTACATGTGACACATACACAGACAATAAAGTTACATATCGTACAAGCTTTACGCTTCGACTTTGGTTGGGATCTTGACTTGTCCCTTCTTGCGGTCCTGGTGGGGGAGACCATATCTCCAGCCGACACCCCTCACGTCCCTTCCGTTGCGGCCTGCGCTTTCAACGCTGATGTCCTTGAACACGAAGTCCCATCTCCTCTGGGGAACGACCTTCTGTGCTCGAATCTCAGCTTCTCTGGCCTCCTCTTCGCGCTTCTTCTGCGCTGTCTCCACAGCGAAACGCTCCTCAGCAAGCTTGCGGCGCTCCTCGAAGCTCAGACCTGAGGCGAGTTCACGTTCGGCCTTGACCAGCTCGGGGTGGGGAATGCGCTCATCGGCAGGGAGTAGGCTGTTGTCGAAAGCCTTACCAGCATCTTCACGGGTGAAGTGCCTTGACTCGGCAACGGGAACCCACAGCTGTTGACGAGTGGCCGGGTGTACGATCAGATCGTTGATGGGCTCGTGTACGATGGGTCGCTTGCCCTTGTTCTTGGGGTCTGTAGTATCGATGTGTGGTGTTGTGGGCAGCATGTTGAGGACTGCCTTGGAGTATGGGACGGCCAAGGTTTTACCCTGAATCACAATCAGTAATAGTCGCCAACATGTTTCTCTAGTCATAACGAAGTGATCGTCGACGTTCAGCAGAAGCAGAGCTCCTGTTTACATTTTGTAACCATGTAAGTGTCTTCAAGACTAATCGAATTTATAATGTCTCATCATGTCGTGGGGGAGAAGTGCAGATAGAAGGAGTGTCTCAACGTACCTGTGCGATCCATTCCTTCTCCATTTGCTTGAGACGTACGACTGCGCCGACACGCTCATTGCTGACACCAAATTCGACACTGGCAAGCGACACTGTCGCCCCATCTCGCTTCACACGCTGATAAATGGCTTCTCGTAGATCTTCACTGAGCACGGACTGACTGCGGAAGTACTGGTTCAGGGGGAATGGGCGGAGATCCTCTGCAGTCTCTGGTGGTAGCTTTGAGTCGTCCTGCTCTGCATCCTTCTTTTCGACCTCTTCTTTCCGTGCTGCGGACTCCAGCTCATCTAATGACTCTTGCCCCTCTGGTGTCTTGGCCTCCTCTGTTGGCGCTGCGGCTTTGTTCGTGGTTTCTGTCAATTTTGACTCGCCCTCCGCCTGTGGTTTTGCTGCTCCACGCTGATATCCTGGCCCTGCACGAACCAGATTGCCGTACCTATCATAGGCTCCGAGGTAGTTGGTGGAGTCGGGAAGAGGCTCCTTCAGCTGTTTTCCCGGGCCATTGAGCCACTCATAGAACTTCCGCCGCCGTAATGTGGCTTGTTGGCATGATGTTTGTGAGAATTGGCGCGATGGCTGCGTGTTCTGTGTAATCGATTGTGGTCGTGCGGATGAAGATTGGCTGGGAGTAGGCCGGGGAAGGGAGGCAAATTTGGAGGAGCGGATCCGAGGAGGCATAATTATTGTGGGCCAATGCTATCGCATCGATGCAATATAGTACACAGAATGAAAAGAGACGCGAGCAATGAGCATGGGTCTTGCGATGTGGTTCGAAGCTTCGAACACCAACATGCAGAAAAGTTACATTGGTCTTAGCTTCCGCACTAGCAGCGCCAAGAGTATGTCTCACGTGACTAAAGCTATCATTGTCTCTCCATCCCCTCCAGGAAGCGAAACAGCATGCCTGTATTCAGCTTTTTAGATTAGAATGTTTCTGAGCTCCAAATGCTGAAGATATCTGATCTTGCGCATCTCATTTGGACGATCAGGGTAGACGCGATGATCGACACACATCTCCCGCAATCTTTCGATGCTTGCATCTATCCGTGGTAGTTTGTACAACCATATGCAAGGGCGGACGATCACCACATGGCCGCCAGGTGGTGGTCTTCTGAGGCATTTGAAACTGATTCCGCAGTTGGTCATGACTGATGGTGCGGAGCTGGTAGCTCAGTCAAGACCAGCGTATTGCTACGAAGTATTGGATAGAGCGTTGCATGATGCTCTGCATTCGAACGTTACGTGTCGTTGTACTGGACAGTCTAACACCTGCACATGAATTACAGGATCGTGACGCAATGATTTTTATTAGGTAGTGATATGAGGGACGTCGCTCTATGCAGCCACATGTAGCAACCCAAAATGGTTGACGTAAAGCAGATTACCAGCCCAAGTAATGACAGGCCGTTACAACGTGAAGGCAGAGACCGAAGTCCGAGTAGATGCTTGCCAAATCCAGATAATAAATGTAAGGACAGAATATGGTCCAGCTCCTAGTATGCTGCGAGCCTGCAATGCGCGTGTAGATGAAAGATGACGAAGTAGAGAAACCAAAAACAGTGGGTAAGAGTAAAACCATTGCAACAACAGGTTCTCAACAGACTGCCATCTGTTGAATCTGCCAAACTATGGATGGCCGTGTACCATCAAACGACCGTTTCATCGCTGGACGAAGAAGGGAAACCTCCCAAAGTCGCAGATACGAGTTGATACAACTCCTCCGTGCCAGCTTAGTCAATTTGCTCTCCCTGGTGCCCGACCTGAAAGAAGCTACCAACGATGGCAAGGGTCCGCAACTTGTGTAGAATAGAACAAAAATGAAATAAATCCAGCCTCTTCGAACGCCTCTCCGTGCAAGCCGTGTAGCCAATTAGCAAACGCACAAGGGGGAATCATCGCTGTATGCTGGAAGGAAGTCCATGCCCAAAGGACGCAATAGTCCTGAAGGAAGTTCCACGCCTGTACCCATGCCCTTGCATAAATGAGAAATGAAACCAGATTCAACCCAAACAACTCAACACCTCGCAATGTAACCGAAGTGACAGGATATAACGCGACAAATATGCAGCATACGTCTGACGTATGCTTGAGATCGATGCACCCCCAAACTCCTCATCAATCATGACGGCGTCGTCATCGTCGTCGTCTCTAACGACCCATCATGTATGCGGAGTAGCTTCCGCCCATGCTTCCGAAGCCGTTGCCGCCCGTAGCCATGGGTTGGCGCATGCCGCTGGACATTTCATTTGGACCCATACCGAAGCCGCCGTTGGCGTACATGCCAAAGCCATTGTTGCCGTTTGCGTGGGACTGGTTCGCTAGACCTGGAGGGGCTGACAAGCCAGGTGGTGGGCCAGTGGCCGTAGAGAAGCCAGGCGGGGCTCCAACGCCGCTTCCAAACCCGGAAAGAGGAGTACTCGGAGTGATGGATGATGCAGATCCCATGCTGGCGTGCTGACCACTGCGAACACCAAGAGGGTTCTTCGAGAAACTAAGTCGAATCCCGCCCTTGACGCTGTTGTGCAGCATATATCCGTAAAGCTCGTTCAAAGCCTTGGTAGCAAACGATGTGTCTTCAAATTCGACGAAACACATGGGGCCGTTCTGTTTCGTGCGGAAACACAGACGCTTGTACCCACGCTGCTTGGAGAACACAGCTTTGAGCTCGTCTTCGGAGGTGTCCATAGGCAGGTTTCCAACGTAAAGCGTATTGCAGGGTGGGTTTTGATCAGCAGGATTAACTGGGGGATACGTTGGTCGAGCAAAATGCGAGGGATACTGCTGGAAGCCTGTGTTGGGCCCGTTGTTCAAGGCGGGCGGTACGTTATGAGGAGACATGGCCGAAAGGCCCGGTCCAGGTGACTGCATAGTGGCTGCAGATCGTGGAGATGCGTAGTTGTTCGACGGTGGGGAGCTCATGCCGTTGACGCTGTTCGTGTTCAGCGATAGTGATGCAAAACGGGACACTGGAATCGATGGATTTGGATTTGTTGCTCTGCGCGACATGTTGGACTGAGCAGGTGGACCTCCAGTGGCGTACCCAATGGACTCGTTGAGCAAATCGTTGTCATCGTCTGCCTCATCATTGATGACCGACTTTCCCAGATTGCGACTTGTAAATGAGGTCTGTACCGGTGACGTCGGCGAGAACAGGTTGGAGACTCCGAATTCTCCGTTGCCAAGACCTGGGGTTCCATTTGGTGGGGACATCTTCTCCATATTTTGGAAAGTCCCATTGTATCGCGAAGATTGACGTCCGTTCGAAGTCGCGCCGGCGATCCCGGTGGAGGATGCAATGGATCCATGTCGCGCAGATCCGCTATCGACAGTGTTGCGCCGCAAGCCAATAGCGCCGCCATGGCCATCCTGTAGCACCTCAACAATCAGAGTTGCGTCTTTAGTAGCATTGCGCTTGCCGTTGAGGAGATCGCGCGCCTCCTTTGCGCCATCGTAGGTCTGGAAGTAGGCAATAGCAGAGGCAAAGCCCTTGTCCTCTGAGTATCGAGACTGAGGGACCATTTCGCAGTCGACTAGGTCCTTAGCGAAAAGCAGAATATTGCGCACAGCCTCCTTGTCACTGTTGCTAGGGAGCTTGCGCAAGAAAATGGCGTGTCGAGTCTTATTATCTGACGTCAAGTCGGCATCACCGAAGGAAAGCATGGAGAGGCCGTTGCGCTCGGTTGGCCGACGCTCACCAATAGCACCGTTCATGTTGTATGTGTGAGAGGATGAGAAGACGTCTGCCGTCATGGTGTTCTTGGAGAACAGCTTCGGAGGTGACGACGAGTTGGAGCTGCTTAGTGAGCCGTGGAGGAAAGGGCTGTTGGAAAGATTCGAAGGACTTGTGCTGCTCGGACTTGGCTCACCGGCCATTTCTTCCTTTGTCGTCGAGGTATCGTGGCGGCCGTGGTGGAAACAAAGAGCGCCGATCGAAGCGAGTCAAACGGACGGCGGTGACCAATGTAGTGAGTCGACGGTGACGATTCAGATGTGTCAGGTCTCGGATCGCGTGGTGGGAGAGTCTAATGTAGATAAGGGTGGTACCTGGGGGTAAAACAGCTTCGAAACGTGGTTATGCCCAGGTCAACTCTTAACGGTTGCGAACGGTTGCGAACGGTCACAAAGGCGCAGGCGCAGGCGCACGTGTGAGGATAAGCGATTGGCGCTGTGCAGTAAGAATTACGGGTGCTGGCGTGGTCGAGGAACAATAGTCTCCTGCGCGCAGCCGCTGCGGAAGGAGGATGCAGTTGTCCGGGAGGTAGTTACTGGGCCGGCTTGGGAGAGCGAAGCAGCGCGACGGCTGAGCACTGGGGGGTCCGGTCTGATATGGGACCAGGCTCCGTGGTGGAAAACGAAAGTTGGAGCTGATGCGCTAGGCTGCGGGCGAGTCTGTGAGGAATGCGCCTGCAGCGAGGGCTCCTGGGCTGCAACGGTGAATGGGTGCTTTAGGGCAGAGTGGCAGAGAACGGGTGGAAAGGCCAGTGCATGCAAGAGGCAGCAGATGCAGAGGGGATTTGGGGGGTGCGGACTCGAGAGCTGGTGGCTCAGGCGCTGGGCTGTGAGCTCGGATCGCTGGACTGGTCGAGGGCAAGGTACCGCGCAAGCCAATCGGGGCGGCAGCAAGGATGCAGACGCGGGCAGAGTAAATGCGCAGAGTATCTTCAGTCGTGGGATGCGCTGCTGCTACTTCTCCGCGCGGCAGTGAGATTCAGATAGAGCAGTAGGGCAGAGGGCATCTGACAGAGACTGAGGGAGGGAGGAACGGCGCGATGCAGGAGGGGCAGGTGTGGGTGTGGGAAGGAGAGGTTTGGTGGAAAGCAGACGGGACGCTCTTGCTAAAAGCGACCTCACCCACGGGAAGGGGCGTGTTGAGACTGGTGCTGTGGGCTTGACCCAGGACCCTTGGACAGCACCGCGACCACCATAAGCCTAAGCTGATTCGGCTGTGCGAGTACTCCAGACACTTGCAGCGCAGTCACACAGGTACCGCGACAGACGTGCGCGATAGCGTACCACCAGGCAATGACTGTATGGATTGCGAGCCTGCTGGCGGCGCGCCTGCCCTCTGCTCGACGCGTGCCTGCCCTATTGAGCGCCGTCTCACCACCGCACGCGCGCTGCCAACCATCACTCTATCTGCGACGCTTTCGAGGTCACTGCGCGGCACAAAGCGAGCGCTCGGCCATGTGAATACCAGATAAAGTATGACTGCTGCCCTCAACCTTGCTCCCCAGCCAGTTTGGCCTCCCGCTGCCGCCATGCTCCAGCGATCTTGGGCGCCGGTAGAGGGCCGCCCTCCTACTGGCTGGCTGCTCTAAGCTCTATCAACCTTTGACGACAGCTGCGGAGCTCAACGACGCTGCAGCGTGGGATGCTGAGCGCCGCCGCCTTGTATGCAGGCCCAGATGTCGTTTCTTTTTCGCACGACATCACCGCTGCCATCGCCCTTGCACTGCGCTGCGTGTTTGCTGAGGCTCTGCGCTGCTCACCACCCTCTTAGAGGCCCGGTTGCAGTCTGCATTCACGACATGCATGTCCATGCACGCCTGCCAGGAAGCTTTCAGGCTATCGCAAGCGGCATTTTGCGGGTGCAGTCAACGTTCATCACAGGCAATCGGTCCTGCTCCGAGTCCACAAACGGCCTCTCTTAGCTGCTAGCGTAAAGACGGCTCACCGCGTCTGTGGGAAGTGGCCATGGCCGCTTTTGTGGCCTGCTAACCAGCCCTTTGGCGCTGAAGTGCCGGGATACGAACGGCGAATCACAGTCTTGGGCCTGGCTTCGAGGAGATCAGCCTTCCTGCGTCCAGGGAGTGGGACTCCCCAGTGATTTTCGTCTGGACTCGAACTGCTGTTCATGGGCAGTCGCTGCAGGCGCACACAAGCTTCGACATCTTCAGTCAGCTGCACCTCCTGCCGGCGACGTTGGTGGGAATTTGACCGGCTGCGTTTGCGTGTGCAGACAACCACTGCGGGGCAGTTGAACCCTACCAGACAAACCTCCGAGCATGCCTGCGATTTCACAAGTCAGATCTGTGGCCAGACAAGACACAGATGCAGGCGGGGACGGTGTCCGCCAATCATGGCAATCCGAGAAAATCACGTCTCGGTATGCCGAAACTACCACCACTTCCGGTCCTGCCCAAAAGCAAGTATGCTGCCTCTCCCGCGGCTATGTCGTCGACAAAGGCAGTGCAGGCAGAGTATGCGTGGCCTCCTCAAAACAGCACGGCTTGTCAAGAACCATGTTTCTGGCCTCCAAGGTTAGCGCGCCATACACGCTCACCTGGCCATCACGCAGCAGGTACCCTACCGGCAAGTGGTACAAGAGAAGGCACCACTCCCGAAAAAGAAACACACTTTTCGTATGCCTATATGAGTCGGCCTTTTATAGCGTCTTTGAAACACCGCCACGTGGTTCCACCTACCACCAAATCGCCCCATTATCTCTCTTATACAGTCCAATCAAGTCTGTGTAGCCGAACGGGGCGGCCTCTTCATGTTGGAGTACAGCATCAGCAAGATCAAAGGCTCGTCCAGATTGTACAGATGACATACTCAGGATCAGCGATCTTCTTCAGCGCGTGTGCTTACATGCGAACGTGTCCAACATCAACTACACAAATATCACGAATATCAATATACGCACGCCGTTGTGTGTCACTATGGCTTGAGCCAGCATTCAGCCCAGTCACCAGAAATCGGTCGTCAAGACGCAGCTGACACCTTTTCGGCCTTGTTACTCCAGGCACTACCATTCGTGGCTCTTGGTACTGCCGCTTTTGGTCACTCTTCGAGAGCCGGACTAAGGCAACGACTTCCACCTTTTCAAGAACCACCATCCGAGGATCGACGGTACCATCACATGCCAAAAAGAGCCTACGTTATCGCCTTGATTGCCGAAGCAAGAGTCAGCTTGGAGTGCTGGGGCTTCTCCCACAACATTGGGTCTAATGATGTACCTCGTACCTCAGGTAGTCTCCCGGACGAGAGGTTGGAAGTGAATTGATCTGAACTGTCTTAAGTCCGCACCGTACAGACTGAGTACGCACTCCGGATTCTGGACGTCATACCTCATACATCTATACAGCAGTCAGCTTCCACTTACTTGATCATCAGCAGGGCTGTCTATGTAGATTGGCCCATCAACAATAGAGCTTCCGTAGCACAGACCTTGCGAGCTTCGACCTACTATTTATATCTAGCTGTCACTCCTCTACCCGATACACTTGACAGTCTGCATTGCTGATAGGGTAGCATAACCATCCATCGCCAGTATACATATGGGCACGTTAAGATGTCGGGTTTTAGTTCAGCGCAAACGATGGTGAAATTTCCAAGTCAGCGGCAGATCGAAGGTAGTCTTCATTCTTAGGCTCGGCCCGGACGATGTGCAGCGTTTCACAACTTTTAGGGTACTTGCCATATCACGGTGGAAGATGGCATATTACAAGTTTTCTCGGCAACAGCACACGCAGAGCACTCTTGCCTATAAGCAGAGCGGCATTCAGTCATTCTTACACCTTTGTCAGCTCTGTACCTCCATTGTTATGATGATCCTGCCATCTCGACATCTCTACGGTTAGATTTCTTGAGCTGGGGTGTATATGTTTTCACGTGGCTCATTCTACTACGTTGATCGAAGACATCCTTCAGCGTTCACTAGCTCCACGCATTGCCCTCACGCGACCGAATAAAGGACCATGCATGCAAACAACGCCTGCGAACCCTGTTTGCAGTACTGGGAACCAGACGCTTGGATCCCCTTGCTGATCGTTTCACGATACGAGCCACTGGCGTCAAACTCCCCTCCAACATCAATGCTTCCACGTTCAGCCTTCTGAGATTTGCAAGGGCGCTCACACCAATCATCTGCAAGACTTGACCGGTGTCTCATTCCGGCTCGTCCATATCGCACGGCTTTGCGATTACTACACGCATATACGCTATCAACGGTGAGAAGGCTGGCGATATTCAATTTGCTCGGAGTACATTCCGGAATCCTGGCCAGGTGAGCTGAATGGCAAATCACCGAAGCTTGGAGCCTACGCACACTCCAGCAACTGCATGCAGCATCGACCCAGAGTCAGTGCATGCAGTAATGCCGCCGGACCGCTGACAGGCGAGTTTGCAGTCAGCACGCCGTGGCGGGGAAGCGCGAACTCAGACTTTACCCCACAGCGTAAGCAACGAGCTGAATTGACTTTCGACTTTGTATGGTCAAAGTGAGTGAAATGAGTCATATCCTTCCTTTCAAGTGATTGCTAGCGGATGCGCGGGCTGTAATGCTGATTGAAAAGGTACAAAAGAAAGTTGCTTTGAGACTGTCTGATTGGACGCCCACGACTACACGATGGCGAGCTAAACGGACATAACGGCCGACATTGCAACAAATCGCTGCTACAAGCTCACAGCAAGCGCATAGATGCGGTCCAGTATTCTCTCTCATAAACACCAAGGCAAACAGCAGTCAGGTCTGGACGTCTATTGAGTCTCTTTTTGCCTTCTCAGCGCTACTTTACTGAAAGCATCGCACTTTGTATGGTTTCCTTCGCATGTGAGAGTGGCCCTTCAACATAGCTGCTGACAACAGCCTTTCGTCAAACAGCTGACCTCAGGTGAGTTCTGTGAAGTAAACACGCTGGAACAGTCTTTGGCGTCAATCGTAGTCATGACAGCCTTGCGCCAAGCGCTTGAAGCTCTGCCAGATCGTGGACGTATTCAGGTTTGCGTTTGTCATCATGATTGCGACTGCCTTTACTTGCCATGAGGAGACAGGTACCTGTTGGCCAAATCTAATTTCGCTCTTCTACTCTTGCCCCCAACAACATCAATCAATCGCGACACGCACACACATTTCTAGCCCTGCACCATGGCCACAGGTGCAGCAGCTACAACCACGTAATGGCTCGCCGAACTTGATAGTATCGACCTGTCATGGAACACTACAGACTTCCTTCACAACCACCTCGGGAGGCTTCCGGTAGAGCTGCTCAAAAGCATCGTTCGGTACATCCCTGCGTGCTATCTACCTGTTGTTGCGCGCATAAGTTCGTGATTTCGAGAGTGCACTGAGAAAAGGCTATACAGTTGTATTGATCTTGGTGACAGAAGGACTATGGGTTGGAAACTATGTAAAGACGTGCTGTGGCCGTTGCTTTGCACTTTGGTCCACCGGCCGGACCTGGCGCAGAAGATTAGAGAGTTCTCTTGCACGTTCTATGACCATGACGTCAACCTCAACGTCGATGCTTCCACTCTTTTCCCCGGCAATATATACTTTTGTTCCGCCACCAAAATTTTGTTGAACCAGATGGTTATTGGGGACCGTATTCTATCACAACATCTCAGTGACGTGGAGACCTCACGCTTGACTCTCAGCCTCGTCGGATCTGAGACGAGCGCCTTGGTAGAGACTACAACATGCAAGCACCTTGCTCCGGAGCCTTTGAGCAAGCTGATGCCAGGATTCGATAACACGAGCGCTCATCGACTGCCTCCTGGCCTTCAGAAGCTCACCAACCTCGACTACGATGGTGCTGTGTTCCACTGGGCACTTGCCAAACTGCCATGCCTCCAGAAGCTAAACCTGACGCACCCATGCGTTATCCTACCTGATGAAGCGCCAACTGAAGTCAATATCAATCTCACGACGCTCAACGTGTCAGTCCGCTCGGAGGTACTCAGAGGTAACAGTCATCACTATGCCGCCTTCAAGGCATTTCTTGCTCACTTCCCCTCCCTAGAGGTTCTCAGACTGACAATGTACGATCTCGAAGTCGACATGATGCCTGCGAGCCCTTCAGATCTCGAGGAAGACTACGAACGCAGCTTCGATACCCTGCTTGAGCGGCTCAGTCCAGTTGCTGCCGATCTGACCATTCTCCCACTAGGCGTCTACCATGACGCCGAAGACTACGACGGTCCCGCCAACAACTTTCTCCGTGACGTTCAGCCCACTTCCGGTTTCCAGCAATTCAAGGCACTCAAGAACCTCGTGGCACCATATCAATGCTTATTGGGACGAACAATCTCCACGGTCGACACTCTTCCTTCACCCGCAACAATTCTACCCGCTAGGCTCGAACGTCTGGAAATGAACTGCCCGCAAATCAACATCTACGATTGGCTTGCTCGGCCCCGCAATGCCCGGGACCGGCTTCCTGCTTTGTCTAAGATCGAGCTCTATTGTCAGAGGCCATATGGAGATGAATACCCTTTGTTCGCTCACGAGAACCTTGAGCATAATGTGTTTGAGGTCATGAGCGAGACTGATATTACGCTAGATGTTACGTATTGGCCGCGAGACTGGAGAGAGGACTTGAATGACTACGATCTTGACATACCTGCCTCGATCGAGTGGGTTGAGAGTCTCGGTGAGTAGGGACAGCAGGCAAGCCTTCAGAGAGGTCGTAGCGAATTTCGTATTTGAGAGCTTCAACTCCTGTTGTATTTGGTTCTGTGTTTAGCTGACTAGAATCTTGGGGAGCCTCGGTGAGCTGCGTCTCCGTTAAGGAGGTACCAACGATCTCCAAGAAACATTAGCACACCAAAACGAATGCATTTTATTCTTGGCTAAGGAATTTGGGAGCCTTCTATGTAGTAATAGATGTACGAAGCTGGACCTATAAGTACGTATGTGTAAGGGTTTGCGCAAAGTATGCTGGTACCTGAGAACAGTGATTGAATTGATGAGGAGCTATGGAGAAACACTGACAAGTTTTAGTGTGTCTTGCTTGCTTATACACTAAATAAGAAGGGAACAAATGGATCTCATCTATTTCAAGACTCTACCGAGCTTTCCAGGGCCTAGCCCATCACAACGACAAGTGCACCCCCTAGGCAAAAAACTCGCACACTTTGCTGATGTAATCTAGGATTCACCATGCATCAACACCAAGCCTATACTCAACTTGCAGCAGTTATAACTCTACCAAACTTTTTTAAACAGATATCTACCAGTACTGCACTGCATACAGTGATCTAGTCGCTCAGTCTGATGTACTCCAGGCTAACGTACCTATACAACAATGATATACTTGGTATCTGCAAGGGGATAACGGCCCAAGCCATGGCACACGCAGCTGCTACTCTCTGTCAGCAGTATATTGGCACGAACGTGGTGTAAAAGTGCTCCCACATCCAGCTAATTCACCCAACCTTAACCCTATTGAAGGCATCTGGAACATCATCAAAGAACTGATCAAACATCAACTATATACTGTCAACACTACTGCATGGCTTAAGGCAGCACTACAACACGAATGGAGGCAGATTCATCAAGAAATGCCAAATTTAGCCGCATATTGAGCTCCTAAGTGACTTTCGATACTAAATTTCTAAAGGGGAGGCTCTGAACTTTCTCAGCCTTATTCTTACCAAGCATGTCTAGATAGTTTTTTTAACACTGTATTCGTCAGCGCAATTATCCAAAAGCATGGTGGCATCACGCACTCATCGAAGCACTCGTCCATTGGTTCTTGCATGCCAACCACTGCACTCGAGTTTCATCCACTATCCTAGAACACACGTTCGTTGACAACGAAGGCGGCAGCGCCCGCCATGACGCACCCATGCACGTCCCTCCTCCCCGCCTCACCCAAAACCCTCATCCTTGGCATTCTACTCCGCACAAAACCCTCAACCCACTTTAACCGGCGCACAGTCCCTTTTCACCTTAAGCTTCCTCCCTAGCCTCCCGCACAAAACCTTTACTCCACTCGCACAAACATCGCAGCTATGGCGCGACCAATCACATCTCAACTACCCACATGCTAACACGGGGGTGGTAAAAGTTTTGGTAGGCTAGGATGGATCATGAAGCAGATCGTTGTCATTTTCAGGGAGGCACCTCAGGTGCCAGAAAAAGCTGCACTCTAAACCAGCCAAAAGTTGAGCAACACCAACAAGGTCGCCCTCTTTGCCACGCCGCCACGCAATAACGACTTGAGATTAATTCTTGAAAAACACAGAATTGTAGAATAATATATTCTCTACAATCATATGTTTTTAGATTTTTGATATTGTGTGGTGTTGTGCGATTGTCTTGGTTGGCAGAAGCACACTCTTTGTGAGTGCGGCTTATTTTGCCACCCGAGTACGAAGCCCGCGACCGGACTGGGAAGCATACGGTTGAGATGGATCGTGGTGGGCGAACGGCGGAGACTAGGGGTTTGAGGCAACCGCACAAGTCGCGCAATGAGTGTATATAAATGTCCCTGATCCTCTCCCATGAGGTCGATACCACATCAAGCAAACATCATCTTACAAACACTTCAAACAACCAACAACTTCCCAACACCTTCGATCTTCAATCTCCAATCTTCGACACAATGCAGCCCACCATCTTCACCCTTGTCAACAACGGTAACTGCGGTTGCTCCGGTCAGAGCAATTGCAACTGCGGCAAGGACTGCACTTGCGACAACTGCCCGGTACGCTCCCTCCTATGCCTCCCCATTCTCAAGAACTTCGCTAACGTCAAGCAGAAGAACTAAGTCTTTGGACTTCAACGAACAGTGATCGGTACACGAGGATCATCTCATCTATTCGGCATGGGCAGCGATACGATTGGAGTTACAGAAAAGTTGTTTGGTGGTTGCGATGGGGTGTGCCACGGAAGCGGACTTGTCTTTAGCTGGAGATACTAAACGACCACCGAGTCGAAGTCACGAATTGAGTCCATTAGAAACAAACAATACACTTGTGCAAAGCTGTTGGAAACCGAACCTTTGCTTCGTCACCAAGACCTTCTGATATAATTACCGGACTACCTTATGTTGGGGATCGAGGGTGCTCAAACATCTCTCTCAATCTCGGGACGCCAACACTTCGTCATGTATCTTCCCGTGCTCGAACATTACGTCGTCCATACTGCCCGCACTCACTCGTGCCCAAATTCGTCACTGTGACCACCTAGCCACAGCAGACCGTGACATTCTCCTGCATACGATCCTGACCGCCCTTACCCACGTTAAAGCTCTCCCATCCACAGATGAAGTATCCCAGATACGCGCCGATGAATATGCAGATGATGATATATCCGTTGTAGTACATAGCGAGCAACATGACGAAATAGGCGACCGCGAATTGCAGCACGTGGAGGAGAGCGCGGACTGCTTGCTGAAAGACGCTTGGACGGAAGTTCTGCGCAGTTGGGGTATGGGCTGCAGTGGTCGCAGGAGTCTTACTGTTGTCGGAAGAAGCGGAAGAAGCAACTGCGGTCGTCGGGACGTGCGAAGACAAGTACTGATTGACGATGTAGCGGTCGTATTCTTTACCGGCGCGGCGGAGGGCTTCGAGGGAGATTACGAGCAAGATCACACCGATGCAAGATCCGGCGAACATGCTTTTCGAGGTGATGTGCCATGAGCGGGCGATGAAGCCTAGTCATGCGTTAGCACTCGTTCTATCTCGAGCAGCAGGAGATGAGGCATTGCAGCAAGCCGTAGGGCATTGATCAGTGCCTGGTATGCTCCCAATGAAGGATAGTCAGGATACGTACAAGAGTCGACAGTGTACCAATTCCATAACATCTACCACTGGGGTCAGTAACGTTCATAAAATCATCATAATATGTAGAGCTTACGCTAATCTTGCAACCTCCACCCATACTCATGCCGCCTCCGCCCATTGACATCCCTGTGCTGGATGCCATAGCGGCACTACCTGTCGCAGTCTGTGTCATTACCGACATACCTGACATGCCAGTCATGGCTGCTGTCGTAGCGGAAGCTATCATATCGTGTCCTGAGTGGTCCATAATTACAGCTTGTATGGTTGCGGTTTGAGTGAACGATTGCCGTCTGGATTGATGGTGTTTGTGACGGGTAGAGAAGGTTGATAGCGATTGAAGTTGTAGAGATGTTGATAAATTTGGGATGAGCAGATTTTGAGCAGATTGTTTGGTTGAGGCGGGGGAAATGAAAGCTGGTAGGAGCGACGCGTTGATGCAGGATCGAACCTGTCTTTTCACCCTCGACGTTCGTCACGCTTCCAAGATAGAACGTTCGTAAAACTATTTCTTGAAACAATTCACTAAACAGCGAACGAAGGGCTCATATGCCTTATGAAGCTGGAGCTGAGTACTGCCTACAGAATAGGCACGCGAACCCGCTCACCGGCGAGTCACCGCAGCGGGTGATACCCGAACACTAAGGCTCCGAATTATCATTCACACTCGCCACTTCGTACTTTTACCTTTCACGTTCACAATAACATTCGCGTAGGATGCATAAGATGAAGTTGCAGGATGAGCGTGAAGGATGTGAGATGCTTGGCTCGCAGTGCGCCTTCCCTTCACAGGTAAGACCGCCCCGCTTATCGAGAGCATTTGCGCGCTTTCAACGCCACGATGAAGAATGTTGTCAGGACATCTCACCACGGAGAATTGTTCGAAAGGTCTGGAGTGCATCGATGCAGTGCGCATAGACGAGAGTAACGAGGTCGTCGTACCGCATTGCTTCCGGCAACCTGCAGATGGATGCAAGCGAGATAGATTGCACAACGTGCGATATATGGAATCTCCCGTTCAGCAAGCACCGAGCGAAGGGTCCTTGCATATGCGTGTGACAGGGGTGTGATCCCCGAGGTGCGTGTGACTGTTCGTGGTCTTCGCGACAGAAGGCACACTGATATGATGAGGAAAAAGTTCTAAATGAGATTTGATAATGTTTGCTGCCTCATTGTCTTCAAGCGCATGCTGCTCTTTACTTCTAGTATTGATCTAACTGGTTCTCCACGTGGTAATGCCCGAGACACAGTCACACAGAGCAAACGTGTGTTCTCGTGTAGCCCACAAGCGATCGGCCCCATGGAGACGGTACTACAAGGTGCTCATGATTGAAGGATGATCTGACTGACCGCCGTCTCGTTTCTCGCGAAAGGATCAAAGCTCGGGTCTGTGATCCTTTGATGCTCCAGAATGTTGGCGATGTATGTCGCGTTCTCCTCGCTGTAAGTCTGCTCCACCCAGTGCAGCATGAGATCAAGACCTGCTGTCACCCCCGAGGAGCTCCAGATGTGAGGCGAACTGGACTCATCCTCCACCCAACGTGCATGGGGCACCCAAGTCGTGTTGAGTCCTGCCTTCACGGCATTTGGCCATGAGGTCTTGTTCGTTGTTGCTTTCCTGCCGTTCAAAATGCCAGCCCTTGCAGCCAGAGCCGAGCCAGTGCAGATCGTGAGAACCTGTTTGACATTGGGTGCTATCCTTGCGATGTAGTCTAATGTAGCATTGAGGGTGGGATTACGCCAGCCAGGACCACCGGCAAGAATCAAGACGTCCAGTTCTGGTGCCGTTTCGAAAGTATGCGTAGGTGGAAGCACAGGGTACACAGAAGAATTGAACGGGTTCATCGAGGCCATTGATGGTTCCGAGGTGACCGGATCCATGGTCTCAGCAATCAGGGCGATATCGATCTTGTACAGTCCGCTCAAGAACTGGAGGATTTCAATGGGTCCATGAACATCCAGCAGGTCGAACATGCGGAAGAGTACGATGCCATATGTGTGGGGTACCGTAGTATTAGTGGCTGGTACAGATTCAGTTCTTCGGTTGCCAATAGTTTGGATGATTTCAACATGCACCTACCGGCTGCAGCTCCATGGAGTTGAAGAGTGATGATGGGTATGACTACCTTGATGACATCTGAAAATCTCATATTGACGGTACCAGTGTGTTAACACGAAGCCGTGGAAGAGGGCGAGGCAAGAACAGAAGGGAAAGAACGAAGAGAGACAGTGAAGATCATATACCCAGAGGAATATCTTTCTTGAATCATGAACCCGTTGTTCCTGATTGTTCAATGTTTCGAGTAAAGTTTCCGTAAGCACTTGGGCATGGCGCAGACGCGTGAGGCTCATTGGTCGCAGGTCGCAAGAGTCAAGTACTGATGATCTTTGATTATAGCTGCATCCTGAGCATCTTGGTCCTACTATCGCATGCGCTGTACACGCTGACAACTTCTGATGCGTTAGTTTGCGCGTATTTCTGCACGGTGTTGGAGATAATGAGGCTAAGACGCGAAGGAGCTTCCGAGGATGCTGGCGGCGCGAAGTGGGGCGCAAAATAATGGGACGTGTCGAACATCACGTCACAACTCTTCACATACTGCAACCACTGCATCTTCGATTTCACAATATTGAACGACAAAGGACTTTTGAACAATTAAGATGCATTACGAAAAGTCGCGCCACGCGAGTTCTAGCTACGGTCATCCGCGCTAATGGTATATAGAGAAGTAAAACTCCCAGGAACGCCAACGTCAAAGTCTACTATCAAAGCAGCCTACACAATGCTGAAACTAATTGCAAGAGGTAGAGAAGCCAATTTTGGGACCATATTAGATGCAAGGATAATGCGAACGGCAGAGGTATGCCTAGACGGCCTGAAATCGCAAAATGTGATTCTGGACAAACATGCGGAGCCTGCTGGTCTGCTCGCCAGGGCGGACCCAGTGAGAGTCGACGCGCTTGAAGGGACGAGGCTCGATGGGTGTTTGAGTGACAGTAGTGCCGTTTTTCTCGGCGACAGGAGAGCAAATGGCAATGGAGGTCTTGGTGCGAACGATGGGAGAGCCGACGGGGTTGCGGACCTTCTGCAGCACTGGAGACCACAGAGATGCTGCGCTACTCCTTGACTGAGGCGAGCAGATGACGATAGGCCTTCCACCATTTGTTGGGTTTGTGACCACGATAGGATTCTTCCTTCCAACGACTGGAGAGCAGATAACAATTGGGCGCTGCTTCTCTGCCATCGGAGAGACGACCACGATCGCGCCCTTCTTCTCGTCGAAGATGGTGACCTTCTCGACTGCCATTTGTGGTATGATGAGCTTGGTGGGAGTAGGTACACGAGCTACGGCACGCTTCAAGCTGAAGTACGAACCATCAGGACCGTTGACCCAGGATCCTGTGTAGTTGGAGCTGGCCAAGGCCTTCTTGGCAACAGCAGAGCGAGCAAGATAGAGGAACTCATCACCCTCGACCTTGATCATGCAGTTGTGCCAAGGAGTAGGAATCTGGAACTCGTACGCGGCTACAGGCTCCAGTCGGTTCTCAAGATCGTCAATTGGGCGGACCATATGCTTGGGAAGCAGGCGAATGGCGAACTTAGGGCCCTTGTTGTTGTGGGCGTGGATCGACAAACGAACATAGTTGGGCAACAGAAGCTCAACCAGGTTGGAGTAGCCTTGGTTGCGGGAGATCATCTCTTCAGCTACAAGAGCAGCAGTCTTCTTCTTCTGCTTTCCACTTAGCGACTTGACCGAGGGAACATCGGCAAGGTCCTCGAGCATGAAGCGTGTCTGGCCGCGGTACAATCCCAGAGTCTCAGGCTCTTGCAGCTCAATGAGTGAGCGGATGAAAGCACGGTCGGCACCGCCAATTCCCAGCATGAGTCTCCTGCACAGCTCGGCCTCTCCCGTCATCTTTGTCTTGACTGGGTGTGGCATCTTGTGCGCGTTTCCAGCTACCTTCTTCAAGGTCTGGAAGCCCTCAGAGTCAGCATTGAAGATGTTCTTCAAGCCTTTGAAGTCCATCGCTGGGACGGGCGCGGTCTGGCCAGGGAAGCGTTCCTTGTAGATCTCGGCCATGCAAGCATCGTATGTGTCGATCATTTCATCGTCAACACCAACTGGAACTGGTTAGCAACTGCTGAAAACACAACTGGGCTTCAATACTTACTGCAGTCGGAAAATACATGGCCATCGTTGATGATCCACATGGTAGCGCCAGGCTCGTAGACGGCGTTAACCTCCTTGATGAAGTCGTAAAGCACGTCCAAAGCGATGTTCTCTGCAAGATCGGGCATGATACCACCGGCCTTGTTGGGGTTTGGCGACTTGCAAGGGAAAGCGGGCAAAGCAAGAAGGATCGGAAGATTCTTATCGACAAAGCCGTACACCCGGTTGAGGAAGCCTTCACGACCGCAAACATCCCATTGGTCATCTTTGGAAAGGTTCTTGAGCTTGCGCTCAAAGATCTCAGCAATCGTGTTGCAGATCACGCGATTCTTTGCTGCCCATGGAGTCGAAGAATCCGAGATATTGGCGAAAGGCTGGAACTGAGTCTCGAGGAGGATGAAGCGCTCCGCCCAAATACTGAAGTTGTCTGAAGCAAGGGATTTTGGTTTCGATGTTACCATTCCGAGGATGCGACCGTTGTCATGTTTGATCTCGGCGACCAGGGTGTGAAGCTCTTCTTTCTCATAAGATGGAGGGAAGTTCGACTTAATCTTCAAGAGTGCTTGGATATCGGTGGTAATTTGCAGATTCTTGATCTCTTTGCCAGATGGCAGCTGAACTCGAGTCCATGATGCAGTTGCGGAGCAGATCTCGTCCTTCAGTTGTGGCCATGCTTCCGGCAGTGACTTCGAGTTGCTCCCTTCGACAGCCAAAAGTTCGCCATTCGGTTCTCTCCAGTAAAGACCCTGAATGCAGTGGTATGTGGAAACACCTTTGTTGAACGGCGCCATTGTGAATAATTGAAGAGAGGTAAGGAGGTACTTGTTAAGTTGAAAACACCGAGGAACAAAAGAAATAGAGAGAGGCTGGCAGAGGAAGCGAGTTAATAAAGCTTGAGATGATGGATCCAGTGGCCTCATCTACTGGGTCCCCTTATATGAAAGAGTCCTGACGTGTTGTTGTGTCTCAGCTTCACATAAAGGCTCAGCGGATCGGGCACTGTCCACCAAGCTGCGGATGGATCCATGACAGCCACACAACTGTAAACACACGGTGCGGCCGTACACCGACTTGCGTTGCTATTTGCAACGCTACTTATCTCGCTACAAGCCGTTAACCTAATTGGATTGGCCTACCAACATGATTTCTCGGGGCGTTCGAGCGGCGGTGCTGCGGGCGCCATGAGTCCTGGCGTTTGCTTCTGGTCTGATCAAGGTCGTAGGCGGTCTGGCACAGGCATTCAGCGTGCCACAATTCGCATTACTGGGTTGCAGGCGGCATATTTTTGCTAATGCGGCGCTGTTACAGGCTTCATCTCGTCCAAGGATTACTGTGTGCATGGAAGGCGTGCATATCTTGGCGTGCATGAGCTGAATTCGGAGAATCCGTGCCACATGCTAGCGCGTACCATAGGTGAACAACGCACTCGCCTAAACAGCTAAGCTTCTTACCACAGCCTCAAGATTACCGACCCACCTCCAAATACTGTCTATTGTCTAATTGTGGACGCACCAAGACGGGTCCAAGCGCGCTCGAGCCACGTTCCTTCTGCTTTGAACCAGCCTGGCTGAGCGTGCCGTCCAAATGTAGGGCTGAGGCTGAGGTGCTTTCACATCAGCATGTGTTTCATATAGGCTTGACCAGGCCAGCTTGTCGCTGCCATTCACTGTGTATTCGACATCTGTCCAACAAGATGATATCCTATCTTTCTTTGGTCTTCATTGCCATTTTTGGCAGCTTCTTCGGCGTCGTCTCCTTCTTTGTTTACCTATTCACGCCGCCTAGCAACTTCCCCAAGAACATTCCAACAATCCCGTTCTACTACGCACTTCTCCCACTCTTCAAAGATGTGGACCAGGCCGAGCTTTACCGTCAGTACATGAAGGAGCCCCTGGAGAAATATGGAGCAGTAAAGCTGTTCTTTGGTGGCCAATGGAACATCCTAGTACGCAAGCCTGCGTATATTGCCGAGGTCTTCAAATACGAGGACGTTTACGCAAAGGCAGGAAACCAGATCAAGATCCCGCATAGTCTTGTGGCGGAGTACACTGGCGAGAACATCATCAGTTCACATGGAGAGAAGTGGAAGCTGTATCATGGTGTTCTCAAACCAGCTCTGCAAGCGGACCAAGATTCGACTAAGATCTGGGAGAACTCAAAACTTCTAAGGGATATGTTCCTAAGCAACTCGAAGCAAGCCAATGGTGCAGGCATCCCTATCTACGTTCCTTGCCATCGAGTCGCACTTGCCAATCTCTCAGACGTACTGTACGCATCGAGTTTCGAAACAATGCAGCGTCCTGACGCACTACTGCACGCAATCCAGATGAAGATTAAGCCGATTATCTTCAACCCAATCTTCATGAACTTCCCGTTCCTTGACCATCTGCCGCTCAAGATAAGAAAGCTTGGTCGCGCACTCAACAAGAACTTCCGAAGCACGCTACGAACCTCGATCACAAAAGGGCACAACCACGTCTGCGACCCCAACGACCATAAGAACGTTGCATGCAGACTGATCGGAGCTCATGACGAAGGACGCCTAACAGACAAGGATCTTGAAGACAATATGGTCAGCACTTTCTTGGCAGGACACGAGAACCCACAACTTGCGCTCATGTCGCTCATGTATCTCCTCGGAGCCCATCCAGAGGTTCAAGAGGCGGTCCGCAAGGAGATCCTGACCCTCTATCCTGCTGATGCCCCCGCCGACTACGAGCCTTCTTACACCGAGATCCACGACTTACCACTCTTGAGTGCTGTTGTATACGAGGGTCTACGCATGTTCCCCCCGATTTCGCAACTGATCAATCGCCGTACTGCGGAACCCGTCGTATTAGGTGGCAAGATTCCCGTACCAAAGGGTGTATTTATGGGCTACAACGCATACTCAACTAACCGCGACATCGAGTTCTGGGGCACCGACTCCGACGATTTCAAGCCTGAACGCTGGGGCAAGAACATGGATGAGATCAACCATCTTTACCGGAAAGCGAACTCTAAAGGTGCTTTCATCAGCTTCCACGGAGGACGGCGAGCATGTCTGGGACAAAAGTTCGCCATGCAGCAGCTTCGCATCACGATCCTCGAGTTGGTGAGGGGTTGTAAGTGGAAGGTGGACGAGAGCTGGGACGGACGCATGACTCCGGTAAGTCATTGGCGCCAACTGAGCAACCTAACCAAGCTAATTCACTTAGGCTGGACCGCTCTACCCGCGAGGTCTTAAGATGAAATTCCAGTCGTTGTAAGAAGCTCGTCGGCCAAAGCAACAAGCATGTGCGATGATAAATCTTGGTCGCTGTGCTTTGGCAAGGTTAAGCAGATATACTGTGCATAGCGTTGGTGTTTTTGGTTCAACGCAAATACCCCAAATTGGGCAGAGCATGCAAGTAACATTTAGCTGGCACCATCAAAATTCATTGCATGCTTCATCTCTTCGGTCACCACACATACGCGTTACATTGGATTTCCAGCCTGTACGTGCGTGTCGTACGCATCAATGCCTCGTAATTGATACCCACCAACACAACATTACATCGATCTATGCCATTCATACTGTTAGGTACGGGCCCGCGATACTTAGCACTATCTGCCTTGCAGTCAGCACCTGCGTAACGCTAGTTGGAAGACAAGTATTGAATTGCATTTAGTTCGGAGCATACGATGCACATGATCGCGATAATGCATTTTCACGGACCAGACCCATGATTGCAAGGCTTACAAGTTCTGGCAATCCTCCATGACAGCAATCACCGTAATCGAGGCATCCCAACTCGTTGAAACCTCCAGACCCACTTGTGCTGACATCCATCTTGCAAATGGGAAAATTGTCAGCCAAACAACCACTCAGAGGTCTAAGACACTCAAAATGAAGATACCGTGTGATCGGAACATTGCAAATGACTTGCCGTATTCCTGCGGCGTGGTGTTGGGGGCGAACCTCCACATCCGCGTCCTTTGGTTGGGTGTGGAGTAACGCACGTAACGAGCCAAACTGTGCCTTCTTCTCATCAACCTGAGCTCAGCAACACATCTTTCTGGTAAGTTGCCCAAGAATATATGCGTGAATCAACTTGATGATGAATCGCTGATGTACAGTCACATCAGAGAGCGAAGCCTGGTTCAGCTGGGTGCATCATCTGTTCAAAGCTCAAATGCGCAGCAAAAACTTCGGGGTACTGGTAAGGGAAAACCCACAGTCAGTTTACGCGAAAGTCGAGATGTAGCTGTCTCCGTGCTTCTGCGGCGAAGAAACATGAAGGATTGAATGCGGCACAGCACGGCTTCGGTTTTGCGCGGAAATTGAGTCTGACATCGCCGATTATTAGTACATGCACGGTGCGAATAGACCTAGACCACTTCTGCTCGTCGTGAAGTTAGTGTTGCGGTGAATGTTGGTGTTTGTGGTAAATGTTGGTGTTTGCGGTGAATGTTTGGTGTTTGCGGGGTTCTGGTCCAAACGATGGGGCCCTAGGTCAAAGTGTAATTGAGCGGCGCCAGGTTGAGCCTAGCAGAAGTGCAACAGTAGCACTTCAATCCTGCAGATTGCTCCAGTCGCTGATTCTCCGACCGATAACAAAATGTGCTTCTACTTTCTGCAGCAGACATGTGTAACGATTCACTGTTGTTGTGTTGCGTAAGGCGCAGTTGGTGCATCACGCTCGCTTGGGGCCAGCCCACGCTAAGGCGTTCAGCCACAGTTTCCGTTACCCCAGCCCTTTACCGGGCACTAGTGCAAATACACCTGTTTTGCGGTACAAGATATGGTATCGCGGCTGTGACTGTGATGTTTGAGCAATGTGCTTTGTGTGATCCCTACGTCAATTCAGTCAGGTAGGGCTACATCCCTTTGTCGAAGGCACAGCACAAACAGTCTCTGATCGAGTGAAAGGATGTTCTGTGCCGCAAATGACCATGCTCGTGGGCTGCAGACAACCTATGTAATGAATTTAGTGGCTCAGTTTGCATGCATAGTGTAGTTTAGTGTTGTGAAGCAACCACGAGAGATAGAGCTTCTATCGTGGACGCCGTGCGGTAATTGAGAGCGGAAGGCCCAGCGGAGCTGTGGAGGGTGGCTGGCTGGTGTGAGAGCGGGCCGCTTGGCGACGCACGAGAAAGCGTGTCTTGAGCTTGCTCTGCGGCTGACCGCAGTCGGGATGAAAATAGCGTGCAAGGACAGGCGTTGCTAACGTGAGCCAGTGAGAACAGAGCTGACTAGAGTGGCTGTTGAACAAGGGATGACCTGAGCATGCACTGCGCACGTACTTTGTCGGCACGTAGGGCGCTCCGAGAATCAGGTGGTGCATAAGCGATCATACATATCGCATCGTACTTCAGTCCAAGAATTCCAATCGTAGCTTGGACCATCATTCTTCAGCATGCGTTCTCCGATCGAATTCGAGAAAGACCACCACTACGATAGGTGTCGGGACAGTATCGACAGCGAGTTCTCCTCTTCAGACAACGCCGATGAGCCACTGGCACAGGTTGACGATGTTGCACCTGCACCTCCACCACCGCCATACTCGGCGTTCTCCCTCAATCGTCGCCGGTTTATGCTTGGTGTTGTGACAGCGGCGGGATTTTTTGGTCCCTTGACTGGTGCAATCTACCTCCCATCTCTTGTACTTTTCGAGGACATCTTCAAAGCTTCGGCAACAGCAGTCAATGCGACAGTATCGATGTACATGGTTGTGTTCGCCATTGCGGTATGTAACCGTGTGCGAAGTCTGAGTAGCTATCACTGACACATCTCAGCCACTTTTTGGTGCGGTTGCCTCTGACGTTGGAGGTCGTAAGCTCGTGTACATGGTCGGTCTTGGAAGCTTCCTCGTCTCAAACATTCTGCTAGCAACGCTCCCTGCGCACATCGCTCTCCTCTTCATCCTCCGAATATTCCAAGCCTTCGGTTCGTGCATCGTCTTCTCTGTCGGAGCGGGTACGGTTGCAGATATAACAGAACCCGCAAAGCGCGCATCTGCTTTGGCTTGGTTTCTCATGGGACCCCAGCTTGGACCGGTCTTTGGTCCTCTTATCGGCGGTGCTTTCGCAGATGCATCACGTTGGAGATGGGTATTTGGCTTTCTCGCCTTGACCTGTCTTCCTGTATACTGCGCCATCGTCTTTTGCATGCCTGAGACCCTGCGGTCTCTGGTCGGTAATGGTGCCGCTGTTGCTCACCAGCCCTGGTTCTCAATACCCAAGCTCCGGACACAGCTTTCCACAGATATCAAAGGCCCAAAGATTCCCCGTCCGTCGTTCCGCAAATTCATGCAGCTCCTGAAGTACCCTCCGCATCTCATTGTCTCTTTCAATGGTGCTTTCCAGTTCGCTGGACTGTACGGGATGTACATCTCCTTCCCGACCGTTCTGAAAGACACATACAACTGGTCGACCGCCGAAGTGAGTTACGCATACCTCGCACCAGGAATCTCCATGTTCATTGCTTCCATTATTGTCGGTCGTGGCAGTGACTGGCTGCGCAGAAAAGCTATTGCGAAGAGCCCTGACGGCAAGGTTGCACCGGAAAAGCGAATCGCCTACCAAATAGTTGGCTTTTCCATCGCGGCCGCAGGAAAATTCATGTATGGATGGTGTTGCCAAAACCGCGTAAACCCAGCTGCCGGCCTGATCGGTTCAGCACTTTCATCTGTGGGGACTTCGATCGTCTTTGTCACCAGCACATCTTTCCAGACAGAGTGCGATCCAGCTCAGACCGCTAGTTTGGTTGCATTGGGAGGTCTCCTTCGAAACGTCGCTGCAGCCATCGCTGCCGTCGTCATGGATGGCTTACTCGACAAAGCCGGTGTTGGATGGACCTTCAGCATCTTCGGAGTGATGGATCTTCTCTGCATTCCAGGCATTTTGTTGATCATCTTCAAGGGTGCGGAAATGCGTGCAGCATTGAAAGCGCAAGGCTAAGTGTAGCGACACGAGGCTCCATGTACATAATATCGTTACGGTTTGGTATTTTGCATAGCGCGGCGTTGGTCATCATAAGCATTCGCATCATCGGTGCATTTCATGGGCGACAAATTAATAAATAATGAAAGAATGTCTGCTAATGAAGAAACGTGCGATGTGAGTTTGGTCGATTTCAAATCCTACAAGGTGTGACGTCTCAGTTTTACGCTAAGATAAATCTGCATAGTCTTCTACAGCGATCTGACCCAAAGTAACTCAGTTTTAAAGAAATTCTACGCTAACAATGCTTTTCAACTGCTTTCATTGATATGAAGCGCTATCCAGTATCAAAAAAACAGCCCACCTTTGCTAGATCTCCGTGGACAACGTTCAGTAAGATGTACAATTCTGGCCATGCTCTTTGATCCAGCTCGCAATGGTCTTTTGCTGCGCTGCAATAATGTTTATCGCTTGATCTATGTCGTACAAATCATACCATCCTGGAGATTCATGGAGGGGATCTCCAGCCATACCATGCCGAACTCATTGACGTGCTGCGTCTCGGGGCGTAGATGCCTCCATATGCCCATGGCGAAGTACCAACATACGCACCACCATTGCGGAACTCGTCCATGACTGTACCAATGATGGTCTGGAAGTACACATCCTTGTGAGTAATCGATGCATTGCTGTGGTAGGGTATTCCTTGTTCTTATTTTTCCAATTGTTGCGGGCGATACCGAGCTCCTCAAGGAAGACTGGCTTTCCGATGTAGCCACCGCTCCATTGCCACTCGTTGCTCAAAGTCATCGTTGCGCGCATTCCACGCTTCGACATCTCTGCAAGACAGATATCTAGGCCCTTGAAGATGTCGTCGTTATACTGTCCCGGAGCATTCATCAGAGGCGGGTTCATCCTGAAGGGCTGAGGTGTTGGTGCACCCTCAGAACCGGCGATGATTCGGAGATGGTTGATTCCTTTCGCTGCCATCTGATCGAACTCCGTGACCAGCTGTGAATAGTTGCCTCCAGACGTTTCGTCGGCAGCCAAGTTCATGCAGACCCTCCATGTCTGAAACGGTCAAGTGCAGCAACATCAACCTGGTCTTCAGTCGCGCTCGCAGACGTCGAGCAGACTCTTCGACCACCGCGACTCCGACGACATGCACAGCCTAGCAAAGCGGATAATGACCTTCGGCGACACGAACCGTGATGTGGAGTCTTCAGGAGCATTGAGGACGCTGCGCAGCGCTAGGACGGACCGCAATGGCCGCGTTGAGAAGAAAAGAGAAGGAGATGAACGAAACATGAGAACAACCAGGAAAACTTTCGCGAACACACGTGCAATTCCTGATACGAGAATGCTCAATTGAGCCCACGATTGAAGCAAGAGAAGATCTGGTCACTATTTGTTTGATTAGAAGCTTTTCGTATACCTGCGATCAAAAGATGAGTGTCGAGAGAACTCTGTGACCGATCGATGCCAAGCCTGTGACTTTATCTAACTAAATCTCTCACAGGCCCCTTCTATGCGGCCTCGAACTCACCCCCTTCGCTAGTAGTTTGGGAACCAGACTGTACTGTCCTCGTACTGGCCATCTATATAGCCCTGTTGGATGGCCTGGGTGTTGATGTAAAGCCCCGGATTCTTACGACTCATGCTCTGCGGAGGTCGTCGAGGTGGGAAGTCATCAGGAAGTAGGCCAAGAGAGCGTATATCGGGCAAAGACCCTCGATGTGGGAACCCATATGGGGCGAGCGCGAAGCCTCCATTCATCATGTGAGTACGGTAGTACGGATGTGGGAAGTCGATGACGTGGCTATAGTTCACTATTGTAAGTGCTTCGTGGCAGTACCTTTCGTCAGTAAGGTGCATCTGTTGATTTCTGATTTTGAGTGTGGTTTTGGTGTGCTGATGATTGCAGTGTAGTTGAGGTTCTTATGAGGAACCCGAAACGCGATGTACATTTGAGTATTATACTCCAGTCACTTCACTGTTAAGTGTTAATACTGCAACATCGTGAAGGTACAGCGAACGCTTCCAAGATGTTCACATCAGCGCAGTAGCTTCACGTGCTCGTGACGTCCGACTGACCCCAATATGCTGCTATCGATACTATTAACGCCGTTCAAGATGAAAACGCGGGCTCGCACGTCTCCATCAGGCACCAAGGCTCATTGTGTATATTTGATTCAAATTTCACGTTGTCACTCACTGTGGAAGGGTTGAGATGTTGATTGATCCTAAGAGCTATGGGCTAGAATCGATCGAGACTATATAGTAGAAGGGGATAGCAGTGAAGGGTTAGGGAAGCAAACTGAGCTAACCGAATGAGCTGGACAATCAGTGCAGCGGACCGTTAACAAACACTGCAACGGACCGCTAGCAGCAAACAGATGGCGATCGGTGGATACCTTCACTCCCTCCGACACTCACACGCAAAATTTTCAGACTCACAACGAGAATAGATCAGAAGATATTTGAGCGGTTCAGTTTCACGCACAGAAAGAGATATTTGTTCAGCCACTCAAGCCAGAGAGTTTGAATGTCACTTTTGTATTGGTATTCTATGGATGCTCGCACACCCAGTCTTAGCGGAGTGATCGCAACATATCCATATTGCTTGACCTCTAGGGCTTGGATACCACCCAGATACTAGCTCAGTCTCGGCGAATACACGTATTTAGAGTCAGCGGTCTTACTTTTATATCTCAAAATACGGTGGGACTCGCTTGTCACGTCGATTTCGCTTCCACTGTTGGGCGTAGGAAGTACTTGGCCAGGCACTGGGAAATGTCACTTCCGGACCTAGACCTATAGATCCAATGTGAGGTAACGTCCGCTCTGGGCTGTAAGTGCCTGGTACTATAGGCCTGAGTCTGTTGGAGAATGCCTTATTAGGTCGTAGGCCCTGACCAGAAGGATAATGGTAGGTATGGATCGCTTCCTAGCTACTCTGGCATTGTATGATGTCTTTTAGATGGGATTCAAGTGTTCTTGTGGGGGAGTGTTCATGGATGAAGTGATGTGGAAGATGTTTCTGGTGTCGATGTAATTGCTGATGTGGATGTCTGACAACCAAGCGATGCAGTGAGAGGTACAAATACCTTTGCGCAGTGCACGAACGACTGAACATGGGATGCGAGAGTACCAAGTAGTCACCAACCAGGCGTAACATATTCAACGGTCGTAGGTCACAAGCAATCTACACCTCACAACGAAGATAACGTGTCTTCCCGACCAAACCATCCTCAACTTACATGCTGAAGTACGGAGGGCCCCACCTGCGCTAACGTCTTACCCTCCACTGGTGGCTGTAGAAATCATCATCGGCCGGCCATCTCACATCCTCTCCCAGTTTAAGATCTCTTATATGAGGCAAGTTTCGAGTTCGTTGGCGGCGATGGCGATTTTGCATGGGTGCAAGTAGGGTGAACTCTTCCCCATCCATGACACCCTTTGTCGCATGGTAAGGGCGATATGGATGCATATATGGGTAGCCGGAAAACGGCCAAGGTCCTAACATTATATGCAACCTTGTAGGCTGAACGCTCAAGATGTTTAGTAGTGTTAGAAACTTTGATAATCAGTATCGTTAGTGATGTGGGTATTCGGAGGTTGTGGTACTGAACATAAGGTATGTATAACTTTGTGCGCTGTGTGAGTTACCAACCGTTAAAGCTGATCGCATCATATGTTCGACAGCCGAATGCAAGCCAATCGTGCGCATTCAAGAATCTAAATCACATGCAGTCTACACCTCAAAGACTGCCTTCCATCCTTTTCAAACGCTCAAACAGCTGCACGAAAGCAGCTGGTTCCTGCGCTCCACCGATCTCAAAGCGATCGTTGATCGTGAAGTTCGGCACACCACTGATGTTCTGCTCGCGCGCATCCTGCACCTCATTGTCGACCTCAGCACCACCTTTCCCACTGTCCAACCACTGCTTGATTTCCTTCTCTTCAAGACCAGCCTTCACACCGCTCTCAATCAACACCTCGTGCGTCGTGATGTCCTTCTCGTTCTCGAAGTACGCAGCAAATAGTTCCTCGACAACGCGCGTCTGCATCTTCGGTCCTTTGGTCTTGCCGAGTTGGACAAGGCGATGTGAATCGCGGGTGTTTCCCGTGTTGCCGCCAAACTTGAAGTTGATACCCTCATCTTGGCCGACCTTGGCGAGCATCTGGTTGATTGTTGCTGTGCGCTCCTTGCCAAATTTCTTGATATACATCTCCTGCTTGTCAAGGCTCTTGCCGGCATCAGGGTTCAGGTAAAATGGGAACCATTGCGTTGAAAATGTGTCGTCGGACTCTGGGTGCTTCTGCTTGTATGCTGCAATGCCCTTTTCGAGGCGCTTCTTGCCGACATAACACCATGCTGTGAGCTTGTTAGTGTGCAACTTTTGTGCAATTCTGTCCAATGGAACATACGGCAGATGGTGTCCGACACGATGTTGATGTTGAAGTTTGTCATTTTACTCAAGCTCTGTTTGAACGCCACGATGAATGTCCTTTCGATTTCTCAATCGTGCCGACTGCTTGCCGATGCTGCGTCGTTGGCCTTATACAGCAAGCTCGGTGCTGACAAATTAGCGTCAAAGAAGTTGCGAGCGCGGAAAGTCGCCACTTCCGGGACTGTTGCTTTATCATCAAACATCATCAGCTCCCTCAAACTTCAACGTCGTGAGGCACGCATATCAAGAGATAAGTGTGGTGAAATACCAGCATAGGCCACAATGTACACTGGCGGCTTGGGAGCCTCTGTTGCGCGAGGTGTATGATCCTTCCTCCAGCGGTTCCACTTGTTCTTTTCTGCACAACAACTGACAGCAACTTGCTGCTAGCAAACCACGACTGCAATCGTGGAGTGATCCGATACGAACCAGGAAGCACGCAAATTTGGAGCCATGCGGGGATAGACGACAGTGGTAGCCATCGCTAGTATGGTCCCCTCCATGGTCTGCCATGAGGGTGCATTCCCTACCGCTATATCCACCACTGGGCCCACAATTTTCGTCAAACCCCCGTAGTGGGTCATCAGTCCGACTTGCAGCATCAGCAGGATGGTCTATGCAGGATTTGGCAAATGTTGGCACAAGACAGCTCAGACTTGGAACATGGAGGGCGCAACGAAACCGAGCAAATGCGAGCAGAGACGAGTACCTTACCGAATTACGTTCAATAGTCCGTTAAAATGATTGATACAAAGGTTTAGGTCAAGCCAACTCCCGCTGCATTGCTCACCTCGCTTTTCTTTCATCCACTTTCGAGCATGAGCAAGATCCTACTCGTTGGTGCTACAGGCTATCTTTGACTACATGAAGTGTCTCGATATCAAGGAGCCATACTCGCAGCGAACGACCGAGATCACAATACTGGGGACCGCGGCTGAACGAGGTATGCAAGCTGTCATTTTGCAGGCACCGTGCATCTTTGGCGAGGGCACTGGACTGTTCAACCAGCAAAGCTTTGGTCATCCTCTGATCCTCTGGTACGCTGTGCAGCATGGTCATGGATTTAAGTTGAACAACAAGGCCAACTTCGACTGGGTATGTCTCCTTACGATACTTCGTTGAGTAGCTATTGATCATGCACTCGTCATACAGGCTCATGTTGTTGACCTGGCTGACTACTTCGTTCTCTTGATACTTCCCAGCATAGAGAAGTCCGGCTTGTGCCACTACAGAAAGAGCTCGCAGAAGACATTGCCCAAAGCATCATCCGTTTAAGAAAATAGAGACTTGGCGTTGGGTAGAGAAGAAGAGAAACGTAGTAAAGTTGAATCTTCTTACGCTTCCTATTGTGCCATGTACGGCTTGTCTGGAGAATTTGACGTTTCAAGCGCGGAGGGGAGTCTGCACACATCATACCTAGTATTCCAATTTCAGATTGTCTTCTTTCAGCGAGATCCCTTCTTTAGTGCCTGGAGAATTCGTTACGATCGAGACATGTTCACGTTGGCAGTACATCTATAGCAGCACCGACACATGTGTTTCCTTCGAGGCCGATTTTGGAGAAGCAAAACAACATCGATCTCCACCACGACAGTTTTGAAGTTTTCGAGAAGAGAGTGGATGTTGATTGAGAAGAGAGTGGATGTTGATTGAGAAGAGAGTGGATGTTGATTGAGAAGAGAGTGGATGTTGATTGAGAAG